GATGAAAATGGAAATCGGTCAATTATAAACCTTTACATTGATCATAACTTCAACTGATTAAATTTAAATAAGAAGATTCATTCATTCAATTTGTCGATATGTCAATTATAAAAGAACGTCGAAACCGGTTTCTTATAATCTAAAGCAATTTTTTAGTTAGTAAAATAAACATGTAAGTTAAGTCTCAATCACGTAAATCAGTCAATGTATTTATCATTTCTTTGTTTTTATATTAAAAAAATTTTCTTTGGGACTGGTAGCAATGGTTAAAAAAAATGACCAAAAATAGAAAGCAAATTCTAAGCAATATTGGCAAAAAAGTTTCTGTGAAATGGAAATTTCAAGCTTTCGCACAAGATATAAGTGACGACGAATGAGAAAGAGAGAGCGAGCGAAATGGATAGTTCGACGTGCGCGAGTGAGAAGTCAAGTGGATATAGATGAAAGAGGGCGACGTGCGAGCAGCGGCGAAAATGTGTGACGGATCGAAATTGCCGGGCGAGATTTTTTTCAAAAAAAGGATCCATGTCAAAATGCTTGATCGACGTGCTTTTCGACGTTCGGACTTCATATCCTCTCGGAATAGGAAATTGGACTCGGAGATTTGATGGCGTGGACTGCATCTCGACGAAACACTCGCTTCTTCAGATACCACGTTATTTTCAAGGATTTAGATCAAAAGATTCATCTATAGCAAGTTGTTTTACAGACTCTATTATCTGAACAATCGAGTTTGCGTAATACGTTGGCTTCATCAGTCGAGAGGGAACAAAAAATATAGCACAGTCTTCCATCTTTATGATGAAATTATAGTTTCTACGAAGAACGACTAAGACCATTAGCAAAAAGTTGGGCACAATAACCAGGTTCACCGGATTTGAAACATGAAGACTTAACTAGCTAACAAACGCGCAATTCTAATCAAATTGGCGAGGAGAATAATTATTATTGCTGTTGGACAAGTTTGGAAGATACGTGAAGAATGTTGGAGAAAGTTTGCTTAGCAAATAAAAGGCAAGCCATACTTTCGCAGGCAGGAGAGAGATAAGCTGCTTGCCGCACCGGCGGGCGTTCATCATTGCGAGACTCGAGCTTGAAGTTGAGACAAAGTTCACTCAAGTCCCCGTGAAATTGACTCGCATTTAAAGAAGAACTGTGCAGCCCGTACTCCTAAATATACCGCAAACATATTGCTCGCATCCGCCGCCGCTCAAAAATTTCCAGCGAGTACTTTCGAAACTTCGAACAATGCTTTCGAATTGCGAGTTACATTTGTTCGCGCTATTTTTTGCTCCATTTCCGGATCGTTGAATTCAGCGAAACAGCAAAATTAACGAACTAAGCGATATAAACTTGCTCGTTATTTTCCGCGAGCTCCATCGAAGTCTAATAATACGCGTATTCCCGAGCACTTTTCGCATTTTATTTCAGACTTCGACTTCGACTTGGCGAGTTCGTTACCGCACCTAACTTTTCTATGCCTTTCAGCGCATTCGCAAACAGAAAAAGTGCAACACAAAACGTCAGCTTCCACGGTGAAGTAATCGTACAAAAGCACTCTTTTAACACACTGCACGACAAAGCGAAGTGCAACATTTACGTACTACTAAAGCATTTTGGCTCTTTATCGCATATGAAAAAAGGCAGCTCAGCCATGTCATCACACATTTACCCACATGATGTCGAGAGAAGAGGAGGAGGGGAAATTTTGTAGTGGTCGCTAACTACAAACAAGCACGACATCGTTGCAGCGATAAAAAAAATACATACTCTTCCAGTGAAAGAAGAAAGCAGCGACCGTTAGCAGTTTACGCGAACGAGAGAGAGTGAGAGAGAGAGAGAGAGAGAGAGAAATGGTGGAGGGAGGCATGAATAGATGGCGATAAAAGCTTGCTGGAGTATAATATAGCGTAAAAGGAAATCCTCGGACGCAGCTGCACGAGAGAGGAAAAAATCAAGAACCTTGTGTGTGTATGTGTGTGCGTGTGTCGAGGGAGGCCGCACTTTATGCAAATCGTTATAGGAGAAAACGCCTGTTGGCTGACCCCGTCCCTCTCCTGCCCCGATGAAAATTCATACGGTGTCTCTTTTTCTCTGCATCGTCCACCCTCGCACTGCGCACAATATACGTCGAAATGCGCAAAACGAATGTCTCATGGATATATATAATGCAGGTTGACCCCTCGTCCCTTTGTGGATACACGTGAGAGATAGTTCGTCTTTAGGGGCTTGCTATAACTACTGGCGTACATGAATATTTACGGTGGACACGCGCTCTCCGTGTAACACAGGATATCGGTCTCATGTTAGAAAGATGAGATCGATTGCGCTGATCGCTAGATTGATTTTAATTGAAGGGCATCGCGCTCGGACGCCGATTTATAAGCGATTAGATTTGCGCTTCTGCCCGCCTACGTTTGTCCAGAAAAAGCTGCCGCTCGATCGTTTTCGGCCGACGCGCCGGACGTAATGGCAATTTATTCGGTCGCGCCGAAATTCCGTCGATCGACGATGGCGCCCTGAAACTAACGCGATTGTAATTCGATGATCGTGCTGTCGGAATTAAATTTGCCGATAACGCGCGCGCGACAGCAAACTTTACGGTGAGGCCACTTAACGAACAATCGAATCAGTGGACGGTCGCGAACGGCGCTGCTCCCGCGAACCTTTTGCGCGGTTCGCGAACCCGCTTCGGTATAACATTAGCTTTGGCAGCGCTATAAGCCATCAACTTTCGACGACAAATCGCATTGCCGCTCGCACGCTAATTGCAAGCTACGAGTCACAGCCGTCGTTCGGATTCGTCGTCGCCGGACAACAGTTCCGTAGTCATCAGTCGACGGCACGGAGCTAAGTGTCGCAACGCGCGGCATTTTATTTTTACGTGCGAAGGCCCGCCTCATTTGCAATTCTCTCGCAGCTAATGGGTATTGCTTAGAGTCAATGGGATTGATTTCGTTGGGTCTCGGCTGTCTCCCCTAACGCCTCTCTTGCAATGCAGATGTGCCACCGCAAGATATAGTTCGACGCGAGGAAGGTCCTTGAATTTCCATGGGCCGGCTGTCGTAAGGTTTCATGAGCCTTGTGTGCCGGCGAATATTTCGCTCTCTCGATGAATATTTGACGCACGCGAGTTGTGGCTTAGTGCACTTACCTCTCGGCAGACGCTGCGATGGACGTCAGACTTTCTTGTTGCTCACTGATGTTGTGAGCAGCGCTGAGCTATTAGGGGATTTTCAACTGGAAAGCTCTCTCCAGTGCACGGTGCGTTGTACTGCAAGGAAAGTTCTGTTTTTCGACGAAAACGAAAATCATAATAGAGTTGAACACATAAATCTGCATGCTTAAAAATTGTATTAATTTTGATATTGGATTTTGCGAAATATTGTAAAATCTTTTGTATATTTCCAAATAATTAAAGTTTGAATGATAACAAAAACTGTGGTTAAAAGACTTTTATTATCGTTAACGTCAAGTTTATTTCTCTGTACATTGCATTTCAATGATATTTCTCAGTACCATATATAATACATGAATGATTCCTTTTTTGGTTGTCATCGAATACCAAGCGAAACTATTATATACACTGAGTCCGCTATGATGAAATGTTTTTTACTGCGCAACTACGTTTTTAATATCTAAACCCCTCCTTTATTAATAATAATAACCTTTCGATAATTCTTAAGCGCTACAATCCATACAAATATTCTCTGTCTCTTTGTCTCTCCTCATTGTTACGTTCGTTGGTAAAGTTGTTTGTTCCTTTTGGACGAGAAATTCACAGCGCTTGGAAAGGGGAAGAGCGAAATGAATAATACAGCTTTTCGTGTGTCCTCCTTTTCTTCCACGCTTTTGTCTCTTTTTTCTCTATGTTAATCTTGTTTTTCCTGTCTGTCTGTTGCCGCCACACACACGTAATTGAGGGAATATTCAATTAAGACGTAGTCTGTGCAAATCAAATTAAATTATTACTCCGTACGTGCGTGTATATAAAACAGTTGCTCCGAGGAAGTTTGTCTTCGAATGAAAAAAAGAAATGGAAAAGATATTACATCATTTGTTGTATTGTGTTCGGATGCATACAGATACACGCATACACTCGTTTTTATACGCACACATGAAAATTCGCTCGATCGCGATGCCCGCTTGTGTATATTTATAGTTGTTTCCCCCTTAATCTAAGTATAGTTTTAAATAATTAACGACGCTTGCGGAAAAACACATCATACATATTTACAAACAAATCCTACCAACGTTCAAATTTCTTTTATTTTGGTTTCTAAGTCGCTCATTCGCGTACGCAAACATAACAATTCGTAGCTTTTTTTTTCTTAATATTTCATTTTCGTCCTTGCAATAACTAAGAACGAAAAATTCGTTGGTACACTAACGAGATAATGGTCGTCTCTTGGAAAAAAGCTTAACTCGTTATAACCCGTTGCGATTTCAAAGATAATCCTCGACTCGACAATAGCGCAGTATGTTATTTCTATTTTACTTTCCGACAAACTATATGTAACTGCGCGAGAGTCCGTGAACACAGGAGAAAAAGGATTCGAAATTCATTCGTTGCGCGAAATGTCAGATGATTCGTGAAAATTAACGAAAACAAGTGATATGAAGCGATTGTAACAATATCTTTCATCTATGTCCATTACTTGAGATTTGATTATTCATTTATTTTCTTTAAGGTTCCGTTAAAAAATTTGATTTCAACTTTGATTATTCATACGTCTACGTCTATTTATATTTCACGCGCACTCATGCACTGAACTTCACGCAACACGAACGTCATTAACGCATACGCACAGGCGCTCGCAAAGAAACGAAGTCACAGAACGAGTTGTTGGGTGAGTGCGCATTAGTGAGATTTTTTTTTCTCGTTGCCAAAGCGCTTATAAATCGCGGCGCCACGGAAGCGCAAGCGCGTAAATAACGCACACAATACACAACCGAGAGAGAGAGAGAGAGAGAGAGAGAGAGAGAGAGAGAGAGACTCGCGCAGCCGAGAGAGAATTACGTCGCCACTTATGGTGATTAAGATGTTGAAGTAAATTTCGCTTAGATTTATCGCGTCCCGAATACGGCCTTTATTAAAAATGAAGGAGAGGCAGTTGGACTCGCTTAATTTAGCAAGTGTCGCGCGTTACTTTGTCAGGCAAGCGAGGAAAAAACATTTCGAGTCGGATGCCCTTTTTCTGACTTTTAGACGATGAAAAGCGAGAGCTTCCTTTTTTCCTCGCGCTCGACCGACTACGAGTCGTGTGACGAAGAAAGCGAGTCGGTGTAATGTCGCAATACCTCTATTTGTAAAGTGGCCAGCTCGGAAAAACGGCGATCGAGCGCCAACCGAATTGATTATCTTAAATCTGGCTGTTATTCGCTGGAAAATTGAAAATGGCCTCGGCGCAACGAGAAAAAAAAACGGCAACGTCACGTTGCTAGGTGTGTGTTTCCATTTCGCACCTCATTCGCTGCTGCGCGTCATTGAATATCGATAACCGAAGATATATATTTGAATGGTCGCGAGCGAGCGCTCGGCGGTGACAATTATGCAGCACAAACAAACTTACACACGCCAATGCACGTGCACGCACACAAGCTCTTTTCTCTGCACTTCCAGTCGATTGAAAATTACATTTTTAATTCAGCTCACGAAAAATGCAATGGTCGTTCGGTAATATGTTGCGCTTTCAATCAAACCGAACCATGTTCTCTTTTGCCATGTGAGCATCGAGATAAAAAAAAGAGGGAGACGTTCGTGTTACTGAATCTCGGTACAAAAGTACGCGCACACACAACAGTCACGCATAGAAAAAATGGAGATAGAGCTTACAGCCGCGATTATTTACAAGTAAGAGAGAGGGAGGGAGCAGCGGTAGAATTTCTTCCTCTTCCTCTTGGCAGCAAGAGAGAGTTGCTTGGTCGTCGAGAGGAATATTCCGCTTTTGTCCAGAGAGGAACGACCGAGTTTCTCTCTCCCTCCCCTTTGTTGTTTTGTTACTACTGGTTTTGCCCTTCGATTCTCTCTCTCTCTCTCTCACTCTCTTTCTCTCTCTTTCTCTATCTCTATCTATCTATCTATCTCTCTCGCTGGATATAGGCCTTTGTCTGTTTTTTCGTGCTTGCATAGCAAATTAACTCGCTTCGCCGAGGAAACGCAGATGGCCGACGGTATATAAGAAGGTATATGGAGTTGAAAGTAAATGGCTTGCTTTAATAGGCGTCAGTGTATTGTTAGCATTTCTAGCCCCATTGTTGTTGCGAGAAGAGCTTTTCCGAATTTCATACTTAGTCCGCCACTCCGAGTAATACGATTCCTGCTTATTAATTGGTTATCAGCGTAAAATGCAGTAAAACGTAGTATTTCGATCGAACTTTTCAATCAAATATCGAATTTCAACGCAAGCTGTGCACCCGAGTCAAGTTTCCAAACCACGCAGACTCTCGAGATAACGGCTATACCGGCAATTTTAAACTAATCAATATTGAACTGACCGAATTCGCGGTGTAACTTGTAAACGCATTATCAAAGCCTATCAAACTTGGCCGAGTTGCCGTCAATTTGCGCTAATCGATGATGCACGAACGGCCGAGATGCACCAATGGTAAATACGTCAAAGTTGGAAATTTATATGAAATGGGGCAAACGAATTATCGGCTGGAAAGTGTGTGCGACGTCACGTGCCGCCAACCACGTGATCTATTTGAAGCTATTTGAAGTTGCAATGTGATTAGAGAAGTTCCCTCTCTCTCTCTCTCTCTCTTTCTCTCTCGGCTCAACGCGACAGTGCAAGAGTTCGTGGGTCACTGCGGAAACTGCGCCCCGACACCTACTGCACGTTTCAACCTCGCGCTGCGACCATTTGAAAGTAACTGACTTTGGCGACTCTCTAGCGCCACGCAATTTATCTCTCTGTTTATTTCCCGCGCGACAATCAGATCTTGGCATAGTATGATTATCCGTCTCGTGAGTTTTCACGTAGATTCATTCTGCTCGTCGGTCGTAAACGTTCAAACCGAGCGTGTGAAATCCAGATACCATTTTAAAACTTATCAAAAGGGATTTCACATACATATAGTGACTTAAATGTGCAGCCAAAGAAAAATCTTTCATGAAATTCCAAGTATTAAATCTGCTCATATTGCGCACGAAAAATCCCTTTACCTCGTAGGATTAAATTGTCTGCTTCGATCAATCTAGAGCGAAAAGCGTACTCCGATAGATTTTTCGAAGAAGAATAATCAAATTGCTCCACTGTATAAAAATCCACCACGCCCGATACTCCTTCCGTCGAGCGAGAGTAATTCCATAAAGAGAGAGAGAGAGAGAGAGAGAGAGAGAGAAAAAGAACTTCACTTGTCCCGTAAAAGCTCTTAGCAACTTGAAAAAAAAAAGAGAGCTCCTCTCGTGCCATAACCATCCTCTGTGCTGCAGGAGAAACTATACGTGTAAAAAAAATAAATGCAGATATAAAAAGGGATCATTCGATACACGCGCCCTCGTGCTAATTGTCGCCGTGTACACAGTGTCGTCTTAATTAAAGCGTACGGAGAGCTGCCGGCCAATTGAATATATAAGCCTAGTGCGCGCACGGCGACGCCTAATTAAGAAAAGCCATTGCCACACACCACTTCTCGTAGCCCTGTTTATCGAGGGCGCAGCCCGCCGTGTGTATCTATAAAACGCACGTGCGCTAGTTTTCAACGGCTTGCGGTGTATTTTTAAATGTGCCGACGGCGCCCTGGAGGTAAATAAAAGTGGAATGAAATGTTTACCGCGTATACGCGAGCGTAATGGTAAAATAAAACAACGGAAATTTTTTTTTTTATTTTTTCTTTGTTGCGTTTTACTCGACATTGTATCTTTTGAAAAAATATCTTTTGAAAAAAATAAAAACAAAAAATACGACCTCATTACGTATTTTCGATATAATGGAAATTTCTGTTACGTTGGGAGCTACTTTCTATCATCGTAATAACACGCCAGAGATCGATACACGAGTCTCTGTCATTGGAAAATTAACAATAGGGCTCTAGCTGAACAGACTGATCCGTATTTGTCAAATATAATTGAAACGTCTGATCACCAGCGACTTATGAATGGTTGTCCGTTTCTTTGGAATAGAATCTCAGCTCGTTACAGCCCAATTACTTTCGCATCAAATTGCCGTCTTTTACCTCGTCAGCCAATACATACTCGTACTCGCAACACGCTCCGAGGTAAAACGCCAAAGCCGCGTGTGTCGCGGATGAGATAGTCAAAGGCAAAACCAACGGTAGACAAGAGGGGCCGTCAGTCGCACCACGCACACAGAGCAGCAGCAGCGGTAGTAGGCAACGGCATGTATATACTTTCCACGCTTCACCTCGACATGAGCGCCAGTAGCAGTAGGAGCACCAGTGTCAGTAGCAATCTGGGCGTTGATCCCGAGACAGCAGTTCCATGTTGCATTGCTGCCGGATGCTCGCCTGCAATTCACACAGAGAAACAGAACGCAGACAGTCAAACCGGATGCTCATTATCGGCTGAAGCCAAGACGCTCGTTAGCGAGGCGCTTGTCACTGCCGAAAACTCTTTTTTTACGCCGTTACCTTTCAGCTCTAAAGAAACTTTGCCTTGCTTTGCTCCCCCCCCCCCCATCCCCCCTCTCGTTCAATGTTTATACGAGGTGGGATGAATTGATCATTTATTTTTAAACGCTAATTGCGACAAGGAGGAATTGAGCGATATATACTTAGGAATAGATCGCGACGATTTTCAGAGTTAGCGCGTGAGTACAAGAGATGTATTCAGACGTATTTGAAAGTTCCGACCATTCCGACGAGTTTTGCGTATGTACACAAAGCTTCTACGATTACGTTTATTGAGATGATTGAGAAAATTGTATCGAAGAAACTTTCCATGTAAGAAAAGTTTTTTTCGTTAAAAATTTCGTTTTTTATCATAGGAAAAATAATATGTGTGTGTATTTGTATGTGTGCATACGAAAACTTAAATACCCAAAAGAATCGCTTAATGTACTTAATTCCAGCTCATGTATCGTAATTTTGATCCATGCACACTCTTTTTTCCGTAAATATACCGTGTTATAACGAGCTCATTAAGTCGAGTACGTAATAAGTTTCGAAACACGTGAATTTAATTAAGTGTAAAAACTCCCGATGTACACTTCAAAATAAAATTCCTCCGATCAAAAGAAAAAAAAATATACGCTAATTAGTTCCCATCGAACTTAAAAGAAGAAGAAAATGAGAGCCCCTTCCTGATCAAACAAGGTAACAAATAAAACAAAAAGGCCGCACACGATTAATTAAACGGGAAGTGTTCGCGAAAAGCAAGAAATAAATCTCATTAAACGCGACTGATTAAAGCGATTTCTCTCTTTCGCTTCGGAGCAATTAAGGTTTGGATATACCCCGTGCGAACATCCAAGGCAATCACGCACCTAGCTAGTACGTGAGTTTTGAGTAGCAGCGGTATCAGAGAAACTTTCTCAGTTTTTCCCTCGAGAGTCGGTGATGCATTATGTTACCTTGCCCACCTAGCTTGGTTATTGCGCCGCGGTGGGGTGCTGTTCTCGGACAAGCTTGGTAAGTATGCGAAGGGTTTGATAACGAGATGCAAACGTAAACTTTTGACGCTTGCAATACTCGAATGCACTTTGCAGTAGTACAAGTGCATTTGTGGTCAGAAGTGATCGTTCGCAACGGATTATCTTATTAATCAGGCGCAGGTTTGCAAAAAAAAAACGGTGTTCTGAAATAAAATCAGCGACGAGGTATTTTGGCGCGCAAAAAGTGCAAATCAATTAGCACGCTTTAAACCGGCCCGTTGTAGCGTACAGGGCAAATTAATTTAAGTAGTATTTACAGCAAATATTTAATGCGAGAGTGCACTCCAAGAGGGCGGGACATGGAGCATTAACGTTTGCTTTTATTTGCTGGCGCGCAAGCGCGATTCGCGCGCAATTAAAGCAAAAGTGATTACTATATAGCGTGAAAACGCGGCAGGTTGGTGTCGAAAATTCATCCATTATTCCGAGGAGGCGGCGGCTAACAGCGCCACCCGGCAAAAAGCACGCGAGAGAAGAGTGAAATGCAAATATACATAGACCCGGAGAGACTAAAAATCGAGAAAGAAAAGCGAGAGATGAGAAAGGAACTATATACTTCGTCTGCGAGAGATTGTGACTGTATCAAGATGTGCACTTGGAGAAATATGGAAATTTTTTTTTCTTTCAGGTTTTTTCAAGCTGGATTCTCCGACGGCTGTCCGCTTTTTATCGCGAATGTACGTATATATCGTCGTGCGCGAGAAAGAGAACACATCAATAGAGTGCCTTTCCCAACTAGTCTCGATTCCACTGCCGTTGAAAAATTAATTCCAATTCTCGTGTGCTGATTGTGAAGGGGTGTTGAATTTTATGCGGTAATTAATTAAAAATATTAACAATAAGCGCTCACAGTATGTGCGATAATTAGCAATCACCATGCAAATTTTCGATCAGCCTGTGCGCGAGAAGCTTTAATTATTCATGAAAACCTGAATAAATTGCTAAAAGCAAACAGGTGAAACGGTTGGGTCGTCATGAATTACAATGCAATATTTGTTCTCGTTGGTTTTCCATATACATATACATCGCTCGATTACTCGCAGTCGTTACACGTGTTAGCACGTCTAGAACATCTAACTCGCATAATTCGCGCAGTCAAGGTGGGTGTCCATTAAAAATAATCAAGACAATTACAAAGGGGGAGGACCGAGGCAACAGTACAACGCACAAAGGCTTTGAGAGACAATGGAGGGGTTTGAGGTTTGGAGCACTTACCGTTTAACACGTGGACGACGACAGTAGCACGAGCTGCCTTGCTCGAGACGCAGCTGTAGTTACCGCTGTCTGCTAGGGAGGCTCGCGTTATCAGTAGCTTCGAGGTCGTGCCACCCTTTGACTTCTCAGTCTCTAACGATACGCCGCCTCTGCAAATTTTCAGTTTTGTCGCGAAAAGTGCATGTGCTATCATTATTATCTTTGTTTCCTTTTCTTGTCTTTATTGGCATTCTCTGCTCGCAACTGATTCTCTCTTTTCTCCTCCATTTTTATTTATTTATTTTTTTTTTCAGAAAAGCTTGAGTTATCGTCATTTATCGGATGTGCCGAAAAGGGATTAGTACACTAAATTGTTGTTACGTATTTATTATATTTCCTTTGTCGGTTTTACCGTGAGAACGTGTAGTTTCATCTATATAATTTCTGGATGAGATGCGCTTCAATTACACGGCAGTAGATAATTTAGCTCGAATAAAATTTGTGACAAAAAGCCCGTCATGTAATAGAGCAGTTCAAACTTGAAACTTGGAATATTACCTCTCTTGTGGTGTCTGGCAAATTTCATCCGTAGTACGAGGCTTGAAAACTTTCATATTTTGAACGAGTTCTTGAATGTATTTTTTGCAGATTCAAGTGATTAAAAAAGTGAAAATTCCAGCACTTCATACCCGAGAAAAGTTTTGAAGTGGAAAAAAACAATAATTTTACCAATCACAAGAAAAGGTCGTAATCTTTCTTTTTCAAAAATGAAAAAAATAATGAGTGCTAATAATTTTGCTTTTTAATTGAAGTCGACTGGAGCCCAGAACAAGAGGAGAAGAAGGGAAAGAAACATTGAGACCACAAAATTGAAATACGCCGAATAATGGTTTGAATCGTTGGCAAAGTGCATAATAAAACTTGGAATGATACGACGCTGCGCGAGAGCGCTCGCGTCGTGTTTGCACGAGGAGTTATTTTACACAAAGGCCACATTTCACATTTTATTTGAGAAAGGCAAGCGCGCGCGCGCGGGCTACGGGCGTATTCAAGAAAATTTAACGAGGTCATAAGAATTTAAAGCATGTCATTTGCGAGCTCCCGACAAATATCTCTCGTCTCTCTCTCTCTCTCTCTCTCTCTCTCTCTCTCTCTCTCTCTCTCTCTCTCTCTCTCTCTCTCTCTCTCTCTCTCTCTCTCTCTTTCTTCAGCTCTTGCCAAATATATAACCGTTATTAAAGAGCTTAAAACAAAATCCAAATCGAAAGGTGTATATTTCACGTCACGCGGCAAATTCGCTTTTCTTTCGTCAGCACGCCGAATGCGATCGAATTCCGGCGGAGCATAACGAGGCGCGCCAACGCAATTTCCGATAATTAGAAAGTCGCTTAACGCTTGAATGACTAAAACAAGCCATTGTCAAAGTAGGCACACTCGAGCTAATTTTCAGTGGCGGAACCCGCGCAAATTGACGGGTTTGTTTATGCGAAGAAAAAGCCCGCGAGAGAACAAATTATCGTATTAGAGGCGAAAGAGAGAAAATGCTTTGTTACCATAGCGCGGCGACATACTGGGATTTATCGCTACTTTGAAATTTGAATGTTCCCTCTATCTCTCTCTCCCTTGTGATAGAGAGTGGCCGTAAAACACTCGGGGACAGTCGCGAGCAGCGCAGTTCTCTGAAAAGTTGCCTGCTTAATCGAACTTTATCGGCCCGAAAGCCTGTTCTGTGTGTATGTGTGTCGCTCTCTGAAGATTTTTACCACGTCGGTATATCGATTACACCTTTGTCATTCGTACCTCCCATCGCAGGCGTCGTATACTCGAGGGAATAAACAGGCTGTCGGAATTAGGAGTCGTGCGAGCTACGAAATTTGCCATGTTTACAAAGTGGCTTGTTTGCTTTGTTGGCTTTTATTGATTGACCCACATTTCTTTTTTTGTCTCGCGATTGTGCAAGTGCATTTCATCGCTGCTGCTATAAACGGCATTGAACGTTATTCTCTTCTCAGATGGATCGTTTAAGTATCGAAATTACTTATGCAAAAGTTTTTTCTTGTGAAAAGAAAGAAAGTGTCGCAAACTAAGTTTATAGTGTCTTTGTTCAAGCTTTAGTGGCAGCCATAAAGATACCGAAACAATTGCTGTGTAAAGTTGCTAACTTAAGTCGAACTTCATTGTCAGAACGAGCGCTCGACCGAGTATTTCCGAGAAACCTACACATGTACATATACATATATATACACCTTCGACATATTTATACTCTCTGCTACGCTCTTTATTTCAATTTAATGAAGCACGAGAGAGAAATTGAGCACCGGAAATTAATTCGCGAGTCATAATGTAGCATACTTTTCGCGCGCTGTTTAATACATGTCAATTATAAAGTCAAACGACTTTTAATTACTGCTTCGTTGATTTTGCGAAGAAAATTCTGCTATAATTATTTTAGCTCGAGTATATACTTTTCTGAACTTTATGTCAGCAAACCATAGCGCAGGTAAATTTGTAGTATTGAAAAATGAAACTTATTAAACATTTAGCTGAAAATTCCAAATATGTACGCTCTTTATTATTCAACATTTTTACGATCAAGGTATTTTTAATAACGGAATCCCGAGAGAGCTTGACTCATTTTTGCAAAATGTTTAATGTACGCACGTGTTGTATTTCCATACTGAAAATAATTTTGGTCTTTGTTTTATTAGGATCTTACAAAATGATAAAGGCAGCTCGTTTTCGAAGGCTTAGCATGCACTATATTTACGGTCATTAAGTCTTCAATGCCTCACGTGGGAGTTGGTAATAAAACGAATAGGTATTTCGAAACCTATACATAGTTAACTAGACGTGAAACGATTTTTTTTATGGTGAGCAGATTAAAGGTTAAAATCTCGATAATAAGGCTTCTTTCTCGACGTAATTTTTTCGTCTCAGCCGAACCAATTTACTGTCGTTATTCTCGGAGATTAGGTGGAAAAAATCACTCGTCTTGAAGCACAAGTGCTTAAGAAGATTATCTTATCCAGTAGCCTAAAAGGTGGCAGGTTCAGAAAATTAATTCGAGTCCTTGGAGGAAAAACTCGCGAGGCTTTCATCCTACACACGACCTCATTACATCGTGCCACTTGAGCATCCCTTTCTTTGCAAATTTTTCATCTGAAGTAGTCGTCAAAGCTTCACAAGCTTAATTACAGCGCACTTCCAAAGCTACTTACAAAAATTATCATTCATTTCGCTTTTGCATTGGCAAAACAAAAGATTCCTTTCAAAATAACGATCCCGTGCAAATTAATGAGCCTCAAAAAAAGAGAGCATCAATGGAGTCGGAGAACACAGATCGATATATCTATAAAAATGATAAAAAAGTGGAATGTACCTAAAGGCATACCTCGGTCCGTCGAAGTCAATAACATAGCCGGCATGGTACCAAGTCACGTTGCTAGGCGGCACGCCTTGTGAGTTGACCATGCAGGTTAAGCTGATAGTACTACCTTTCCTCACGTACACTTCCTCGGGGCCTAAAATTTCAGCTTGCACGTCTGTGGAAAATCAAAAGCAAAAGGAAAAAAACAAGTTTATATCGAGTTAAGTAAAAAAAATTTAGTGTCGAGCGAGAGATTTTTTCAAGATACTACACGTCTGTGCGGATACACATTTACCAAAGAAAGGTTTTATCGCCTGAGGGAGATGTAGTGAGATTCGTGGGACGAGGGCGTTCGTTTTGTTTGCGTGTTTCCACCAACGACAACACACACACACACACCCACACACACACACATATGATTAGGGAATATTTTTTGCCTTTACTGGGATTATCGTGACTATCGGGATAAACTGGCCAGTGGCCTTGTCGTTAACGTGTACGTTTGTGTTTACTTATTCGACGAGAATGTGACGACGTGAAGAGATTCTTGTTTGGATGTGCCGTGATTCTAACGGCAATCGTCACGGTATGTACATTGGATTGTAGTATCAACGCGTTATACGTAAGGGATAATAATAATAATAATAAATAAAAAAAAATACTTTTCGTGGCACTTCTCCATTTAATTTCGATTTTTCGTGAATTATCTTCTTGTAATTTCACTTATCCTTCCTGATTTATTGTCGAATAAGTAATCCTGAAATTCCACCTAGCAAAGTCCATTATTTAGTAAATAGTCTTCAATCCCTGATAAATTTTTTCATGTTTACCGCCAGTCGTAAAATTTCTAGGGGGGACATCAAAAAACTCATGAAATCAACGACAGCGGAAGCTACAGTATCCCGGTTAACGGGCAATAAAATTAGGTAACCTACACACGAGGGGATCGAAAATGCGAAATAAAATGGTGGTGGGTAGGATTATGAGGCGTAACGGCCCAATTAAAGGTAATATCGATCAGGAAATAAAATCGGATTAAAGCGGTTGTTAACTGTCCTGGACAAACGTTCAGTACAATGAGAATTAATTCGAGACAATGGGACCCTTATTGCTCACTGACTGCTTCAAAGATATGTTATTTATTGGCAATAATTCAACAAACGAGGTAGTTGAAATTAGCCGACAAAATGCAACCCGGATGAATCAACCCTGCACTTCCAAAATTCAATTTACAATGAAATGTTGCAGCTATTGTTATACATACTGTACATTCGTATTCTTGTGATCATAGGTCAAACTTTATTAAAGGTCTTTTATTTTCTCGACCGGTTTCAGGTTTTCTTTTTATAATAGACAAGATGTAACAAGAGAACTTAATCTTAGTTTTCAACATCTTCGATTCCGAGAATTCGGTCAAAGATACACAGTACTCAGAACCTTTTTCTTGTTCTTCAATAAACTTCAAACTCAAGTACCTGCAGATCATTCAATCACTATCTTTTCAATTGCAAGCAAACAATAATAAAAGTATTTGACAGCTAAGCCGCGGTTGAATGAAAGCCAAGCAAATGAAAATTCCAAATTTTGATTACGATATCAAATAAATAACGGAATAAATGCTGATCTGAGTCAAATAAAAAGCCATGCAAATTGGGTGCAAACGGATTATACATCTTCGTCCGACAATATATCAGAAAGCCCATAGGATATGTAAAGGATAGGATATGTAAAGTGCGCGGCTGTTCATCCCCGCGCTTTGGAATATAAAATATCGGGGAAGCGAGAAAAAAGAAAGTAGGGGGATATAACGCGTCTGCTCTCTGTCTCTCACCTAGAACTCGCAGATAGACGGCCCTGTGTATCTTGGGCTCGGTGTTGACTTGGCACTCGTAGATACCTTCGTCCCTCGGCTGCACGTAATCTATTCGCAGATTCCAATCGTCCGAGGTCTCGGTGTTACCGATAACCGAGAACCTCTCGTCGCTCGTGTACGTGAGCGCCATTGACGTCAAGATATGCAAATCCCTCTTTCTTATCCAGGATACCTGCAACACACACACGTCGCTTATCGACCACACATACATCGCCAAAAATCTCTTACCATCTCTGCATACCAATAATCCCCCCCCCCCTGCCCCTGATTCGTAAACTAATGAAGATCCTTTCCCGCGCAGCTTCGTTATTTCGGCAAAACTCGCGTTCGCGGAAATTGAATTTTTTCGCTGCTCTGCCTTATCGTTTTAATTGGATATGGCAGTTTCGGTTTTGATAAATAGCTGCGACCGGAAATGAAAGAAGCTTCCACCTACGGAGGCAGAAATATTCTCTCTCAAGAGTTGCCATGCAGATATGTTGGATGTATGGCGAGCTCGAAACGATGTATATACATACATAACTTGCGAGAGCTGAATTGTCCAGCGGAATGTGAACAAAGAAGTCTTGATTCGATCAGTGCGACTGCCGCTCCAAAAATCTGTGCCAACTTTTTTTTCCTCGCGCTCGAGCGACTTGATTTAAGCTTGAAAATATGTATGAGTTAATTTGTCGATAAGAACGAACGAAAAAAGAAGCAAAGTCGAAAGTGCAAGTTGGACTTTCTTTTTGATTCACTGCCAAAAGTCACGTACGAATTAACTTGAAGTCGCGCGAGCGACCCAACGCGCGAGCACCCGTGATTTATCGCCTGATTTGGCAGGGCTAAAGTTTTCAATTTTAAGTGCAGTTGCGTCTTGCTACTGCTACTGCGACTATGGCGTTGCGGGCGCTAGAAAAATTGTGGATCGAATGTTTGAGTAGCGACAGAATTCAAGCTGAACTCGACGTCCGTGTATATACACCGACAGATTTGCATTAATTGCGTTGGCTTTCCTTATTTTAATAATTCACTTCTCCGCTCTGCCGAGACATTAAAGTCTAATTTCAGCAAGCGCCTTCAACTTTTTGATTTCAATATAATAACACGCGCAGCAGACTTACGCTATTTTCTCTCGCTCTCTGGCCCTTATTTATTCTTCGTCTTTTTTACTTTATTACTTCATCTTTTTTGCTCCCCGCGTCTCTTTAAGAATATTGCATTCATTAAATAAGCTAAGGCTTCGGCTGAAGGTGGTGGTGGTGGAGGAACATTTTTTATTTTTTCTTAACGAAGTCAAGAAAAAATACGCTTACTGCTTGAATAGTACTTTAAAAACCATTCCTCTTATCCGCGTACACTCGTTATTCGCTCGATTCATTAAGAAGTGGGCGCGATGAAGTTTCAATTTCGCTCTTAATTGCAGGGTCTTCTACTCAAATTACGAGTATTGCAATTCGCTTCAATGGTGCCAATGAACATTCAAAATAAAAATGCTCGAGCCAACGTATGTGTCTCCGACTAAGATATAGCTGGAATTATATACGGCCTTAAAGCTACCGCCGCCCATATGGAACATATCTCAGAGTATACACACGTCCCCTCGTCTCGCTGAAATTCCATGAAAAATATTTCAATCAACCGGAGCAGAATAGGAGCACAATAAAATTCATGCCAAAGGCATACGTTAGGTCGGGGCAGGCTGCGCGCTTGCGTATCTTTTCGTTGCACCGAGGGAGGCATAGACAAATCGCTGCTACTCACCGTCCTGTTGCCGAGGTTTTTAACCCGACAGAGCAGCACAGCTGGTTGGCCAACGAGCCCGGTCACGTTTTCACTGCCCTCGTCGGCGAAATGCGTCTTGCTAGTGCCGCTACTAGTCGACGTCGTCCTCGGTTTACTACCGCCACTACTAGTGTCCTCTCGTGGCTTGCCACTGACTCCATTGATCAGACCGCCTCCTGCAAAATAACACGTGATCCAGCACGTTTTGAATAGCAAATCCTTCTTCTCTCCCCCCCCCCCCCTCCCTCTCTTTGTTACAGAGAGAATGACGAGTCATTTGTCGCCGCGTCGATTTTGAGCTGTGTGTGATTTATTGACGCGCGACATTGTATGAGGGGAAAAGGCGTAGGACCACCAAGGACGTTTGTATTGTGTTTTCGACCTATTTTTTTCTTTCTTTTTTTGAGGGAGCCAAAATTTATTCGGTAAAATACGAATGTCTGTGTCGGGTGAAATATACGTGAGTGGATTATTATACAAGTCAGGTTTTTAAGGACATGTGTAGAACTCTATAGATATAAATATATAATGCGATTGGATATATTGTTTAAATAATACATTAGATATTTGTCGAACGTTTTCCTTTCATTTCGTATCGAAAACTGAATCAATTGTATGAGGATGCTGGGAAAAGTTTCATTTTTAATTTTCCAAATGAAATCTCGCGTTTAAAAATTATTCAGGTCAATTCATGTTGAAGTAAAGATTCGTAAATAGGGGGATATTTCAATTATTTGTAAGCAAATTTATGGAGAAAAATTTCTACAATGAAGAGACTCAAAGTCAAATGCCAATTAAATTGAGCAAACTCAGGATGTATTTGCGATCTTTCAAATATCAGTCTGCACAATGTGGTCCTCGGGACATATACAAAATTACGAGAGCGTTGCTCACAAAGCTCAGAGAAAATATGATTTTCGCAGCTCCCCGTCAATGCCCGCAAGTCATAGTGACTGCCCACTCACATTCGTCCATCGTAACTCGATAACGTTTTTTTTTTTTTATGAACAGAGCTACTGCCTTTCTTTTTTTTATTTTACACCCACGAACTACACCGCGAATTTTTTAATAATTCGCTTCTCTGCTTTCTGCTTCCCCTCCCATCGAAAAATTTTCTGACTGACGGTGAATTGAGACGTGTCCAGTTTGATAGCTCGTAACTCCACCCCGTTATATTTTGTACGAACTATCCGACACTTCAGAAATTGATTTTCGCGGTTTCGAAGAGCTAACTTTTTTGTCGATAATGCACGCGAACATACGTGACTTTATTTTTCGATATATATATATATATATATATATATATATATATATATATATATAAGCTTATACTTGCTATCGAGCGAAGTTGTTTATAAATAGAGGAAAAATCAAAATAAGCAAAACAAGATTGTTGGAAATTCCGCCTCTTTTCATCCAATAATGGATAGCGCGGTAATTCCGATGCTACGCTCGTGAATCTTTCTTTTTTTCGATTATCCGTTAATTACGACCCAGCGCGTACATAGACAGAATGAAAAATAATTTCAATACCACTATTCCCACGTACGCGTACAAACGAAGGGAATGAACGTTTGATTGGCATGAAATTGAAGTGTATGAATTCCGATGTGGGTGAAATTGGAAAAAGATAAAAAAAGAATGCTCTCCAATGGAACAGATCAACGTACAGTGAAACTGTCGTACTGCTCAAATGTATTAACGTGAAACCGTTTCTTTTTCAATGTTAATTTACTGGAAAATCACATTTTTCTAATGTCTGCAAAAGGTCGCATAAAGAAAAAGTACACGAATACGCGATGAAACGCTATCTCGAAGCAAGTGACACGCAAACATGATGATCGACGATGGAATCTATAGCATGGTAGCTAGTGAAAGTCAGCGGATTCCAACGAACACCGCTTCATTAAGCCGCGCTGGAAATCATTCATCATAGATATACGGTGAAGGATCGGATGAGGTGAATTGGGCAGAGGGGAGAGCGATAAATTCGACGCGCAAGCCTTGTCAATTAGCCGCGCGATACACCTTGAGCACTCGAGCGGCTGATTTATGGCTTGCTGGCCGGACCAATCTTTGGAAAGAGAGAGAGTGAGAAGCTTCGAGGTAAGTTTCGAGGTCAGTGGCTTTTTAGACTGTAATTTGCACTGCTCCTCCGCTGAAAAATTTCATTCGGAATAAAAGTTTTTCAGCCGGAAGCTCGCTTTTGTACGTGCAGATCTCGATTGTTTGCAATTAAATCTGGAAGAATTGCATAAAGGCTACTTGCGTCGCTGGCATTATTCACTCTGCCGCACTCGGCAAACCGACAGTTTGTTTATCGCTCATTCGACTATGCTTTTGCAAATATTTGCGATACGCCCGCTGCTTAAACTCTCCACGTCCGAATCGCCTTTTTCATACGCTGTTTAATCGACAAACAAAGCCGCAGTATTTCATCGTGTTCTATTTTTCATATTATACCTTCAAAAAGATCGATTGGTCATTTACACGAAGGGAATTGCAATTTTTGGATATTGTAATGCTCAAACTCGAAAGTAAATATATTACGAGTGAGCAGCTTTCATATGGTACAGTTATTGATCAAAGCAAGCTTGGTTTATTGACTCATTGGTTTGTTGACATTTACCTTGTAGTAACTAGGACCTAGATGTCAATATGATCAAACTGCATACGTAGATTTGAGCTGTTGTAGTCGAATTATTAAAAGAAACTCATGTTATGCCCGTGAATCATTTTCATCAGTTATACAATTTTTCATTAAATAATAATCGAATCTGCTCTCTAGAAACCAAATTACCATACAATTTTCGCACAATTATACATCAACATAGAAGTACACTCCTATCACATACCTCAAAGCTCGAGCGTTAGCTGCTCGCTAGTTCACGAATTTAGTCTGATTCCCTTTGATTCGTTATGAATCAGCGTCCTACCTCTGTGAGCGTAAACATCAATCATTAGTACCAATTGTTTGGGCCACAAACAATTACAAATCCTATTCGTCAGTTGCACTTTAGAATGGAGCTGAATTTGACTTCACTCGAATAGTATCGTTAGACATGCTCGAATTAATTATAAAAGAGGGTAAATGAATTATTCTTCGAACACTTAAATCAGAGATACTAGTAATAAGTTTGGAAAAGTTCACGAGTCAAGAGTAATGACATGAGCAAGTGACCAAATGAATCCTTATAGACTCTCCTATTGAAATAACATTCCAGCAAATTCCACTTGATTGCCAACACAGTAAAATCATTTTGATGTTGCCGATCAAAGCTGATGAGCGAAGTACTATAGTGACTATCGCGCACGGAACGAGATAACAAGTGAGGCCACCGCCGCAATTTGATCGAGCACTTTGTTACGAATCGGAATACGTATGAGCAGCCAGCCGCACTCGATATCATACGTGACATTAGCTCTTGAAGTGCGCGCGCTCGCTCAGACAACGAACTTTTTGTTTTACACGAAAACTCGATTTTGTCGATCGGAATGTTTCTCGCGAATCCCACTGGCAGAAGTCGCGAGGCCCATTGATACTCGCAGCCGATCATAAACTCCGCGGCCTAATCTCAGCTCTGCCGACCATTTCGTCCATCATCGCGTCGAGCGCGCGCGTAGAATTGAAATTTACAAAGCTCTCTCTCTCTCCCGCTCTCCCTCTCTCTCTCTCTCGCTCTCCCTCTCTCTCTCTTTCTCTCACTCTCTCTCGTCGGGCCACATGAGGATTGAGCGCGCCAGCACCAGATTAATATTTCAGAAGCGAGCGACGATTGGCCTTATCCGGATCCTCTCCATATAGCATTCGAAAGCTCCGCACGAGTGGAATATTAATTCGACTTTTTTTCACGCTCCGCCGTCGGCGCCGTTGAAAAATGTCAGAGCTTATCCTCTTTTTTGCAGCGTAATTTACACGAGGGTTGCCGGATTTTCACCGGTATCATGGCTTTGGCATAAATATCGATCGATTCTTTATTTTTTGTTATTATAGATAGCTTATATATGATTGCTTGCGGGGACGAGAGGGACAGAGAGAGAGAGAGAGAGAGAGAGAGATCCTGTTTTATAGGTGTGATTCGTGCGCACGTATAATTTTGTCATTTGTTATCGATGCTACTGGCGTACGCGAATAATTTTCCTAAAATTTTACGTAATCGTTGGCATCGCCATATATGACACGAGAAATCGAGCGCTGTTTTTGGCCGGAAAAAAATTTTTGGTAGTTAAAAAACACACGATTTCCTATTTAAGCGTTCGTCTGATAAACCAATGTTTCGGACTTCACCTTTTCCTCTGAGATTATGTTACGTATAGTTTTCATGTTCAATAAGTACTAAACTTATCTAATCGATTATAAAAGAAAGCAGATACTTGACACTTTGTTACAGGTAATGCAAAAAACATCTAAGCAACCCTTCGCGCATTTCTTTTACAACTTTTTGCAACATAGCGATTAAGTGATAAATTTTGTAAATTAATTGACCTTTACAATTCCATAACCGGATTATACTCGATCATCCTTAACCCCTAACTGCGCCTCCACAACGCGGCGAAAAAAGTCAGCGAAGGTAGTTCAACGAAAATTTCCGGCTTAAGGGAAAATTACAAGTGCCCTTTAGTAAGCTAAAAGCTATTTGATTTGAAAATTTCAGCGCGGAATCATAAAGAAGCAACGAGGCAGCGCCAGGACCGGCGGCGAAAGGGCCTTTTTATGAGGTGCGAAAACCAGCGAGACTGAGTTAATTTATAAGAGCGGATTTTACAAGTGAGTTCAACGTGGTTTTACGCCTGAACGTTTCCTGATAGGATTACACGGGAGACAGTCGGAAGGATCACTCTAACGGGAACAATTGGCTTCATTTATTTGCCTTACGTATATCCTTATGCGAGGTTAAAGGAAAATTCCAAAATTTTTAATTAAATCAGCCCGCCGAACGCAATAATCGAGGTAATAACATGTAGCTATACGAAGTAATACTTTTTCATAAATGTTTCATTGGGAAATGGAAATACGAAACTTTTTCAACTAGCCTTAATGGGATTGTAAAAGTCCAAGGAAACTTTCATTGCAGTGGAGAAAATGAACAGACCGTATGTACCACTGCAAAAGTTTTAATAAATTCGTAATACCAATATTCAATTGCCACGAGCTTAAATTAAAGAAGCCAAGGATAATTCAAAGGGATTGGATTGTAAGGATTCGTAATCACGCAATTACCAATCAAACTATTTATATGAAAAAATGAACTTTGTAACAAATTTAGAATTTTCAGAAATGTATCATGGTAAATAAATGAGTATATTTATTGCAAATTTGGCTACTACAATTTTTAACCGTAAACTCATAAATAGCAACGACAAAATATCAAGCTCTATTCTCTGGCAATTCTCACGAGCGTGTAGGTTTTCGTAATTAGAGCAAAAGCACTTGGTTTTCGAGCGAACGACACTACAGTCCTATACATAAATTCACTGACGAATTTCCGACGAAGTATGCCAATAACCGAGCTTCCCGGTACCGTCTCTCTCTTTTTTTTCGACAAAGCTAGCCAACTGTGCACGCGTTCGCTCGGGCAAAACTTTGCGCGAAGTCATTTGGAAGATTTTGAAATTCAAATTAAGGAACATACTTCAACGAAACTGGGCTGCTCCATTGATTCGGCCCAAGCTGAAATTTTAATTACGCGACTCACTCTGGCCGCAGCCTCTCTTTAATGTGGCCCGTGCGGTAGAGGAAGCACGAGCAAAGGGGGTGGAAATTCTTCTCTCGGTGTCTAATTGACTTTGCGGAATTGCTGCTCGATCATAGAGAGGATATGAAAAAAAGGAATAGAAGAGAGGCGAGAGCACACTCGAGTCCCTTGATAGTAACTTAAGGAAAATTGAGAGAGAAAGAAGGCATCTAGGGGAAATGATGAAAGTTTTCTTCCCCGAATAAAGTCCATTTTTATAACCCAGGCGACGGCCTACTTTTGACGAGTATGTAATTAAGTGAGTTTTTTCTCTCTGCGAGGAGAGACTCCATTGGGAGTTTAATGAATTCACTGCAAAATTTTTATTCCCGCGCATAAATTAATAAATGCACGTTCTAATTTTACTAATTAATATGCCTCTGCTTTTTCTTTCTCCATGCGTATATGTTTCGCTCGTATTTTGTTTTAACTAAAGAAGTTTCTGTACTCATTCTTTTTAGCAAGCTTTTCGAAAATACTTTTATGGCATTAACAATTTACGCAATATTTCAACGTGATGTTCGTGCCGGACATTTATAAACATTTTTCATTTAAAAGCCTCTAGAGATGAGTAACATTTAACTGTATACGTCAGTATATAAGTTATGTATAATATCGTTTTAATAGTTCAATAATTACTAGCAAATGATAATTAAAAAATAATAATACGGACGATTTGAAATACATTATAACAATCGTTTCGCGTTATTACATTTCTGTATTTCTACATTATCAGAGACTTTATCGAAAAAATTTGTTATTTTCGGGATAATAGAATTAAAATCATAACCCTGCAGTATAAAAAACTATCCATATATTTGACTTACATTTTTCGTAGAATATAAAAAGGATCCGCTTCGTTAAATCCGAATAGTTGACAAATTAAAAAGAAAAAAAGAAGCTCAAAAATCTACGTACTCAGTTAGAAAATAATATTATTTTAAAAATAAACGTGTATCTAACGAAGGACACAAACAAGTTTTTTTCGGTATTTTCAGCTAAATTTTTGTATATAGCTTTCTAGTTATTTTTTTTAGTATAAATATCTCTCGAAAAAAGATTCTTTCTCAATAGCCCGACTGTGTATTTCACTTCCAAGTAATCCACCGAATGAGAAATCTGACCGAATACAGCCGGCGCTGCATAAAAGAAAACACAAAGGTATAGAGTAAAGAAACTTCAGTTGCGCAGGGAAAAAAATACCGCAACTAAAATATTAGCCGCGAAAGAAAGCTTTTTCCTTCTCCCACTCCCACCAAAATAATCCGCATCGATTTTTCTCGCGCGCTCGCTTGGGTTCTAAATAAAGTTGAAAGCTCGCTTTAGATTCCGCAAAGAAAATCCACCTCGGCATGTACACTTTGTCGCTACGTCGACAAATTGAAAATAAAAAGCACAGATAATCGATTATTTACAGTTGGCTAGCATGTAAAAATAATTTTAATCAAAGCGTAGCGTGCGAGATAAAAACGCAAAACGATCAAAAAAGGAAAAAAAAAACGATTTGGCGTTAAGAGAGCGAGAACATAGGTTTCGTAACACCTGTGCGTTGCGCGTCTCTCTCGTTAATTTGCAGCCACTCGTATGCGCAACGGAAAGTTGATTTTTTCGCAAAAGTGCAGTTTATGATTTTGCTGCGAGCACACCGCGGAAGCAACCTTTCCCTCTAACGCAGCGGCTAAACGATGAGTGAAATTTCCTCTTGTGTTTTATCTTTTTCATGCAATACGCGGCCGAATATTTTTCGTTATATGCCACTTGTCAAATCGCATTCTACTTTATTCGTTGAGTCGGCTATTGCAATTTTGAATAATGTGCTTGAAATATGTTCTTTGATAAGAAATGGATTATTAATGATAAAAAAAGTCAATTTCCGCTACGTATGAAATATCCCAAATGATCCTTTGATAATATCATACACAATATGTAAAAATTAATATCTCGAAATATTATGGAATTTTTTTATTCATGTCAATTCAAACATATTGAAGGAAAGCTTTTGTTTTTGTTCGTAATTGGGCCAATTGCAAAAGATATGCTCAATTGACCATGTTTAATTAAAAAGCAATAATACAGAAGAGCAGACACGAGCTTTGTAAACTGGATCAGAAAATGATTTAATTTTTAATTTTTTCGATGGATTGAAAATAAAAGTAACAATCAGGTTTATCCCTGCATCAAATTTGTCTCACGTTGAAACTCATATCACCTCATCAACGATTTCATTAACATGCGCAGCGCGAAACTGGATTGAACGAAGCTTCAAATTCACATCAATAGCTTTGAAATTCAGTTTCATCGATCTATTCAAGAATGTACACTACACTAAACATATTTACGTATCAACCTAAATTAACATCCGGGCTCTAGATACTATCTCTCGATAACGAATATTTTCATAAATAAATTATTATTTCACTTCATTCCGCAATTCATATTCGTTTTTAGGAAAACCTGCTGCAAAATATTTACAAAATGTTTCAGTACAATCATTAATACCAACAATATTTTAATCCGATAATGTATTTACGTCTAAATTTCAAAATCCAACCACCAATAGAATTTCTTATCTTCAATTCCCTTAGAAAAGGAAAGTATAAGCATTAACCAACCATTCAATAATGTAAATACACTGCTACATAATATCGAAATGATGTACTAATGTGAGGGCATGTTTAGCCAAGAGCTTTTAGCTGTGGGAATGCAATAATGCATAATCGAGTGGTGATGCAGCATACACCTAACCCCGAAGCTTGCAACCCATTACAAATCGAAAAGCTTCGTTCGAATTGCTGTTCGAAATGAAAAGAGGAAACTAAGTGTCGACGCGGCACAGCGAGTCGCTTGAGAATCCAATATTATTTTTCTCCCTCCCGCTCGACGAAAATTCGATTTCCGGCTAACGTCGACAACAGACTTCTGGTGATCTCTACGTGCGGCTGGGAAAGGCACTTCTTGCCCCGTCGATTTCTAATTGATTTTTATATTCTGATGCATAGCCATCTGTCGCTGACTCTTTTATTACTGCTTGGATAAAGATCCTTTGGTCGCTTTTGTTTTCCGATGCTCTTCGATTTCAAAAATCAATCATTTTATGAATGAACGCCTTACGTTCAAGTTAATCATACGGAAGACCAATGTTTCACCTACTAGTTCATCAGTTTATGTTCTGGGGGCTTACAAATAGCCGGAAAGGACACGTACATTACACGACTCGACGACCGTAATCCGAGAAATATCTCTCTCCAGGTAAATTCAGTAGAACAAGCCAAATATGGTCAGCCACTAGATCAAGCGTTACCACATTTCATGGCAGTGTGTTGTAACAAAGCTTTGTATGAAAGTGCGCGGGTAAAGCTATGATAATAGCGAGTACTTCAAACCCAAGTTATATTGTTAGGCTCCGTATTGTAAGCGATTCTTTAAAATGAGAAAACAGGTGTGATCTTTTTTTACAAAATAATAACTGTATAGTGGAAAGAAAAGGTAAATGAAAATGAAAAAGGAATAAATTAAAAATACAGTAGTAGAATGAAAAAAATCAAATAAAAAATCTATGATACAATAAAGCATGAAATGAGTAATGCAATGCCGCGGTAGTCATGCGTACCCGCAGGCTTCTGATGATCTGGCGGTGCATCGGGTAGCGAGGACTCGGCGCGTAACAGGTACGCAAGCCCGAGGATGAAAATGAGCTTGGTCCTCGTCATTGTTTTCTTGGCTGCAGCCTGTTATTGACCGTCGAGGCCATTTATAACTCACACACGCGAAATGGATCTTCTTTGTTTCGTACACACTTGTTTACACGCGCATATCCTTCTTCTTTCGTTTTGCAACAACAGCAACAACAACAAATTACACTATCGAGCTTTTCACGTCATCACCCAAATTATCGTCATTGGTGCAAGGCCTCTATCACTGCACTTGTGAAAGATCGTCATGTGTAAAACAAAAAAAAAAGAATAACGCGCCAGGTATTATAAGCTGCACTCGCGCCTACGGTCGTGCGTCCAACACGGCGGCCAACCGAGCACTGAACGCGCGCCACTTTCGTACTGCCCGCGCCTTGATGTATCCCCAATGTGGAGGCTGCGCTCTCTTGTGCTCCGATCGCCAAGCTTTCAGATTCAACAATGGTAACTGCTTACGCTGAGTTTACATCGGGGAAACTGTGAGGCAGATTTTGGTAGAGTTTGTTATCGATGGCTGGTTATCGGATGTTCAGCTAAATGGTGAATGTGGATGACCGAACGAGACATTTCTACTGATTTTTCGGCTTTATTTAGAAAAGCTACGTAAAATTTCAATAGCATCTTTTTTTTGTAGCTATAATTAAAGTAATGGAATGAAATAGTTTCTTCAACCCTGTTGGAAATAAATCATTTTTATAATATTTTGTGAATGCAAAAAAATGTTAATATTCATCCCATTGTAAGTCAAATCTCACTAATGATTGCGGTACTCTTATGTTTTATTATGCTATGGGAGCAACAGCATTTTCAATTTGAATTGGCGACATCTCAAAAAGACATAATTTTAATAAATTACTCGTAATTTGATCAAGCTAAAAAAAATTCTCAAGAGCGCATCGTTAAACTTGTGCTAACATGATTAAAATATCTACCAATTTTCAGTAGAAATTACATTATGAACGTAAATTATGAATTTATCATCGGCATACCTGGTTCGTTATCGTAATTTTTATTTCAAAAGATTTTCAGCGAGGCTGGAAAACGAATCCATGTTATACAAATGAATATATTTTCCCTTCGATTAAATAAATCAATTATATAAGTATATAACACTCAATCATCATCAATTATATAAGTATATAATCAATTATATAAGTATATGGGTAAACCCATGTGTTTAAATTTAAACGTTTAATATGACGTCACCCATAAGATATACATTGTCCTCAATTTTAAACACTTCTAAACGTTTAAATTCAGCGACAATGTATTTCTTATGGGTGACGTCACAATTACACACTTAAAACGTTTAAATTTAAACACATAGGATTGTAAGGTTTTGTCGCGTAAGATATTCTTAATTTATCCTCTTGCTTTAATATAGTCACTATAAAAATAAATGATATTGCTAGCTTTACTAGATTTGCAATCTCGAGACTCTAGACGAAAAGTTACGTAGGCTGTAATTAGTATAAATAGCGTGAGTGCAAAAGGTATTATTTTCGATGAAATTCGATCAACTTACACTGTCATACAATGTTTCTATCTCAATCGAAGCAACAAAATTTTCAATATGTAGAGATCAAGCATTATTGTTGTTTAAAATTCAAATTTTGAAATTCAAAAAATGAAATGAAAATACAATAAACCATATGAGACAAGATGTAAAAGACAATAAATGATTAAAATATCGCTTTGATCGGATGAGAACGTTCGTGGAAGCGTGCACGCATCCCCAAATAATTCGCTAGGCGGCCCGCCATGACTTGTTGCATTTTGCAGGCCCTTTACAGCACCAATTTCACGCTCGATAACACATTCAAACAATTAACTGATAGGAGTAATGTCAAAGCTACTTCGACAAAAGAATCTAGAAACAGCATTCTTTAACAAACGTTGCATCCGTGAAAAAAAAAACAACGCGAGCGAGTAAAGAGTAAAGCGCATTCGTTAAAAGCGATAAACAACGAAATCCCAGCACACCGAGCTAATTGGCAAGTACAAATGTTGGCTTTGTAAGTGGCGAGCCACAGCCGCACGGCCGAGAGGCAAGAGAGGCGAGAGAGCGGCCCATAAAAGCCAGATCCCACGGGATACGCGGCACAGTCGCGCGACGACTTTCAACCCGCGAGCACGACGGATGTACACATAGCTATGCGCTGCGCTTCGCGAGTCCAACTGTGAAACAACGCGAAATTATACACGTGAGTATTTTTTTTACCTGTTTCTGTTTCATGTGAACTTGGTGATGCTCTTTTTTCCCTTGTTTCGTCGGTAAATAAAAAAATTTTTTTTTCGATTCGGGGTTCAGTGCTGTGATTGCGACACTTTAGAATTAGATAGGGTTATAATTTGTTTTAAAGCTCAATATTAGTAAACTTGTTGTTAAAATATAAAAATAATATCACCTACTTTTTTTCTTTACATAAGTTCGAATATGTGACACGAGCTGAATAATTAAAATCATTGCGTATCATATTTATTACTCCTGCAATAAAAATGTGAAGCCAGCATTTTGTTTACAGTTAGTGCATATTATAACAGATTGTCAATATTCTTCTGTCTTGATATAAGAAAAGTTCATAAAAAATTTATCAAATCAAAGCGACAGATATCTTTCATGCAATTGATCAATATTGACCTAATTAATTTATACTGGTAGCATAACAGAAGAAAAAAGATAACAGCAAGCTTGCACGTCGGTTTTATTTCGTTTGTGAAAAGGTAAATAAATCTTGGCAAAACGAGCGATTGCACTCCGAACGAAGTACAACCCTCGTCTCTACGGAAAAAGGCTCTGAGTTACCCCATCAGCAAGACAAACGAAATCGTCAGCAGAATAAAAAGTCAGACACTGGCGCGCACGGGGCGCTTCGCGAATCGTAAACACGCACAATAGCATCGCAAGAAAAAACAAACAAAGAGAGTGTAACGATGAGTTTCTGCAAGAGATTATTGCGCTTACTTTGCTAATTGCGTACACTGAGCATTGCATTGCGCGCTCTATAATAAGCGATCGATTTCGCAGAACACAGGCAACGAAGAATCTGTTTCAGATCCTTTTGCTTGCGCTTCTAACAACAAAATGCAGAAATTTGCTATATTCGACGGATATCGCGGGAAAAACTTGAGCAAACTCTTATAGTGGAATAAATCTTATGCTGGCATAAAGATCTTGATTAACATAAAATAAGAGCTGCTCGATTGAATGTCTGCGAAATAAAATGTTTTGCTGTCAAATTTCACCCGAGAATTATTTTAGACTAAAATGTGATAAGGTAATTTTTGCATTGTTCTATTTACGATCGTCATCAGAAAAATCAAACGGGACATCATGGCACTATATAAAACTTTTTAAAACAATATTGCCAGAGCTCTTACAACTTATTATGCGATTTATAATTGTACTACTTTCATTTATAACGCAATATTAAGGACATTATCTTTCTAAATGGTATTCAGAGACGGTTCTGCATAACGAAAAAAGCCTTTATTTAATTCAACTCACTAGAATTCTACAAGTTGTTGATCAATGATAATGAAGAAATCTTGAAGTATTCCTTACGGTGTTTAATTTTTTTTGTTTAGTTTTTATTGACTAAAATTTGGTTAAAAATCGATGCAATCGCGCGTTGCTGCGTCACTAAATCGTTTCTATAAGTTCTTTTAATGAATATGAAAATGTTAAAGCTGATATACATCTTCTTAAGCTATTTAAAAAAACAACGTATTTTTGGAAGATTGTAATTTTCAAAAATTCATAATATTTATCGACCGCAGTTGCGCATTCCGCAGTTTTTCAGATTATAATTATTTCTAATAAAACAAACGTAAATATCGAATTTTTAGAAATACTCGAAGAAGCTAGATACCATCAGGAATATATACAAATACTTTTACTTCGATCAATAACTTTTAAAAAGATAGCGAATCGAACTATATAAGCGATTTTCTCGTTGCGCGAAGCCGCCGTTGCAATCGTGTAATTACATAAAAAATATTAGATTTCTTATTTGTCAAATTATCTTTTTTTATAGATTATACTCGTAGTTTGATATCAAATGCAAAATAATTAGTGAATATATTCAAAGCCATTGAAATTATTGTTAATCTGATATTTATCGGAATAAGTAACAGTCAAAAAATTACAATTATTGATTACACGTAAATCGCCGTGGAAATTGATGCATCTTAGTTAATACTTCATTTCCAATTTGATAATAAAAATATAAGCTTACCGATCGCGAATAATTTTAAGTTATATTATTTTAGCTAAATAAACAATCTTATTGTTATATTTATTTTAAAGTGAAGCTAGATAATTGATTATTAAGATAAAAAACGAGTAATGTTATTTACGTGTAAATATAAGTTTCAGGAACAAGAGGGAGGGTTAAAGGTACGTGTGATGCAAAGAGTGAGACTCGATTCAATCACTTTGCTTGTTTATTAAATATAAATGAATACACAATGTCCAGCATTAAAACCCCAGTCGCGAGTGGGGAAAAGCTCTTCGATACGCTTCTTATAAATGTCAAATACAGATGATACTTCCGTTATTTTGCAAAGGAACAGAATCAATTTGGGTTCGATTAATTTTACAAGTACGCCGACCGAATGGCAATTCACTGGTGATGTTTGCTTTACCAAGACGCACAATTATTGATGAGGAAGGTATCGCAATAGGACGCAACATAGTCCTGACGTCTCAAGAATGGTGTTCCGGTAACACTCTACAGAACGTAGCGCGTCCTCTACTAAGGCAACGATAGACTCGTTCTTAGCCCTTGATTAGCGTCGCTAGTTTCGCACAAGATAGAGCGTACAGTGACGCTGAAGAGTTTGTACGCGATACGTGTTCGCGATGCGGGAGACACTTAAAAGCGAGGGGAGACTGGCTTCAGCGGGCTCCCAAAATGGATTAATTAGCGCGGAGTCAAAATTTGGCAACCGGAGAATGGTCGGAAAAGAGGAAAGCTACCCCCTCTCCCTTCTCCGCGGGGCTTCTATAAAGGCCAACTAGGAAAAGCAGGAACGCCGGTAAGCTATCTGATGGCGGCCGAGTGTTACCACCCCGTACTTCATGGGACGTGGCCGATGCGCCGAAAGGGTCCGATGAGAATAATTTAGGAAAAACCTAGATCACAGCCCATTAACGAGCACATTCTGGGCCTTCCTCTTTTTGAGTATCTTAACCACCAGTCCCTAACAGTTGTAGGGAATCTCTAGTTCCAGCGGTAATTATAGTTACTAGATACAAACAATATTATCAAACACATGAAGTTTTATTGCAAGAATATTTTTTTATTGTGTATTCTCTGAAGCTATATAAATATTACATTGTAATTGTAAATTTACGTTCTAGAAACGAGAATACAATATAACAATTAAGTTTAAATGACATGTATTTGCTCGCACAAGATTGAATTTATTTATGAATTGATAAATATGACTACATTTATAAATGTGTATATTGGATTGATGACGCAATAGATTTTAATACTGCTCCGGCAAAGCGATTTTGACCTCGTATGGGCATTTTCGTCCTGAGAGAAACGCGAAGTTGAAAAGTCCACGAGAGAGTCAAATCTAGCTTCTCGCTACTATATCGATTTCCCCATTTTTCGTTTAATTCAAAGCGAGATTTATATATACGCTGGCTTCTCCAAGCGTATTTAAAACTGACTCTGGCACAAATTATTTATTTCCATATTTATTATAATTATAAAAAATAGCATTTCCGGAAGAAACTGTAATAAAATAATTTTCAAACATCAAGCCATCCGCAACTTGCTTGTTGATTAGAATTAGAAAAACGCATAGTTTGTTAATCAGAGTAAAAACGATTAAATAACACGGTATGATAATACTATCGCTACCTGATAAGAACATACACGAGATAAAAGCGCGTATGGTCATGAGAATCTTATATCCGCGGGGTAAAACGTATAGCAAACACATTAAGTCGCGCACACATCTTTTTCTATGAACAGCGGCTTATAATTATCGTTCATGACCCAATTAGATTTGAAGCTACAAGAAGAATTATTGTTGCAAAGATTTCAAGACGATAAAATATTTCGCACGCTTTCAACTCGAATATCAAGTAGTGAAAATCGATTTCGGTCAGACTTTTAATGCCGGAATAGGCGACAAAAAATTCAGTTTCGCTATTGCCAACTTGCAAGTGTATTTCGGTGATTCGAATGACGCATGTTGTGGCGATATTAACTTTGTCTTGGAATAAAATTATTTATTTATTGTTCCAGCACAGCGTCGCGTCGCCGTCACAATTATGCAAGCAACCCGGTAAGCTCAGATGCTAATTAAGTTTTATCCACACTTTTCTTCTTCTCGTCACTAAATAAGTTGCGCCACGGTGAATTGACAGTGCAACTGACTGGAATAATGAACTCATCTATTCTGAAGCAGCGAATTTGTCTATTCCCGAAAAAGTACTTTTTTTTAAAACGTAAAACGACATAACAAGAAGTGAACTTGACGAAATCTTTTAAATTGATAAATGAACTCCTAACTGCCTCAATTAAATACGCCTTCCTTTGAAACGGAGGACAAGTCTCAAGAGATCTAGGAAGAGTAGCGAGCGGAGTAAAGTAAAACCCTTTAAACTCTGAAAAAGGACTTCTCTCTCTCTCAGATACTCGTAAAATGAAAGCAAAAAAGGAAAATAAGGCGGACAAAAGCAGTCATATCGCAGTTTCAATTACACTCCACCTTTTGTCCGCACGCGCAGGAAATTTTATTTCTATTTCAAGACGTGCACCACTCATTGTCGGATTGCAAGCGTGAGAAAAACCAGCAGCTACAAGTCGGCGAGGATTAACGGAAGCTTCACGCCACTACGCGGAGGAGTTCAAAACGCGAAAGGTGTAAGGAGCTTAGGCTTCCAGTAAGTCGCGTCGTTTGCGCTGCAGATTCGACTGACTTGCCGCGTCTTCTGTAAAAAGGGGAAAAACCACACTTCTTGTATTTTTGAGTTTTGGTTTTATTTACTCTTCGATGCACGAAATATCGAAAAGTCGAATTCGGCCATGCAGAAATACAATGAGTTAGAACACTTTGAGGACATATATTTTGAAGAACAAAAATAAGAAAAAATTCAATGAAATGTAAAACAGAACCCTGTTAAGGAAATAGAAGAAAATGAGATGAATTACAGTTTGGCAGTGTTAAAATAAGACGATTAAGCTACTCGGCGACGACGACGGAGAACAGATTTAGCGCGGGTAATAGAAGGATGCATTATACGGAAATACACGTAATAAGCGCACTCTCGGCTCGCTTGCCTCTGATCGCATGAGAGCTTTAGTGCACTAGGCGTGCAACTAGCTAATAGACACACGCTCCACAATAACCTTATTTGTTTCAGTCGGAAGTTGAGAGGATTTTCAATGATACGACCTCGAACATTGGAAAATAAGTAGCAGCTGTCTCATGCTATGACAGTTGCAAATAAGTAGCCTGAAACGAATTTGCTTGTCGTCCGATTACTTTTACGCGGATCACTCGTCAGTTCTCATATACGCAATTTTAAATCGTAGACGCGTGCATATATTCTTACACGTACGTGCGCGCACGCAAAGACAAAAGTTGCCAGTTCCGCCTTTGCCTGGGCTGCAAAACGCGCGCGAGCGCTGTACTGCAGCCTCGACCTACAGTGGCTAAATTCAATTTATCGCAAACTTCCCTTTGTTCCTCCTTCCATAGCGCCAGCTTTTACAATGGATTCCTTTTCTTACTTATGCACGAGGAACGAACGTGATATTGCTTTCTCGAGCAATGAACTTTTGGGGCCGCGCCGAAAAATTATTGCAGCAGATTCGTGAGATTTGCCTTTTCAAAAGATAAGCGTACTTTAAGCGTTAAAAATGCGTCTAGACACGGTAATTGAATTTCTTGTAATTGGTAATTTCCGAAAAGTGCCATACTAGCGCTCTCGATGTTTTAAGGCCAATAACCAAGTAACGTTTTTCATTTCATAAGAACATTAATTTTGTGCGGCAGTTGTGAACATACTAACATACCCAAAAGTCAGCCGCGTATATATAAGCTTATTGTAGTATAATAGCTAAGACAAACCTGGAAGCACAATCGATACTACATCCGGGACATTTTGTCGAATTAGCAATCCTCGAGGGATCGGCGTAAGGCCGAGGGGTCTACGGCGAGCTTTCGGCGTACACGCGTATGGCCCGCACAATCGCAGTTATTCGCGAAGTTCATTGAGAATTACGATACCTCACGATACAGATACTATATTGGATGCGAATGTCGATTGCAATTATGAAACTTCTCATGCCACTTACGAACATTCAGAAAGAATGATAGTTACATACGTTGTATTTATACGAAACTATACTTCAAAATGCCATGAATCAAAACTAAGAATTTTGTGGAGTCACTAAAACGGTCCATCTATTTACAGAACAAATGGAGTGAGTATCACTTGCGGATGGAATGGCCTCACGAGACGTAACATTTGGTTTTCTCCTCTCGGCTCTTCTATACTCCACAATTGGTGAGCACTTCAAATTCCTGTACAAATACCAATCAAACGGATTCAATTTCTACTTTCATTGTCGCGTATAGAATTATGTGGGCTACCGATAAATAAAAAATGAATGGAAAATTCAACGTCACTAAGCGTAATGAAATTAGTATCTGGTTCGACGAGTTCTTGATAAATTCACCAATTCTCTGAATTACAACTAATCTTTATCAAGCGAATATATTTATTCTTTAATCCGCATCTTCATATCTTCTATATAAGAATAAAAGGTAAAATAAAAGATTCTTTGAGTATACAGTAATCCAGGCGCTTTAAATTTAGCGATAAAGAAGAGAAAAAAGGAAATCGATGAATCGCAAACACTGGGCCGGACACTGCCGCGAATATATTGCGGATGCCGTAAATGTTTGATGGCTTATACCTGTTGTCGATGATGAAATATCGCTATACGTCTATAAATAGACACGCATATGAACCAGTTCGGCTGTGAAAGGAATGCTTCTATTTTGTCTTTTTTCTTTTTTACGAGGCAAACTTGATGTCAATGGAAAGTCATACGCTGGAATCTTTGTAGGTACTTTTTGTATGATTCGTAGTTATATTCCTCGCGCGTAAAGGCAAAAATTTGATTTGAAGAAAAATAAAAAAATACCATAGTTATTTGCACTTTGGCACTTTATTTTTTTCCTAATTACATATGTAAATTCAATTAAGGATTAAATACGTAGGCGTATTTGTTATTGTAAGCGAATATGAATGAATTAAATCTGCGATCGACAAAATTTTTAACTCTACTTCTCTCTCTCTCTCTCTCTCTCTCTCTCTCTCTCTCTCTCTCTCTCTCTTTCTCTCTCTTATGGTTCTTCGCTTATATGCACGCAAAGGCGATTTCGTGGCCTTGAAAGCCGTCTACTTCAGAAGCTTACTCCTGTAGGCTGTTAGATCTCGTGGGAAGTACGGTTTCCGGATTTTTGAAGGCCACTTAAAGACGGAAAGGGAAGCTGCAAAGCTAACCCATAGTCCGATAGGCTACAAAGCAAGAAAACAAGAGAGAGATAGAGAGAGAGAGAAAGAGAGAAAATTAAAAAAAAAGTAAAAAAGTGGCTGATTGAACGCTCATCCGTTAAGGCTCAATTGGAGTTGACGCCAGCTTAGTCGGCAGCGGCAAAAATTCGGTGATGAGAGCCATCGAGTCAGTTATTATAAAATTACGCGTGGCGCGTCGTTTTCTTTTCTTCTCCTTCTTCATCGATTCGAACGAGCAAGACGTTCTTTTGCTTTGTTGCGTACGTTGAATATTTTCTAAGTTTCTTTTTTGCATCTCTGTTTGTTTCATTATTTAGTTCAGTAATTTTTAAGATTATAATGTATAATTTGTGCAATTATTTTTCGGACTTTTCCCTACAGGATTTTTATGCTTTAGATTAAATAACAAAAATAAAATTGACTCAACAAACATTATTCCTACTTAACAAATCCCTTTTATTATTCGACAACAGGTGGATTTTGTTATTTTTTTAAATGTGACTTATGGTGACTATGCGCACCGAACATTTATCAAATTATACAAAGTTTATAAATAATTTAAAATTCTCGCGCCAAATCATTGCGTCATATCAACAAGCCAATCACATGCCATAACTTACATCTCAACGGACCAATCACAATTAATAGAGGTTTTATTTTTCGTCATTCTTCTTTTAATAAGGAAGATCCCCTTTTTAGTAAGGAAAAAAAAATTAAGTAAGTATCCTTTTTTATAAAAAAGAATACCTCTTCATTACTGTTATTAACAGCCTATAAAAAACATTTTTTTTATATACAGATCATATTGAATGCATGGATCCGGTACTCATTCACGACATCGACAAAACAGTTTCGTGTAAAAATAAAAACTCTAATAAATGCATTCCATATAAATTGTCGAAAAGTCATCAATAGTTCAATAACTGTCTTCTATATAATCTAAAATAACAAGTTTGATATTGCGTCTTAGGTTATCTAAAAATAATTACAAAAATATAGTCCTACAAGCTTTTGAAAATTTCCGAGAACGCTGTATCGTGCCAACGAGGAATAATCGATCAATCAATGGATGAAAAAGTGCAATATGACATAGCGCGTTTAACGTCTTTCAGGTCATATGGCGCTGCATGAACCGGAATTTCTCGCGCCACTTGAAAATCTGACTGTCATCCAAGGTCGTAACGTTACCTTCACCTGCATCGTTAATCATCTTCAATCTTACAAGGTATGAGTTTAATTTTATTCACCCTTATCTTGTTACGTTGGATAGAAGTATATACTTATTACAACTATCTTACACTGTTATTCAACATTTTAAATAAACTTTTATTCAACTTTATCTGTTATCAGCTAATTCTATTTTTTTCAATCAACGTAAAACTCTCCACAAAAACATAGTTACCGACATCATGAATGTCATTTTGAAGTAAATTTATCAAATCAATAATTTCGTTAAGTTTCTGCAGAATTTATGTCCGAAATTCTTCTACAAATCAATAAAAAATAAAATTATACGTATATGTATATCAAATTAACAATGGAAAATCATTGTCAATATGCTAAGCCGCTCAGTGAACTACATTTATGAAAGTTCCAACTTTTCAAAAAAATCAGTTTTACATTATCATCCCTTGATGAGATAAAAACGATTGAACTCTATTTTTATCATTCAAATAAGATCGGTTTAGAGGGTAAAAGTTATTGCAAAAGAAAACTTTATTGTAATAATATAGAGATAACTGTGATTATATTATAGTATATACTGATGTACCCTAACATTATCACGATGCATATTGAAGAACGTTAATTTGAGCAAATAAAATCTACATAGTGAAACCTATTGTATTAATTTTTGTATTCGTAAATTCACCTAAATACAACAAAAAGATGTAATATCATACAGTTTCCACATTCTCCAATAATTGAGTAAAATGGAATTACTTATTTTTTAAATAAAAGCGCTATATAAGATTGATTATATATATTAACAATTTGGGTGTTACATACCACAATCTTAGTGACGCAAATTATCATACATTGAGCTGAGAAAGTTTTTTAATGAATTTTTCAATGTTTGTTTGTGAAAATAATAAATTAAAAATATGACGTGATAACTGTTACGTCAAACAAAACGATTCCACGTCCATTTGAGAAGTCATCGGGAGAAAAGCGGCAAGACGGCAAGTATACAAGTTAAATTAGTGTGTTTGAAGTCACAGTACGAAAACTACCTAATCAAGTTTCTCGGTGTTTATACGAAATCCAGGCTGCTTCTGCAGATACGAATGGGGAAAGTAATCCAAGCGCCTGTCGTTTAATATCAAATCAAGCGTCACTTTACTATTAGACAGTAGTTTATTGTTAAATTAATCGCTTGCTTCAACTTGGCTCTCAAGAAAATGTAGGCTAGATTTACATTTTTATTTGTCGAACAATGATGTTATTACAATTACTAACTAAACTTTTGCGAACTTCAACCTACAAAATAGAACAAATAGATCAATTATTCAAGGGAATTGTCACTTAATGCGATTTTCCTTGGCGACGAGCTTACGATTTGCAAAACATTGTAAGACGCTTAAGTAAGTCGTCTCATCTGTTTACCGTCTAATTACCAATTCGCCGTGGAGATTTCCTTCGAGTTTCGCTTGTCTCTCGGCTATTTTTATTTACACATAACTTTTAACGAGAATTCGTCTTGACCACTCATTTCAATAATTTAAATTTATTTATTCCCTAATCTCTGTGAAACAATGAGCATTAAAATGTCAATGACATCGGCTCGAATACAACTAGACAATCACTCTACCAACTTAAGTTAATACTAAAATGGAGTAATCTCGAGATTTCATATTTGCATAAAGAATAATGCCGTCAATTATGAATGTAAATTTGGCGAAAGCGATTAAACTCTTAATCGTTAATTCAGTTATTAATGCCTCTAAGTCGTGATAATTGAGTCATTTCCGAATATACAATATTCAACTGCAATTAAAGTGATTAAGTAAGTAACATAAGTCAATCAACAGTCAATTAATATTACGTTCGCGGCACTGTACGCAGATTGCTTGGCTAAAGTCGGACTCCCGCGAGATATTGGCGATGCAGACGCACATGGTTGCAGCGAATCCACGTATGTTCGTCACTCATAATGGCCACAACACCTGGAAGCTGCACGTACTTGGTGTCAGACCCGAAGACTCCGGCACGTATATGTGCCAAGTCAATACTGAACCGATGAGGAGTCAGGTACTTTCGCGTGTTGCTCAAGATTGTATACGAGTCGATAATAGTACATACAAAGAATTTTGACAAATAATGCTTTTATTGCTTTTACATTCGTAGGGTGTCTGCTACTCGTATTCACTATATCAGTCATTTGTCAAATTTCCCGTGGTGCTTATTCTCATTATTGCACGATAAAATTGTTACGTTCATAAAGAAAATAAGAATGCATTCAACGATCTTGATTCTCATTACAACTGACGTTTCCTATTTTTAAATACTGCTTATGCATATTTATCTTGATTTTAACAATAAATTTTCAAGCACTACACTTGATAACGCTTCCAAACAATTCATGCAGATGCCTCTAAAATCCACAAATTTGTACATAGCCTGCGGAGCTACACCGAAATTTTAATCACATCGCGTCAATTATCATCAACTCAATAATTCGCGCTTCATCAAATCGTATTCATAAATAAATTTTGCACAAAATCAATCGACTTGTTATGAATTCGTCTCTGCAGACGGGTCATATTAAAGTAGTCATACCACCGGATATAATTGACTTAGAAGATGAGGATGCGAGTAATGGACGTTGGACTAGTATGGAGCACGGAGATGTGAATTTACGTTGCCGCGCCACAGGGACTCCGAAACCCGAAGTCACCTGGAGACGCGAGGATGGACGCAACATCGTTCTGCGCGATGCCGGCAAGGCGACTAGTAAGTGACGTTTATTCGTGAGTGACCTACTTACAACGCTTTGCGCTAGCTTGTTGATAGAGGTATGTTTCCGTGTCTTTCCATCGGGGCACATCCAATTCAATAATTTTATGTGATTACAATTGAATACGTTTCTCGAAAGACTAATCTATGGACAAACAATGGACTATCTAGGGAGGGTTAGGATTTTCAAATACAGGAATAACTAACAAAATATTCAATGATCTGTTGATCTCTTCAAGCTTTTATTGAAAAATATATATTTATAGCTTATATTTACCGCATTGAGTGCAAGTCAAAAACCGCAAATATCTATCTCAATGAAAACTTTGAAAGGTCGACAGGATATCCTAGTCGACTAACTGTTGCGAAAGATTTTTTGTTTATTTTTATTCCATCTCGAAAACCATATCTTCAGCAGATCTATAAGTCAATTACTTTTCTATTGATTTTTCATCATTACAATTGAGGCTGTCACTCAACTATATTAAGAACCTTAATACTGGATATATCTTCCTCTTGTTTTAACTGTTCATTTCCAATTTTTCGTATTTTTCAGTTACAACATAGTAAACAACATTTTTCAATCTTGAAGAAATTCTCTTAATATGAAACAATTTTTCTTTATTTTGAGATAAAAATATTCTTGATTCAAGTAACTTCAGTAACAAACTTTTCTTGATTCGAAAAACATTTTTGAAAAATCGTAGCAACATCGCGCAACTTTTTTTCCAAAGTTGTTCAAAGTTTGAAAGTGTTCTTTGAATCTTGTTTTTTAATGTATTTTGTTGATAAAATAAATTTTTTGCTATTTACAAGCAAATATGAAAAATACATAACCGCATGATAAAAATGTCAATACCACTACCTTGACTAATTGCTTCATCAAAACAAACGTAAAATATCACAGACAGTTTATATAGAAAGATAAAGAAACTTCATCTCATCATCCTGAACGAAAGTATTCTGCACCTCTATCATAGTAACCATTTCAATTTCACACAACTCGCACAACTCGAATACCTTTCCCAACCTTTCAGCCCCCCTCCCCCAAGATCCAAGCGCTTTATTCCAAAACTTTATAACACATATTGCGTAATTTTTCCATCTCGTTTGTTCCCTCTCTCGCGTTTTATAGTTTCCAACCATTATCATTATACTCCTTTACAATTTCCCGTTTTTACTTACTTAAGATGGTTCTTTATAATGGATTTTTGTTATTCGCGTGTGTTTAAACGAATCGAATCTTCGATGTACGAGCTTGAAAATTACAGCGCGAGAGCTTTTCCTCAAACACGGGATTTTGTTAAATGAAAATTTTTCATTGCTTGCTCAAAAAAAGCATTATTTGTAGAAAAATGGTTGTTTGATTGGCTATTTGTTATTTGGATTCGGTGCGTTCATTCGAAACAAAAATGCGACGTGATATTGTCTTTGACGAGAAAGTCAGACTGTTGATTGAAAACGAAATAAATATAAAATGTACGTTTGTGCACTTTGAAAAAAAAAAAAACATTTCAATCCAACTTCCCCTGCAACGCACAGCTGAAATAAAGACATTCATTTTTTAACATATTCGTTCGAACGGCAAAAATAAATGAGCACGTTGCGCTGGAGTTTAATAGCCACAGAAATGTTTGGAACGCAAAAGTTTGGAAATAGCCGACAAACCCGAAAAAAGCTCAGTATAAAATTTCGTGAAATAAAAGTACAAAAGGTTTTTTCAGCATCCCAATAAAAAGTATTATCGCCTCATGCGCTTCATTCGCAATAAAAAATTCCGGAATTATTGCTTTCTCCGTTAAAACATCGACATATTAAAACTAACAATACCGCTAATCAATTTCGAAACTATACTTAGAAAGCTCGGCTCAAGAGTTCTATCCACAACCGAACCGCGGGTGAAATCAAATTTACATATACATATCCCTCTTTTGACGATTATACCATACTGAAAAGTTCACTTCGCACATAACCACTTATTATAAATGTACTCGTAGTTTGCAGAACACGCATTGCGCCAACTCTCTCTCTCTCTCTCTCTCGTTATGTAAGCTTCACGGAAAACGAAAGCTTCGACTCGCGTGAGCTTATGATAATACTCGCTTTTCAGTTATAGCCGCGCTTTGCATGAGCGTTTAAAGCTTGCGAAAACCTGCTGACTCGTTGAGTGAAAAGCGTGCGTCCCCGTGATATTTGAGAAAAAAAGTAGATGTAATCACGAACATTTCAGCGAGAATTATTAGCTGATATTTATCCGTTCGATATTATCCTAACGAATAATTATCGGCTAATAATTCTCACTAATATGATTTTCTGTCGAGTACATAAAATAATAACGATGCTGACTGATAAATGCATTACTAATAAACTATTCAAGAGTAGAAAAATATGCTCGTATTATTGTTTATATAACTCGATATAGGAAGACCGAAATAAACATTAAGGTTTGGTCGTAAACTGAGAATTGTAATTGTAAAAACGATTAAGATCAAAACAACATGATTCACTATATATTTTAGGCAAGAAGCAGCATTCACATCATCATCTGAAAAAGAAATCCAATAAAATAAAATACAGCATCGGCAATACACGATAACTCGGCACATGAAATACGACGAAACGTTAATAAAATCAGGAGCCCTTGCGAGCAGTATCTATTCGAGTTCGTGAGTAGGGAGCGGGGGCTGTCGAGTTTGCGCGCGTTTGTGCTCATGTGCATATATAAGAATATAGATACGCAAGTTAACAAGACGAGACGAATTTTCGCGTGCGCGTAGCTGATATGATTGATGCGCGTGTGCGCACAACACGGCGAGGCGAGCTTTGATGGAGAGCCAGCAACACTTTATCTCCTTCACACGTCTGCTCGCTGGCGATCTCTCTATTATGTTATATTTTTGTGTGCAACGCACCAGAACATTTTTTTGCGGGATACACACATCCATTCGCCCGCGCAAGAACGGTCGACAGAACTGAATCAACTGATGACTCTTCTCGGCTTCCCTGTAAACACATGCGAATTTCCTTTTTCGGGGTGCACCTCGTTCACGGCAATCGAAATTTCGGCGCTACTCACGCAGACGATACTTCCTGGTGCAGCAAACGGTGTAGTCGGTTCTGCCATCTCGGGAGTCAACTGCGAGATCGAACGATGAATGAACAATACGAAATCGTGTAACGACAACTGCGCAAGCGTGTCGACCAAATTATAAATGAGCTTACTCTTGACGCACTCCCTGATGCACGAACGAAATGCCGCGTTGGTAGCCTTCGTGTCTGCTCTGTCGTAAAGTTTCGCGTCGTCGACTGCAAAACAATCAATTCTTCAGAACGTCGAAGTTCCTGAAAATCAATAGATTGCCCAAGATTTTGATGTCGATAATAAACTACGAACCTTTGGCGAGTACTACAAAGCCAATAATAATAAGGAACAACCACGGCACCAGCGATGAAAGTTTCATGTTTGCAATTTAATTTAACGTCAATTACACTTCCGAAACTCACGCGCGTGCCCTATAAAGTCAAACATGTGCGTATGTGTGTGTTGACTCTTGGCGATCTCACGATGTACTGACTTACAGTATAAACACAAACGCTGTGTAATTAAAACACTGCTAAGCGAAAATTCTGTATTAACACGAGCTGCGATTTTCAGTGTATATGCATTCGATGCATAAAGCCTTCACATTGCAGACGATCCGTCTAACATATCGATTTCTTTTTCAAAGCAACAGCCTATTATCGAAGACGACAACATGATGTAATTTATACTCGCGCAAATTAGGTTCAATAGCGACAACTTATTTTTCCCGTCCTTTCTACTTGCAGCGACAAAGACGTACAAAGGCGAACAGTTGCAATTATGGAAGGTGCAACGACAAGAAATGGGCTCGTACTTATGCATCGCCTCGAACGGCGTACCTCCGAGTGTTAGCAAGCGTCATTATGTCAACGTTCTTTGTGAGTACTCCATTTTTATTTGGCCCCTTTTGTCAAAGAAAACGATATTTTTTTCAACGGCATGAAGCAACATTTTCTGATTCGCCGCGCAGTCAAACCGACGATCAACACGAGGGAGCACACCGTGACGGCAATGGTCACTGGTAATGTTACGTTGGAATACTACATCGAAGCTTCACCGAAACCACTCATGACGTGGTACACGGAACGCGGTAATGCTAAAATCAAATCAGTTTTGTGATTGCGATTGACGTTACGGAATTATGCTGCAGGTATCAAAGTGGCAATGCGCGACAGGTACGCAATTGTGGAAAGCATGATCAATGATTATACCTACCAGATCAGTTTGCTCATAAGGAAAGTTCGTCACACGGACTTCGGCAGATACACCTGCATCGCGGAAAATTCCTTCGGCACTACCAATGCCAACATTCAATTGCGCGGTACGACAACACCAACTCAGTCGCTGAGATTACTGGGTGGCAATGATCAAATCTAAATGTGTCTTCTTCTCTTTCAGAAACGGATCAGCGCAAAAGCAACGGAAAAACTTCCAATGACCTTGACAAGCCGAGAACAAAAGAAGCCAGACATAACCGCGGCAACGGAGAATATTCGGCTTCAGGTGGACACTACGCTCTTATCCACAGCAGCACAATGCCAAGAGACCTTTATACGAGAACCATAACTGGCTTTTTCGCTATCGGCGCGATTGTTCTTATCTAAATAATTTGTTTGATTCTATGCGAAATAAAAACTTTTATTGAAACTGTTCTTATGCGTGATTGCAAGATATTTGTCGTTCGCTAACGGTTATAAGTGTTCATTTTTATTTGTACGTGCAGCTTGCATTGATACTGTACGCAGCATTTTTCATCGTATTTCAAATTTATTCTAATGCATTTTATTCTTAACTCTTAAAGAATGACTTTAATGTGTAAATAAATTATTTGTTTTGTACAAATAATGTGTGTGTGTGTGTAATTCATGTAACATTGAAGAATGTAGCATCTTAGTATTACCTCATTTTAATAAAATTGCAAGTACTCCCGTCATATACACTTCTTGCTTTCGAGACGACCACGCTTTTCGAAGTTTTTGTCTATAAAAAGAATTCTGGTGTCTCGTCCGTCACGTTTTTCGGGAAGCATTCGCGTTCAATCTCTCAATGTAAAGAAGAAAGTTGTTTGCTTAGACACCAATACAAAAGGGTCCCGCTAAATCCTCCGTTTCTTGCAGGAAAATCCAAACTATACCTGCAAGATGTGCAATGAGACAAAGCGTCAGGCCGTCAAACCGTAGATAAAGACCGTCCGCTAGGACCCCTGTACTGACGGGCAGAGAGGAAGGTAGATGCTCTTGGATCTTTCTGATTGGACCCTTACGGAGAGTAGGGAAAGTTTTCACGATCGTCTTGCTCGAAAATCGACACAGTCGACCAGTTTCTTCCGGAAAACCATGCAGTACTCAGCTTCCCTCTCATCCAATAATTCAGGGTATTTTTTCTAATGGTGAGACTTGTTTTTATTAAATACTTATAACTTGTTTATTACTTATCTAAAATTAAACAGAAAGTTATAAAGATATACAAATAAAATTTTCTGATATTTTGAATAAAATTTTGCATTATCAATAGTTTTTGATGAAAAAAGTCCTTCAATATAACCATTTTCTATCGCTTCTTTGTAATAAATGGCAATTCCAAAATCAAATCTCCCGCCACCTGTCAATGATCGAACGAACGGCGCGATGACGCCACATAATTCGAGAATCGGGCGTGTATAGTTTTGTCGTCGTTTATTCCTACCAACACGCATATAATTGTACACATATACAAGAGTACGTGCGTAGAAAAAAAAAGAAACATGGCTGCGACGCAGATCGTCTCGAGAAGGAAGAAATCGTGCTCGCAGAATAACAATAATTTTACAAATTTAGTTATAACCGAGTAACATAGCGTGTTATGCAAATTGTCCAGCCCATGTGTCGTAAGGTGTTGAAATGTCGAATTAAACAGTTTTGCTGGGTAGCAGTACAGGTAATACGTAATGTAATCTAAATCATGGCATGTGTAAAAACCATTTTTCTTTTGCTTTTCGTATCGCAATTCTCTCATTTCCATTTAGTATGCGATCTTGGTTATAGTGCTATCTAGATCTATCTTAATAGTGCTTTCTATAAAAAATCTGCCGTTTTGTTAATGGAACGTGGCATTCTTCCGTTGAGTTTCTTTGTGCTCTTATTTAGCTATGATACAATAAGATAAATTTCTGTTTAGTTTACATTCCAATTTCATACCGCCAACTCGTCAGTTTATTTTTTCTGCATTTTAGCAATGAAACTTTTAACGGCACTCACTAAACATTGTAAATGAACAAAATTAAGTATTACAGTAATCTATTATTTAGTGTCAGGACGTCATCAATTGTAGGTTTTTATGATTTTTGAGGATCTGTCAAGTACATCTAATCAGAAAATGTAAAATGAAACCACTTCGATAATTACTATAACTATATATATACATATATAGTTATATATATGTATATATATACATATATATATATAGTTATAGCGAAATAATATATATCTAGTCTCGTTTTTTTATTTCCTAATAGAATAGATTATACATATAGGTGATTAAGCAGCCTTATCCTCTCCGTATAAAACTTTCTTGACGTTCATCTACACATCACTTTACTAGGATCTCAGTGACACTTACAAGTAAGTTATAAATCCAATTACCCAATGATATGTGTAGTGATATGTAAATAGAATGTCATTATTTATCATCACTGCATAGTAAACTTAAAAAATACTATACATTAAGTTGATCTGCTTTTACAATAATCATAAGTATACTTAATAAATAAAACTAAATAATCAAACCCAAACCCTCGGCTATACAGACTGTCATAATTAAAATAAAAATAAGCTGTTATAAAAAAAAGTACAAAATAACAATATGTACACTTCAAAAAATATTACAAAAGTATGGTGTCAGTTCCTTTTCTAAAATTGGGATAGTTATAAACATGAAAATACAAAATTCCTCCAATTCTTTCTCCAAAAAGTATAACTTGCAATATAATTATAAAAAATTATGCACGTACATAAAAGTAGTGAATATTTAAAGTTAAATCATTTATAATAGATAGTGTTCCAAGAAATAATAAACAGTTATATTCAATTTAACATATAAATAAGTTAACAGCTCGTGCATGAAAATTTTAATAAAAAATTCAATTTGAAGTATTACTTAACATTAAATATTTGTTTAAATATTATAAAATGCCTCATCCATACAGTAAAATTTCATCAAATCAATGATTATTAATACAAACAAACTAATAATGAGCTGAACAGGATTCACGACAGTAACACCATGATCCAAATGATTAGCTCACACAAATATTTAGACTTTCAAGAAAATACTTTTGAAAATCGCATATGTTCATGGAGAAGTATCAGAGTTTAGGTTTGAGAGAGTATTTGAATTTATTTGTTAAATACTTGAGATTAATATGAAAGCAGAACAAATTTATATAATGTTTTTTAAGTTTATAATTTGAAATATAACAATAAAGTGACAATCCATTTATGTACTAACTACGCATACTGTATATCACTGAATTTATGGCTTATTGGTATGGTGTCACTGATATTTTAATGATCAAAATAGGATCACTCTAACATGGCAATATATAAATTTTTATAAACCAATAAAAATTCAATTCAATAGAATCACTCCTTCAAACATTTTTTTTTTTCTACTGTCAATGGTGCTCCAGGTATAGTATATTATTATAACCAATGTTGCATACATCTAACTCCAAGTTTCATCTTCCTCAATGTCTACATTTCCAAAAATAAAGTAATAATTATTTGCATAAAATAAAATTTGTGATGTAAATTTTGAACAAATAAAGTAATATAAAATAATAATTGTTAGCATTACATAAAATTTTAACGTAGACCACAAAGCAATTTTCTTTGAAAACCAACAGTTAGACAATAAAATGTTTTTTTCAGCTATTTCTTAAAAATAATTGATACACAATAAAATGTTTGTGTATTGTAACATCACCGAACATTGATTCTATTGAACACATATTATCATAATCACAACATGTATGATATATAATTACATTCATTTTCATATACATCAGAATAAGAAGGTAAATCATATTCATGCCATATTGCCACATCTACAAGCTGAAATTTTCAATTTGACATGGTGAAATTGAATCAATGTTCAGCGACGTTACAATACACAAACATTTTATTATGTAACAGTTATTTTTTGAAGACTTAATTTATTTGTAGCCTATACTAAATATTTTATGTAATGCTAATAATTACTACTTTTTACTACTTTATTTTTAGAAGTGTAAACATTGAGGAACACGAAACGTGTAATTAGAAATTAGATGTGTGCAACGACGGTCATAATCATCTACCATAGTTAGATGCGTCACTAACAGTAGAAAAAAATTTTCTTAGGCCTTCGCCACATAGGCCCCGGTCCCATAGGTACGTAGGGATGCGGACGGATACGGACGCGAATCGTAACTGTAGTAACATCACTAAAAATATCTAGTTCGATTATTTAGTACCAACACTATCGGTAGTGAGCAAAAGTGACTGTTGTTTAAAACTGTAGCGCCGAACATGCTACATTTAATGAACGCCTATCTAACCTTTACATTATTGCAGTCTATAACATGGCAAATGATAGAGAATTGATAGACTTTCAACTACAATTAGTGGAATTAGGCCTTAATTTTATGGAAGTACTTGAATATATGAGAAGAAGAAAATATATATAAATGATATGTATTAATCATCCCAAAAACTTTTTTTACATTAGCATACTCATCAATAAGCAATATTCATGAAAATTTGAAAAGTAAATTGTAGACCTGACATTTGAACATTAAATGTGGTACGTTCGGCGCTACAGTTTTAAACAACAGTCACTTTTACTCACTACCGGTAGTGTTGGTACTAAATAATCGAACTAGATATTTTTAGTGATGTTACTACAGTTGCGATTCGCGTCCATATCCGTCCGTATCCATACGTACCTATGGGACCGGGGCCATATGCGCATATGCGCGCGTACGAGGGCGTACAAACGCGTACAAATCGCTAAAAATGTTGATAGTGCCAACAATAGAAAGTTACTACTATTCCTCGCATGCCCCAAACGAACACACTTACTCCCGGAACAAACGTATCATAACGCTATATTATTGAAGGTTATGCGAGGAATAGTAGTAACTTTCTGTTGTTGGCACTATCAAAATTTTTAGCGATTTGTATGCGTTTGTACACCCTCGTACGCGCGCGTATGCGCATATGTGGCGAGGGCCTTAACGAATGATCCGATTTTTATTAGAGCCTTTCCACACTAAGGAAATATTCATGTGATCTTGTTCCGTGTAATTTCGCACTTTCCAGAACATTAGTATAGTTCACCATCTACCTTCCTATTCGTAATCAATGGTTTAAGAAGTGCAGAAGGCGCAGAATACGTCCATTCTTTTAACTTCTTATAATTCTTATATGTAATATAATTAATAAACCACAAAGTATGTGGACAGACAGAACAAAGACATCACAAGAATATTCTCTCATTGTGAAGAGACCCTTAGTATCACTACCGGAGATTCTACACTGCCCTAGTAGTAAAGAAGAAGCGTGGAGCGACAGTCGACTTTCGGTCTCAACGACTTGTACATTGTGTTTCAACTCCTGTAAAATGTTTACAATCTCCATGGAGCATATTTCGCTTTTTCATTGTGACATCTAACCTAGTATCAACTATATCTGTTAATTATGCAACGATATAGAATACACAAATCTACTCTCACGACATTCTTCAAGTGTTACTTATTTTATTTCTAAAATTCTGTTAGTAATTATTTCTCCACTAAAGTATATTCAGTAAAATATTGTACCTATGGTGATGAGGACGAGGAATGGCCAGCGACTTATCCAGCGTTTGCACAGAAACCAATGAGATTCTTGACGATGAGAAAGAGGAGGGTGAGATATCGCTTGAAGATGTCAGCTCATCAGAAGATGGACCACCTTACAAATATCAACCTCCCAGGACTTTTGGACAGTGTCTGCACTGCTTCTCTACAGGGCACTGTGCTACTTGGTGCAGAACTTTGATACTTAATAAAAAGATTTTCGTACAAGGTGAGAATAACTACAATTATTTATAAACCCTTGATTAATTGATCAACAATGTTCAGTGATGTTCTATGCTGTTTGTTTGATTATTTGTAAACAAAGACATACTACTTTTGCTTTAGATAAGTAGGTATTATCGAGAACTCAAGAATTATGTTACTTCTTATATTTAGGCTGGTAAAATAATTTGAGCCGTGCTAAGTATTTCATAATAAAAGTAATTTTTCAAACTGCTAATTTCAACTGCTAATTTTGCAATAGTTCAACTTTAACTATCCAGTACATATTCAATTCTGTCAATATCTAATATTTATCTTTGATGATTTGACAATTGTTTCAAAGTACAAAGTTCTAAACTTTACATAACAGTATGCTGTATATACAAATAATCAAACAACCTCACAAAGTACATCCTACATATGAGCTGAAGTGGCCTACCTTATTACTAAAGATGCAGGCAAGGAGAATCGACGTCATCATCATCATCACCGACATAGTCATCAACAGAGAGCACAACCACCAGCTTCATTGCTTAGTGGAGATCTTCAACCAATCTCAAGCGATGAGGACTTAGAGTTATTGGATCTGGCAAAAAAAAAGAAAGCAAGGAAAAAGAAACGGCGCAAAAAGTCACCATCTTTTTCACTTTCGCCATCTCCTGTGAATATGGCTATCAAAGAGTCTATTCATCGAGGATCCACACGCCGACATCAGTCCCCAGTCAAATGGAAAGCACAGCTACAACAGCAGTCGTACAAATCACCACCACCAAGAAAGTTATCGCCTCAGAGGATAAAAAAACTGAAGAAACCTATTAGTGGACCTTTGCCTCTGCAGTCAAGAGTTACAGTCTCCAAATTACTCAAGAAAGTGAAAAAGCTTGAGCCATATTCGGTGAGAGGCAAAGAGGCCAGATCTTCACTGAAGGACAAACTAAGCAATATCATTGGTGGCAAGAAAAGTGATGAAGAAGAAACACAAACTGTTTTGTTAAAGCCAAAAGATAAATCATCAGAAGTTGAAAAGAGAAAAGTTACAAAAAACCAGTCTTTGGTAGTTGAGGAAAAGAAGAAACAGGATATCTTTATTGAAGAGGAAAAGAAAGAAGTTACAGATAAAGGAAAAACAAAAGAAAATGGGGAGGATTTAGCAAAAGTAACCCTGACTTTAAAACCAGAATTCACTATAAAAGAATCATCTGAAGTATCACAACCAACTCAACCGGCACGAACCATAGAAGAGAAACGACCTCAAGAACCAGACGAAGACTTACAGCTTCGAGTAATAGCTTTACGTTCAGCAGTGATGAAAAAGCATCGTACACGTATCGCGCGCATGAAGAAACAACAACAGTTATTACAGCAAAAGGAAGACACGTTAAGCAATGAGCCAATACCGCGAATTGAAAGCCCTTTCACGTCAAGTTTCAACAAAGACTTTCCTCTACTGGCAGAAATGTGCAGTCCAGGCTCACCTCTTGACCCTAACAAAGATGACATCTACTGCCCGGAAGACATGGAGTTAGACTCGGACATGGAGCTCGACAAAGAGGTCTCGATGGTGGTAAACGCAACAGAAAAGGAAAACAACATTCTCGACGGTGACTCACCCTATTCACCTACCGACGACTTGGGTAGTCCACAAGGGATGATAGATCAACCGATGGATCTTAGTATGTACACGGCTTCAAAGCCCATAGAAACTTCAATGCACATATCCCACAATAATAACAAAAATGACGCTCTTGACGGAACTACTTTGGAGTTGAGGCCATATTCACCATCAGACGCTACTGTTTACGATCCAGAACTGCCGGGAGTTTTAGGTGCGAATGCGAATATAGTGCCAACGCCATTGCAACCACCACCATTACCACCATTGGGGATGATATCAATGATGCCATTAAATCCTATGAATCTTCTCAGTACTTATCCGATTGTGCCGATAAGTAGCTTTGCGCCAGTTAATCCTATGCTTACTGCGCCTTTTATTCCATTCACGCCGACGACAATGACGACGACAGTGGCGCCAACGAGTACTGCGACACAATTGATCGAAGAATTCGAGACTGATCTGGATGGAAGTCCCCTAGTGCCGATCGAACCAAAGGATACTCCAAATTGGAAATTCATCGGCGAGCCGTTGTACCTGCCCGAAATTAACACACCACCATTACCTGGTTTGGTGCCAGCACCTATTCTCAAGTGTAACAAGCAGCTACAAAGGATTCCTTCAGCGAGGAAATCCAGCGAGAATTTGTTTAGAAATGCGGATATGAAGCCTGTAACAGTCGAAGATGAAAATAAAATAAGTGGGGCGATGTTTAAGCCTATCAAACTATCAGCGCTGCTGAAGAAAGCCGTTACTACACAACCTGCTGCCGCATTTAATACCACGGTAGAAGGGCCTACTGAAAGTCAGAAACAGATTTGTTCGGAGTTAGAACAAGATTTGAGAGAGTTGGAAGAATTAGAAGAACAAGAAAACAAGAGAAGACAGGAGATGGAGGAGAAGAAGAAGCAGGAACAACGTGAAGCAGAAGAGAGGAAAAGACAAGAGCAGCGCGAAACAGAAGAATTGGAAAAGAGAAAAAAACAAGAACAACGAGAGTTAGAAGAAAAGAGAAGGCATGAGAAAGAAGAGGTAGAACGAAGAAGGAAGCGTGAAAGGGATGAGGCAGAGAGAAGACGTAGAATAAGAGAAACGCCTATCAGAAGATTAAGAAAAAAGTCTGTCACACCAGCACCAAGAGCTCGAAGAAGAAGCTCTCGAACGCCAAGTAGAGGTAGAGAGATTTACAGGTATAAGTCATCGAGGTCATCGAGAGACTCTGAGGGCAGAAGTAAGTCAAAGAAAACAGAAGACAGTAAAGAAAATCTCGATGAGAAAACGCGCAAACTTAGCATCGACGACGACGAGCAAGCGCTTCGGGAAATACTTCTCGCGTCCCTAGCTAAGAGGAAACCTAATGCCAAAAGAAAAGCTGCTCTTGAAGCTGCTAAGAAAAAAACAGCTCTCGAAACTGCTAAAGCCACGAGCGACAAAGAGAACATCGCGAATAAATCTGCGGAAATATGTTCTGCTGTTTCCGAAGTTGATAAAATTAAAGAGACTGCTACGATTGACAAGACCAAAATTGTCAATACTCCTCGAAATATTTCGCCTAGCAATAGCGCAAATGTAATTCCTTTACCATCGGCAGACCTGTCAGTAGTATCAATGCCAACTGTGTTACAAGAACAACAACGACCTACACTGAAGAGACTAGCATCAGCACTTTTGCCGTTTGAGCAACCTGCTCGAAAAGTCGTGAGGAAACTAAACGTCATTCCTGCATCGACTCGTGCTGTGAACAACGCCATACGGTATCAAAATTTGCTTATTCAACGTAAACTGGTTACTCGACAAAAACGAGCACTCTACAATACGCGCTTCGCTGTAAACAACAGTCAACTCTCAGAAAGTCCCGAGATAGTCCAGTCACCAAGTGCGACTTCACGATTTGTAATCAGTCTCAATGAGGATACCGAGAGCGAGTCTGAAGCCAACGACAAAAAAGAGAATTTCACAAAGACCAAACCTGCATCTGTAATTCCCAAAGTTGATTTCGAGAAAAGCGTTGATCAGTTTTTGAAGGTTGTACGGTTGCAGCAAGAACTTTCAGCAACGACTACGTCAGTGACGATCAGTAAACCTGCCACTCCACCGATAGTATCAAAAGCACCCAGTAATATGATAATTAAAAATATTACAACTGCTACCGACGTTATTTCTGCGGTTGCTAACGTTACTCCCTCCGCAGCTATTACTAAGGTCGCTGCATCTGTTACTACTTCTGCAGTTACAACTAAGGTCGCTCCATCTGTTACTACCTCTGCAGCTATTACTATGGTCGCTATCACCCCTTCTGCAAAGACTGTTGTGCCTAAAGTAGTAACAACGGCTGCTACAACTAGCTTGTCGAAAGAGAGAATCGTACTCAAAATGCCTAAGCCGAAAACACCTACTAACGTCCTGTCCATTCCGGCTACGCCTCAGGTTCGTTTCAATTTCTGTTATTATTTGAAAAAATCAAGTCAATATTATATTTCATAAATTTCTTATTTCTCAGGCGGTAAAGCATTTACCAGTTCCGCAGCAAGAAGAATATCGTCGCTTGAAGCAACAGCTTTACGAATATGAACAACTGCGTTTGCAGAAAGTTAACGGATCCACCATCACTATTACAACGACTTCTCAAGCACAATCAGCGACGGCTAAACCTGTAAATACTTTATCTAGTCTAACTACACCGTCTATTTCGCCATCGGTGCAAGCCACTTCAACTCCAAAAGCGCCGCTAGCTAAACTCATGCCAAAGAAGCAACTGATCGCTGCGATAAGTCCTATATCAAAGTTAAACAACGTTACCCCCGTCGTAGTTACCCCGACAAAAATTGTTCACGCCACAACCAACGTGATTACCAAAACTGTTGCACCCACAATCAACTCAGCTAGTAAGGTTGCTAGTATTAGTACTGTGGAAACACCGAGTTCGAAATCTGTTATTGCAAAGGTTACTCAGCCAGATCCAAGCCAATTGAAGTTGCTCAGTAAAATCACTGAGTCGTTGAATAGTCAGAAGACTTTGTTGAACACTGCCGCTAATAAAATTTCATCAATATCGTCAAAATCATTAAAAGTACTTACCAAGGAGCAGATAAATCAGAAAACTTCAAAAATTCAGCAAAAGAATAATTGCGTTGTAATGGACGATTTGAACAAGACTGGCCAGAATAATATGACAGAAAAAAAAGAAAATATTAAAGAAGTAAAATTGAAGAAAGAAAACGAGTCAGACAATAAGATAAAGGAAGTTGATGATACGAAAGAGATTATTAAGGAAGAATCTTTAAGTGTTACAAAATCAAAGAATGAAGATAAATTAAAAGAGAATTGGGACGACTTTAAGAAGGTGGTTAATAATGAAGTGCAAACCCTTTCGAATCTTTCCACTGAGCAGCAAAAAGAACTCTTAACGTACACGGAAGCGAAATTGATTTTAAGAAGGTAAATTCATAAATCGTACCATTATAAAAAAAATGTTTCACTCGTTTATAACATTTCATTAATCTTTAATTTTCAAGACATACTGTATTGGATGACATCACGGTAATGTCAGGCAGTCTCCGACAGTGGGAAATTGAGAGGGATCTAACGAGCATCATATCAGCCGAGATTATAGATTTACGAGAAAAGCTTCGTATAGCAGAATTTAAATTACAAGATCAGAAGAATAAACTACGAAAGATCCAACCTAGAGTAACGTTCTATCATGAGAAAATTAATACTGGTAGGAAGGAGTGTTTTAGACTGTCCAAGATATGCAATGGGCTTGGACAACAAATAATAGGATCTAGTTATAAGTGCGTATTTTTAATTTAGATATTTTTCTTTGTGGTAAAATTTAATGCTTTAAATTTATAATAATTATTGGATTTTCAGAGTTCCTACTGTAGGTGCAGAATTGTTAAATAATAGGATTAAGGAAGTCGCTACTCATACCCAGAAGTTACGTGGTAAAACTGTGCAAAATAATGCAATAAAGACTGGTAGATCACTCAAAAGTAATCCCAAAGCTAATACTAATCCAAATTCGAACGTAGAAAAGTTGCACAAAAAACAAAATAATACAGTTGATACCAAAGTTAATAAATCAGATTCATTTAGTAAACGGTTGAGTATTGAAAGAAAGAAAATTATTAATAATAGTGCTAGTTCAGTAGTTTTTAATAAGGCTCAAACAGAAAACTCTAAAAATAATTTTAAAAAGCAAAATTATAATCAATCTATGGACATTGACAAGGAAACTTCAAGTATAAAAGTAAAATCAATGAAAAAGTTGCAAAGTACAAATGCAAATAATGATCGGGATCAAAATGTTAACAGTAAGCAATCGGCAAACAGTGAAAAAGTTTTTGAAAAAGTACAAGAACTTCAATCTACAGTAGCAAGTTCTGTTACAGTTAATAATAATGTTATCTCAAGTATGGAAATGGATATTCAAAGTTATTCTAACACTGCAAATGAAACTTCTGATAAGAATGTGGGAACAAATAGAGAATCTATATTTAAAGTTGTAAATAATGATAATGGTACTGTCACATCAAATGTGGATCAGTCAATAAAATCAGTAATAGATGGAGAATCAAATATTATAAAGCAGACAGTTCAGAATAATTCTAAAGCATTAAATATGGAAATTGAATCATCAAAATTAATTATCATAACTGGAAATGAACCAGCATCTTACAATAGTGAACAATTACCTGCAGTTCAAATTGCACAATCAACTGATGCTACAGAAAATTCTATTGAAACTAATTATCAAAAACAATTGGAAAAAGCTACTACAAATATAACTGAAACTACTGTTCAAAGTAATGTTCCAACCAAATCCGAAAATATTACGAATGAAGTTCAAACTTCCAATCCAATTTCAAACGCAGCCGAGGATGGACGAGGTAACATAAAAATTGAAATTACCAACGTAAATATGATTAATGAAATCAGGATGATTAAACATTCTACGAATCCAGGACCAACGAGTGCGATTACAAATAATATTGAAAGTGTTAGTGTAAATAATAATACTAATAGTGTTGTAAATACTTCGTTAGACGATTATATGAAAGAAATGACTGTTAGTGTTGATTATAACATGTGTTCTAAAAACTGTAAGAGTAGCACTTCCGCAACGTCCAATGAACATTCCACAACGTTTGACGAGGAAATTAGACTGCTGGAGTTGGCAAGCGAAAGTGATGCATTGCATGAGCTCACCAACGATTGTCAGTCCATTGCGATAGCTGATCATGGAACCAATAACAATTATCAATCCACTGCAAAGGCAGAACATGACGATTGTAAATCTGAAGTAGAAGCTCAGCAGGAAACCATTGATAACTGTCTGACCATCACGAGATTAGAACGCGACTTCATGAACAACTATCGATCTTCCTCGAGCATGAAGACAGAACGACACGTAACCGACAATACTGCAATCCAGAGTTTATCGAAAAACATCTCTAAGAAGACTTTTCGACCTTATGAATCCATTCTTAAACTTGTGCGTGCACCAAGGTCAGTAAAAGTCAAAATATTAATGTTTTGTTTATTTATCCGTCTTATTTTTTCAAAATTTAGTTATATCAACATTAGAGACCAATAGTTAATAATTTTAATTTTTACTTATAAATATTTATTTTTTTATTTTAAAAATTGATTTTATTTTTCATAAAATATTAATATTTTAACATGAAAATAATATCAAACCCTATGCATAATGAACGAGAAGTCCAATTGTGTAAAATAACTATAAATGAATTGTTTTATTACTTTTTCTTGTAACATTTAGGAACGTCAAGACCGATGGAATCCTGTGTCCCTTTGCACTGATGGGTACCTGTATCGACGACGAATGTCGATACATACATCAGCCGACTAGTCATTGTCGATAAAGTTTTAGTGGCTAAGAGGCTCGTGGAATATTTTTTATACGTAAGGTGGTTCTAATTTGTAGATAGGTATTATATAATTTAAAAGGTTCTAAAATGCTTTCAAAAACATTCCGATTTTAAGATATTTAAGTTTTTTTTAAATATTTTCTAGTTGCAAATTACTATTTTTATTTCGATAAACAAATTATAAATTTTTAAAATATTTTGTTTTTAATTATGGATTAATGAAGATGTTTTTTTGTGATGGACGACGCTTTTAAGATTTTAGATAGCAGTATGTGTAAAATATGTTTGATTTCAGGTATTTTAAAAAAGGCATGTTGTTTTCATCGAAATATACGAGCAGACGGCAACTCAGAAGATTGGTAAGTCGCCAACTTGTAAACTCTCAAGATGTTTTTTATGGTGATTTATTACTTACAGTTTCCCATAGCTTGCTCCCGGTATTTTTATATCGTTCAAGGCAAAAATTTTTTATACCTTTATCACGCGTTTGTTGCCATATTTTTCATATTACTGAACCAATTATTATTATCGCGCGTTAATCATTATTATCTCTAAATATTTTTTAATTTTATGTGAAATTGAAATAAATGTATATAATAAGTAGGAATATATTGACATACTATTATTAATAGATCATTCGTTTCATGTGTAAATAATATAATAATTTATCATGAATAATTAAACAATACAAAAGATTGTTTAAGCTTCTTTGGTGGATACAGCGAATGAGTGAACAAGTGCACAGATGGTGACCATTTATGCAATTGAAAAATGCATAAGTGTCTTAAGGAAATTTAATAAAACGAATAAAAAAAAATAAAAAAAATTATGTATGTAAGAAAATAAAAAAAAAACTGGTTAATTTTTTTAAAATCCTGCCTTTTTATTTCTCACCAACCTCACGAAATCCACATTCCACGTAATTACTAACTTTCACTTATTCCTTTTAAAACAAAAATTTTACTTCAATTTTTGTTCTATTTGAAAAAAATACGACAAAATGAGGATTTATTTGCCATAAGGAGCTTTTGGAAATTCAGATTTCTTGAACCAAGGCATTCGACCTTCAGTCCTGTATTCATCCCATTGTTCTACCCAGGCGGTCGGACAAATTGACATGTACACATCTTTAAACCATTTACAAGCCTCGTGACCTTCGCCGAGCAGGTGCTCGCACTGAAAAAAGTCCGCGTACATGACGTAGCACCTTAGCGTTTGGTTTTGTTGCTGGAATCTGTAATAAAATCATTATTTTGTCCATAAACCCTTTCTATCAAGAATTTTGTTCGGTTTGTACCTTGGATCGAGACCTGGTGAACGTAAAACGACTGGTTCTTTTTCTTCTTTAGAAGCACAAGGATCGTCTAACTCTATTGACGATCCTTCGGAGTCATCAGATTCATTTGATACTTTTTTGACTTTGAAATTTTTTTTACTCGGTTCGTTGTTATTACTTCTTGTTTTGACAAACATTTTCTTGTATAATCTGTTGGAGGTTTATTTTAATTTTGAACTCATACCTGATACTTTCAGATCATTGATTTTCTTTTATCTTACGAGTATATTTTTGACGCTCAGCTGATTTTATAAATATTCTATTCTAACGTTGTAAAATACAAGTGTTTTTAAATTATAAACTAAGGGTACGATTAATTTTTTCAAGGTTATTTTTGTTCAGTAATATATAACGAAATTCAAGAAGATATAATTACTGACATCCTCTCACAATCTTAAATCTTCCGTCATGGAGACCTGGCGCCAAATCCCTACACTCCAGATGTTTTTGCCAGTCTCGCCCGATGACGCTTTTCACTGTATATAAGTATTGTATTGAGTTCGGCTTGAGCCGTTGAGCCGAGTTCCGAATGAAGCTTTCGTGGGATACTCGTCGTCGTAGCAGCTTGGGTGCCACGTCAAGCGGTAATGTGAAGAAATGTTATTAACAATTCGTTTGACATAGCGGATACTGCACTTCTTACTTTGGTTACAATGTCTTTAAGCGCATTATGGCTCTATTTGGCTGTATTCATTTTGACTATTGTATTTTTGGTGAGTTTTATCAGCAGTAATTGAGGTTATATTTTCAACTGTTCTATCAATCACTGCGGTCATTTAAAAAATATGTGCGCTTACAAGTGTATTCGTGTAGTTTTCAAACAAAATATCTTTATGTTAATTTTGTAGAATGTTAATTGATTTTGTTTCTATTTGGATGAACAAAATCTATACACTCGAACGATTAACTATACTTTTATTTAAGGTAAAAATTACCCATACAAGTTGGTGTTGTTGAATGATTTGTTTATTTTCAGATCTTAATAACAGTGTACATAATATGTAAATATACAGAGCCGTACCCCAAAGTGCATAGGTATGAAGAAGAAAAATATTTCCTTGATCCAAATACTAAGGAAAAAACAAAATTTCCATCTTTAGAAGATGATTGGAGCATAAACCTCAGTGTTATTGTTCCTGCGTACAATGAAGAAACAAGACGTAATTAATTACTCTTATATCTACTTGATTAACTAGATACATTTGAAAAATCAATAATCATAAGTCACATCAACTTTTTCATGGTTTGATGTTATTACGCAGTGCCACCCATGTTGGAGGAATGCCTGAAGTATTTGGAGCAACGAAAAAAGTCAGGATTCACATATGAAATTATAGTTGTTAGTGATGGAAGTACTGATAAGACTGTTGAGGTTGCACATTCTTATGCTAAGAAATACAATACAGTGAGAGTATTGGCACTTGTAAAAAATAGAGGCAAAGGAGGTGCTGTGAGACTGGTTAGTTTCTTTCATGTCATATTTAGCAACATTTGTATGCTTTAAGCACATTCTTTTTTATTTGTATTTTTTCAATATTACAGGGTATGCAGAGTGCCAGAGGAAGTGCTTTGCTTTTTGCTGATGCAGATGGTGCTACAACTTTCAGTGACTTGGAAAAGCTCGAAGAAAGCCTTAAAAGTGTCTTGAGCTGTAAGCTTATTATCAATTTATTTAACTCTCATTATCATGTAATTATATTTAGGAATTCACTAGAGTAATTTATTTTAGGCGACTACATTTCATCGCCGGAGAAAACGTCCAAATCTCACGGTATTATCTGCGGTTCTCGCGCACACTTAGAAGAAGAAGAAAAGGCAAAACGTTCCTTATTCCGTCTGCTACTTATGTATGGCTTCCATTTTCTCGTATGGTTTTTCTGCGTGAAACACGTGCATGACACGCAATGCGGTTTCAAGTTGCTAACTCGTGAATCTGCCCGTATCATTTTTACGGCATTACACGTGGAACGCTGGGCATTTGATGTTGAGATGCTGTACATTGCTGAAGTATTGAATCTACCTTTGACAGAGATAGCTGTTGAATGGCAAGAAATTGATGGCTCAAAAATTGTGCCAGTTTGGAGTTGGCTACAAATGGGACGGGATTTGATACTCATCTCGCTAAGGTACAAACTTGGATCATGGAAGATCATGAAAGTTAAGAGTTCTTGAAAAGAAAATTGTCAGTTTGGATTAGCACAATGCTAATTTGAATAATTTTTTTCTTTGTGATATAACAATTTAGCTTGAAAGTAATTCATTTTCCAGAAGTACAATTAATGTTTGTTTCTTATTTTATCTATAATTTTTATAGAGGCTTACAAAATAGGCATTTATACTTTCAGTTCATATACAAATTGTTGAATGGAAGTAAGCAGAAAATAATTGCACAGTACCGTGTATCGAGTACGTGCATTTTAACACTGTAATTGTACATAAATACAAATGAGACACGTTTATTTTTGACAGCTTTTATGAAAGCTCTTGAGTGCCGACATCAAATAAATGTTGCGCATCGCTATAATTAAAGATAGTCTCACCATTACATGCGCCCGATAAGCCTATTCTGACAACTGATACTTAGTTTTTTAATTAATTTTGTCAACTCAAAATAATACTTCAAATATATACAACGCACATTTTCCATGTTACTCGTTACTTTACTCTAAATTTCAACCATTAATTGTACTGTGACGAATATGTGCAAAATATTATTACTCTATTTCTTTATGGTATTAAAATTTAGAAAAAGATTCGCTAACTGATAAATATCTAATCTACTCTTCCGGTTGTTGATACTATTACGAGAGTTTTAGCATTTTGCTCGCGTGTGAAACTATATAAGTTGCTCACAAATGTAGACCGTGTGTTTTGGTAATGTCACTCAAAAGCTTGCATAACTTTTATATAAAAAATTTAATAAAGGAAATAAAAAAACAATTAATGCAATATCGTTTAATTTACAACAAAACAAAATCTCCAACAACATTATAGCTTTTAAATCAAAATGCAGTCAATAAAGGACAATGATTTTTCAATCTTACGTAAGCGCTCTATGCACGTTGCGTTGCTTGTAAAATGGAGCGTAATATATAGAAGAGTGAATTTTCCTAACAATCTATTGTGTAAATAAAAGAGAGATCCCAATCCCTTCTATGGGAAAATCCTCCGCACACACATTAACAGACGAGCCTACACATATATACTGTATTCGACTCACGTGATCTCTTACGTCGCGATGACGTATTCAATTCATCGAAGGACTTGCATGTTACGGAATAAGATGGGGACATTCTCGTTACTACATTTTGGATTAATATAAAAGTCAATCAGCGGTGGGAGACGATTATTCAAACGTGAAGTTCCGTTCCGCGAAGGCAGTTACACACGTAGAAGTTAGGTGGATAAATTAGTAGCCGTAACGGTCATCACCGATCAACAGTAAGTTTAAGAATAAATACAGTTAGAATCAGAATCAGAAGAATAATGGCTTTCGCATCGCCAATGCCCAGCCGTGAGTTTCTCTGGGATGTATTTCAAAGGTAAATGTATTGAATTTCTACACCTGACGTGTCTATATTTTCCAATGCACATATATCTACGATGATTCAACACACTGATTGACTTGTCACATGAGATTGATGGTTTATCCGTGACCTTACTCCACGGGACAGATTGGAAATGTTCTATTTTTAGATTTTTCTATCTTATGTGCAAAATCTTAACTGCATTTAACTTTCTCCAGTGTTTGTTGATTTATAGGTAGAAATCATTATCATTTTTCATATTATGATTTAATTTGCCACGAATAATTTTTTTCCACTCCAAACTGTATTGCTGAGTCAATACTTAATCTAAATTGCTAAGATAATTGATTAATGAATAATATTTCATATCAGAGTCGACAAGGATCGTTCTGGAGAAATTTCTGCCGATGAATTGCAACAGGCACTTTCCAATGGAACATGGACACCATTTAATCCAGAAACAGTTAGAATGATGATTGGTAAGATAAGCTTTGTAATATTCTTGAAAATATATATAGCTTAAATACTTTTTTCATTAACATTCATTTTTTATTCTGGTTTGTTCTGTTATATTCACTGTGCTCAGTAATATTATACTGTTATTAAACTATCATTATACTATCATTACTTCATAATGAGCTTTCTAACATGTATGTGTGTATCTGTAAATGTGTATTTTAATTCTTTTACCTACAATCCAATGTAATTTTTTTACACTAAAGTATTTATGCTACATGTTTCTGAAGAATGATTTTTTTTATCAATGTACAGTTACTATGATATACAATGTCTTGTTGCACAAAAAAGCTTATATGCATTGGGTTTGACAGGTAATATTTTAACTGTTGCCTACTGCTTCATTTTATTCATTCAGGTATGTTTGACTATGACAAACCAACTGAAAATTCTTCAGGTATGTTCGATAAAAAAGGCTCTGGAACTGTCAGCTTTGAGGAATTTGGAGCTTTATGGAAATATGTCACTGACTGGCAAAATTGCTTCAGATCCTTTGATAGAGATGGTAGTGGAAACATAGATCGAAATGAGTTGAAAACTGCACTCACAAGCTTTGGATATCGTTTATCGGATAATCTTATCAGCACTCTGATGCGCAAATACGACAGAGCTGGCAGAGGAACTATATATTTTGATGATTTTATTCAATGCTGTGTTGTTTTACATGTAAGTAAGATTTATTTTAATTTAGTTCAATCATACTAAATAATAACAAAAGCAAACTTGTTACAAACATTTTTTCAGACTTTGACAGCATCATTCAGACAATTTGACACAGATATGGATGGTGTTATCACAATTCACTATGAACAATTCCTAGGAATGGTATTTAACCTCAAAGTGTAACAATTTGTAGTATTGTCATTGTTATTTTAGCATTGTTCACCTTCATGCATTACATTTCAAAATACTAAATTTGTATGTATCTTTTCGAAAAATTCTTTTCAGTGTTTGTGGAATGTTTATCAAAATTATGCCAAATGTAAGGTGCTTAAATATTTTGGAATACTAGAATGTATCAAAGTTTGTCTCTATCTATAATGTTCAGACCTACTCATTCAAATTCATATTAAATTTTATGCCATACCTTTGCTGGTAACTTGATATGATCTATTTCAATCTATAAACAAGTATTTTACAAATGTTAGTAAATAAATAATATTTTGTTGCTTTTGCTGATGAAAGTAATTTAATGTAACAAGCAAAACATTCCTATGTTGAGAAACTTACTTCTCATACAATATATTTTTATTAAAATGCAACAAAATAATTTTTATATTTATAAATACCTAATAATTAACAAGGCTGAAGTGCTAAAAAACTAGAATTTCTACAAAGAGCAAATGAAAAAAATATTTTTGTGAAAGTATAAAATACTTGAAATGTGTGATTATATACCGATAAGTCAATAAAAAAAGTTAGTAACTTAAACAGTTAACTACATAAAGTTAAGTCTGGCAAGTAGTTTTATTTGTACTCATAATGATTTTCATATATTGAAAAATTTTTTGCTGTTAATACTTGTTACTTGTACACACTGTAATCTTACTCTAAAATTGTATTGTTCTACAATAACATTTTTACAAGTATATACTTTTTTATTTTTGAATTCTGTAAAATGTATATGAATAAAACTTTAAACAATTATAATAAAATATTTTGTAAAAAATATTTTTAATTCTTTCTATTTATATTACTATAAGATAAAATATTTCCTTATTTATATATATATATATATATATAAGTTTCAATTAACACTTTAGTTTTGTGTTTAAATTAAGTTAATTACTTCTCAATAGAAGCAGCCGTTTCGTAAAAATCAATTTTCGTTTCCTGATCCTGACTTCCGAATTTCTATCCGTTTCTTTTCTCAAATTTAAGTTAAGTTTAGGTTATGTTTATATATGATTACGAAAAGACGAACGTCATTTTTTCATACGTGGAATTAATGATAAGAATAAACTTAATAATCAGAAGATATGGTAAAATTTTTCCTAAAATTTTAAATGATATCTATTTCGTAAAAATTTATTTAAAAGATTGTATTTAGCAAATATCCTTATTTTTTATAAATATTAGTGAATTATGATGTCCACACTACCTGATTTGCTTGAAATAACAAAATTAGTGTTATCATGTGTTGTTCTGAGTATTATATTCGTACCGTTAATTCTCATGATATTTTTGAAACTGAGATTCACGAGGAGTCGTAAAAAAAAGAATGACAAAATTACTGTTGGAATCTTTCATCCGTATTGTAATGCTGGTGGAGGAGGAGAGAGAGTACTTTGGACTGGAGTTAAGGCCTTGCAATCAAAATACGATAATCTTCAAATTTATATCTACACTGGAGATTTAGATGCTGACAGAAATAAAATTCTTAGTAATGTTGAAAAAGTGTTCAATATTAAAATTAAAGATAATATTGAATTTATATATCTGTTTCAAAGAAAATGGATAGAAAGTGATAAATATCCATACTTTACATTACTTGGCCAAAGTTTGGGTTCTATTTGGCTTGGGTATGAAGCAATGACTCTTCTTCAACCAGATATATTCATAGATACAATGGGATATGCATTCACATATCCCTTATTTAAATACATAGGTAATTGCAAAGTAGCATCTTATACTCATTATCCTACAATTTCTGTAGAAATGTTGCAATATGTCTACCGTAGAGTGATTCGACATAATAATCGCAGAGTGATAGCTAGAAATCCATTTTTAACAGCAGCCAAAATGACCTACTACAAGATATTTGCATTCTTATATGGTCTTGTTGGAAGAGCTGCAGATATTGTTATGGTCAACTCTTCTTGGACTGAAGATCATATCAATTCAATTTGGAAATGTCCACTGAAAACTCATCGTATTTATCCTCCTTGTGATATAGAAAAACTAGTCAATTTACCATTGATTACTGATGAAGAAAAAGGCGATATTGTACGCATAGTTTCCGTTGCACAATTTAGGCCTGAAAAAAATCATCCTCTTATGCTTAGAGCTATGTATGAATTGAGATCGATACTAGGTGAAGATGCATGGAAAAAAATACGCCTGGTGTTGATTGGATCAACTCGTAATTATGAGGATGAAGTACGTGTAAAGGATATGCAAGACTTGTCAAAACACTTTGCCTTAGATGAAAATATAGAATTTCACTTGAATATATCTTACTCGGAACTAATCGACCAACTTCAACAGTCAATGATAGGCTTGCATACAATGTACAACGAACATTTTGGAATAAGTGTTGTAGAGTGTATGGCAGCAGGTTTGATTATGGTAGCTCATGCATCAGGTGGTCCAAGAGCTGACATTATTGAAACTCAAACTGGGTCACAAACTGGATTTTTGGCTCAGACCGCCGAAGAATATGCTCAAACAATGGCCTACATCATAAAAATGACACCACATGAAAGAGACACTATTCGCAATGCTGCTAGAGCTTCTGTAAATAGATTTTCAATTGAACAGTTTGAAAAAGAATTTTTGAGGGTACTTGATCCTTTGTTCAATGTTAAATAGTGTGTGATAAATAAAAAAGAAACTAATATGACTGTTTTGTATAAATTTTATGTATAAATGTTATATAAAACATTTATATTTATTATACACTTAAAACAAATCTTATAAAGTAATCATCTAGTCAAAGTTATTTTTTTAAATTATATAAGTATTCAGTTATATGCTAAAAATATTCAACGTTAAGAAAATCCTATTTACAAATTAAAATATTTAGTACAGTCAAAATTTCAAATATCTTTACAGAAATTGATGAAATGTACAAAATCCCTACATTCATAGCACTAAAATACTCTAGAAATGTGAGGTTATGTGGACAACGATCTCTGATCGCATCACAACAACGTGGTGTAAAGCGCGGCTTAAAAGACGTTAATGCGACAGTTATTTGCCTCAGTAATATATAAATTACTATTATAATGAGCTTTGTCTATGAAGTATTAGAATATTTAAAAAGTTCATTTGTCTCTGTACCATTAACATTACTTTTTAGTTATGGATTTTATAAAGTTTTCAGGAGGAAAGAACTGCAAGCAACTGAAGACACGGTAAATTTAACATTACATTATTGCCATTAATGTCAATGGTTGACAGTGTTTACCATTAAACATTTCATTAAAAAAATAAGTTGCAATTTAATAGGAATACTCATCATTGTATACTGACTCTAAATCCAATGACTCTTCGTCAGATGAAAGTTGGGAGGACGAAGAAAGGTACTCCAAGTTAGTTTTAGTTGTCAGGAATGATTTGAAAATGGGAAAGGGTAAAGTAGCAGCTCAATGTGCTCATGCAGCAGTCGCTGCCTATAAACAAGCCTTAAAACATCCAAAGGTGTTGAAAGATTGGGAGTTATCTCGTCAAACAAAAATTGCCCTAAGAGTAAGTCTTATTTCACTGTCAGGTTAAAAACTAACTTATGAATTTAACATGATTTTGACTTTGTTTTTTTAGTGTGAAACTGAAGAACAGTTACTAGAAATACACAAACATGCAAAAGCAGTAGGACTTTTATCAAATGTAGTACGTGATGCTGGTCAGACACAAGTTGCACCTGGTAGCAGGACAGTATGTGGTGTTGGCCCAGGGCCTGTTCATCTTATTGATCAAGTAACAGGACATTTGAAGCTCTATTAATTTATATTGTATCAAAATGTCTTGGAACAGGATTATGTTTACAATTTTTAACTAACTATGAACCTTGCTGTTATGCAAAGCTTCCAGTAAAACTCACATTTTTATAAAATTTATTAAAAATTTAAGGCAATTTCAAAATAAATTTTAGTTAAATAAATAGCCAAAATTAATTACTAATTCTAAAATCAACCAATTTATTTATCTGCATAAAATGTACATAGTTACTAGTAAATTTTTTTATAATACATTTTTCTATTCAATTGGTAGACGACACAATTAAATTGAACAAACTTCTGCTAATTCTGCTACTACTTTTAAGAATCTGATTAATGCTAATAAAATCTGCCTCAAATATTGAAACAGAAAAGAAAGTTTACTTTCAGTCCATTACCTTTCCCATACTTACGTTATGATGGAAAATTTTTCTGTAAACTCATTAGAAAGCTGTCATTTAAAAGTAAAATAAGCTAAAGAATTGTCCAAGAAATAAATTTTTTTCTCTAATCTTTTTCCCTATAGAGAATCATCCCACTGAACTAAGGCTATATAAAAATATTCTTAGAATATCTTAAAACCATATTTTCGCAAATCACGTTTTATGCCAAAAAATAAATCTGTTGCTCTTTATATAATTTTACAACCAAATTAATTTTAAAACTCAATGAAATATTCTCAGAATATTTTCAGTACGTACTACATTACGAGGTATACCATTGTTACTCATAAATATTAAAACTATGTAAAAGTTCTTTCTTTTAAACCGGAGGTGGTGGAGCTTTTCTACGAATTTTATTACTACTTGTTGCGCTGCACTGCGACTCGGCTATAGATCGTCCATCAGCTTCATCCCTGCGACAAAGTTCCGCATCGCTCTGCAACCAATTGGTAGTTTGACTATGCCCAACAATGACATTCATCTCAGGTGGTTCTTCGTTCTCAGAAACAGGACAACCGCCGACTTCCTCCAATAATTTTGACAACGACGGAGCTAAACCCAAACCAATATTCCTTTCGTGATAGACATCCGAAATAGTAGGCGTCAGCTCGCGTGTGAGACTTGTCATCTTTCTCACATTAGTGTGGCTATGATGTGGCAGTTCAGAATTTTGCAAGGACTCTTGATGTTTATTCGTTGGCTCAGTGTTGTTCGATTGCGATGATTTTCGAGAACACGTAGTACCGAGCTCAGTGCGTACACTCAATCGTTCGAGAACTAAAGGTGGAAGAGAAGGTAGAGGTTGACGCCGGAGAACCGTGCTTTGTCCAGCGCTTTCCCAATCGGTAATCGAACCGCTTGAACTTGAAGCAGGGCGAACGTTACCGCTAATCTGATCTTGATAGTGATTGCGCGGTCGTGTTGAACCTGCCGGTGTAATTGGCCCATAAGCTTCAATTTCTTCGTCTAAAAGTTGATTAAAAATGAAATTTACGAATTCATCTACAAAAGAAATTTTTTCCTAACATACCGTGACCGTTTGGACAGTTGAGTCGTGAAAGTGACAAACTAGGTGTTTCCATAGTCTTGCCATCAGGTTCACCACGATGTCTCACGTAGCTAGCAAAGGCACCGCATGGTCTTTCGGAAAGTCGCCCGTCTGTTTGTGGAACAGATGCTAAACTTTCCATCGAACTGCTTGAATCTAAACTCAAACTGTTTGGAGCTTCTTGAGTATCTAAAAAATTGGAAATGTCGATTATCAACGATTATTCTAATAAATATATCAGATTTTGATCAAAAAAATACACTTACCGAATAGTGCGAGTAACGCCTGAAGTGCAAATTGCACTGCACGTCTCGAGGCTTGTTTTCCAGTTCTCAAAGTCACCTCTAACTGACCAACTTCCATCAAATCGAATCCTAAACTAGCGAAAAGCTCGTGTGAACCAGTAGCACGCCAAACTCGAACAGGTAGTCTGATTTCTTGACCTTCGATCGCACAGCTTGCACGTCGCATAGCCGCAATAACGTCTTCCGCTGCTTCCGGTGCCTGAAAACAGGCCGTAGAGTAACTCCAAAATCAATAAACGAGAAATCGCTCAAACCTCTTACCTGCAGTAATCGAACAAGCGCGTGTAACGACTGCTGACCAAGTCCTAAGAGAGCTTGCAAGCTCGCACTACATCTTGTCAATCTCTCCTCTGGATCGCTTTGAGGGAAGAATACCGACGGTCGTATACCATTACCCGCTGGTTCGAATCTGAATCCAACTGACATGAGTAGTTCACGCCAACCGGTAGCGGTGCCAACTTTGTTCTCGATGCTTTTTTGTGTGGTATACATGGCGTTTTTCTGACCGCAATGAATTCGCTGTAGTGACTTTTCAACGAGATGAAGTGTTACCCGAAGTGCATCTCTGCATTGTTCAGGACCGCTGCGCAAAAGTTCGGCTAATGCTTGACCCATTAATGCCACCTGGGAAAAAATAAAAATGTTATTTAAATGCGCCAAGCAATTTGCATATCAGAAAAAATGTTGTGATTGCTGACCTTATTAGACAATCGCGTATCCCCACCCAAAAGTAACCAACCAGCCCAATTGGCCGGATGAGCAAAATGCCTAGTATGTTGCACAGTCTGCATAGCCTCAGCGAGAGCCCTCGAAGCTTTTTGCCCTTGCAGCATGGCACTGTAGAACGCCCTTAACAGAATACTTCCAGCAGTAGGTGGTATAGGCCACATACCGATGAGAACGCATTGAGTTCCAGCTTTGATAAGTGCACGAACGAGACGTTGAACTCCAGGTACGTCGATGGTAGTACTGGGATCGTTACTCCAGTGACTACTTGATACGACGACTAGTCGCGCTGACAATCGTTGTATATCTGCGCAACAGTCGAGAAGATATTCTGGCTTATCGCTTGGTTCTTCGCACTGCTCAGCGGAAAGAGCGAAGCTTGGATTATCTGTCCAGAAAACTGGCAACGTCATATGTATGCATTCGGCGTCGGGTAGGCTGCGGAGTACAGCTGAGCGAGTTGCCTCGATACCTAAAATTTATTAAATTGACAAAAAATCACATCGAAAAAACATTGTCTTTTTTAAACTATTTACACGCACCGACTACAGGTCTAGTTTCCAGTAGTTCAGCAACGATATTAGCCTCAGTCTCAGCAGACGATAAACTTTCGGTCCATCCATGTTCTTCGCGAGTCTTCTCCGGTACGACTGGATTACCAACGACGAGAGCAGCTACTGTGGCACTACCCTCTGGCATCGGCGTTTTAGCACGTCGTTTAAGTGCACTTAGAGAAGGTACCACTAATAAAGAGAATCTCTCGCAAAGGTAATCTTCACCTGAAAACCGAAAAATGATTATATTGTTTGTCAACTGAATACTTACTCGAAAGTTAAACGTTGTTATGAATCATACCAGCGCTAGCTTGCAAAGCAGGTAACGGCGCTAGATACAAAGATTCTTCAACCACAAGGGTCAGTTCTTTTCTCGGCAACGGTAGCAAATCTTCGAACGGCGTTAACATCAACTCGTATAAACTCTGAAGAGCTGCAGGTGGTTGCCAAACTGGACCACCACGTTGTTGTGCCCATCTGGCACTACCAGCTCTTGAGCTAAGAGAACCAACGCTAAAGAGACTGCTCAAGCTGTACGAACTAGCGTTGAGATGATGACCACGACTTGGTATTTTCGGTTGACAATTATCGTCTAGTGTCGCAGGGTCACACGCCGAATCACCAAGTAGCAAAGCTTCTCGTGCCTCCGTCACGCGTTTTTCCAGAGACGGACTGTCAGCTAAGCTTGTTGAGTGGAATCGCAAAAGGCCGCGACCTGGTGCTAGACACCAACTGTGTAGCTCATCGTCTATCTCACTAGAATTTTATGATGTTGATACGTGGAATCCATTAGAAATATTTTTGAATGCAGCGAACTTACCTGTAGTACAGAACAATTCCTCGTTGTCGATCAACGATTTCTGAATAATGAGTAGCATCGCCGCTCGCGCCTTCTTTCATTCTCCTCGACCTTTCAGCCCAAGTAAGGGCTTCTTCAGCTCTTTCAAGACTAACCAGAATTTTTTGCAGCATACGATATGTCTGTATTAATAATTCTATTCTATTGGGCTGCTTGTTAAAACTAGGCAGAATTGTTAAATTAAAATTCTGTCCTTTAAGAGATTCTAACAAAGTTACAGTTTTTTCCAACTGTTCAACGGCTATCGATGCTTCGCCCGCTTCCCAGTGTACTAAACCCAGTCGATGGCGTAATCGAGCTGCCTCTTCTCGCTGATTCAGGCTCTCGTACAACGAAAGTCCAGATTGTAAGTAGCTTAATGCTCGCGGTAAATCACCGCCTAGATGATGTAATCGTCCAAGACTCGAGAAAGCAGCTGCCCTAGCAGGTAAATCAGAAGCCGCCGCAGCGAGGCTCAGCGACTGTTCCTGTAACTTCACAGCTTCCTCCAGCTGGCCCAGAGCTTCCTGCGTAGCAGCCAAATTAGCACAGGCTCGAGCTTGCAATCCTGTGTCCTCGAGGCTTTCAGCGATCGTGAGTTCCAATTCGTGATGTTGCAACGCTGCATTATGATCGTCCATCAACAGATGCACCGCGCCGAGTCCACTAGCAGCTTCAGCCTCGGCAGCTTTGTCTCCGAGATTCCTCGCGATAGTTAATTGATGAGTTAGACAACTAACTGCCTGCTCATAGTTACTCATCGCTGCGTGAATTCTTCCGAGATCGCCGTAAGCTGCACTTCTTGCTTCTGGACTATCAGCTTCGTGAGCTGCTAACAATCTCTTTTCGAAACACACTAGAGCTTCCTGAAAGTTGCCAGACGCTTCTCTAGCTCTGCCCAACCCACGATAAGCTCGCTCTTGATCTTTGGTGCTTCGCAAACGAGCTGCCGCGGCAAGTTGCTGTTCATGATACTTGATCGCCTCATTTGGATCTCCCAACGCTTCGTAACAGTCGCCCAAGTTACCCAAAGCACGAGCTTTATCGAGCAAGGCGACATTGCTGACAAGTGGTTCCAAAGTAGTCAACTGTTGCTCAAAGTAACCAATCGCATCTTCGTAGTGAGCCATATTCAATCTAGCAATGCCCATGTTGCCCAAAGCTTGCGCTTCGACGCTTGAGTCGCCCAATTCCCTGGCTCTGTCGAGTTGCTCTTGGTAACACTTGACAGCGTGAGTGTATTGGCCAAGCGCCATGTGTACCGCGCCGAGATTACCGTGTGCTCTGCATTCGCCTCTCAAGTCACTTGCTTCCTGCCTCAGCGTCAATTCTTGTGTGTGAAAACCCAAGGCTTTGTCAAGATTTCTAGTTGCTCGATGAGCTACTCCCAGTGCACCGTAAGCTGCAGCCTCGAGGCTACGATCGGCCGCTTGACGCGCAAGATTCAGCTGACGCTGGTGCATCTTTATGGCCTCGTCGATGTCACCCAGACGTAACAGGCAGTCGCCAATGTTACCCAGCGCGCGGAATTTGCCTGCCACGTTTTTCATCATGTGGGCTATGGCTAAATAATACTTCTGGCACTCCAAGGCAGTGTCCAAATTACCTAGCGCAAGATGAGCTAATCCAAGATTGCAATAAGCTCTACCCATTCCGGACTTATCCTGCAGATCCTTTGCTAACGCCAGGTCCTGATCGTAATACCTCACGGCTTCTCGATGGTTACCTAGACAGTAATGTGCGTACCCTAAAAAATGGCAAGCTTTGCCCTCACCCTCGACGTCGTGTAACTCTTGCGAGAGCATTAGGTAATTCTCGTAATACGGTATGGCCTCCTCGAATCGTCCTCTCGAGGATAAACAATTGGCGAGATTAAGTAAGGCGCAAGCTTCGCCCGCTGCATCCTTGAGTTCCCGTGCTATGGCTAAGTGGGCACGATAATGGCGTAACGCTGCTTCATGGCTTTGTACCGCTTGGTAGGCTACGGCGAGGTTTCCGTGGGTACTTGCTTCGGAACTTCTGTCGTTTACCTGTACAAAAATTTAATGCAATTTCTAATAGTAGCTCAGCACTTCATTTACAAGACGTACCTCTTTACTAATGGTAAGCTCCTGCTTATGATACTTGATAGCTTGCTCGTAGTAGCCGAGCGCGTTGTAAGCGTTTCCAATGTTCCCATAAGCTCGGCCCATGCCAGCTCGATCGCCAAGCGTCCTAGCGATGCCAAGATGGGCTTGATGCAGTTTTAATGCAGCATCGTGATCGCCCAACATGTGATACACGATGCCGAGATTACTGCAAGCTCGACCCTCGGCAACCTTATCTTTCGTCGTTAAGGCAACGTCTAATTGACGTTGATGCCAGAGCTTTGCTTGCCGCAAGTCACCAGCACAACGAGCTGCATGTCCAAGTCCTGCGTAGGCACGCGTTTCAATGGCTTTGTCACCTAATTCTTGAGCGATTCTCAACACATTCTCGTGATACGTCATGGCTTGGCCGAAGTTTCGTCGAAAGTGGTGAGAGGAGCCCAAGTTACTGAAAGCTCGCGCCTCTTCGACTTTATCAGCCAGGCGACGTGCTATTCTTAGGTGCTGTGTATGGCAGTCAACCTGAAGGGAATCGAGCGAGATGAAATTATTTGTCGTCTTTAGCAAAGAAGAGGTCTTTCTCGATGATTACTCACCGCGCTTTCAAATTCGCCCATGGCAAGATAAACGGCACCGACGTTGCCGATCTCTCGAGCCTCTTGTAATTTGTCACCGATTTGTTTCACCAGTTGAACGCATTGTTTGTGCGAGGCAAGTGCATTGGGTAAATCACCAATCGCCGTATACACGTGACCAAGACTCGTTAACGCCGATGCCGCTGCTTGGGTGTCCTTACACTTCATCGCTAACACGAGCTGGTAGCGGTGAGCTGTGAGTGCTTCTTTGAAGCTACCCTTGCTAAAGTAAGCCGAGCCGAGATTGCCGTGGGCACGACATTCGCCTTGCGTGTCGCCCAGCGAACGTGCCACTTCTGTGAGATCACAATTTTTCTCTCTTTACATTGGCAATTGTCGTCGCGTAAAGCGTGTCGATCATCGGAACATAGGCATCGTCTTTTTTTTCGTAAAATAAAACGAACGAGCGTGTGCTCCACGATCGGCTCATCGCTAATACGAATCCAGAATAAACACAAAGAATGCACGAGATATATGCACCTACCTAAATCCTGCTGCATATACCCAATCGCCTTGTCCAGTGAGTTGAGCGCCCAGTAAGCGCTCGACAACGCCGAGAACACGCTGCCCCTCAATTTCAAGCTACACGAGCCAATTGACAATGCGGCTTCGAGTACACCAGCTGCAGCTCTGTATTGTCCGGCGCCAAGTAGCTCCTGGCCGACAACCGATATCACTACAAACGGCGACTCGTCGAGTTTCATCGCCTGAAGCTGCTGAAATGTCGGCTCCAGAGTCGTACGTAATGGTGATTTCAAAGACGCCTCCACCAGACCTGAGATTAACTGCTGGTTGCTTGGCTCTCGGGCTAAGCCTACGCTGAAGGCTACCAAAGCCTCGCCGTAACGACCCAGGCATTGTAGAGCTACGCCTTGCCGGTAGTATGCCTGAGTATAAACGTCAAATTGTAGTTTGCGGGTTTACACAAATATTATAACGGCAGATTACTACTCTATTGAATCGTGATGATTTTCTGAAATCTCAGAGGATCTCCAAGAGTGATCGTCGTCGCCTCACAACTTCTTATAATTTTATGACTTTTCAAAAACTTGCCGATTTTTAAGATTATCTCAAAGTTTCAGGCACTTTCAGGCTTTTGAGCAGATTTTGGAGATTCTTACCTCTTTAGTGTCATATTTTAATTATAATTTTAATTTTAATTATTAAATTTGTAGAATTACAATTTTCTTGAAAATTAAACTTCCATTGCTCGTGATAATTTTTACCAACACTCAAGCTATCTTTAACTAAATAGCATAGGTAAAAAAGAAAAAATACTCTAAAATGTTACCTTAATGCATGTAAACAACATTAAGATTACATCTTGCCCTCTGTTACCAGAAATAATATAAAGATCGCGGTAATCATTAAACAATTATTCAAAATACGGAAAAGAAAACTTAAATAAATAAAGAGTAGGCCTTCCAAAAATATATTATAGGATCCTTCGAATTGGAAATTCATATAGAAAAAAATAATGAATAAAATAACAAATAAATACGTTGATCCGAGCTCCGAAAATTTGACCAAACAATACTCTCTTCAAATATTTATCCCACAACACCGAAAAATATTTACTTTGGCACAAACATACCTTTGGCCATTGTGGACTAAGCTCCGTAGCCCTAACAGCATCCTGCAGCGCCAAGGCAAACATGCCCATCTTGAGTCTAGCAGCCGATCGGTTGGAATAAAGTACATGACTGAGGGGATCAAGGGCAAGTGCCTCGGTGTAAAGCGTAGCGGCTAAAGAGTAATCGCCGTTCTGACATGCTGCATTACTTCGGCGCACAGTCTCCAGGAACAAAGCCCTTGATCCATCGGCCAACGCTGACGAACCTTCGGGCTCCACCTTTCAAACATCCGAAATTCGAATTTTTAATTTCTTCGTCGCCGGTTATTATCATACACTGTCTGCTTTCATTTGCTGTACAATTTATTCACCAACGTGCTCCAAAAATTACGAGAGATTTAATTATAGATTGCGAGAGAAAGAAAAACAATTACAGAGAGAGAGTATGTGTATGCGTAGTATCTTGGTAAGCTTCTAGTAACCTAAACTTTGCGTGAAGTTTCTTTTTATTTTAAACACTTGAAATGTATTCCAACAATCCACTTTTTTCTCTTTGCGCCACTTCGTTTTTCTCTAAAGTGTCACGCGAAAAAGTTTACATACGACTTTCCGCGTAGAACTCTTCAACTCCGAGAATAATCCACGCAGGCAGGAAACTCGATAATTAGCCGCGAGCTCGTGTGCGCACGTCACTGGTTAAACTTCCCGCACGACCGTCAATAAAAAATACCCATCATCCGAGAGCGAGCCGAGCTCTCTACGATTTAAAAAAAAACCATTTAGAAAGCCGCACAATGATGCCGCGCACCAGAATCACTTCAACAACACAAGCACACAATGATCGAACTTGCAAATAAAACTGTTGTATTAAATCTCACGTTCGCGCATAGAATTCGGGATGCACCGAAGAAAATTTCAAATAGCATCTAGTATACAGTAACTAGATAGAGAGAGAAAAAGAACGAGAGAGAGCAAGAGAGAGAGAGAGAGAGAGAGAGAGAGAGAGAAAGAGAGAGAAAGAACAAGAGGGAGAGAGAGAGAGAGAGTAAGCGAAAAAGCAAACAAAAAGCACCGATCTCGAGCCGATTTGCTACATAGCCCTCGCGCTCAAGCAACAGGTGTGTTGTACGCGTGTGTGCAATATTTGTCCTTCGACGTTCCTTCGCGCACAGCTTACCTCGGACATGTCCCGCTGCGACATCGGCTACAGGTGGTAAATGATAACATGCTTCGCGAATCTCATCGGACTGCACTTGTCTACCGCAGCGTTTGCTTTTAGAACGGACAGTGGAGAGGGGCTGCGGCGCTGCATTCCTTGGGCCCGGCCATCTTGGAATGTGACCCCGCGACGAGAGCTCGAGAAAACGGACCCCGCGAACAGAGAGACCGAGAGCGGAGTGGGGATATTATATACTCACCTGCGCGCAAAAAGAGGGACCCTCTCTCGTTCTCTCCCTCTCTCCCTCTCTCCCTTTCTCTTCCTTTCTCTCTCCCTCTTTCTCGTCATTAAGATTATATTTTAACATGATTTATTTTTTTAATTTTATTTATTTTGCGAAAGACGTCTGGGAAAAGCCATGCGATGCATTTTCTTATAGGCGTGTAGGGAAGAAAAAATGTCGTTTACATACTTTCCAGGTATATGTACACGTGCGATGCATGCATATATAGTGAAAACGGTTTTGTAATTACACGCGCGGCTCTTGCTCTGGAATTTTCATTTTCTTTGATTACAGGCTTCAAACTTCTCTTCACGCACAGTTAGGTGGTTACGGACGCGCCAAGGACTAACGACCACGCCGATCGAGCTCTTCGAAGTTCGTAAAAAAAAAAATAAAAAGAAGAAGAAAAGACGTAAGCTTCGTATACTTCTTACGATCAGCCAAAAACTCTTTTTTTCAATATAAGCCTCATCCTTCACGATCATCATCAGTCTATCAGAAATCACACATACACAACACAGGATGTGATCAATCTTCCGACGACGATATATGTTGTGATACATATTTAATCGATTGTGTTGTATAGCTTTACTTTGAGATATATAGAAAAAGAAGAGATGTACTGACGTTCATCTTAAATATTTATGTTCAACATGTGCTCACAATTTCATCGCTATGCCGATGTGTTTTAATGTTTGCCAGCGAGATTAACTAAATTTTTGCTTAAAGCATTAATGCTTATATTTATCTTCACGACTCCGAAGAGGTCTGTAAACTTCATTTACAAAGCGAAAAATGTGACTTGAAGTTTAAGATTTGTAGCAAAAACTCAGAGACTTTTCAGAATGAACATTACACCAAGCCGAATATCACACGAAGAGTTTGAGAAAGCGCCGGGCTATAATGAACGCGCACCAAAAAGAAGTTTTGCGTCTAGAAGCTAATTAATCTCCGCAGCGGAAACACGAAAGAAAAGGTAAAAAATGATCAAACAAAAAAAAATAGGAAAAAAGAAGCCCCGGGTCTATATACTGTGTCTATATAATCTAGGACCTGATGATGGGCGAAAAGGGCCTTCGTATACATTTGAGGTAGAAAGAGACGGGATCTCCTTTTTCTCGTTTTAAACTTTCGACTCATTCGGGCTCTCGTTTTTGCTCTCTCCCTCTCTTCTCTCTTCTTTCACTTACTCTATCATTTGCTCGCTCACTTTCTCTCTCTCTCTTTCTCCCATCAAAACTCTTTTCATACCTTTTTGTCTTTCCTGTTTCCGTTTGCGCGCGTTTGATGGCCGAAGCGACGAGATTGAAAATAATGGTACTCCGACAGACGAGCGAGAGAGAAATCTTGTTTCTCGAAATGTCGGCGACGTAATGTACTTGCGGCTTTCAGCTGAATTCAATTATCATTATCATTATTATGTTTTTATGTGTGCTGGTATGATTATATTAACAGTAGGAAATGTGTGGTTGAGAAGAAAAAACTCAGATTCCTCTTTTGGAAATTTATATATTATAGTAATTGTATTTTTATTTTTCCAGAAATACACTATAAAGGTTTCAAGTTTTGTTCGATCGTATAATTCGTTTTTTGTCTTCTTATTCGATTTATTTTAGCCACTTGTTTGTTTCAATCGCATTTGCAGTACATGACGGGAAACAAAAAAAAAACAATTATTTAGTAAATAATAAACGAGGATGGCGATAAATAAAGGAAAAATACAAAATGTAAAATGTAATGCACGTGTATAATTTGTCTTCTTCTGATATAAATAATACATCTTGCAATTTTTCAACAAGTTTATGGCAAATTTAATTCAACAATGAACAATAGCGATAAAATACATAGAATAAACACGTGATAGCTGAGGTGCAAAATAAATAAATACATTCTTCTTCTCTTATGAATTATTAATGGAATGTAAAAAAAGAGAACTGCTCATAGCTTGCTCAACAAAAGTATATAGAAATCGTGAAATTGCAATACCAAAAGATCAATTTGTGTATAAATATATAGAGTTAAATCGGTACAAAGTACAAAAATCTATTGAATATTTTCATTTGGTAAAAATTATTGTGCTTGGAATGATTGGTTTCTCAGAATAGTACAATTCTTTGTTGTTTTCTTTTACATCTATATAGTAGTCGTTGTTAAAATTCTATAGATACAGCGATAAGCGTACAAGGTAAATAAGCTGTATTCTCACGATTAGCTTTTCTACAAAAACTCATTCAAATCCGTTGCTTCAAAAGAAAATATCTAATTATTTTCTTACCTTCTCCTCCCATAAACTTTATACATTGATCTTCAGAAATATGTAACACCCATAACATTTGTTCAACAAACACAGCAAAGGTTAAATTTACCGTAATCCTTAACTACTCATTACTGAACTCCGCGGAAATAAAAAATAAATCAATAAAAATCTTCGTGTAGTTTGTGCTTTTCAAAAAATATTACTTCAAAATTTCATATAACAATCGCTGGTATAATCGACATTTCCTTAAAAAAATTCATTAAATTTGCAGTATTAAAAAAACTGCATAACAACATTATCATCGATCGTAAAATAAACAATAGTTTATATCCACTATATACCGATGGCACACATTCATACCCGCTGATATTCTACCCTGAATAGGTACTCATAATCGAATTTGCGCGTGTTAAGCCTTATACGTAACACAACAGTCTTTTAAGGCCAGAACTTATTGAACAAATCCATAAAGGAATCGTAAATCATGAAAGTGATCGCTACGTCGAGGCAGACCCGGCCAAGTCGTGGTACTGTGCCTTTGTAAAAAGCACGAGGACCTTCCTTCTTCCACACTTGCACTGCGCAATCCCAGCTATTTTTGTACTTCGCTGCTTCTAAACCCTGGAACATTGGAGCAATAAATTTTTCTTTTTGTATTGTCAAATAAAACAATAATTTTCCTGATTCTATAAATTGTTATTCATTTCTGAGGATCACAGACACATCGATCACCAAAGTCTCTGCAACCCACGCTCCTCTTAATCAAATAATTACGCCCCATTTGGTCGAAATACTTTCTAATTAATACAGTAGTGAATTGACAAAATTTTTTCAAGATAAAAATGAAGATATATACGCACCTGCATTCTCGTTTTAACAACATCAATAGGCGTGTTCCCGTAGACAGATGCGGCACCTGCGAGTGCACCAAAGGCACCGACCACCAATTTAGGAACGTGCTTGTTGTTGTCGCCACCTTTATACCATTCTTTTAACGACTCCATCACAAAGAATCGAATAGCTTGATTTGAGCCTTGTTTCATTATTGTCGGTACCAAACCTTGATACACTCCTCTGAAACCTGTAATGAAAGTTTGTTTCTTTTGTGAACTCGCGAGTTGACATTTCGCGGGAACGTTCAGCCTTCGAATAAAATGCATTCCGCAACTATGTCAAGGCTCGTCAGATTCGCAGAAAAGCAAAGATGTGAAACATCGCGCGAGCGCAAAATCACTCACCGTTCTCCTTGATGATGATACCAACGCCGTGCGCGAAACCCCTAAACCTGGGTTTAGCAGAGCGTTGATCGTTGATGAACTTGACCTTGACAGTCTCCATAGGCGTGACGGCGAAAATTGCCTCGCAGACACCAGCGCACAGGCCGGCAAGCAACCTGTTCTGCGCGTTCAATTTGCCATCAGCATCTACTAATTGCTTCTTCACCGACTCGAACGAGCCGAAACGTACGGCCGACTTGGGTATGGAACCATAAATGAGTACGCTCAAGCCACGATAGAGGCCGAAAAATCCGTGACCCTTCACTGTCTTATTCACGCAGTCGAAGATGCCGGAATACTGGCGACCCGCGCCAGCCTTGCCGTCCAGTTGCAGTTGCGTCTTCACGTACTCCGTCGGGTAAGTGATGCATATCTCGATGCCACCGGTTATGCCACCTACAGCAAGACAGCTTTAATGGGCGCATCCATTGACGGACGCTGCGCTTAGTCGCGATTCTGATCAACATCATATTTTTGAATAGCGATTGTTTGTTTTGGGACGAGCTTGGCTCAACATTAACTGGATTATGAATTGATATGCGAGTAAGCTCATTGGATTGTTTCACAAAGTTCACCATGAGGAACTCCAATGTCGTTACGTCAGACTCACTAGATTATTTACTGAATTGCGGCACAAATAAAATAATAAATAACTAAAAATATATAGCAACGCGGCGATTGCTTCGAGTTTCACTTAAAAATAGAAAATAGTTGAGGTTGGAGAAAGCTCATATCCTGTAAAAGAACGCTAAGGTCACACGTTTCCAAAGCCTCGTAAACTTTTTTCCGTTTCACTTTCAAGATCTTGTGTTAAAAATATTCAGTCAAGCATAGCGCGGAAAAGAACGACAAACCAATACATTACATAATAGTACGATATCGAGCGTGGCACACACATGAACGCCTGCTGTTATCGCTTGCTGCATGAACGAGTGAAAGAAATCGAACGAGAACCATGACTTAACAATCTAATTGCGCTTGGAAGTTTGTCATTCCCGGCCTTCTATAGACTACGAGCGAACATACATATTTACTTTCCAATTTACCTTTACGCTTTCAAGCTTTGCCAAGTTTTATCAAAGGCTTGACCGTGGTGTTTTTATTTGACATATAAAGCAAAAGTAATGCGATTATAAGCTTCTCGAGCAATCTAGTATGCGGTGAATTAAATTACAAATTTTTAACGAACCTTGCATTTCTGCATAATCCCCCGGAGGAAATGAATTCCAAACATTAAAATAGATTCATCGCGAGATATTCCGCTTCGAAATACTCGCCCACGCGGTCAACGTTTAATTTCAGCAAGCGTCATCAAATCATGCTGTTCGCTGCATACAGTCACATAAACAACACGCGACCTGCGTGTGTATCGTATATTTCGTACTTGAACAACACGAGAGGTTATGAACTTACAGATTTACAAGTATTTTCGCCAAAATACACGATAAGCTTCCTCTAGTCAAATTATAATTCATAAATTTTGCATAACTGTCCTAGTAATTATCCGACAAGAAAAAAAACTGCTAACCCACCAGCGATTATCCCTTTGAGCCCAACATTGCCGGCGGGCGCGGCGGCTGCAGCTCCTTTTTCACTCATCCATGGCCTTTCGGGAAATGCCGCGCGTTTCCTCGTTTTCGTCGGTTCCATCGTTTGTTTCACCAGCCACGCCACGTCCATTTTCTCTGCGAACAAAACTGACGAGTTTCTTTTCTTGTCTAAATCTCGCACTCGCGTGAGGTGGTCGGATGATGCCCCGCTACTTACTAACACACGCCGGCTGGAATTGTGTTTGTGAAGTCCCCCCTCCCTCATCCCTCCACTGTAGAACTGGTGGTGTCATCGTCATATGTGCCTCGCACGTTTTTCGTGTAGTTATCAATGTGCCCGCGTATGTTTATTCTTTGCGAATTAATTCCCGTAAGCTGTATGAGCAATTCGATAACACGTCTGACAATGAAAGTCTTGAACTTTCCATAATAGTACCTTCATATCAATCACGTTTTGATAAACAGTCGTCAACGAATTAATCATCATGCTTGTAGTTTTTTAAATCTTTACCGGCTGTAAAATATAAAATATCTTAACAGCACTATGTAATAAACTTGTTTATTGAAAAAACATTGATATATTCATTCTCGTCTTATTTCTCTTGCTTATACAATAACAGCAAATACTTATATGCTGGAGTTGTAGCTTTCCTGTAGACGCTTTTTGTATTTAAATTTTCTTGCATCGGGCTTGTTTTCTCGCATATTTGATTTATGTGCCTAACGCTCTCGCGAGTTCCGAACTGTAAAATACTATTTTTATATTTTTCATATTGTTGATCACTCTTGAAATCATTAGGAAAGTTAAATGAACAACTTGCCCAAGTCAAGGAAATAAAAAAAGCCGAAAATATTTGGCAGATATTAATAGACGTATTGATAAAAAATATTGATCACAGGCGAAACGAAATATGTGCCGGTCAAAGATTAATGAGTTGAAACAGAAATTATATAATCACTCCTATTCAAATTCGCTTGGATTCCAAAAATAAAAAGGGAATCCACTTTCAACTTAAACTAATTAACTTGATGTTTGAGTGAGACAGAGTATAATCTCTTACGTGCTTGTGCAATAAAACAACGCACACCTCCGCTAAAAACTATAGTCTCGTGTGTGCTATGTTAATGGCAATTTCGATAGCGTCAAACGTTACCCAAATTTGATGCAATGCTCAACACGTGCGCGATAAAAAGCATCGAGCACTATTATGTAACGGCTTAAGAGTTTTAGAATAGAATGATTTAAAAAGTCTGATTCAAACAGTGATACGCGATTTCTTATCTCTTGTTTGGTTTGATAATGGCTATAAAGTATAACTATGCATCAAACCTATGTCTATTAATAGAAGCTGAAACTATTTAGCTTGAGAAATAAAAAAATCTAGTTGTACATAATTTTATTGTTATTTTTTATTTAGACGTATCACTATAATACTAAAATAAAATTAGAAACTCTTATTCAAATAATCTAATGAAACAATTCCAGTAATGTAAGTTTCGATTTTTTTTTTTTACAATGCATGATGTGGATCTTACAAAATAATTTGCCTTGGTATCACTTTTTAATGATAAAAAAAATTGTGTCGAGAGATGTTTAATCAGCATTCTACCAACCAGGCGTTGTATTTGCCAATCGTCGCATTCGTCTGTAACAAACATTTTTAAATAACGATAAAAATAAACATGTTATTCAATTAAAAATGAAATGAGTCTTGAAAATGAACTTGCCTTGTATTTCTGTCTTGATCCCGAATCTTTTTCTCCATCTCGGCGTCAGTCAACGTCTCAAGGAAAGGAGCCCACGTGTCGGCCTCTGAAGGGGGTCTGAATGGTACTTCAACCGTTGGTAGTGGTGCTTCAGAGAAAGCGTATGTGCGTTGATGCCATGACAGTTGACCTCGTATACTGAAAAATAATAATTTTATTATTAACAACTATTAATGCAAAAACTTTATCAATTTTATCTTCCACCATTTTACCTGTAAGCAATAGCAGTGACAAATTCTCCACCAAGACCAAGCTCTGCACACAATTTCATAGCAAACTTTTCAGGATTGTTTTCCTTTTCAGACATATCCCACTCAACTTGATCTACTAACGACGTATTTCCAACATGAATATTTAATTTAATAATTACACGCTGGTCACTTTGTTCCTCCAAGATTGGCTCTTGAGGAAATGCTTCAATTTGCTGTCTGATTGCTTGTGCGATTGCCGGAACAAAAGTCAATGGATTTAGATCTAAATCATCACACAGCACCTCAGCAAATTGTTCAGGAGTTATCAAACTTTCTATCATTTCAAAATTTACAGTTTTTTAGTCATATTTCAGTAATTCATATTCAATAGGATAAATATCAAGTGTTAAAACTTGTACCATTTTTATTCCATGTGAATGTGTCTCTCAATTTTTGACCTTCTATTTCCATGTCTAAACGAATTGGTACCAATACTTCTTGCTGAGCTGCATTTTCTAGATTTGCTGATGGATCAGTGTCATCAAAACTGAAAAATATTTTTAATTTACAACAGAAATATACACATGCTTTAAACATTAATAAAGCTTAATTAGAAATATAATTTTACCATAGTGGAAAAGTCCTAACTTTTTTATTATGTACCCTATTTCTGTTAATGGGAGTAGCCTGAGGAACTGCATCTAAATGTGAACTGTTTGGTAAACTAGGTACCCATGACATAGACTTCTTAGTCTTTCCTTCTCTAGGAGCTGGTGGTTCTGTTGAATGTACTGATACAGCTTTGTACTTGTCATCATTTCCTTCAATGATATCTTCAACTTCACTTGCTCTGAGAAGTGAAACACTGGAAGCTAGTACATGTTGACTGAGGCCTAATTCAATGAGTTTTTTCCTTTCATCATTTGTTATGGATCTTCTGTACATGCCAGGATATCGTTTGTAAAGAGAACCTCTGAAGAGACGTAAATAGTTGCCCACTTCAGAACCAATACAATAATACTCTCCATTTTCTTCTACTTGGAAACTAATTGGTTTATCTCCATAAGTTCTCAAAGCCATATTGTTTTAATAAATGCAATTTTTATATCTGAAAATTAAATAATAGATTATAAATGACGCATTATTAATCACTAAAAATATTCAGTTTTAGACAACTGTATTAGTTAATTTATTGAAAACTTTATTCAAAAGGCTTAAGAGACTACATATTAATTTTTAGTACAGAGTTAATACATTCTAAATGAGTATCGATATGGTATAAATAAATATTAATAAACTGTACAATAACTCTAACACTGTGAAGTACAATATTTTGTTAATCACAATTATAATATAACAATCACAACAGATTAACCTCCCGTAAAATAAAAATCAATAATCACAGTTTAAATTATTGCTTCAATCTTACTGCCAAGTATCGTCGTTCTTTCAACTATACATCCAAAGGAGTCGAACAACCGTAAAACAAATTTATGCGCAAAAAACAAAAAAACAACACAAATCAATCGTCTGATAAGAAAAACTCTAACCAAACTTTTTCACATCCAAAATTATCGGCGCTATTCCTGTGAAAAGCGTTTCTGTGTAATCAGTGCTGTCAACTCAGCCAAAACAGCATACCCAGGATGGCCAACTGTTACATAACATTGAGACAACGCGAAACGAAAATTTGAATTTGGAAATATATACCACTTTTTTCCAAAATTGATTTTATCAATTAGCCAATTAAAATAAATAAAAACTCATAAAGAATATAAAAGAATAAGTTTCAAATAATAAAATGACGAAATAGTGTCTTGCAGTAAATGAAACTAGTTCGAAGAACCAGTTCATTGCTATATAAGTGTTACAGAGAGACATCAGATTACATTACGACGCTACTTCAAATTTAATCGCGACAAAACTAAGAAACGCTCAATCAGCCATTAAGGTTAATCCAAATAATCTCTTTTACTTCTTACTGTAAAAAAATTCGATTATATGCACTGTCGGAAAAGAAAGTGCGAAAACTAATCGGAGTCTCCCAATGTAGGCAGCGCCCCCGCCGGTCAGTCAGTCTCCCATAGTCCCATGTACATAAGTGCGTGTGTGTGCTTTCGCCCCAGAGCGGAGCAGCGCAGCGCAGCTTCTCTGGCCTCGGAGAAGAGCCTGCATAGCCCTATCTGTTTTTCTCTGTCCACTGTTTTCCATTAATCCCAGTGGATTGAGATACTTCAAGATTGTAACAATGAAGAGACGACGTTACTCCACTCGTTCGTCCAGGTAAATCATCGCTCCGTCGAAGTGTTGTGAGAGTACTTCTACTGCACAGAAGGAGAGATATGCGAGAGTACGAGAGTCGCGGTCACGTGACCGTAGTGTTTACCAAAATGGAGTAGCTCTTCGAGAGGACGACGTCCGCGTTTTGCGCTTAGGCTTTGTCCTTTTCGCATACACACCTTCAGGAACCCACGCAGGTGTGAAACGTGATAATGTGGGCTGATTTTATATTTCTTTTCTCCTGGGTGCGTTGTTATATAGTCGATCATTCGGATTTTCTTTACCTCTGTGTTCAAATCTTTTTTTAATTCTCACGAGTTTGTAAATTTAGATTCGCTAGTGAGCTTTATTAATAGTGCTATATTGTTTACAATAGTGGTGTGATTGTTATTTCGAATGATATTTATGTTGCATTTCAGTATATTCTGTTAATCTGCATAACATCATTGCTTTTTTCTCAAAGAAATCCCCTTCTCTGCTATAGTATTCTGTGTGTACGTAAGTTCTGAGATAAGATACTGATAATCTATAGAAGGCAGAAAGGACTGTGGTCTTTGAAGAAATGAGTAATTGTACACGTAAAGAACAGCGGATTAATGCGATGGTTTTTTTAAGTGAATGAGTCAAAAATATTTTCTCTTGCATGCAAAATGCACTTCATAGTGCTGTCAAAATTTTGATAAGTTATTCATTACAAGTGAATAATGGTATGAATTGTATCTGCTTCAGGTGGTGACTCCAAATTTTAAAAAATTCTGGAATACTTACTGATATGTTGCCAATTGCATATAAAAGGTAGGCTGCTAACAAAACAGAAAGTTAGATATAAAGTGAGATAAAAGTTTCAAGTTATAATATTTTTTAAAATTTTACTTGCAGGTGCCAGAGCAGATGATTTCAAATGTTATTTTAAAAATCAAAAGAAAATTATTATACTAAAGCATCTAAATGTTGTGCATTGTATAGCAATACCAGGTAGGGCCATAAGGTGTTTCAATCATGGCCAGCACTCAGGTAGATTACCAGTGGTAAGTGTTCCAATATCTTATCCAAATAAATAATTATAACTACAATATCAGATATCAAAACAATTATTTAATATCTGTTATAGGGCCTACACGATAATGGATTCTTCTAGGGTATCCACCTATCTAATATCAATACTACTAATAGTATATGGCAGTTTTCGATCTTTAAACATGGAGCAGGAGGCAAGAGAAAGAGCAAAGGAAAAAGAACGCGCAAATCTATTGACAGGACTGACGAGTAATAGTGCGACGGCAAACTCGGAAAATCCACCGTCAAAGGGTGTTCTTACTTTGGACACGCTGCACGTTCTCTGCCTACCTCTTGGTGCTTCCATTTCTCTACTTGTCATGTTTTTCTTCTTTGACAGCATGCAAGTGCTTTTCGCTATTTGCACAGCCAGTGAGTACTTCTTACATCATTACTAATGGGTAAATGAATAAAAGGTGTTATCAAGTTTTTTGTTCAATCAATCTTAACATCTCGCAAAAGCATAATGTCGAGTGCGATGTAAAAACATATAAAGGTTACCTCTATAGAAAAAATACGATTTCTCTTTACTCGCGAAAAAGAGACGATCTTAACGCTTTCGTATTATGTCGTACATAAATACAAAACGATAGAAAAAAAAGATAGATGTAGTAAAATTTTACAAATAACTGTTGAATTCACTTACTGATTTGTATTTTGTTATTATTTCAGTTATGGCAACAGTAGCATTAGCATTTCTGCTGCTGCCAATGTGCCAGTACATAATCCGTCCTTGTTCGGACGGCAACAAAATATCTTTTGGTGTGTGCGGCAGGTTCACCGGTGCCGAGTTGCTCTCGTTTTCGTTAAGCGTCAGCATAGTATGCATATGGGTGCTTACAGGACATTGGTTACTCATGGATGCAATGGGTATGGGTTTGTGCGTTGCGTTTATCGCTTTCGTACGTCTACCTAGTCTCAAAGTATCCACTTTACTACTCACTGGGCTTCTCATCTATGATGTCTTTTGGGTCTTCTTCTCTTCGTATATATTCAGCACAAACGTTATGGTCAAGGTAATTTAATATGATTATGATAAATCTCAATTGTAATATGAATATATTTGTTATTTTAGAACGATAAAAAAATGTCTTCGGAAAAATGTTTTAAATTATATTCATTTAAAAGCTTTACTATTCAAATTTAAACTTAAAAGCTCGCTGCTTTTGTTAAATGATTCTCTTCAAAGTTTCAAGAATACAATAATCAAGTGTACGAATAATAAATTTAAAAATATGCACATTTACAATTTAAAAATATTGAATTTATCAACAACCAACTAGGGAAAATTTTTTACTGTACATTTTTAAAAAATGTAGACCAAATTTAAACTAGTGTATATTTGTTTGCGCATTACCTTTTCGTCAGGATTGTACGATAAACAGAAATAAATCTATTATCTTTATAAGGAAACCTTTCTTCGTAGGTATTTTAAAAAATTGAATTATTTAACGACTTTCACCTGTGATATTTTATTCAGTACAGTTCGTGGAAGTCAAGAAGCTTGAACTATTTGTCGACCATTCACTTATTTCTCTATATTTGTTTGAAATGTAAATGAACTTGGATGTATAAATTGAAAAGCTAGTGCTTAATTAAAAAAAAGTTTTTTCCGAAAATCGTTATTAAATTTTGCTTGAGATAATATATATTATTCGAGCGTAAAAAGATAAAAAATATATAAAATAATATGCATACCCTGAAAATGTTTTAACTAATGGAGGAAAATTTTTTCTATAGTTCCGGTTTTCGATGGAAGAAAATCGATTAAACGATTGGAAGAAAAAAAAAAGAAATCAATATGAGTAGCGAATATCTTGACACTACGTCAAAAGTATGTGCATAAACGAATTATCAATAATATATTTTCAACGAGTGCTTGTGTAAAGTCGTACATACCATATATTTGAATATTAAACTAGATCACGAACATTAATTTTTTACTTTTTATGCAGTTTTTTTCAAACTGAACAAATCATTCTACTCGAAAAAAAATGGTATCCCAACTGACTTCAAGAATACTTAATTTCTGGATTACAGGTAGCAACGCGACCAGCCGACAATCCAGTAGGTTTGGTCGCTCGTCGTCTACACTTGGGTGGTAGTGTAGCACGAGAAGCACCAAAGCTTTCGCTACCAGGCAAACTTGTATTTCCATCGATGCATCGCGCTGGTCATTTCTCGATGCTGGGTCTTGGTGATGTGGTTATGCCAGGACTTTTACTCTGCTTTGTATTACGTTACGACGCTTACAAAAAGTCACAACCATTACCTGGTGGTTGCGAAGCTGGTGTACCACCGCCAAGGCATTTAAATCGTATAACATACTTTCATTGTTCGCTCATCGGATATTTTTTGGGACTACTCACAGCCACTGTTAGTTCCGAGGTTTTCAAGGCTGCTCAGCCGGCTTTACTTTACCTCGTACCTTTCACGCTACTGCCCTTGCTTACCATGGCGTATCTAAAGGTATGTGTCTGTTTTTATGCTAATTAGCGTGTTTTTCATGTATTAATTTTATTGATAATATTTAATAATTTTCCTTCTACAGGGAGATTTGCGTCGAATGTGGAGCGAACCATTCATAGTACAGCAACCAACAAAGCACATGGAAGTTTGACAGCTATCCATGACAATGATGGTCTTAGTCTCGCATTTGCTTCGTCTACTCAACTGTTCGTACGTGGTTTCGTACATAAAACGATTGATTTTCGTTAGTTTTACGTCACTACATTTTATGTAAACGAAGCTTTACGTTCGACGCACAGCACACAAAATATTCTCGATCTAATTTTTACTTAGTATTTTCTCGATAGAGTATAAACAATATATAGATTTCGCAACAATATATATTGTTTCGAGAAAAGAACGAACGTGCATTTACCGTTTTACTTTGCACATTAAACTCACGAAAGATTGGAAATTCGTGTGATGGAACACCCAGTTTAGAGTTAGAAGGAATGTGATCAAGTGGTGAAAATGAATTATTCTTCTGAAAGAATAATATTTCAATAATTTTTCAAAGCAGTGCAAACTGCGCTGAAAGTATGTAAAAAACCCCTTTAAGTTACAAAAAACCTTGCATTTTTTAATTATTTTCTACGAAACTAATGAGTTGTAATAAAGATTTAACATTTTTTTTCTATTCATTAAAGGTTTCTTGTTGCTTTCGTGGAAATTAAACGAATGAAGAGATTCTTGGATACAAATAAAGGAATCCCTGATAATTTTTTTAATCACGTATCCATTGACATTTACGAACACTCGTTACTTTATTGGATAATATATAGTACGAAATTAATGCTAAATACTATGAAAATGTAATTCTGCACAACTTTGTTTTAGCAAGGGGTAAAATTCTAGAATAATGAAAAAAATTTATAATACGATTTTTCAATGAAAAGATGGATAAGTAACATCTAATCTACTTTTCTGAACGATGATTTAGTATAATATCGTCAATATTCCATATCTTCTAATTGCATTATCATATTAAATTTTTCTTTGAAATTGTTATGCTCTCTTCAAACTGCACACTTTTGAAAGTAAATCCATTTACCTTCAGTTTAATAAACAAATACTTGTACATACCAATACTACTTATAAGTAGACAAAATGATTTTTCTTTTAAATTTATTAAAATTATTATTTTAAAAGCTAAGCAAAATAATAATAATTACGTACTCAATCTTAATTTTAATTATAAACTAAAGTTTAACAAGGAAAAAATTACAATATATGAAAAATATAAAAAATTATGATAACAAAATCCATGGAAAGCAAAAAGTGATCATTTTATTTTCATTAGAGAAAAAATGTTAAGCTAACATCATGAGATTAGCTTTTTCAGGCTCATTATATAGACAAACTACTCCTAAGACTTTGTATTTTATTGAAAAGTAAGACTGATTGATCAATTTTAATAATAAATTAAAAAGTTTGTCTTCTTTCAATAATTTTGAATAAACAATTTTTCCATTAATATTTAAAAAACTGTTGATTCAAAATTAAAAAAAAGAAGCTATTTGCAATATCCAATTGTAGGGACGCCAACAGCTTGATTCGACAAAAAAAAAAGATAATTTTTTCACTTAATCGGATTTATTGCTCATCATTACGATTAATCGTAAATCGTTGCGTTTTTGTTTTTTAAAAAACCTTATACGTTTGTATAAAAGAATTAGCATGTAGTTGTTTCGAAGTGATTCAAATGTCATTTTATATATTACTGTACCATATAGATTGTTGTATAAGAGTATAGATGAATGAAAAAAAAGAACAAAAGAAGTACGAACATTTATAAAATTAAATAATTAACACCGTTTCTAAAGAAAGAAAAAAAAACTGTTTCTGATAAAGTTTCAAGGCTATTCATGTTTGCTTTATGACTAAGTGGATCATATTATTAACAGTTGTTACTCAATTTTCCGTTTTCCACGAACGCCAACTTTTGAACAGTTTGCGTTACATCTTCAAATAAAATGTACTTCTTAAAATTTGCCATAAGCAAAAGATTTCCGTTAAAAAAAATACTGTTACTCCAAGATGATCATTGCGGTCGTTTGTTTAATTAAAAAGTGATTCGTGCAAAATTAATGACATAATATTAATGGTTTCGCGAAAGAGAGAAAACAAGAGAGGAGTGAATAAGAAAACAAAATCGCACTACTGTATCCGTCGTCATTAGAACAGTAGTAATAAAAAATGTACCTACATTCTTCGTTCTCTTATGCTTCGGTCATGCAAACTCTTCCCTCCCCTTTATGATTTTTACCGTCCATAGCACAAGCATTTGTACTCGTACCAGTTCAATTTCGCTCTACAAATGAGAAATTGCTTGTGCGTAGCTCTCGTATTTCACAAACATTGCGGAAGAAAGACTTATTGCGTTTAACGTATAGAATGTATACGAGTATATGTTTTACGTTGAGAAAAATGGAAAAAACTGCCAGATAATCATTTTATTTGAACAATCGCAAATTGACTTATTGTTAGATGCGCCGCGAAAATCTGTTGTAAAACTGACTACACGTATAGCACTCACTTATTCACTTATTCCAAACACACATACTCACACACACACACACACACACACACGTCTGAACGTAGACTTATCCTTTATAATTGTATGCATGACCATGGCACGTTTCATCGTATGGGATATATAATAATTTACTCTGATAAGTTGTAAATACAGTCTGTTTATTGCGTGAATATAATACCTAATGGATAAAAACAACAACAAAAAATGGAAAAATAAATAAAACATCTAGTTGCTTTTGTACAAACAACCGCCCGTAGCCGACTGCAAATCTTCTACCCGATGAATATATATGATGTATTTGAGGTGGGTCATTTGTTTACATACTAATGTAATACGTTTTCATCGTGAAGTAAATAAAGAAAAACATAACGATCGTACGTTTGTATATGTAGCAAATATTTTAGGGGGTAATATTCTTTATACTATAGTAATGATATAACGATCAGTACTAATGTTTTCCGTTTTACGTTTGTATGAAGAAAAAGTGTTCAAGGGAAACTTCAATGAGCTGGAGAAATTTTTTTTTATTTAGCTTGGAAGACTGTGTCAATTTTTTATATCTTTAAGGCTTGTGATTCATTTAACATGAATATTGATTGTAAATTAAGCATCAAAACGTATAGTATTTTAATAATAAAAATAGCGAATTGCTTATTCACGTTGTCACAATTACCAAACTCGTTTTACAAAACGAAGTAACTTTCGTCGATTATATTATCTTTGTTGATTTAAGAAAATTACAAAATGGTATATGAGCTATTGAATTTTATTAGTAAAAAGAGCACACACAGGTTTGGACTTCCATTAGAACACTTCATTAGAGCTATTATACGGCTAGTATTAGATGAATTTTGAGTACAAACAAACATGTCACCGAGTTATTGCTCAAAAATTTTGAGTAATAAGAGTTATTCACGCATCTTCGACAAGCATTTTTTTTGCCACAATATACTCATTCAGTTCAATCAAGTTTCCCTTCGGCAGAGATCTACGACGTTTGTAACTCTGCTGTTTTATTTTTGCCAATATAAGTTGTTATTTGTCAAGTAGACTAAAAAAAAGTACCGACAAGAAATTGAAAGAAAATAAAAATGAGGAGAACCTAACTTACTTAAAGATCGTGTATGATTACAGCTGTGACCTGTGATAAAAACAAATGGGAAAACTTGAGGAGAACAGGTTTGATAATGAGGATAAAGCGTCGCATCTTGAGAGAGCATTAGAGAAGTGAAAGAAAACGAGGATACAATTAATTATTAAAGAAAACTAATATAATAATTAATGTAAGAGCACTTTGCTTGTATCGCTGCAATTATGAACTTGCATGTGTACAGCCCTGTACATTTTTATATGTAATAAAAAAGAAAAGGTAATAATAAACGGCACGCACTCGCGCGGCAAATACTTTGCGCTGCGACGAGGACGTGTTTGAACTGACAATTGTTTAATTATTTATTTCGGACGTCAATTCAAAACAGCTGCGATCACGGGTATTCTTGTTCTCCTTTACAGTTGCAGCTGATAGCAAGCATCCTAAAAATTGCGTCGAATCATGTAACGGGAAAATTGCTCGATACAGTTACGTCAAATTCTGAACTCATTGTTTTTTTATTTCTTTTGTCAGATAACGCGTTTTCATGTTTTTTTTCAGACATAACGCTGCTCCATTACTTAAGTAGATTAAAGTCTTTTATTTATAATAGATATCACATTATCGTTGTTACAATGACTGCTCATACGAAATGTTTATAAATCTCATCTAGACATAATTAACATCAACGACGTTTGACGGCACTTGTCAAAACGTTGGCCCGCATTTTCACTTGGAAAAGTGTTCGTTGTTGATCGCTTAACAAAGCAAATAAGGGTAAAAATACGAAGGTACAATGTCGGATTGGTCGAGAGGGTAAGTAGAAAAGAAATGCTCTGTCGACGAAGAAGAGAAAAATCCGCGAAAAATCCGCGTACGCAAAACTCCTAAACATAAACACAACTGGCGTCTCGACGCATCTCGACGATTAATGCGACGCTCGAATCTGTAAAATCAGCAGACGTTGTTTCGAGCACGACATCTTGCGTGAATAGCAGCACGCACAGCGCAACAACGAAATCTCGCAACAAGAATGATCATCGATCTGGTACTCGCGTGCTGTACAAGCAAGCAATTGAACGAAAGCAATTGAACGAAATTTAAGCGCTCGCTGCCGGTTGTCACACGTGACTCTGTCCGAGATTATCCAAATTCCTCTTGATATTCTCCAGCTCCTTCATGTCGCTAGCGGTCGCCTCGCACTTGTAGACGACGAGCGAATGGTAGAAGTGCACGGCGAATGCGATAAAGACGACGAGCACGGGTATGACGATAACGGTGCTGGCCGTCGCGGCGGTGAACGAGTAGTCCCAGAACTTCACCCAGCACAGGATCGCTACTTCGACGAGGAACAGGAACAAGCCAAGGACGGTTGAGAAGGCCCAGGCGAGCTCGATGAAGCCGCGCATACGCTCGTGCGGCGACTCGCTCACCAGGCGCGACACTTGCAGCTTGCTTATCGCCTCCACGTTCGGCAGCAGGTACGTGCTGATCATCAGCGCGAAGATGTGCACAGACACCAGCACCGTGGTGCACACGGCGAACATCACGAACAGCCATTCCGGCACCGCCGTCGGCTCGTTTATCTGCAGCTCCACCATCGCCACCTGCGGACAGTGCTCCCCTATCAATTTTCCAAATCAACGATATCCGAGTGCGTCTCACGCGCGCTTCCCTTCCGCTGCTTTCCCCAATCGAATCCCGCGGCTCGCAGCTGCACTCTCGTGCCTTGCGTAATTCCGCAAATGCGCGGATGACAGAGAAAGATTCGTCCGCGCAGAGGGATCTCGCGCGTCGCTCCCGAACGATTGGATAATCCGGCCGGCGACGTGGTTTTTTCGAAAACGCTTCCTACATACCGCGCTCGATGATTCAAGAGCTTTTGCATAATACGGAGACGTCGCGCGCGCGCGAGCGCCGATGCGCCTTTTATTTTTTCCCTCCTGTCATCGCCACTTTGCAAACATACTTGCGACGCTGTCGCTTCCTTTCCTCTTGTCGCGCTTCGCAAGGTGTGCCTCGTGCTGTCCCGTTCTATCGTCGCGCGCGACCACTCATTTTCAGTAATTTCTTCTTTAGTTCGTCGCCCGTGTCGAAGTAGCTTGCCCTATCCGACTGGCGCTAGTTTTCGCAGCCGACAACAATTTGACGGTCTTCATCGCGACAGACCGGCTCTGGCAAAAGCATTTTCGGCTCGATGCCCGACAATGAAATTTCGCGGCGATGTGCACGTGGTTGGCAGTCGTAGAAAACTAACGATTACACGTTACGTTGACAATTCACGTTTACGAGTGTACCGATTATCGCGTGATTCGTCGTCCTGCTTTTTTTTTCTTTTTCTTGAATATCCACGATAAAATCTCTTTTCTCACGATTGATTCTATTCTGCCTGAGCTCGCATGCCGAGTGGCGTTCGAACGAAAAGAAAATAAATTGCATAACGAACTTTTATCGCGACTGCGAGCAAATCAAATGGAAATCGAAGGCTTAAGATGGCTCTGAGGCAGCCGAAACTACTGATGCTCGCGACCTCGTGTATTTTATCGTTCAATTTGCGCGTGTCAATTATTTAGAAGCGTATGTTATCAGCACGGTGGCACGGCAAATATTAAAACATTGAAACATCAAATAAACGCGTCAAAATAGCGCATTATCAGGGCGATATCAGTGCGCACCAGACGGTCGGCTGTAGCTCTTGTGTACATCTATGATAAGGCGATGAGCAAAGTAAAATACGAGAAGGTTGGAAGGAATAGATTGAAATATACCATTGTCTGTGCATCGAATTCGAAGGTGTCGCAAGGGTACTCGCAATTGTCCTTAACCACGCGAAACATAAGATTGGCATGAAAGTAAATAACCATGCTACATTTGCCAGCGAAACTAGTTACCAGTAGACTGGTAATTACCTCACCTATTTACTTTTATATTGCCTGTAATTTCATTAATAAGCAACTCGGTTACTCACTTTCATGCCAAGCAAGCCAATATTTTACGTGCTCCGAAGAGTCTGGCATTGATCGCGGATTAATTTCGCAACCGCACATTTGCAGCGCGCAACGAGCGACGTTAGCGAATCGCGTGAAAAGAATGCCCACTGGACGCGGTTATGCCAGCAATGGCAAAGCCGAGCGTGGCATCCTCCACGACGAGCCGACAAATGAGACTCGTTGCCGAACGTACCATGGCGAAGCCGCTGAGCAGCTCGGACGTGGTCGCGGTAGCCTTGAGCTTGGCGCGGCACATGTGGAGCCGCCTCCACGACAGTCCCTCGGGGTTGTCCTGGTTCTCGGGGCCGAGGTAGGGCGCCTGCTGGCCGCCGACCGCGGCGCCGTTGCCGCAGGCGCAGCGGCACTGGCACCGCTGCGAAGCGGCCGTCAGCTTGCTCATGTCCACGGCGGTGTGGCGCCCGTTGCCGGCGCTGTTGCTGACGCTCCCGGCGCTGTTGCTGGTGTTGAGGCGGCTCCGCGGGCCGCCCAGTACGCCCTCGCTCTGCGTGGCCGCGTAGCTGGCGTCGGCGTTGTGGCGGTACGACAGCTGGCTCAGAGAGGTCGGCCGCGAGCGCTGCCGGCAGAAAAAGCCCCGTCACGCGCGCCGATCGCTCCCCTGATGGATCGTCGCGACTTGCCGCGGCTGCCTTGTTCGCGACACTTTGCGCCGAACCGACCCCGGGCAAGCGACGGCGAGCGGCCTCGGCAAGCAGGAACATCGCTCACGGCTTGATAAGCGGCGATCCTCCACACGGAGCTATCGATCTGCGTGGCCTTGCTCGCCCTGCCGGGTAGATCCTCGCTGGACGACGGCTTGGGGAACGGCCTCCTGGCGAAACGGTCCGAGCCGTCGGTCTGCACCTCCTTGCCCGCGCTCGACGTCGCCGACATGCTCGGCAGCTGGCTCGCGCGCCGCGAGGCTCAGTAGTCCACGCCGGCGGGGCTACCGACGCCGCCGTCGGCGGCGCGACTTCCCGGCGAGCTCCGCATCCTACCGCGCACTTTGCGAGCCGGTGCGCACTCGAGGCGACGCGCGCGCGCTCGCGCGTGACAAAGCGAGAGAGCAGTTGTCGCGACGGGTCGCGCGGCCGAACTGTTGCGCCAATGCCGCCTTCGCCGCTGCTCTACCTGGCCGCCGCGCGACCATCGTAATAACAATGCCGCACACACGCGAATTACCGCGCCGCAGTCCGCTCGCAGCGTAATAATAACCGGCCGACTCTCGAGCCCGTACGTACGTGCGTGTGCGTGTGCGCGCGTTTGTGTTGGAGAGGATGACCGACGAGAATGGAAGAAATAAGAGAGAAAAAAAGAGTCGAAGATTTCGCGGAGAGATCTCGCTGCTGGCGTACACGTGGAAAAGTTTCGGTCGACGGACGGTGGATAACGCGCGGGTGCGCGAGAGACGACGAGACGCGCGGCGCCGCGGTTTTCTTCTCGTTCGGCAAGATTGCGCGAAAGCGGACCGAGTGATCGACAAACGGGGCTCCTACGGCCCGCCAGTAATTTCGTTCGTACGACCGCAAAGCAATTAATTTACGTTTGTTCTCCGTGTCCTCGATAAAGCAAACAAGCGATCCGCTATGCGTACCCTCGTAACAGCAACACGCAGCAGCCTCCGTCGAGCGGTCTTATTGCAGCGAAAACTAAAAAAGGTACGTGTTTGATCAATTTCATGCTGACGTCTCGCGTTGTGCAAACGCGCGTATCCCAATGCAGCTCTCTTGGATTATTTATATCAGTGGAGTTTCCTTGCGCATAAAACTGGCCTCGATTACGAGAACCGGCTGAATAATCAGGGTGATACGGTGCGCTTTGAGCGCATTGTGCTGGCGCGATTGGCAGGACGGCTGGGACAAAATAGGCTCCAGTGATTGACGTTTCGAGTTTGCAGCTTTCGTGATACATAGCGCAACGTCGTAATTTTTTCACTTCCGGACGTGCGAGCGATTAAGGCCGGCGACAATGCGAACTGAAAGCACGAATCGGTGAAAATCGGTGTTCGGTCGTCGCGGTCGACACGGAGACCAGCTCCGCGCGGACGGTCCCTTCGGAAGCAGCGTACACGCGACGAAAATGAGACGCGAATATATGCGCGTGGCGCGAGGCTAAGCGACGAGCGAAGCATCGCGAAGAGTGAAAAGCGAAATTTACGGGCGCGCGACGTTGCTATCGGCGCGAGAAGTGACGCTAAATATTCCTTGTCTTTCGCGGCGCACAGAACAGGATGCGCGCCGGAGTAATTATGCAGGCAAATATTTGCTCGAATCGTAGCGCACCGCGCGACTTTATTGTCAGCTTCCGTTATTTTTACACCGAGCGCGATGCTCCGACGCGCTTTGCCTTGTGCAACTCCATAATATATCAAGTTATCTTGTCTTTACGAGGTGCCGCTTTTTCTTTATTTTTTTTGTTTTTTTCGAACGTCGCGTAATCACGTTTTGTCTTCTGACATAAAACAATTTCGCGCTCGTCGACGAGATGCTAGTTTTCCGTTGTTCGACGGCAATCAGCGGACTAAAGTTTATGTTCCCAAATTACGAATTACCGTTAAAAATTGAGGCGCTTCGCTTTGCTTTTCTCGTATGCAATATTTCCGTAAATATTCGAACGTTTTTTCCTCGTGCTGTTAAAATTAACGTTTAATTGATCCTAATTATACAATGCTCACTCGCAAAATTTCGAATGAAATTTCTAAGAACCGCGAGGAATAAGTTATTCTCAGCCGAGGTTCGGTCGTTTTTCGTAAGCCTGGGCCTAACGATCGTTAGTAAATAACGAGAACGAGAAAAAAAATTAGCTATATAACGATACGTCTCGGAACAGCTTCACCGTGATCGAAAACATTCGCAACGTTTATTTTGACGGGAAATTGAGCTTTGGAACGCACCGCACTTCTGCTCGACTGCGTGAAACTCGCGTCAATCTAAATTAACTGGACGGCAGAAAGACGGAGCTCACTTCCGTCGAGCGCATGAGCATATCGATCGAGGAATGAAAAAAGAAAAGCTGCAAAGTCAAATTTGCATATGCGACAGGGATTCGCCGCCCGCGCATTCATCACCGACTTTGCGGATCCCGCGGACACTAATTTATAGCCGTTGCGCAACCCAGCCGTTTTTTCCTTTCTTTTCGGTGAACGGCGCGTTGCTTTATGCACACCGACGACTTCAGCGTTTTCTTCCTCTTCCAGAACGTTGCTTCAAGTTTGTTTTCGCCATTGCGAGTTCTGTCGACGCTTATGTGGTATCGCAGGCATTCGATAAATCAAATGAAACACGGGCGGCAAGCTAAATTAGGACGACGAGAAGCGTTCGATTTATGAACCTTCCAGCAATATTATCCTTCCGAGCGGCTGATCAATAAAGCTAGTAGACCTATTTGAGAACGCGCATCGTTCAGTTGCCGCACGCTCTTAGCCTTTCGAAATCTTTCCTTTCAGGACGACCTCGTTAAAAACCATGCTTCGCTCGCCCGATTTAATCGGATCATTTTTCCGAGACGCAAACAAATCCGCATGCGTCGTTTGCTCGTGCACCCTCGACTAATGCACATAGATATATGACGATGATATCCGAGCACTACGAAAACACGTTTATAGATCGAGAGGCTCGAATTACTCGAAAAGCGCGAGTATCCGCGTCATCGTCGCGCAGCAGAAGGACCTTCGCGTGTGCCGATGCAACATATATATATATATACACAGTATCAATTGCGTGATGAGACTTCGATCTTCCGAAGCTTTTGTAAAGTTTCCGAATCTGAGGCCTGTTCAAAGCTTCAAACATTCTGATGTGCGTGTATACGAGTATTTAACTACTTTTCTTATCTGAAATTTCATTGGACTTCGATAAGCTCTGTCGGCAATCGTGTTCGGGAGTCTCACGGCAGATACACACGCTCAACTTAATTGGCATTGTGCGTGACTTAGTTACAGACGGAAACCCGATGCTTAACTGAGCAATCATAACGGTATCTTTTCCCCAACTTTAGAATTGCTATTCACTTTCCTTGCACGATAGATTTTCCTAAAAAATTTCTATTTCGCGTAGCATGCGAAATTCAACGAAGATGCAAAAGGAGCTTCGGTTCAACCTTTCGATTCCAAACCCATCGAACAACTGCGAAAGTTTAAAGCCGTTCGATTCGAAATTTCTACTTCAGCGATTGCCTGCAGATTACCCACGTGTCGCACCGCATACAGCGTGGCTTTTATTAGTTCAAGTACACAGCGCAAAGAGGATGACTGCACGCAAGTGCTATCGCTTACTCAACTTAAAAAAGAAGATGAAAACATAATTTCCTATAATTATCCGTGAAAAATTATTTCTGTGTAATCACGCGCAGAATTGTTTATGAAAAATAGTCGCGCGCGTAATTATATTGGCCGCGATGGTAACAACGGGTAATGACGTCAGAAAGCTTTTTGATGCACTTCAATAGAATGACAATATAAGTTCTATACCATCGCACAACTACATATAGATATATAATGTCGTCCCGCACGCGCACACCGTGCACCTGACCGACAAAGACAAATAGAACGAGACGCGCGCAAACGAGACTGACAAGGATGGAGCGAGTCTCGTGTAAGCGCGAGCAAGGCAGATACACACACAATCGCATCGCTTCGCTCTCTGTGTCCGGAGCGTTTGTGTTTGTATCCTAAATTACGCTCGCGCACGAAAATCTTTACAGTATTTCATTATCATGAGGAGGAACTTCGGCCCATTAACAACCTAAATACATACATACGTGATTGTTTACAATTTCATTGGAATCGCCTACTTATTTGTTTCTCTCTTGTGTGAGTTGCTGTGTATGTTGGATTTTTGTTATGGGATTGTTAGCTCTCTCGATTCGCGATTATAACCTTTCGCGCGATATGCAAATTACACCTAGATCTCTTTTTTATTTTTGTTCGTCTCACTGAATCCTGTTTTGTTTATGCATAATTCTTTCGAAATATCTTAGATTTATTTTTTTTTGGTATCGATAATACTCATAACTGTGTATCTCATCACATATCGGAGTGGGTATACATCGCAATGAGAGCCTCGATGGGTTTTCTATGAAGGTGTAATTTGTAGATATGAATAGGTATAGATAAAGACTAGGGTTAGGGATATTTGTATTAGTTTTACGTTCGATAAGTTCTATTTGTCTTTTTATCTCAAGAAAGGTGTTAAATTGCCTGTGATGGTTTTGCCATTGCCAGACTTCTCGTGTAATCGTTTAGTACTTGCAATGAATTCAACTTGCTAAATATGGAATATGTCCTCTGAATTGATATCATCAGTTAATTAGCTGGCAATAACTGCAAGGATATGACTCATTGCTAAGGTCACTTTCAGAGTGTAGAGTTGGTTTGATCAAAGTATATTTCTGTGCCTGATAAGCAACCTGAGTTTCTAGAATATATAGTGAATGGCAGTTTTGTAATATAGTTTATAAATTAAAATAAATTTTTTTCTAATCATTAATTAGTAATCATGTTTCAGAATAAATAAATCAAAATGCCTGAAAGTGGAGCAGTGTATCAGCCAACTACAGTAGGCTATTCCTATGATAATCGAGATGGTGGGCTTGGTATCAGACGAAGTTTTTCTAGAATCATGTCCAGGCACAAGTTCAGTACTAGAAACTGGTTTGAATGGGTATTAATGACCGTTGGAATTGCAGCAATTCTTGCTGGATTTACAACAATGATCATTAATCTAACCAATGACGAAGAAACAGAGACTCCAAAGAGGGTAATTTTAAATTCAGAAAAGAAAATATTACATTCTATTTTTTATTTTCTACTATTTTACAAAAACATGTCAATCTACAACTGCTTTTCATGTACAGGCTGATACTACAATTACTACTCCAAGAGACTCTACAACAGAAGTCAAGGAACATTCTAATGATTCAAGAGCTTCGATAGCTGGAGGAGCTGCTGTGATGTTGATTGGAATACTTTTGTGCCTTATCTGGGGCTATTTGCGATTCTTCCGTAATGGAAAGTCTCCCAGAGGTGGAATGACAAGTAACAGTGGTCAGGTATGTGTAGTTAGATGTTTTTTGAAATCTTCTCTATGAATTACTCTAAATTACTTTCAAGTAGTGAAAGTCTAATGCACTTCAAAGCTGTTTAAAAGTTTTCCAAATTGTTAAGGCATGATAATAAAGTTGAAGAAATGTAGTTACAATTTAAAAAGTAATTTAGAGCTTTTGAGTAGTTAGAAAAGTATTTGCTTTGATTAGCTTCAAAATTTTTGTTTTATTGCTACTCTTGCATCCCACCCCCTTTTATTTTAACCTTGTGTTATAACGCGCGTTGCTATTGAATATTATAAAGATGTTGGGCGGTTTGAATCCATCGACTGACTTGCTGGTGGGTTCCACTTCGCAGTACGGGCCAGTACTAACAGAACTACCAAGCCAGCTAAAGTCGAAGCAAGCAAGTAGTCTTGAAGTGTCTACTGCAATTCCAATGTCTGATCAGGAGGAAGAGACTCACACCTTGATGGATGAGAATACGGGTCCCAGTACCATCACCAGTCAAATACCAGGCTGAGTAAGAATCACTGCAGCAATTAGGCCTGGAGTGAATAGATTTCGCAAGGTCGATACTTTTTTTTCATTTTTTTCTTCACTGATGCGTATAAGCAGATAGTCAAAAATCAAGGATGGGTTTGTACGCTTTGAAAGCTAAGGAATGTCAAAGTAAGTGGATGTCGTACTTGTTTTAACTTGAGTTTTTGTATTGCATTTTTACACAAACTTTTTTCAGTCTTGATAACTTTTTTATAGAAGAGCATAAAAGTCTACATACTTTGCCTATGTAAACATTATTATGCCACTTTTGTTACTTGCTATCATTGGTAACAAGTGAAACAAGTGTAATTTTTTGTATAATTATATTTTTATTCATCATATAGTTACAAATGATATTTTAGATAGTTTATCAAAGTTTTATGATTTAAAAATATTTAACGTCAAATATATTGATGTTATGATCATTCCAATTTACGTTATTTGAATGATTTGATCAACATATGTTTTATGTACATACATATACATGCACTTAATTTTGTATGCATATAAATTGTAATAGCCTCTTCTTATTAATTCCTTTATGTATATAGAAATTCTTAAATTTGATTAGGTTTGTGTTAGTTTTCATTATTTTATATATATGCTTCAGTAAACATACTCAGAGGTTTCAAATATTCGTAATTTTTGCTTGGTAAATTGCAATTACAAGCTTTCCAAAATTATTACTAATTTGAAATTTAAGTAGTAGATAACCCATCCTTGGTTTGATTTTTTAATAATGTACTGATAAAAAAATTCATTTAGTTATACACCACGTGATTTTTTATCATAATTTGTATTTTGGGAACTTTTATTTTAAGAATAGCTGAAGAAACAACTTGAGCCTTCAATAAGTATGCCTGTAAATAGAAAAATATATCTAAAACTTTTAACTAATTGACTTTTTCATGATCTGCAAAAAACAACACTAGCTTATGCAACGTATAACAGATAGAATAAAAGTAACAAAATAAGCGCGAAACCGCCGTTACTTCAGAAACAAAAGCGACACTACTCGATTCATTTTTATTGATATTTTATTTCTTTTTTACGTAAAATAATAAGGCGACGATGCAACATCAAGATTTATGAAGTCTCTTTAGTGTGCAGAGAACGATCGTAATCTATATTATCCACGTATTTTCAATTATACATAAAAATACATGTAGATCTCAAGTATCTTAAGCTGCGATCAAACAGACACGATTTTACAATTCCGATATATAAAAACAACAAGGCGAGAGAAAAAGAAAAACCGATTGTAGAGAATATATTTTTAGACCGTGAGATGTAGGTTTGCGGAATGATAGGATGGAAAAGGAATAAAGCATTAAGAATATAGTTTCAAATATTTATTCTTTGAGTCGCGAGGAGAGAATATATCTCACTCATCACACTGATCGACGACGTTGGCTCGACTTTTAGCGTATCTTAGAAACATACATACACCGCTAAATACCAAGAACATAAATAGAAAGTTTTACATTTTAGTCAAGTTCGCGAGTTAAAGTCACATTATAATATGGCAGAGAGCTGATATACAATAATGCTGTAGTATGATCGAGAGGGGTTAATTGCACACTTATAAAGTTGAGCTGCGACAATCAGGGAAATGTTTTTGTCGTGTGTATAACGTAAAAAAATATGATCGCAACGAATTTTTGCAACATAATATTATTACACTAATCAAGTGGTATTCTCTCGTATTATTGCTAAAAAATTAATATACAATATATCGATTGCCTAATATCAGTATAAGAAGTATATAAAATAATATAGCTTTTGCATTTATCATATTTCATGATGAAAAGTATTTAAAAATTAACTTAATATGAATACTATATATTAACATTCAAGTATAGAATTCCCTGTTAGAGCCCAACTCCATCTTCAAAAGAGTTAACAGAAAGAGTCAAAGTCAAAAAAATAATAATCACGGTGCTCGCAATCATGATATAAGTATAACGTGACTGAGCAATAAATAAACAAATGTGCAATGAAGGTTAGGAAGGTTATGTCGAGACAAGTACAATTTATTTGATGGTTGTATATGAAAACGAGAATCTTACTTGCGTTTCAATACGCATCACAATTATTCACGTTTAGTTTATATAGCTTGTAATAAGAATGTATTTTTATTTTACAATTTTTACCATTTACAATCATCTCATTGTATTCTATGTATTATTTGGAACTGTCCACGAAAGTGCAGATTCTAAAAATTTATAATTGGCTTATAACGATGAGTAATAATTATTGTAATCTTGAAAAAAAAACAGTAGTTCTTCCAATTCGGAGTTCCTAAATTCAAATTACTTACACGTACGAGCAAAACGCTCGTGCGACAATACGAATTTGCCAAAACATATGTATTTTCGTACAGATCGTTTACTTAGAGTGTGTAGATTAATAAATTGGAATCAAGTTTGTTGCCAAATTACTTGAAAATTAGCTATTGGCTTTCTGCGAGAATATCATATTCGTTGCATTTATACTCCTAATATAATTCCTTTCATGTTTAAGTGTGTTTGTACTTCAACTGTTATATTGCACAAATAACACCGAAAAAAATTCGATTACAGACATGATTTGATAATTTTTCGATTGAGCATCGTTACAAAAAAGCGTAAGCAATGTTTATACTTAAGTAAGTACTTCAATTGGCGTAACGCATTTATATATTTAATGATATATATATATATGCATTGAAATTTTCAACTTAAGAAAATTAAATAGCACGCATTCTGCGCGCATGTATACTTAATAAAACAATTCCAGCCACAGGCGGTACAACTATATTATGATTTGGTCACTCCGTCCATTTTTGTAAAATCGCCGATTGAATTGCACATTTATAAACATTTATAATTTTGATATATATAAATCACAATTCAGATATATTGTTTTGTCGGCATGTTATTTGTATTTTACTTTTTATTATCAGTTCTGTATACTATTACATTTGGAAAATACGAAAAAAAAAATAAACGACTGAAATGTATGTATCCCGTTGTTCTTTTATTTCTAGAGAACCTTCGTACAAGTGAAATTAACACAAAGATCAAATATGTTTGATCTTTTAAAATGTGTACTTCGCCGATAAGCATTTTATTAATTGGCAGACTTGTATAATTTATTATTTTTATGTTAAAAAATTATATAAATTAAGTAATAGAAATTCAATTAAACGAATAAATTTAAAAAAAAGTATGAAGTCGACATCCATAAAATTAACAAAATGAAATTTAATATAAAATAAACAAAGCCAATCTTTTCCTTACGCTCAACCCAGAAACATACCATTGAGTATGAGTCCTTGATCGGCGTTAGGACATATTAGCGCTGATACGAAGAAAAACAAATGCCCATGTGTGCATATGAATCAGTCTCATTCTGGCAGTGCAGCGTGACATCCAATCACAGCAAGCCGTCTCAGGTCGCACTCGAAGTTATCTGAATTCCTCAAAAGCATGGACCCGACAAGTTACGAAGAAAATACATCACTAACGAACACGTGCGCCCAAGATGTGAACAACGCATTACAAGACGGTCTGCCAGAAATTCCAGTGGAAGTAATGATTAGTAAACAGAAGTAATTAGGATTTCAATTTTTTTTTTCTCTGAAAGTATATTTTCGATTTTAGTTTTCATTTTTAATTAAATTTTTTTCTGTATCTGTCATTTAAGAATATTCATTTTCCGTAGAATAAAACATTCTTTTTTGTTCTAGAACATCTAAAGCAACATCAGAACAGAAGGAATTAATGTTAGAATTTATTCAAGAAAATCCTGAAATGGTGACACACAGTAGTACGGTAGAAAATGAAGTTAGTATAAATTTCTGTACTAAGTAAAACAATAATTAACAAGATAAATGTTCAGAATAAATTAATTTTTTTATTTTTCTCTTTGCAGAGAAATTTGTGGGAAGATTTGACAGAAAAGTTGAATATCCTCAAACCTGAAAAAACACAGGAAAATTGGAAAGCTGTAAGTAATAAATCACGTAAACTATAGAATACAGATTTTTTAAATTTCACTGTATTTTTTATGATTGTAGGCTTGGTACAGATGGCAAGTTTCTGTGTTCAAACGCTCTGAAACATCATTACATTGTTTGGATATAAAATTGAAAAAGTTTTTAACCCAATTGAAAAGTGATTGTGATGGAAAAATGCTTGTCAGTCAAACCAAACCAAAAAAAAAGTTAAATATTGAACAGATTGAAACTATTCTTAAAGATATTGAGAAAGAAAAATATAGTCTTCATCTTGAGATAGATGAAAATGAAATCAGTATTCAGAAATTCAAAAGTGTTGTAAAACATCTTGAAAATGACAATCTTATAAGACACAAAAGAATGAAAAAGCTCAATGAACGTAAAATGTATTTGAACACTAAACGAAGAAAAATTCAAGAAACTGAAATAGAGAATATTGAAGTTCTTGAAAAGCAACTTTTAGATATAGACAAACAATTGGCAGAAAGTGATATGTAGTTTATTTTTAAGTTAAGGATAGACTATTAATTTTAGAATTAAGATATACGAATTAATCTTTTTATTTTACTGAAAATATTTATACATATTTTTGAATGATTGTGTTAGAAATTACAATTTTATGGTAAATTATAAATATAATCATTTAATACAATTGATTTTTGAAAAATAATTATAACCTGTATTTTGATTTTTCAATTCAAATCTTGAAACCATATATATATATATATATATATATATATATATATATACACACACACGTATACTTTAGCTGAAAAATCCAACCTGACATGGGATTATATTTTGATCATGAGGCTGCTTCATCTCCTCGCTACATGTTTATTAACTTTGGTTTATTTCTTCCCTATTCATATGTAAAACAGGGCTTTTGTCGGCATGAATGTAGTGAGAATCAATACAAAAAATGTAGTTTACTTAATTATAGCTATTCTTTCTACGTCTGTCAGAGAAGCTCATATGGACTATGGTGGTAAGCTAAGCATAACCTCTACAATTCCAAAACATTCATTTATTTTTTCGATATATATTATTATTCAAAACAATAGTAAGATTTTAAAGAAACAAACTCTTTTGCTAATCGAATTTTTATCACGTATTATAATAAAATTCTAATTGTTTAGCGTTTTATTTGGATTTCACTTTTAACTTTCAGACACTATATCCAATTATGCTTCAAATAATAACTCAACTCCTGCTTATACAACTAAAAAGGTGAAAATACTGCTTACTATTATTGCTTATTTATCCTGCAATATAGTCTGATTTATTATTTTACAATTTTTAGGAAGACTTATCAAATATTTGTCCTGCAGGGAATTTTTGTTCTAAGTTGAGTGCTGAATGCTTATTATGCACATTAAATCATAAATGTAATTATGGAGTTACTTACCAAGCAAATTGTACTGTATTGAAACAAATTGATTGTGTGGTAAGAATTGTTTAATGCTTCTTTTATATTTATAAGTATATTTAGTTAATTATAAAAGTTATTTTTATTGTTGAATACTTCCAACTCTAAGCTATATAAATAAATTTACAGGGTGACACTAATTTTGCTAAACCTTACATTTGTCGTTATTGCTACCAAACTGACCACTGGGAACATGATTGTCTCCAAAAGAATTCTTGTAGTTCTGTGGCTTCACCTCAGCAATACTATAGGTTGATATTGAAAAATATATTCAATTTGGTACTATTGTATAAAATTCTACTAAATGCAATATAAATGTTTCAGAACAAACTGCACTGTAAAAAGTGATATTCTGTGTTTAGGAAAGAGAAGATTTTTAAAAAATTTACGATGTAACTGGACTGGTGGTTATAGGTGGTCCACTGCTCTAATTTTGAGCATCACACTTGGAGGCTTTGGTGCTGACAGGTAAAAAACGTCAATCACTTTTCAAATATAGTATCATCGTTAATTATTGCTATATAAACATTGTCAAACATAAAAATTCATTTGTTACTAAAGGTTTTATTTAGGCCATTGGCAAGAAGGTATTGGTAAACTGTTTAGTTTTGGTGGACTTGGAGTGTGGACTCTAATTGATGTGATGTTAATATCCATGAGGTATTTAGGTCCAGCAGATGGATCATTATATGTTTAAATTTAATCTTGATTTTACTGAATGTATATAAAAAGTATTATAAATGTTATTTATGTGCACTGTAAGTTATAGAAATTTCTTTTATCATATATAAGTAGGGCAAATTAATTTTCATAAAAAACTTTTATAAAATGTTGTAAAATCTAGTTTAATACATTACTTTGCCATCATATCCATGAGTTAACAGTCACACACGTTTTTTATAATCACTTATCCTCTTGACATGTATATACATTTGTAGTTTTTATTAACAATCACTTTTCAAACTATTGTTTGAAGGTTTAAATTTTATTTTCATAAACTTGCTCCTGAACAATAGATAGAATTTTATCAGAATTTGTAGTTACTAGATCGCCTGGAATCTGTGAAAAAAATGAATTATATAGCTGGTTTTTCATATTATAAATTAAACATCAGTAACTAATAAGTACCAAAATATGATGAAATTTCAAATAAGTAAGTAGTCTTAATTTCAGTTGCATTAAACCATGAGGAATTGAAGTATTACGTAGACATGTGGAGTTATTTAATAAATCAATATGATATAAGCTAAAAGATAAATTTATTATGATGTTCACAGTGAGTAAAAATATAAAAGCAGAGAAACCATAATGAATGTACCATGTTTCAGTTACCAAGGATATTCCTGGTATTTGTAAACCTTTTACTGGGCAATGTATTAATATACCTTCAACAATATTCTTTTCAATTAAAATGTTTAAAATTTTTGCCACAAAATTTACTTCTTCAGGCACTGTATAGGTAACCTGTATTTGTTTCTTTAAAATCACTGGAATATCCAAGTCCATTTCTATACTTATTTGCTGTATAAGCAAATGTAAACGGGATCTAATTTTCCAATGGAATTTATCATAAAAAATTGGTTCAAAAACACTTTCTGTAAAACAATTTTCTAGAATCTAATGAATTCAAAATCATTGCTATAACTCAAATACATTAAAATTCATAAAATTATTTGAGATTTTAAATTACCTTAGGGCTCCAGCATTCAAGTATATGTAAACTTAACAAACTGTTCACCAAAAGTCCTACGTTTTCTTTATTTTTTAATTCCTCTAATCGTTTCTCTATAACTTTTAATAACATTAATTTTTCATCTCGTTCTATAGAGAAACCTAAATGACTAATGCTCCATAAAAATCTGTCTAAATCTTTCAGTCTCAAATTCCTTCTATTCTGTGCAATGGTTTGCATACAGTCTCTAATTAAACGAGCTGTTACAACAGGTTCATTTAAAAGAGCTTCAGCATATAAACTCAGAATGTGAACAGTTGTTGTGATATTGAATGGTTTTATCTGACTAAGAATAACATTACTTAAGTTTGTTAAATTTAACTGACTAGTTGGTTTGCTGAGGCGAATAACTTTGCAGAGAGGAACAAGTAAAATGCTGTTAGATATCAATTCTTGTGATTTTTCACTTAAAAGATCTTCTAGTACTCGACATTGGCTTTGATTAAGTTTTACAGACGATTTGTAAAATGCCTCAGCAGTTATACATTTTTCAATTAAATCCATGTATTTGATGTCTGGCAGAAAGAGTTTTAAATACTCTATATAACTTTTAGCTTTATCTTTTTTTAATGAAATGAAAAATAAAAGCTGTATTATTTCTTGATGACTTAATAATTCACATTCTAACAATTGAAATAATATATCCATGGAAGTTTCATAAAACTGAGTTTTTGTCAATGTATTGTAAGTAAAAATTTTCAGCAATAAACTGAGTAACATAAAAATTTCTGAATATGTCAATGAATCAATTAACTTGAGACACTTGTGATCAATTTCATTAACGATTTCTTGCCTTATTTTACATCCATTAGATAAATAATTTATTTGTTGGTGAATAAATTGAAATTTTTCTTGACTGAAATTATTTTTATTGATTTCTTTCTGGAGTTGAGCAGACACTGCACACTGCTCTGATACCTTTCTAGCATCATCTATATTTTGGAAATAATTAAGAATTTTATATTGTAGTGATGGTTTGTATCCAAATCTAATTGAATAATGGCATGTTAAAGGTTTACTAATGAATGTGTTCTTGATAAATAATAATTGAATAATTTTCAACATGCTTATGATTTTTCTCGTCATACTGTCATACTCTTGCATGAATTTTGGTAGAATCAGTTTTATTTAAAAACATATAATTAAATTACATGTCGATGAGTTTAATTTTAATAATCAAAATGTTTTATTTTTAAAAAACACGTATGCTAAGTTTGCATATTGTTAGACGAATCTATGCTCAACATAACCTCCAGTTTTTTCACAGATTATATATATGTGTATATATATATATATATATATAGTATATGAATACACACACATAAAACGACGAAGAAAAACGGGGAAATGGTTGTGACCTGTAGTGTTAAAAATAGAATTTTAAATCAAAGAAAATTAGTTTTATAAAGAAATAAATTTAGTTTCCATAAAAAATACATATAATTTATTTAAAATTTATTTTTGCACTTACTTATATAAAATATAAACATGCAAACAAATAAATACTTTCAATAACGTGTTAATTTACAATTTATACACATTTTATTAAATGCGAATCAGGCATGGTAATCGAAGCATTAGATTTCTATACATTATGAAACATTTTTAATCAATATGATGATCATGAATCCCATTTCCTTTTTCTTGCAACTTATACGAAGTTAGATTTACATCTTCCTACCATACGTGACGAAATGTCGGGGCTTGGCTATAATTTATTTTATCTGTAATAGTCTGCAAAACTTTTTGTGGCTTTTTCAATAAATTTTCTTGTATCTAAAAAATCACAAATAGTTATCAAATTGAGAAAAAAAATTTTAGCATAACATCATTAAGCAACTACTTACAAGGATATACCGTATCTGCAAACGATGTAAAAGACGTAATTTTAAGTTCATATAACCATGAGGAACATTTGTATTCTTTAGACACGATACGTTATCCAATATATCAACATGGTATACCCTAGATAGCAAAAATTAAAAATATATTTAGAATCATCAAAAAATTATACTTAAAAACCATCTTATAAAATAACTTACATATCCTTAATTCTTAAAGTAACTCCTGGTATGAATAATGCTTCTATTGGACATTCTATGTTGACAGAATCGACTATTTTGTCATTAATAAGTTGCTTACAAATTTCTTCAAGTTCAATTACATTCATAGAAGGTGTAACTTTAGTTACTATTGGTCTATTAAGTGACTTTGGAGTTTTTATTTTCATTTCAAGATTTATTTGTGTTATAAGGAGTTTCAATCTTGTCTCAATTTTCCAGAGATATCTGTTGTGATAGATTGGTTCAAAAACATAGTCTCGGAAACTATTGAGTAATACCTGTAAAAAATCAGTAGAATTTAAATTTCCTTAAACTAGCTGTAAAAAAATAATTTACATGCCATCTTACTTTCTTACTCCAGCACTGCAGTACATGTAAACATAGGAGATCACCAACAAATAAGCTTAAATTTTTTATTTTTTTGTACTCTTCATACCTTTTCTCTACAATAGTCTTAAAAACTATTTTGTCCTTTGAGCTCAAAGTTAAACTCAAAATACTTAAACTTCTTATAAATTTACTAATATCATATAACTCCAACTGGAAAGTGTTACATTTCAAATCTTCTTTGAGTGCTTCAATTCCTTCTTTGACTAGTATATCAATTACTCTTGGTTCAAATAATAAAGCTCTTGAATATAAACTCAACATATTAACTAAAATTTTAAAATTCCATGGTTCCTCTGCATAAACTATTGCGTTAGTTAGTTTTTTGAAAGTCAATACTTCTTTTGTACTTATCAATGTTAATGCTTTACATGCTATAATTAACAAATGTGGTTCTTTTTTTAGTGCTTCAAATTGGTCTTCTATAATTTTTTCAAATTCCTCAGATTCAGAGGGTGTAAATTTCACATTAACTTTAATAAAACAATCTGCAACCACACATTTTTCAAATAAAGAGAGTTTTTTAATATCTGTTAAATGAGGTCTTATATCGCCAATGTAACATTGTGCCATTTCTTTATTAAATGACATGTAAAATAAAAGCTGTATTATTTCCTTATCATTTAATGTTCTATTCTCTACAGCTTCAACTAAATTAGATATAGCTTTCTCATAAAAATAAGTTATCTGTATTCGATTAGAATACACCTGATGAAAGTTATACAATAAATCAAATATCTGATATGGTTTTAGCACATGTACAATGGAAAAACATTTGCTGTCAATATCATCCAAAATTGCATTTCGTAGCACTTCATCGTTAGTATTTTGCACTTTTTTGAAATCACTGTAAACAGTTTCCAACGTTTTCTGTGCTCTTGGGAATAAACTATCAAAACATTCATCTGATAATTCAGATGTGTATTGCAAAGGTTTTTGTAGTTCTGATGTAGATTTAAAATATTTCAACGTTCGACTCTGAAAAGATTCAGTGCACAATGTTTTGATGAACTTACGATAAGTATTTACACAAGCAGTACATCGTAACAAATATACTGATCTTAACATGATGATTCTTGATGTTATAATCTTTTAACAAATACAACTTGTACTTGTATTACAATGTTGTTTGTTAATTAGTTAAATTTGTAAATTGTACGGACCTCATCGAAAATATAAATGAGAAAATATAACCTACAAATTTAATCAGCATGGGCAGCGATTATACAGCGATCACGTCACTATATATGTAGCGTGGTTGTAAGTATAGTTCAGTTAGTCAGTTTGTGTACTTTGTGTTAAATTGCAAATAATGTTTAGTGTACTTTGTTTAGTTATGAAAATATATATTTTTTAAAACTTGATTATGCTCAAAAATTAAAAAACCTTATGTAATCTTGAATTCAAGCAATCTAAGTTCACGTATTCCGAAATCGCTACAATATAGTAACGATCGCACAGTGTATTCTATAACCTTACTATCAACAATGTTAATATAGCGTTATAGTATTGAACTTTATTTTTTCGACATAATTAAAGGAAAAACAAAGTAAACATGCCAACTGTAATAGCTTTGGACGTTTCGTTGTCTATGCGTAAAACAGTTGCTGGTGGAACAGTGGGAGAAGGTTTACACAGTGAACAATTAACAACACATCATCTAGCTGTTCTTGGAATAAATAATATTCTCAGTTATTTACAAACCCACTCAAAACTTGAATTTGTTTCTCTAGTAAGATTGTGACATTCAGATTTATTTTGTTTCATATGCTGATATTTCAAGCAAAATTTTTGAATAAATTTCAGGTACTATTTTCATCACTGTATGAAGTTGTTTGTCCTTTCACTCGAGACTATGAGTTAATAAGAAACAAATTGCAGTGCATTGATGAATGTGATAAAACTTGCATAGAAACTGCCTTATACAGCATAAACAATATTTTAATTTCTGAGTGGGGTAACTCAACAGCATGCCAAGTAATTTTAATTACTGATGGCAATCCTGGAGTTGGACCTATGTCTTTGGGTGATTCATTGAATTCTTTGAATTTCCCTAGAGAAAATCCATTCCCATTGCCATTTACCTATCCTGGAAAGTTGACACTTGTTTGTTTAGCAAATGCATCAGGTAGAGACAGAATTGTGTCAAATTATATAAATTATATATTAAAATATTAAATTTTTTTTTTCAAAGATCCAAATTTTATCAACTCATTACCACTTTACCAAAAGCTAGTTGATCTAGCTGGAAATGATAGCATACTTTTGGTTCCTGAAGGACAACTTTCAAAATCTTCAGTTACAAATTGCTTTAAAAAACTAGCCGAAACAAATTATATATCATTCCAAGGCTATCTAAAGTGTGGGCACCTTGGATCTAGAGTGTCATTGTCACCACCACCAACTGTAAGTTCAGAGTTTCAGCAAAAAATTATATATCATAAAAATGTATTTTTCATTTCAGCCTCATAGTCGAAAAACAGATTTTGAATTTATGCCTGGTTTAACAATCTCAAAAACTATTGAAATTTGTGGTTTTATATCAGTAGCAGATGTAGGAAGTCCAACCTCTATATCACGACATTTGGTTTTACCTTTGTTGACTGAGAAAACATCCAGTATGCAAGGTGTTTCTTTAGAAGAAGATTCAGACATAGAAGATATTACAGATGAAGGGAAATTGCCATCTTTTTGTGTTCTATTGCATGGTGCTTTGAAGGTGCTAATATTATTTATTATATATTGAAAATTTTTTATTGTTTTAATTAATTTCTTTTACCTTACATAAAAACATTTAAATTAGGTTGAAAATATGGCAGCACTATGCACATTAAGTACTGATTGGTACGGTTTTATTTATTCCTGGGCAGATACAAAAAAGAAATCGAACCTAATGTTGACCGTTTTAGAGCCTGGCACAGACGTAGTTCCATGGCTTGGTAATTTTCGCAATTTAGGTCCGTTTGAGTCGTCAAGTAAAAACAGTGAGGTCTCTAATTTTCCCGTGAGACCAGCAGAAAAAAGAAGCTACTCACAGAATGCGCCGTCATGGATTCGACAGGTTGGCTTGCAATCGGATATTCAGAAAATTCTTAGGCACGCAAGAAAGCTTCCGGAAAAAACGCAAAACTTCTACAAGGTATATTTTTTATATATTAATAGAGTGTATTTGATTTTATAAAATAGTTTAATGTCATTTTATCATTAATAACATCTCAAGGAACTGAACAGATTGCGACGCGCAGCTCTATCTTTAGGTTTCATTGAATTACTAGAAGGTTTGGCTTTGATTTTTGAGAGAGAATGTACACTGCTACCGCCAAATCTGCATCCCGACTGCACAATACAAATGGGTCATGTTGCCGATATGCTACGGAAGCCTTATTCACGTGAACTCAAAAATAATATAACACCAGTTAGAACAAAATTCACACCTGGGGATTAAGCTAAGTAATTTAATTGATTGAAATTAAAATATACCAAAGTGCATTGATGTACGATTGATTTATAAACAATTAGAATGATACTTGAATGTAAATAGTTTTGACATTTGTTAATATTCAATATTCAAAAATATTTTTTTTAAGTGTATAAGCTGGTGAATTACAATTTTGTACATTTGACATCAAATACACATTCAGTTAGATGAATAATGATCTCTAACAGTCCTTGAGCAGTTTTTATACTTGGATATGTATCCAAGTCAGGAACATGTACAAAAAGAACTTGCGGTTCTTTTAGAGACAATGAATTATAATAAATATATTCACATAAATATCTTCCTGCATCACTAGACATAGAAGCCTTACAGCCAGTTTTATGAGAAGATTCATTGACAATCCGGCATATTTTTTGTATATCAAATTCAGTTTTCAGAGTCTCTTCCATAATATCTTCTTCTATTGGGCAGCTTTGAATTATGTCTGGCTTATTGTAACCTTTGCTGCAAGCTTGGCATTCAATTTCCAAACATTTTGCCAAATGTGACACACCCACATGTAAAATTATCTACAAAAATTGATTTCAAAGCCTTAAAATAATTTATAAATGTTATTACCAATGTTAAGAAAAATTCGTTGTAAACTGCAATAAATTTGCAAGACTTACCAATGGCTTATGCTCTTTCCAGAGCTCTCTAACTCTCTGAGCTACATCCTTATAAATAACTGGTATTTCTTCTATAACTAATTTAAAACCTGGGGACTTTTCATGTTTACTAAACAAGTCTGGAAGTAATTTAACTGCTTCCCAACTAGCATTTATTTTATGATTTTGAAATGGACCAAACCCAGTAACTAAAATTGTTGGCTGCACTTCATTACTCATTTTGATTTAGTAATTTCAAGTAATTTTGTATGTTATTAATACAATATGTACACAACTTTTGGATGTGCTTTTACCGTTTGGGCTAGCATCACATGATTGAGAGTCTGCTGTTATCTTAATGATACACTTTGTATGTATCTAATAAATAGACAAGATTGATATCACACAGTATCAGTTTACAGCTGTAAGTTAAAATTTTCACTGCTTAAATAATCAGCACCAATGTTTAATAAATGTTATACAATTTTTACTTCATATTTTTAAATAAAAAATCTTTAACGCTAATTAAGTATGTAAGAAACAAAATCATTGTTTGTCATTATGTTTTCATGATTCTGTAAAAATAATTAATAAATTTGAATCATGCGGTCGCGAATAAAATAAATAACAGAACCGTCAAATTGATTTTCTAACTGAATTTAAAAACTCACCCTTAATTTTATACTTCTTTTTAGATTATTATTAGTGGAGACTCAAATTCCGACGCTCTAGTTCATTTAAGGTTAAGCATACATATTCTACTATATGTATATATAGTTACTGTCAGGTTATACTGTTTATAGACATTTATTTTTATAGACGTTATTTCGATTTGTTGGATATTTTATAAATTTCAGCGACATTATTTGTGAACCTGTTGAAAAGCTTAAAAGCTTAACTTTTAGAGTTCACTACAAATTCGATATTATGTTTTAATATAAAACAAAAAATGGAAACTTCTAAAGGGATTCGGAAAGTTATTAAAAAAATTAATAGAGTAATAATGACGAAATTTTAGATTTCTTCAGTTTATTGTACCAAAAATTGCATCTCATTCAATATCATCGATCCAATATAATATATATATATATATATTTTTTTTATAGTATCATGTATTAATAATATACTTATCACTTCTAATATCAGTTAAATTTACTTTGTATGTAAATATTTGTAATAATGTATGCAGTAATCACATACAAGTACCATGGTTGTCGTTCACCGAGGCGCCTTACAGAAACATTTATAATCGACGTGCAAATTTTTATCATTTTTTTATACATAAATAGCTCAGCGATTTTTCGATTACATTCCAGGACTGATATCGAAACTGTTGTATTTTTTAACTGCACAATATTCAACTTGACATTACTTTAATTAATTAACATTGTAACAACGTAGATTTTTTTTATTAATGATGAGTCACTTTTTTCCTTACATTATTTTGAAATAGTAGCGAGAATCGTGCGCGAATCTAATCGATCCTTTAAGAACATTTTTTATTAACGTAATTTGGCTTCTCGAATACAAAATAACCGCATTGTAAAAGAATCAAAATCTACTAGCACGTATTTCGCAAATTTTAGAAAATAAAAGTATTCATTCACTAAAGTAAACATAGCTATTAAGATAAAAAAAAGATAATTAGAGACGAATGAAATTTTAGTCTCGGTTTCGAATATGTAAATGTAAAAGTCAAACAGAAAAAAAAGCAGTCCTGTTAGTTGAAATCGCAAACACTCATCACAGTCACTTTTAGAATAATAACATATTCAACTACACATCGATCAAATCGCGACAAACATGATTCATTTTTACAAATTTAAAGTTTACATGCGTTCTTTTTTTGCAATTTTCGTTATGCACTTTTTGTATAACTATGTATAGTTACGTTTACGCGCTAAAGTTTTTAAACGGCCGGTATATTTAAAAAATGTATTGTGTTTTACTATTTGAAAAAGTCGAATATACAAGACAGGTAAATTATATTTTTTGATTTACACGTAGAAACGTTGAAGACCAAAGTATTCTAAATGTTCATTCGTATTGTCAATAATTTTTATTTTAAATAACAGATGGGACGAAATGAAATTAAAATTAACGCATCGAAAATAAAAAATTACATGCATATATTTGACCTTTTCATTGTATCCGTTTTGTGTGTCTGCGTCTAATTACGCAGATTCATGTGTACATGTTTTAATGACAATTCGTTACACAGATTCTTTAAGAATTGATAACGTCATTTATTTTTAAAAAAATATCGCTTTGGATTATTCGAACAGTTACGCAAGTTTTAAACTTGTATAATTGGAGCATTTTCCCTTCTTATTATGCACGAAATTACAATTGTCGCACTCTCTGCAGGAGCCAATTTGACAGATCGTAACAAGACTCTTGTTCCGACTGTTGCTTTCTTCTTTATACAGAATTATTATTGCATTTGAGAATCGATGGCTGGTGATGTCGGTCATACCGAAGAGAGAAGAAAGAGTCAATGTTTTTTTGTTTTCAACGGATTATCTCGACAAATCGATCGATGGGGAAAATAATAATAATAATAAAAAAACAACTTTAAAAAACAAGAATATTATTATTAAAACTATATAATTCTACTTTGTTAGACAATCCAATTTCAGTATTAATAAATCGCCGCACTTACTGATACGAGTCATACGATTACGACCATTATTGTATAACAACTAATTAAAATAGCGCTAAGTGTATTTATATTTTTCATTAATTGTAATGTGTGAGATCTGAGAACACGAATTTTCACCTCGATTTAGCTCAATCCAGAGAATCGCTCGACGTCTTTTTTAAAGCACTTGCGTTGCTATTTTTCATGTTTATCTTGCTTATTTGTATTACATCCTATCTTGATATATCCTCATGTTCAATTTCTGGCGGTAATAAATCAACTTAAAAAACACTTTCATAATTGGCTTACAAATCTCGAAACTAAATTGACAATTTTATTTCCAACTAATAATCGTAGAAACATTGATTCTCATTCAAAATAACATTTCATGATTTTTTGTATAAACAGATAAAATCATAGACGAATTCATAAAAATATACTTTTCATTTTAGCTCTGTAAGAGTAAAATTAAAAAGTCGACTTGGTTGCACGTGAACGAGCCGCTTAAAGATATTTGTGCTTAATAATGGAGAGTTATAAATCGCGTGCGAAGCCACAAATAAAGAAAAAGCCCGTCGATGATTGTTATTACGCTTGTGCCAATGTCAACATTTTCGTAGATCATCGATCAAGACTTACTATTGTAAAAATTAAACGGCAAAACTTATTGTCTAAAAAGAGAAAAAAACCATGTTTTTTTATCCAGTAGATTACATATACAATCAGATTTAGACGTTTTACATCCGGCAATTCTCACTTTTAGCGGCTCATTGCGTCACTGTGTGTTGCTCGTCCCTGTTTCGCTCTGATTCTGTCGACAATTGATCATACCTATTTTAGAGTGTTCTTTTTTATTTTTTTTACTATTGGCATGAAGTAAAAAGAGATTTCCGTGAAAATTTGGTCATTGAAATCGCGTAAAATGTTGAAATCTTATTGTGTACAGCCTTAAAATTAATTTTTTGTTTTCTCATCAATGTTTTTCATCATATAGACACTTGCTCGCGCTACACACGTTTAAAAACGATGTTCCATTTGTTTTTTTGTTTTGTTTAACAATTACATTTAAAGATAATATGAAAGACTAAGCAACGTTATATAAAAATTGAAATCCTCCGTAGACACTTATCGTAATAAAAAAAAAAAAGAAAAATTTGATACCGCGTGATATCGTAGAACGACAGAGCACGCGTTTCCTTTTTTTATCAATAATAAAAAAAAGACAAAAAAAAATGAAAAAAAGGGGTGAATTTATTCGTTTTTTTGGTTATAAGGCCATGCGGGAGAGTTCGCCATAAACAAAAGAAGAAATTTTTCCAAAGCAAAAAATGACTTTGTTCAATAAGATTGTTTTTTGCGTGTAAGAAGAAAAAGTAAATTGCTGCGATGCGCATACGGAAAGGGAGAAGGAGGCTATGTACGTATCGTCGTGACTCTATCGTCGCTTTCTTTTGTAAACACAGAATCACAAGAGAGAAAAAGAGTCGAAGCCGTTTTGTCTGTGTTTTTTTTGTGTGTTGTTGTGTTTGTCCATCGATATAATAAGTTTAGCAAACGAGCAGGACTTTTAAACAACGGCGATCACCGACAAATAGTGCCTCGTTGTTGCTGCTGCTGCTGCTGCTGCTACTTTTATATGGCTGATGTCCTGCTGGTGAGCCAAGAAAAAGAAGAAGAAGCTATTTGGTTACAACTCCATATCCTGAGCTTCGTCCTCGCTAAAATCGCTCATCGACGACTCGCTGTCCGACGACATGCCATTGCCCGTTGCTCCGTTCTCCTGGTCTCGCAGTGCCTCTTCTGTCGCGTACTTCCTCACGTAGTCTGCAACATTATTACGGAATTTCTGATTTTTATACGACTCCAACTCGATACTTGTACAAAGTGTGTCTTTTCCCCCTTTTTCTTTACTTTGACTCTAAACGCGGTGTAGATTAGATAGCGAAATGCCTTATAACTGGTTATAAAGCCATTTGCTTCGATATTAATTGTAGCCACAAAAGCAATGGTTAACGTGTGATAAAGAAATGTTATTTTAGTTCGCCACGAAAATTCAAACTAATTTGGACTGGCGCCACTTGGTCTAAAAGTCCAGATAATTAAATCGATGAGAGAAGACATGGCAACTCACCAGCGACTTTTTTCTTATACTCCTCGGGTTTATGAAGGTACATCGCTGCCGCGTCGCCGTTCAGCGGATCGATGGGATTTGGATATGTCAGCAGTTGAGGCAGGAAAGATTCGAAGATATTCGAGAGATCTGAAAAGGAAAAGAGAAAAATTATTCCAATTGCCGTCTATCACACACGCACGGGGGGATGCAATGAAGTGATATTGAGCGTACCGTACAAAGCCGTCCAAGCTTGATTGATGACATCGAGGCAAACGGTGCCCGACACCTCGTCGATGTTCGGATGATAGACCTTGTTCATGAATCCAATCGACGGCGACTTGAACGGATAATGCTCTGGCAGATGCACGCGCACTTTCCATATTCCACCTTCGTACGGCGCTGCAAGATAAAACAAATTGGTTGATTACATCCAATACGCTCCCTTTTTCGTTTTTTTTGTTCACAATCGACGTGGCCTTGACGATATATATACTCCGATAATTGCTTCAAAAAGATAGCTGCAACGTACTGTTAAAAATAAATTTCTCGTGTCGATACTAATCGGTTCCTTTGCACGTGCGACAAGAAAAAAGTCGTAAGAAAAACGCGCAATCGGATTTTCATTAAGGCAGCTTGCTCAACTGCAAATTGTTTCGATCTTACTTCGGTGCAGTTTCGAGCGAAAATAAAACAAGCGTTCGACGCGACGTCACCTCGCGCATGAAAAAAAGAAGCAACCGAGCCACGGTAATCCAATCACCGTGAAAAGCGTGACTCGATTGCCTCGCGATCTGGCCGGATCTCGAACGATTTCTATGTAGTTTTGAGTTGACGCGCGACGCTCGCGTGGCTTCTTACGTAAACCACACGTCGTTTTTCAAACATTCGTCGAGCCATCAACGCGGCTAACTCGCCTTAATAGCCGTGCCGCAGAGGCAACGCTCGGCGTCGACGCGTGGCGCAGTGCGCGCAGAAGAGAAACGATTTCGCGCTCGCGCGTCCCAATTTGACGCGCGATCGTCCCTCCGCGAGGAGGGGGGGAGGGAACTGGGATTTTTTTCCTCTCTCTCTCTCTTCCGCGGCGTTCCCCGTTACTTCGTTACTTTCTAATGCACGCAACCGCGCTCGCTTCCTATATGCCTCGCTGAATTATTGCGCGGCCTTGTTTGCATGATCAGTTCTGTTCTCTGTCTCTGCTGATTTTATTTCGACGCGCGAGCGACCCGAACGATCGCCTTTTTGGTCAGTGCGCTCGGGGTCACCAAGAGGGATTTTCCAAAAGCGCGCCCCGACGAGGAAGCTCGTGCCGCACTGACTGTACGGGAGCTGCTCTAGTTTCACTTGGCGTCTTACACCGCGTCGAAACCGCGAGCAACGTCGCCTTTGACTGCACTCGCTCTTTTCGACAAGCCGCTTCGTTGCGAGAGTTCGCTCGCGGACGAGAAACGAAGGCGATGCTGGGCTCGTCACTACCTCGCGGAAGCTACTCTTCCGGCGTGGTCGAGAACATCGAGATGTCGTTGGACGAGTCTGCTTTTCACGCGCACATTTTCACCAACCCATTCGAGCACCCGCTATCTCACCGCGGTTCGCCAAGGACTCTTGCTGAATTCGATGCTGTATCACGCAGGTGCGCTCTGGTGCGCAGCCTCGAACGAGTTCACTGGCTCGCGCGAACGGAGAAAAAGGACGCGGCGATTAATCAGCTTTCGCGCGAAGACTTGGACTTATATTAGCCTTCGTGCTCGTTCAAGTGCAGGTTTAATTTTAAAAGGGGACCCTGAAAATCAGACAGTCACTGCGGCCAAAAGGGGGGGGGGGGGGGCAGGCAAAAAATTGCTCGTTTGCTCTTGAACTTGTACGTGTCGGCCGTTGCGTCATGGATTATTCGTTCGCTTGTGTAATTCGAGGAAATGCAGGAGCAGGAAGGAAAAGTAAAACATAAATGCGATACGTAAGATCGGCACTCCTATTATGCGCGCCCAGCCCTACGTTGTACTTTTACGCTATTGTTGAAGCGTGAGACGAGCCTCATTTAATTTTTCGCCAATTTCACGGTCGACCCGGAGGACAATCTCGGCTGACGAGACATTGCAGGCTGCGAACTGCGAGTGCCTAGCGTTCGCTAAAAACGCCCTCAAATCGCGGATTTGAAAGATCGCTGGTCGATACGGCACGTTAGGCGCGATCGCGGGCCCCGTTCACAGTTCCCGAATAGCGAGACTGCGGACGGCGCTCCGCAAAGCGAGAATGCGACCATTGTTCGAACTGATTTTCTCGAAAAAATAAGAACGCGCACGTGAAGAGGGGGGGGGGGGGGGGCATTGTGCTTATTAGGCGCAGGCCAGTTCTTTTGACGAGGCCCTTTGCGCAAGATTTCGATTCGGCTTTCGAGTGGCGCATTGCTCTCTCGACGCGCGCGCCGCGAGTAGCAAGCTGATTCTCGTAAGCAGAATAGATTGAGGAGGGCAAATGCGCTCGCGCGACTGGGAGCGGTGCAGCGAGTCTTGTACTTGACTTGCTGAAGCCGAGCATGATTTGCTGTCCTACGGCATTTGCCTCTGACTTGGCAGCGTCAATGGAAAGGTGAGAGAAACATGTTCGTCCAGTGCACAAATGTGTCGTCCGCGGGGATTTAAGACACACACACACACACACACACACACACACACACACGCGCGCGCGCGCGCGCGCACGTATACGCTTGGCATTTTCAGACTAATCGAGTGAGCTCGTAATGCGCGTGGATCGTTCGCTCGTCATTCATCGCGCAATACTTTTCTGGCATCGAATGCCGATTGGATAACAAAGCTCGACAACCTGCTTACGTCGTTATTCATCAGCATCAGAAGCACCTCGCTGTCCGAGTCGACCAAGAGCCAACAGTACCAACGCGATTCTTCGCCAAGGAGAACGCACCGACACCATAAGACACGTGGCGAGATCGTCGATCTAGGAGAGAGCGAGCAACAGAGAGAGAGAGAGAGAGAGAGAGAGAGAGAGAGACGCAGAGTCACTCTCGCGCGAGGGAAAAGTGGGTCAGCAGGTCAAGCGCTCGAGCACGAGGTCGTGTGGCCTAACCCACGAGTTGGCTGCAGGTGCGACCGGGCGAAGATGCATGCGTCATCGGCGCGAGGGAACGAGTAGCCCTGAACTCGGACGCGCATCCACTCTCCGCCCGACGGGACCGTCAAATTTTGCGCTGAAACTTGCGACGGCGCATGCTCGGCGATTAGCTACGTCGCTCGGACATATTAATTCGCGACCCACCAAGATCAAAATTACTTTCGACGAATGAGCATCGATCGCGCGCGTCAAATGGATTTTTCCTGACCAGCTGCGGGGACCGCAACTTGCTAAAACAAGCCCCTGATCCAAGCTCGTTTGGTATCATCGACACTTAATCGCCGAAGATAATTCGGAATTCGAAGCTCGCCGCTCGCGAATTGATGTCCGGGCGGAACACTTACACTCTGTTGCCGGGCGCGCTCACAACCTATTTCGAGCGCTCAATTCGCGCGCAGCTGCCTCGCTTTGTGCCTCGAGTTGCCACTTTTTGGGGCGGAAGTCGCGCGCGCGCCGAAAGATATTTTTCTGATTTGCCGCTTCGTTCATTATTGGCCTCGCGGGCTTTGATTTCGCCCTCCTTCCCCGAGAAGGGACCTGGTACGATCCAAAAGTTTCGGCTCTGCAGGAATGTAAAAGAACCGAGCGATAAATCGAAAGGAAAATCGTTGCTTGCAGTGCGCTCACGGCGTTGAAGATTCGCGCGACCGAGCGCGAACGATTAATTTTCCGATGTAAAGCTGCAAATAAAAGGCGAGCAAGAAGCTATCATCATAACGCGACAGCGAATCATCATAACGCGCGCGTCCTTCGCTGGCTTTTAGGGCGAAAATCCGTCGTCTGCGAAATGCCGCGTACAACGTTCATTTTCGGCCGACCGCGTTCCGCGCAAAACTAATTAACTTTTCGGCATATTGACGCGAGGCTCTCGATTCAAGGCTTTTCGTCGTCGGAATATGGCCCGCGAAAGCCTTTGTTTCGCGCGCATTACTATCGAATTAATCGCAGCGGCGTTTCGTTGTAGTCGAAGGCAAATCCGATTAAAGTCGCTCGCGATTGCTTTAACCGACGAGCGCTGAGCCTCTTGTTTTTGCAAGAGGCATTGTGTCGACAATCGTCGAAGTATATCCGAAAGCTTTCTTTTCGTTTTCGTGGACTCATCAAGCCGAGAAGAACTATTTCATTTTTATTTCTAAAACTACAAAAGGATTTCACTCGAATCGAACTTTCACGGCAGCTCACGTGAGTAAGAAAAAAAAGAAAAGAATTCGCGAATAGCGTGCTATTGCGTAATGACATCCGCAAGTAAAGAGGATCGGCGAGTCGCGGGTTTATATAGACAAGTACGCGATCGATATGTAGCCTTCGTCGAAGACGGAAGGGCGTCGATTGTGTTCTTTTTTTTCTTGCTTTTTTGAAGCGCGTGGGCGCGCGCTGTTGCTGCCATTTCTTTCTTTTTTCTTTCGTTGATCGCGCGAAAGATTCGATGGAATGTTTTGACCGCTGCGACAGCAACGAGAATCGATCGATTCGCGCGTCGCGTGCTTGCGCCGGCGAGGATGGCTGTCGCGAGTCGAGGCCGTTTCGTAACGTCGCGAGCGGATGCTACGATTTTCCGAGCGGCGGCAAAGCGAAGTCGAAGAAATCGATGCGCTGAAATTTTAAACAACAAGCGTGTCAAGGCCAGCGCGGTCGGTGCGCGCGGAGCCGCGCCGTTACGTGCCGAGGATGAACAACGTTATCGCGTCGAGCGCGACAAATCCGCCTCTGAAATATGCATGCGCCGAGATCGATGAGCCCGCGGATACTCACTTCCTCGTGGTCCGTAGAATTTGACGGAGAACTCGTTGAGTCCGCCAAGTATCGTCACCTCGTGTTTGCTTTCAATGCTGTGGTCGGTCGTTCAGGAAAATACAATCGTGAGGGTGAGTCAGAAGCGAGCTCCGAGCGTCCAATCTCTTGGATGCTAGGACGGCGAAGGCAAAAGCGGAAGAATCGCAATGGATACGGCCTGCACTCTCGTAAGTCGCGAGTGCACAAAACGGCTCCTCGGCGTGCTCCGTTACGTGCATGCGCCTCTGTCGAGCTGAAATGCACGACCGAGGCCACGTGCCAACCTCACGCTCACCTGCTCGTCGCGCGATCGACGTGCCGGATTCTCGATGAACGGCCATTCGTCGATTGCGCAACGCGACACTTTCAATCCAGCTTCCCCGTAATTTCCATTTTAAAGAATTTAACGTGGCGTAAAAGCGCGTCGCGCGCAATTCCAGTCTACCCGAGCCAACATCGCCTGCGCGACGACACGTTTACGCGAACGTCTTCGGTGTCGTCAAGACCGACGTTTCAGTCGGCTGAAAAAGAAGGGCACGGACAATGCCGCGTTTCAACGCGGCGCAAAATTTACCGAACTCAAACTTGGCGCGACCGCGAACGCCGCGCATTACGCGCATTACGCAACCAGCGCCGGTTCGTTTATTTTTTTTTCTCTTCTTCCTGCTGTCATTGTCTTTTTTCTGCGCCGATATTAATCTTGAAAACTGTAACGCGACCTTCGCCGACGGCGAAAAAAGTTCAAGGCCGCTGGAGCGATTTACGAGTGACGCTTTACCGCTGGCAATTTGGAGTTTCGCGTTGCAATTTTCGACCGCGCGATCGAACTTTCTTCGATCGATTGTGCGTGTGTCGAGTGCTACTGTGCACACTAAATTTCTACCATTTGAAATTCAACTGTCGATAGTTTCACCTGACTCACTCACTCTCTCTCTCTCTCTCTCTCTCTCTCTCTCTCTCTCTCTCTCTCTCTCTCTTTTCGCGTTGCAATGCGCACGGAAGCTATACAATGCAAAATAATGGAATGCGTTTCTCGGCTCTCCAAGATAATGCTGTGCGAGGCGGGTTCTCACTGAAATTGTTTTTCCGCGTCGAGCGAACGTTTCCGCGCCGTAAAAAGAAAAAAATGCAGATCGGTCGCGCGGATCTCGCGCGAGGCGAGAGGGAGCTCGTTTACCCCGCGCGCTCGCCGTTAGAAGCAGCCGTGCACGCGCGCTGCGTCGGAGAAAGCGCCGGCGTGGAAAAGCCTGGCCGTACGTCGTCCGAAGGAAAGTGTGGACCGGCGTTCGGGGCGCATCCTCGGCGTCAGTAGCCCCCTGACGTGTGTTCTCGTCGCGGCTAGTTTCGACCTCGCGCACTGTGAACCCGCCCGATGGCTTTTAACGGCGCGAGATCTTTGCGCGCGTCGAGAGCGAAAAAAGCACCCGAGGTCACGATCGTCGACGGTTGTCGAGCAACCCGTGCGACCGAGAAACGCTCGGGATGTTTTACTAGATGGGACGCGAATCAAAACCAACGAGAGCGAGAGAGAGAGAGAGAGAGAGAGAGATATTAAGACGATCTCTCAAAAAGCAATCACCGAAGCATCTTCTCTCGACAAAAGAGTGAAAAAAGAAAATTGAGCGCGACAAAGACCTGGGCAGCAGTGATACGCGTGCGCGATTACGTACACCTAAGCATCTCGGAGAGAAACGCTCTCGTTCACGCGCGCGTGTGCGTGTTGTACGATCGAGGTAGGGATTGGCGTGTGACACGTGTGTGCGTATGTGTGTGCGCGCGCACATATGTATGCACGAGGCTATATAGCTGAGGGAAGGTCGATCAGCTGGCGAGGCGAGTAAGCGCAGAGCATGCTGGCTAAACTCGGGACAAAGAAAACGCGATGCGCGCTCGACGTGTGTCTGTATTTTTTGCTGTGTATGCTCTTCTTTTTTTTTTGTTTTTTTTTTTTTGCTCTCAAGATATATGCGTCTTTTTTATTGCCTCGTCAAGATCGTTGATTACGATGGTTTTAGATTGAAGTATTCAAATATCGAGAGTTGTTATTGCGAGTCGATACAACGAGTCAAACATTCCACGGAACGATTCCCCACACTCAAAGCGACTTGTTGACAAGCCGACCGAGAGATAAAAGGCATCTGTGTCACAAATTTCGGAAAATGCGAAGAAAGCACAAAGAGAGGTGACCCAACTGTAGAATAGAAAAAAAATGTGAAATTGCACGTCAAGCATGGTAGGGCAGGAGGGAAGAGCCGAACGAAATTTTTCCAACGATAAGCAATTTACCGTTGTGTGTGTATGTGTATGTGTATGTGTTTCGCAACGCTCCGGGAGAAAAAATCGCCTGCATGTGTACACAATCTATCAGCGGTATAAATATAATAATTGAAAAGTGTGCGAGAACGCGAGAGACGGATAAACTCGAGAAAACTCCTTGCTCGACGTTACACGGGAAACAAAGGCAGGAGGGGGCACACGAGAGAGAGAGAGAGAGAGAGAGAAAGAGAGAGAGAGAAAGAGAGAGAGAGAAACACGCCAATCGCGAAGTCACGATTTTCCATGCGCGCATTTGCAATGGTAATGGCCCACTGGAGAAAGAGTCGGTGTGCTTACACATGATTAATTTGTGTACCGCTCGCAGACGAAACTCGCGCGAGTTGGCAGATTTTTTTCACTCGTGTAATTTTCAACACTTAACCCTGGCTCGCTCGGAGAAACCGAACACGACAGGAAGTTAAATGCACCAAGTAAGAGAGAGAAAGAGAGAAAGAAAGAGAAAGAGAGAGAGACGCATGATCCATAAATAACTGGCCAGAGAGAAAGAGAACTCATCAATAATTTTAGACCTCCTATACAAACACCGACTGATATTGACTTGCGATATATACTTGTTGCTAACAACTCGGAACGCACTCCCAATAAAAGCCGAGCTGCTTGAATTTAGCAATGATCAGCTGACTCGCGAGCACCAGCTGTCATAGAGAATGAAAGATCTAATTGAATTAGATCTTCCTGGTAATTCAGCTCGTGGTGAGCTTGTACATCCACACACACACACACACACACACACACACACACACGCGCGCGCGCGCATTAATTGGTCGTGTAGGTATTTCTTTTTGTTAAAGGATACAGCTTGATAACATCAGTGTCCATGCGTCTCTTGCCAGCACTAGGAGACGACATTGCGTCACTAAGAGTCTTTTACAACAACACTATAATATACGTCACACAGCACTTTTACACAGGCCGACCACGACGACGACGATGACGTCCGTTGCTGCTGCTCTCGCGTCGTCAAGCCTGCACCACGAGCCAGCAGCGCGAGCAACGACTTATGTAGTATGCGGTGCAGCGGTGTTCCTTCTTCCTCCTCTTCTCGTGTATGTCCGTTTGTCTGTGCGCTATTTTCCTGAAACCAACAACAACCACGTCGATGCTGAGCTCGCTGTCAGAGAAGCGTCAGACTGGATGGTCGCGGTAACGTAGAGAAAGACAAGGCGACGAGAGGGCCACGGAGCATTGCGCGATATGATTCTCGTACTCGCGACGGCGATGTTTTGGAGGCTACTCCCGAGAGACGACTATTATGCTGAGTGAATGGGCACGCGCTGCTGCTGCGCCTGCTGCGCTGTTTGCTTCTCTCTCTCTCTTTCTCCCACCCGCGAGTTGAGCACCTCCTCTCTCCTTTTGCAGCTTACCGCCCTCTCTGTCTGGCGCATTTGTGTGCCTTTTCTTTCTTTCTTCCTAAAATCATCAGGGCTCCGTGTGTTTACGCGCGTATCGTAATTTTTATGTATTCGTCATGGTAAACGACGAGGCGGTCCCCTCTCGTCGCTCGCACGACAAGCTAAAGGCTCTTTAAACGCCAAATGAAAACAATGTACCTATGAGTTCTTCTCCATTGGCTTGGCAGCGCAGTAGCAGCAGCGACGAGATTCACGTCGACGATGATGCACATACAACAGAACGCAGAGGAACAGACCAAGAGCGAGAAGGCCCCTCTTACGATTACGGCACTTACTCCTACGCAGCAGCAGCGTATAGGAAACAGCTGATGGCGGTGTATTGTAGCTTCTGTTGCTAGACGGCCTTTCTTTTGTCCCCGCGTACGGAGGTTATGACGACAACGTCGATTGCTTTGTTGCGAACGCGCTCGCGCAAGTTACTCTATCAACAATCGCATCGTATGATAATGAACACGAGAGAGACGTCGACTATAGCGTTAAAGGGGCCACACAACACAACTACCAGCGTGTATGTTTAACTTACTTTCCAGTTGTTGCAGCAGCTTAGTGTGCTGGCGCAAGCGCAACCGACTATCTACTCGCTTTTGCTTTGTGCAGAAGCGACGTATGATGTAGCTTTTCGACTTGCTCGTCGTGTTTATGTGGCGCGATTGAAGGGAAGACACAGTGGACTTTACTGTTCTGCGCGCAAACAATTAGACCTAGTAATATGCGTGCGAGAGAGACACGATCGCTAAGTTGGGAAAAGCGCGTGCTCTGGGTGTTGTTTATATATACGACTTATGCTATCATTGGTCGAATGGACAGACATGTTGGATCACGAATGAAACTGATTCGTTGACTGTCGTGGGCGGTTGTGGATATTTAAATTCAAAAACAGTCGTATTCAAAAGGAAGTTTCTTTTGTTTTAATCGATGAAAAAATTTGGAAGACGTAACAGTAGGTATTTGATGATGGTATTTGTAGAGATAATTAAGAAAATGTTAAGTAACAAATTAATTTTATTTTAAAAAATGCGATACAAAATGAATGTAAAACGTTCTACAGTCTACAAGTGATGGTATAAAACTTATCTTCGCGAAATGACACATCAGTTTGACAGTTATTATTTTCTCTCGATTATTACGACAAATTTCAGACTCACGAATACAAGATAGAAAAAGGAGGGTTTGGATTCACAGTTTGATTTTCATCTAGACGTTGATACACATGCTAAAATTTATGTGTGTGTGTATATATATATATATATATATATATATACATACACACATACATACATACATACACACACATACGTATATATCATATAGACGTCGGACAATACAATCTATAGTCTTATTGGCTATTGTAACAAAATTGCTATTCATATCGCTTTTATAGGCGTTCATAAAGTAATTCGACATTATAATTAACAATAAGTTCTTTGGCCTTAAAAAACCAATGGCTCATTTAATACGTTAATTACAAATTAATACATATCTAAAAGTACTGATAAAGTTACTTCTTTAATTTGAGATACAAGAGTTTTCTAAAAATTGCGCAAACAATTAAATTAATATCTTGATTAAAATTTTTCAATGAAGAAGAATTTGTACACCAATTTATAAAAATTAAGTATCATGAAAAGATCGATAATATTTGAATATATATGAAAATATAACTATGTAATGTACATATAAACATTTCAAAGTCTAGTTTAATTAATAAAGCCACTAATTGAATGACGAAAAAATTTATCCCAGTAGAATAAACAATTTTTTCAATAGATTGTTTACATCTATTTTTGATTATAATTTAAAAATCTCAAACTATAGTAATTACTTTATGATCACTCAATATTTGATTTTGTAACACAGTCTACTTTTATATTACAACAAATACTGCTGTTATTAATATTAAATGCACGAATATATGAGCGCTTAACGAGTTGACGGTAAAAATTTTTTTGAATGCCCATGGTGATATGTCACGTAAATGGGAATTTGATTTTTACCGCAGAGCTACACATTTGACGATGAAGAAATCTTTGTTTGTTTTGATTAAATGATTCTGATAACTTAATCTATCGCTGTTTTCCGCGTGAATGCCGTTAAAGAGAGCATCTCATTGGGTTCGGTGGGCAATCGTGAAAACTCGATTTCTTCGCTGACGCTATTATCTGCTGAAAACCATAATCTACGGTAGTTCAATCTTTCTGTTATATATCCAATAGCAAATTATTCTTTACCTGACGGTTCAACAGGCCATTGCTTATGAGATGGCGCGTACAAACACAGCAAAGCAATGGTATAAATGTTCCACATGCCATAAACTCCGGTAAAGAAAGCTGATGTCATCTCTAACTCAATATCCTGATCCCATTTCCATTGACCTTCGGCAACCTACAACCAAACGATTTCTATGTGCAATTTCTTTTAATCGAACTGTAAGACAATTAACGTTTTAATCATTACCTGTCCTAAAATAAAACCAATTACGGTTAATGAGGCGCACAATAGAGTTGCCACCATTAAAAACTTGAAACGGTAAATAACTCCTTCATAATGTAAACGTCGAGCAGAACTCATACTTGGCAGTACAGCTCTCTTTGCACTTATGTTCACGAATACCTTATAAATCATATATGTCAAAAATAAAAGATAGGCTCCTGCTGATATTCCAGCCATAATTATAAATGCTAACTGTTTTTAATTATTAAAGAAAATAAGTAGTGAACGTGAAATTTTGAAGATAGTCTGAAGGTAAATTAAAATTTATATTCAAAGGATACAGCCGTTTTAGCTCCAGCACTTGTCACCCAAATTGAATAAAATGGATTTCGGAGCTGTACGCCGCGCTCGCACATGTCGAAGAATAATAATGACAAGCAACCAATTCCAACTGCAGACAAATGCCTCCAATAACATTTCAGAGAACTTATTTGGTCACCATCCTGAACCTAAATTTTTATATATTGAGTTAACATTTTATTGCTACTTGTTTACTACATAACGTTTAGTAAATAATTTTTACCATCAAATGTTCTCCAGCAAAGATAAACCAGAAAGACAATAGTGATGCGTAAAATACTCCTTGTCTAATATCTTCTAACAGAAGCATAAATGGCATATCAAAAGCCAATGTCAAATATTCCAAAGGCACTGAAAAATACGAAAGGTGATCGGTATTTTTTAATATGCGATTAATTAAAAGGTACAAAGGTATTTACTGTTTAGAAAACTTAGAGCACAGCCTAAACCAAGTAATACGTATTCCAGCAATGCTGGAGATCTTGATAGCATGTGGATCCTTCGCCAATACCAGCAAAGAATTAAAAGAGTGATTGGAAAGAAAACAGTTTTCAAGCTGACCCAAACTTTTGTAAATCCTCCATTCTGATTAATAACCTGATAATAACAAACAAGCAAAATTAAAAATTGGTTGACTATCATCAGAATAAGGATCAAAACCATACTAGTCAATAACTTACTGTCAACCACAGATCTGTTACATGTCCTAAATCTTGATTCACCTGTTTTCTAGGATCATTGGGTAAACGTATATTAAGCAAATAGTAATCGTGATGTAACGATCCCAATTCAAAAAGTGACAAAGTACTGCAGTTGTAATTGTACTCTTCATGACGCTAAATAACAATATTTTCTATCAAATTTTAAAAGTTTTGTTTTCATTAAATAAATACTCAAAAAAAATAATTTACCTTATCAATGGTACAGTCCAAATTCCTTTCAACTACAGAAGAAGCATAATGCTTCCATTGATCTTCTTGATCATTTTTGTTCCTATATGCTAATCTTGCATCTAGAGTTAACTTTGTTGTGGGAGCTATCAATAATAGTATTTGATTATAATCCATGAAAAAATATATAGTTTTAAAAAATATTTTAATACTTACAGACTGCAATATGATTATGATACATGATATCCACTTGTAAAACACCGATCAAACTATGTTGCCATCGAGAATAATCTAGTATTTTATTGTCATATGGTCTTGGCATCTGTGATGAAAAGATAATGTATATTGATAGTTTTACTTATTATCACAAATGTTGTTTAGCAATAAAAATTTACCTGAAATGTATAAACAATGGGAACAATTTTTTCAGTCATGTGATGAGTCTCGAATATTTGACATTTTCCAGGAGGTCTGAAGTATATCCAAGTATCGAGGCCTGGTGGAGTGCCATTAACTGTAGGTACATCAACACAAGCTATTCCTAGAATATTCTGGCTATTTGATGGTGGCGGGGCTGCAATAAGTATTAAATTTTTCAGTCAATTTATTTCAAAGAAATAATTAGCTGGTTTATTATGTATTAAAAAAAAAATAAATAAATAAGCTTGAAGATATATCAACCCCAAAATGAGTAGTATCATTCACGATCAAGAGATGCAAAGAAAAGCGAAATATACGAAGAGAGTTTGTTTGAAACTTTGTCGAACGATGTTTGTCGTCGATCGAGTGCTAAACAATTGACACAGTAAAAATTCCGCAGTGAACGTTTTCAATCACTACTATTGAGTACGTAAAGTTTTATGTTGTATAATAATATAATAGCTTTATTGATCGTAGCTTGAATTAATCTTTTGGATAATTTTTCCAATATCTGTTGAAATGAGTAATCTTTGTTGTTGTTTCATTAGGTTTGTGAAAAAAATGAGTGCGAGTTCTATTTATATTCATCGATGAATATTGATGCATATAGTGTATTTTAAGCAGCATGACTTTCATGCTGATTAAAATATCCAAGTTGCCATGTAAAAGGTTCAAATTAAGTAATAAATAACAGAAAAACATAAAAGAAAGAGCGTGCAAGGCACGCTAAATAGCGCTAGTAATGAAAATATTCTAAATGTTGAACACCCTCATCAATAGAATCGAATCTGCGTGTGTTTTAATTAGGTTTTTATCGACGTGAATGTGTTGAATCGTTATAAAAAATTACTCGCATTTTTTCTATCCATTCAAAATATTATAACCATCCATTATAAAGAGATAAATGTTATTTCTTATTACAGCGATACATGCACTTAAAATATCAGTAGTTAACGTAAACGCAAGAAGTACTGCGCTCTGAAAAAGACTGTACCGATAAGGATGGATTATTTTTCAAGTATCCAACAATGTTAACTAATTTAACATAGAGAATATATTCCTTAGTATGCTAATGTAAGAGGTGTACTGATAGGGATGGGTTATTTTTGTAATAACCGCAATAATTTTAAGTACCCCAAGACTAATCTCGGTTAACAAAATTCATTTCTAATAAATAGTTAATATTAATGATTTTTCCAGAAAATAACCCATTCCTATTAAATATAGCTCTTATTAAAAGGGTGTAAATCCTCTTGAGGATATTGTCCTGCAAAAATGTAGATTTATATTACCGACTAATCTTTCAAAAGCATGTGTTACTGTAATGATGAATAATATTTATTTCTTTATAACGGTTGGTTATAATGGTATTTTGACTGGATGAAAACGTGTGCCAGATTTTTGCTGACGATTTAACACATTGATTTTTATAAAAACTGAAACGCTACACAGATTCAATTTCTATTGATCTGGGAGTGTTCAACTTTTTTTAATTATTCATGAATTTTCTATCCTTGCCTATTATACGTAGTTTTTCTATAATTTTTACGCATCGATTTTCGTCGATTTCCTACTGAATTCCTTCAATCTTATAAAGACTTAGAATATTGAACGCAGTGTGATATTAAAAATATTACGTGTATTGTAATAATATGTTGGTAATACTATTTTTCAAGCGGCTTACTTTAGAAATGAAATTAAATAAGGGTTTTCCGAGTAGTAAATTATTCCCTACGAGATCCTTTGAAGTCAAACTTTATTGGTACATTTACCGACGTTTCGGTGACGTTTTCTTAATTACTGTTATTAAGACTGAAGAGAACAAACTAACGTAAACATTATATGGATAAACACAATTTGACTTGATCTTACCACAAAACTACTTAAAAAATTACTAATTAAAAAACAATAATACTTCGAACTTCAAAATACATAAAAAAAGTCTTTTCTATGTTGTCCAGTATTTTTACCAATATAATAGTTTTATATTAATAATAATTGCGTTTAATAATAGTCTGTACTTTAAATTTATAAATATTTAGAAGATTAAACGATTTACGCGTAGATTCGTAAATTCTCAGAATTTTTATTATAAAATTCAATAATTCTGATAATGCGCAAAAAAGTATTCGATTAAATAACGAAATAAGTATTTTGAATATAACGATATTTAGTATCTATATTATGTAATATCAATCGTTATACACATTACTCATTCAACGTAATTGTTTATATTAATATATATTGTTTAAATAAAAAAAAATTTTTATTCCATCACTTTTTTTTATTTTTTAACAGTACAAAAATTATTTTTCATTTATTTGAGGTTATGTTTTCAATAAAAGTTAAAAATAACATTCAATTCCATACAATTATATTTACATTTTAATTCACATTTGCATTTATTCAACTTTATATTTTTAAATATTTCTTTTTTTTTTTATTAAATATACCTGTAGATTAAAGATTGCTAGCAATCAATCTGAAAACGTTCGCTGCTAAATTTTCGCTGTGTCGATTGCTCGACGCTCAATCGACGACGAACTTCGTCAAACTTTCAAGAATAACCCTCCAGAGTAGGTATATGAAGAGCACTTGGCAATTGAAAAATCAAAATCATGATGTCTCAAGTATCCACTTTATTGCTCCCCTTGTGACTTGTAAAAGTAATGGAAAGCATACTCTAATGTATGTGGAAGTTGGAAGGGTTACTGTCATGAGTACCATGAGGTGGAACAAGAATTTTCAAGATGTAAATGCTTATGATTTATTTTTTTACTAGATTGACCAATCAAAACTGTTATATGCCTTAGGTTTAAATCTTATAAGTTTTGTGCAACAAGTGTATATTTAAATTACAAATAATCAATTACGATTTGCATTTACAATCAACCTTTTTTCAATGAAATGATAAATTATTTGATTTACAATCGCAAAAGAAATTCAAACTCAACGAGAAAATGTTAATACATTTAAAAACAATAAACAGAAACGTCTTCGGTAAAAATTTATAAGCACAACGTAAAAACTTTACTATCGACGAGATAATATGAACGCGACAAAAGAGCCGAGAATTCCGTTCCCTATCGAACTTATACCATAAAAAAGCCATAAAACTAAGGCAACAAAAATTATAAACTGCTGGTACCTTCCATTTTCTGCTCGGTAGGACAAAGAAACTACCTCAAAAACTTAATAACAAACCACATAAATCTTTGGCAAAAATTGTACAACACTTCATGACCCTTCATGTATAATAAAAAATATATTTTTTTATTCAGAGTTAACTCACCCACAAGACCACCGATGAGAAAGGATACTAACTGACCAATCAACAGGAGAGCTACTAACATAGACAGTTTTTTACTGCTAAGATTTTCGATGATGGTGCCCTGCATCTTGATCAACTTAATATTCACTGTAACTTCCTTTGTTCGATGATCCTCGTCTTACACCTGTACAACGGAAGAAAAACGCGTCCTTGCCTAGCAAAGCTGCGCAAACGGACGATGATCCTCACCGCCGCGCCGCTGCCGCTATGAATGTAAGCGTAGGTGGGCTCTGGTTTCTTTCTCTCTCTCTCTCTCTCTCTCTCTCTCTCTCTCTCTCTCTCTCTCTCTCTCTCTCTCTCTCTCTCTCTCTCTCTCTCTGCGAACACATAAGGTACGTTTACGGCTTTGATCTTCAGCCGACTCTGTTTCATTTGTTATGCTGATTCTACACTTGTTTTACAACTAATAAAATTTTACGTTAAAATGAGATAGATTTTGAATGATTCCGTGCAAAAATTGATAATTTGCTTTATTACTTAATATTTTGTTCGTATAAATTTGATTTGTTGAAATAGACGATTTAATTTCAAATTTGGAGAAAAACCTTTAGCTTTCACATATAAACAAATTTTATTGACGGTCAGTTACAATCATCAATTATGAATTTTTTCTTGGAAATTTTGTTTTGAAATAATTGTTATTAAAATATTACAATAAAAGAATCAAAGTTAGATAAACATTATTTTGCATGGAAAATTATGTTTAATGAAAGTTAACTTAATGATTCATAAGTCATTTTATAGCGAACAAACCTTAGTAAATATTTAATATTTAATAAAGTAATAAAGATGAAACAAAAATAAAGTTAAAAAAGTTTTTAAGCTTCTACAAATTTTACGTAACAAAATCACCGTCCAAATATAAAGATAATTAGAAAAAGAATTAAAATAAAATTCATTTTCACATGTAACTTGATTCATATAACATTAACTTTAAAAATATTTATTTTTACACCACAATATCATTCTATGAATACATTTAAATATTGTACGTGAAAGTAGAAGTTTTTATTTATTTATTTTATTTATTGTTATACTCACAGGTTATTGATAATTTTGTGACGTCACAGGGCTGTCTCTTAACCTCTAAAAATGTCAGAACTACATTGTCATCTCCTAATGAAAACTGTTGAAAGCGGTGATGGCGAAGATTTCTCCGATTTTGTAAGACGCATTACGTGTGATGCTGGTCATCGTAGATCTACGATGATCAGCAACTAGTTTTAGTATTAATAAAGCAAGATTTTAGAGCTTCCAATTTCTAAATCGATTTTTTCTCAAGCATGATCAAGAAAAGCAGGAACATTTCTATTTTGCACTCAACCGTTGGGATGGTGTTTTGTACGATTTTATCGCTTTTCTAAATGTTTGGAGAGTTCTTCTGTAGTTTTTAAAGTTTTTCTGAAAAACTACTAACATGGTAAGTTTTTCATGTATTTCTTAACGTAACTACTCTCACGTAAACTGCTTCATTCTCGATGTTATTTATATATATGGAACAGCTTTCAGTATGAACCATTGATGCATGCTTTTTATTTTATTATTTTATAAACATTTTATTTATTCATTTTTTACTTTAGGCATCCAAAACTTTTGACACATCAGTAGTATCAGTAGGTTTTTTATTTTTGATATTTTTTATGTACCTTCTAGTAATTAAAAATAATACTGTTATTTATTAATGTTTAAATGATTTTTACAGGAAAATTCAAGTCAAGAGTTAGATTTTATTTATGATGACACGGATACACATGCTAATGAAATAGCTGAATTGTATAGTTATACAGAGCAACATGAACTGCATTTCAATGTTAAGGTAAATTATCAAAATTATATTACATTTTTTGATTATGTTTGTCGTTTTATATTACACATAACATTGAATTACAGGCTTTTGAGGATCAAATGCAATCTTACAACCTTCGACCAGTATGGCAAAATTTAACAGGGGATCAACAAAAGTCAATAATTTATAAATTATTAGATCAATTGGAAGTATCAAATAAACAAATAAGAATGAAAGCAGCAAGATGTATATTATATATGGCACAAGGCTGCTGGGCTGAAGTTCAGTCCGATAAAGAACAACAAGAATGGGAGAGAATAAATGTAATGATGCTTTATGAATGCGGTACATTTTCAGCTTTTGTTGAGCTACTAAATATTGAAATTGAGTAAGTTTACTTTGGCTATGATTTGGCTCTAAAAAAATAGTTATATTGATTTGAATTTCTTTTGTCTTAGGAATAATACAGCAGCAAATACAGCAATCAGGAAATTAGCTGTCAGTCTTGCAGATTCTGTAGATCTACGTGTAATATTGTCAGTTTTATACATCATTACAGAAGTTATGAGGGAGGAATGTAAATGTTTAGATGATAGTGACTATAGGCATAATGTTGAAGCCTTTAAAGAAGAATTAAGTGAGTCTTCTTATTTTTTTCTTATTAAACTAGGTATTATTGTCAATAACCAATAACTTCAATTTTAGTGAATCCTTGTGAAGATGAATTGCTGATCGTAAAGCTCTTAGGGATGGTGACTTCTTTTTGCAGTGGATCTGCTCCTCCTTTCCCAATGAAAAAAGTATTGCTTCTTTTGTGGAAATTAATTTTGGTATCTCTTGGTGGTATGGAGACTTTAAAAACATTGAAGAAACAGTATAGAGAGGAAGCTGGGCTTAATAATCTTCAACAAGATACAATAGAAGTAGCAAAAGCAATGAGACCTAGCTCTCCTCCAACAAGCGCGACTGATTTGCTAGATACTCAAAATGTGAAGAAAAATAATAGACCATTTAGAAGAGTAAGTTCCGAATTTGTAATAATAACCAAATCAAGTTATATTTGGGTTTTATTTGCTTCACAGAGTCTGATGAAACAAAGTTCTCTGGATGAACCAAATTTGGAGTATGAATCTGGAAGAGGTATATTGATAAAAAATGAAGGCGCCATGGACGGAGGTGAGAATGACGTTGATGAAGGAGTTTTCGTAAATGAACCAGGTATGGGAGGTTTCCAAAACAATTATGATAACTATTCAAGATTGAATAACCCACCGGAATCAAGACCGGATACTCCTCCGCCAGCAAAAGCGAAAAGTAATCATCGATTACTTTATTTATGGCTGTTTAAAGAGGATTTATGCACATATATATAAAACAGTATTTTCATTAGACAATAAAATATTTTTACAGCTTTACCGTGGACACCAAAAGTGAGACAAAAGGATCTAGACCTTTTTCTAGATTCTTCGCGCCTCAAATTTGTCGGATATAAGCTTCAAGGTGATCGAGAAAGTTTAGCTGGTTTGCCTCAACCTATTCATGAAGGGTTAAGCACTTTAAAGAAAGTAAGTCTTCAGTTTCACTTCTGATCAATGAAAAATGATGGAAATTTTACGTTTCAGCATATGTATATTTCTCTAGCGGAAATACAAATTCGAAAGGAAGAAGAAATTGCAAAAAATCCCATAAGCACTCAAGAGCCACCAATTAAACAAACTGCAACGGAGATTCTATATCAAGCAATGTTACCAAACCTGCCTCAGCATATGATTGCTCTACTTAAAATTTTACTGGCGGCCGCGCCTACGACTAGAACTAAAACCGATAGCATTAATATTATGGCAGATGTTCTGCCGGAAGAAATGCCGTATGTTTATAATTCAAATTTAAACATGTTAATTTTATCCACATATTGAAATAATAATGATTGATATGATTTTAGAGTTACTGTATTGCAATCAATGAAACTTGGTATTGACGTTAATCGTCACAAGGAAATTATCATTAAAGCGGTCTCTGCTATATTGCTTCTTTTATTGAAGCACTTCAAATTGAATCACGTTTATCAATTCGAATTCATGTCTCAACATCTAGTCTTTGCAAACTGCATACCTCTAGTTTTAAAATTTCTGAATCAGAATATTTTAGGATACATTGAAGCTAGGAACGCGTACGTTATAAGCTTTTCTGATTATTCAAGTTGATTGTAAATTTGATATTTTATGCTTAATTATTTTTCTTTGCAGTATTTCCATTCTCGACTTTCCAATGTGCGTGATTGGTGATCAACCAGAACTCACATCTGATAACCTCGAAGTCTGGGACAACCAGAATTATTCCTGGAGGAACGTGTTTTCGTGCATTAATTTATTGCGAGTACTCAATAAACTGACAAAATGGAAACACAGTAGGATTATGGTAAATAGAAAATTTTTTCAAATAAAGTATTGATTTTTTTAAAGAGACTATTATCTATTTTTTTATTATCTTTAACAGATGCTCGTAGTGTTCAAGTCCGCTCCGATTTTGAAACGCACTTTAAAAGTTATGCACGGCATGCTGCAGCTATACGTTTTGAAGCTACTCAAAATGCAAACGAAATATTTAGGCAGGCAGTGGCGTAAAACAAATATGAAGACTATAAGCGTTATTTACGCCAAAGTCAGACACCGTCTCAACGATGATTGGGCTTTTGGAAATGGTAAAATAAATAAATAAATTAGTAGTCTTTATTGAAACATTACAAAGAAAAATGTTAATTACTGGTGATAACTAACGTTGTAAAAATCTCATTCAAGCAGATGTGGAAGCTAGACCATGGGATTTCCAAGCCGAAGAATGTACACTTCGAGCTTGCGTGGATCGTTTTAATAATCGTCGCTATTCAAATGCACCAAAAGATGAAGAACTAGAACCTGTTGACACGTCGATCACATCAGTACTAGGTGCCAATATAGAACTCACCGAGGAGTTTAAGCAGCATTATGAACTGTGGTTACAGCAAGAAGTCTTTCAGACGAGTATCAATTGGGATGATCTGCTTCTCGGGTCAAGTTACGAGATTTAGAAAACGATTTGGTTTGCCGGATCTTCAATGAAAATATTTATAGTAGATATTTCTTTGCGAAACGGTAATGTTTTAAAATGTAATATATATCCACAATCAAAAAAAACTTCTACATCGTGGTTTACATTTCGTTTTCCATCATGGTATTTCTTTTATGATGATTACAGTAATATCGAACAAATCAGTCATTTTGTATAATAATTTTAAGAATAACTTTTAGTTTTATTATGATCATTTGAGTAAATTTTTTCATAAAAAGTCTTATATTGCTACTTTTATTGCGAAGTATACGTATTTTTCAACGCCATTAAAAGTGGTAATAAGGGACTTATTCGTAAAACAAAATAAAAAATGCATAATAGACATTACCCGAAAAATTGTACAGCCTTATCCTTCATTTTTGAAGTTTTTTTTACACTATTGTATACTTCGTCAACTCGTGCAATGTCTTGTTCATTTTTAAACAAAAACACGTTTCTAGAATTGTGATATTATCAATGAACAATTACTATTTCTGATTTCTAACGTTAAGTGAATAATACTCAAGTAAAAAGAAACCAATCATTTCCAGGGACGTGGTATGCGAATCCCTAAGTCGATAAACTAAATCCACTAATTCTTCGCAAAAAAAATCATATATAAATAACCAGCTGATAAGTACGATTGGAATAATTTTATATATTCTCATTGTATTTAAAAAGTAAGGCTTCGTTAACGTACTGTTGGTTTGAAGGAACAAAAAAATGTTACTAAATAAAGTTGTCAGTCACGGTGGATTGCGTTTAATCGATTTTTAAAACCTATAATTAATTTGTAAAATGAGATTTGATTTTTCTCCAAATATTATGTATGAAAAATATCCGAGTTTAATCGAAATTTGCATGCTTTTTTACGAAAAAAAGTGAATGTAGCGATTGAGGAATTGTAGTTACACTATACTTAAATTGTAATTTTTTTTGTGCTTCAGTTCTTTCCGAATAAATTATAATTAATCAAAACTATGTACATAGCCGGTCAATAAATGTACTTTCTTTGCCTTTTAGTTCACTAATACACAGGGCATATGGATTAATGAAATGAATAATGATAATGAAATTAATAATAAATAACTTATAGCATTGTAAGTCGAATCTATTAATTACAGTAAACCTCATTTTTTTACATTCTTAAAAATGACACAAAAAAGGCTCTCAAATAGTTTATTAAGGCATTTAAACTTGTAAAATTATTTCTTTTTTTTACATAGTCATCAAAATTTATCAAGATTTATAAATATACCTATATATTATTACAGTCAACAACGTACATAAGTTGGAATGATTTTACTAAAAATATATAAACCATTTCATATCTGATTTCAACAGAAGTACAGTTTTTAAAAATTGTGCGTTTACTATAGATAAATATCTATTAGCTTCTAATAAAAAATAATGTACATACAATATGTGAGAATGCTTGTCCATGTAAATTCAAAAGTAGGTAATACAATGATCACAGTTTTTTTTTCATGTTGTTTCTTTTAAATAATCGACAATAAACAATCGGATACTTTATGCCGAAGGTCGAACCCATTTGTATGAGCCGTAGTAAGCGAAATTGTTTTGTTTCGACATCTCATCCGCTTCCTTAGGGCCCCTTGAACCATATCTAAAAAATCAAAGTATGAATTGATCAATTCTTTTATAAAAAAAAAGTAATATTTTTACATAGTGAAAGATACATACTTGTATGAGATGGGATGGATCTTTTGCTTCTCAATTTGATGAAGTAGAGGTGTAAAGATCCTCCAAGCCTCACTTAATTCGTCGTTTCGAACAAAATGCATTTGTGAGCCACAGAACACGTCCAGGATCAGTCTTTCATAAGCGTCAGGCAGTTTCATACCCTACAATTCAGTCAACGAAACAATCACATACTCGTCCTAATCAAAACGTTACTTAAAAAATCTTACAAAACTACCTTGTATCGATTACTGTATGTCAAATCGAGTTCGGTCTCCTCCATGTCGAAAGTAATGCCAGGCGATTTCGTCATCATCTTGATGTACAATGCCTCACCAGGTTGCACTCGAATCACCATCTCATTTCTCTTTCCCTTGCCGTCGAATATATCACCTGGCACGTCACGGTACTGAATTCTCACCTCAGCTTTCTTTTCGTTCAACGCTGAACATACAAAACGTATCAGTTGATTGATTATGTGAAATTAACATTCTATTGTAATACCTTTGCCACATCTAAGGAGAAAAGGAACGCCATCCCATCTTTCATTGTTGATCGTCAACTTAGCCATAGCATAAGTTGGTGTATTAGAGCCTGCTGGGACGGTTTTATCGTCGAGGTAACCAAGTCTTGCCTCAGGATCGCTTGCTTCGGGGTCGCCTATGTATTGACCCAGAACCACATCTTTCAGCGTTACAGGTTTTATGTTTCTCAGGACTTTAACTTTTTCATTTCTGAAAAAATACAATTATTTGAATGACCGTCATCATTACGAACAATTATTCGTAATTAGTGTGGCAACGTGATTTGTCAAGGTGACATTTTCTAGCAATGAAAGAGAAAATACTCGCGTTAATTTTTTTTTCAATTTTTCAGAAAAAACAAGAATTTGAAAACAGCATTTGTCATCGATTACTTTCGTCTGAAGCTGTGTGGAAAATAAAAATCATTTCACCTAATGTCATCAGGATGACAAGAAGCAGGCTTCTCCATAGCGACTAACGATAAAATCTGCAGCAAATGATTCTGCATAACGTCCCTGATGATGCCAAACTCGTCGAAGTAACCGCCTCTACCTTGAGTACCGAACGGTTCCTTGAAGGTGATCATTACCGAGGCGACGTGATCACGGTTCCACGTTGGACTGAAGATTCGATTTCCAAAACGCAGTGTCATGAGATTTTGCACCATCTCCTTGCCGAGGTAATGATCGATTCGATAGAGCTGCTCTTCCTTGAACAAGCCAGCCAAGTGATCTGATAACATTTGAGATGTAGCTGCGTCGCGACCGAATGGTTTCTCGACGATTATTCTTGTCCAGCCTCTGTGGAAATGCATATTATTTTATGCATTGAAGCGCAAGTTGCGAAGATCATTACGTTGAACGTCAACGATAACAACTCTACGTTAAAAATATAATCAGCTGATGCCTAATTAATTAAAAAGGGCGATTCTTATTAAAATATTAACATATTTATTATCGAGAGCATGTGCGGCTCCAATGATCATTTCGATTTCAGCATTCGAATGAATGAGATACGCGAAAGGGCAGCGACAATTTTACTCACTTTTGAGCCATGCACGTATGCCTGATGTGAACGGTGACCGTCTCGAAAACCGAAGGTGGCAGTGCTAAGTAGAACAACCTATTGGCAAATTGGCCATTTCCATTCTCGTGTTGCTCGATCAGTCGATTGAGTTCGGTAAAGTCAACCGCACAATCGTACGAGCCAGCCATGTAATGGTTCAGCTGCCAGAACTCCTCGTAGCGCTCCTCCTCGCCTGGTTTCACTTTCATGTAAGGCTCGCATTTCTCGCGTAGTTCCTTGAGGCTTAGCCTACTGCGAGCGTAACCGATGAAAGTCGTCGCTTGCGGAAGCAAGTTGTCGCGAAACAGCCACCACAACGTCGGGTAGATCTTTTTCTTGGCCAAGTCGCCCTGAGAACGGCATCGTTTTAATCCCGAATCCCCGGCAAGCAGCTTTTTTAAAGTCTCGTTTGCGTCGCATACAAACATTTCGGGAAAGAGCTTACCGAGGCGCCGAGGGTGACGAAAACGTGAGGGGCAAGGTTTTCAAAGTGCGTACCCTCGAGGTGTCCCATCTCCTCGGACTTGAGGGATTGCCTGATGAACGCCAAACTCTCCTCGGTCGAAGCTCCTACGGAAAAAAGAAACCAAGGATTTACATGGGCATCGGTGCATAGGCGAAAGTAAACGTTCGCAACCGCTAGGGAGATTCCTTTTTTTCTACGGAACATAAAAGTGGTAAATTACGCACAATCATCGCAACAACTGGAAAAATTCGAATGACAATTGTAGTCAAACGCATAAAGATCTCTACAGTCATATTGAGCGACGCTGGCTATTTACACGGACACGGTTTCGCCGACATCGCGCGAATATCGATACAGCACGAGCATCAATAAACACAACTGACGTTTTCACCCCCAAAGACGTGCGCGGGAAACGTAAACACAGGCTATCGCGTCGAACAAAACTCGCACTCACTGAGCACACACTGATGGCCATTGGCCAGGCTGTTGGGGTGGCGACTCATCCTCTTCTCTTTTCGATCGCGACACTCTTGGGCAACTGTCCGCAACTCGACTGAGCTCCAGGCTCCACGCGGCCGAACTTGTGTCGCGAGCGGGAGAACCAGCCGAGTCAGAACGGAGCACGTGGTTTCTCTAATCTCTCTCTCTTTCTCGCGCGCGAGCTATACGCGATGTCGTAGCCGTGCGACAGGTAAGATATATCTCGACGCTTTCTTTTTTTCTTCGATAGTTGGATTTTTCAAAAAACATGTGCCACGACGCGATCGCACTGGACTACGTTCTATGACACGCGTATACGCGCGCGCGCGCGTGTGTGTGTGTGTATGTGTGTGTGTGTGTGTGTGTGTGTGTGAACGCGACTCATACCGGAACTGAAATTACCGACGCTACGCTATATTTCTACGCTTTTAAGCGGCGCGTTATTCATACGTGCTTATACATACATACACACACACACACTCACACGTTCGCGCACGTACACAAATGTATCGCGCAGATGCGCTACAAGGGTGTTACGCGATGAGAATTCAATTTGGTTTTTTTTTTCGTACACGTAAATGTGCGCGATATGACGATTCTCGGTGATCGGGGGTCTTCGCATCGCTTTGTAAAATCGTAACGCGTTTCATTCGTATATTGCGGAAGAGACACCTAACGATACTTCCGTATTCAAATTACAATATGTGAAGCGCGATCTGTAAGCGTCGCTGCTATCACGCGGCGGCAATAAATAGCCATTTAACAAGCGCGCAGTGCGCCATTGAACTTGCGCGCGCTGCGAACATATAAACCATGGATATTATGCACGAGCTCACGTGCGCCGCGAGTGAAGGAACTCCGCGATCGAAAGGTTACGCTCGGATTACAGATGCGTGCACGTTTCACCACGCTCGCGCGATCGACGACGCTACTCGGACAAGAAGCGCGCCGCCCAATCGGAAGCCACCCATTGGTTTTTTCTTCGGGACGAGCGACTTGGGCTTATTTATACATTCCAGGCTGGAAAATACGTTTTCGATCTCGTACGAAGTCAACACGCTAAACTCGTTTGTTTCGAATGACGTCGCGATCGATTCCAATCCAATCGCAACACATCGATAACGCGCCTCATCTTAAGCTTGATGCTCAAGCACGCCGCGTAATCAAGTACATCGCGCGATCGTGCATTTTCATAACCGGTTCGTCGCGCAGCAAGCGATTCCTCCGCGGAAGACGAACCAAGAGATGCGGAAAGAAAGGAAAGAATGGCTTTATTTGAATACGCGCGGAGGTGCTTCGCCGCGGATCGTACGAGGTGCTAATCATGAATTATGCGCCAACGGTATCACGTGAACAATGTATGCGCGAGTGGAGTTATCAGCGCTGCGTTTAAGTTTGGCGCGAAATTTAGCGATAAGCGCGCGTAAAAAAAAATTGACAACTCGCATCGAACGACCGCGTGAATTTTAGGTGGCTAAATGGAAGATGCAACTCGGTGCCAAAACGAATATGCACTGCGAGCGGATTTCAACAGCAATTGCCAGCAATGAGCTGGTGATATTTCATTTTACAATGATCCTTGACATTTGAGTAACGATATACTCATTGAGGAATACAAAAATGCTAATCGACATCGTACGATTGCGCCGTTAATTGAAACTTGATATAGAATGCACGCTCCATCGAACGCGCGATAAAGTCCAATCGGACGTAATCTCAATTATAACTTTATTATAATCGATTAAAGATAATTTGCTGGCTTTGTGGATTGCTCTTATTTTTATATTAATGGTGGTTACGGAAATAAAATCAAATGCTAATCCAAAAAGTGTTTTTTCACCGCACCACCAACCACACGCTAAAGTGATAAAAAGCTGCAACGAAACACACACACACACACACACACGCACACACACACACATACACACGCGCGCGGGTTTAAAAAAATTATGAAGTACAATGACTCATAGATTTACGAAATGACTCAGGCATTCGAGAGAAAAATGTGGTCGCGAAAAAAAAAAAATCGTTTGAAAACTGCAATGAACGTCGATGCATTATCAAAAAAGCCACTTCATACGAACAGTCAGAAGTGCCTCTCCTGAATTCGTGCAGAAACAGAATACATACAAAACGCGTTCTACGACGGCATAGAATAGTACAAATACTTGCAATGGTTCTTGATCGGTACTATACGGGGTCGCAAAGTAAATGTAGATGAAATTGATAACCGAGTCACAGCGTTCCTTTCCCTCACGAGCGAATGCTATAGCATAAGCAAAATCCTATCAGATCCTAATAGTCGTTCCTCGAGTCTGACATGTACATCGAACGCGAAACCCTTACAAACTGAGCACACCTTCTCATTATTTTCAACAAAAGCTTCGATCGCAATCCCGAAACTGCTCTACAATAAATCAACCGGTGCTACTTGCAAGCTGATGTTTCAGCAAGTGTGCACCTCCTGAAACCCGTCGACGCGTAAACTGACGGAGCTTTACGCTCCAGAGTACGTAGCCGATTTTTCGTACACGATCACGGAAAAGCTGCCTCCGGAGAAGTTTTCCACGGCTGAGCGCATGGGTGGGGATAATCAATAATTTTCTCGTGGACGTTTACACGTTCGTCTATGTTTGTATAGCGAAGGTATTGTATAGTGATGTACGCGCGCAGCGACTCACGTGCGCTCTTGCGATATCCTCTTTCTTCGCGGTTTTGTGGGCAGCCAATGAAGTCGACGATTTTGCGATAATTTGTTGACACGATTCATATTTACACGTTTTAATTGAATGACTTGCCGATTTTCTTTCCATTAATTTCTAATAGTTAAAGAATATTTGAAGAAATTAGCCGGAATGTACACAAGTTTTGCCTATCAATGTTTTTTAATTCTACCCACTCTCTCCACAAGTAATCGAACTTTTTTTTAAATAAAGAGCTAAATCTCCGCATTCTGACCTCTAAGTTATGTCTTCGCCGCCTGTTTCCGGCTTTTATGCCGAAAACCTAAAGCGAAAAGACTTTTTAACGCCTCCAGCTCGTACCGCAAACTTCATGTTCCGTCAAAAAAGCCTTTACGCAGTTGTTAGGAAATAAAACTTTTAAAACAGTGTTGGAGAATGTAAAACTCGAACTTTAACAAAACAAAGATTTTGTTCAGAGGACGTGTATTTGATATTTGATATGGTTTCCGACGACGCAGGTCTGCTAATTCTTTATTAAATTATGATCAGTTTGCTTACAGCAACAACTAACAAAAGACTATGACGACTTGAACGCATACTTAGTTGATTTCTATAATTGATGAGATCTGTGTAAAAGTTTGTCCAAGCTATGAAAAGATCAAAATTGCCAAAAATCACAACTGCTTAAGCAATAGCCGCCAGTATTATGAAGAATAAATTACATTACACGATGAAAAAAACCTTGTATTTTTATACATTCAAATTTTCATCATACTGTCAATAAAACAAGTTTATTATTATTTTTAACTTCATCCAACTTTATTTTCTAAATTCATCGTTCAATAAATTAAAAAGAAACGTCATTTTAACATTAAGTTTCAATGTGCTCCGAAACTCACCACGTATAAATTCATTAACCTTTTTCTTTATAAATAAATACAAATTATTGCGCTAAAGTTCAATAGTCGCAACCATTGCATTTACAAATGATAAACCTTAAAATAACATGACAAGTAGCATTGTTTACGAAAAAATTAAAAGGAAAATAATGCAATTTCTCACGATAATTTGTTCAAGTCTTTACTTGTTTACTTTTCGTTCGCAAATCGCGAACAATTATCTTTGGAAGTTCATTGAAATTAAAATGATTCAATCGCAGTTCTTATCTATTCATATCTTACATTATAAATACAGCTTCGTGGGAAGTTCTTTTTTTTACAAACTGTATAAAGAGATGTGAAAAAGATTTTTTTAAATTACTTTTTTTTATATTCTTCAATTGAATTATCTTTTTCAATTGAATAAAAATCGTTCAAAAAACGAAATTGAAAAAAACATCGGCGAAAACGTTTAATTGCTGGAGCAGTGTACGTAGCTGCATGACACGCACATGGATTACACAATTTGCGTGAGGCGATCGGTTACACAAACCATTACGACCATGAACCATATTTGTGCGATCGGCTGAAAAAATGTGGTTTTCGCTTTTACAAATCGAAAATGTACCTGACAAAGCATTTGCCAATTGCGGAAGTTCTCATGTGTAAAGCTGACAAGTTAGTAATGCCATTGCAAATTTGAAATTCGATCGCAAGATTCCAGAGCATAGATTTCTACCGTAAAAGGAAATTGAGAAATTTTTTCGTTCACCTTTTTTTCTCGCGTGAAGAGACAATAGTAACAATCGTAATCAATAATGAGACTTATTAATTTTTCTCACTTATCAACTATTAGAATCGTAAAGCGCCACGAGAAAAAAGATGTTCGAGCTTTCATATCTGTCGTCGTTCGAAATACAAAAGTTGCATTATCATGTGAATCGTCCGATTAATCCGCATGACGCATGGCGTGACGCCACGTGACGTAATGATGAGATACGTTCATATTCCGGTATTTATTTTCTTTTTTTTTGAACTTTTTTTTGACAATTTTATCGCATTGAAAACTGATGTATGAAATTGTGCTTCTATGAAATAGATTAAACTTGCAGTTTTTTTGTAATTTACTTTTTCCAGTCAGCCAAGAAAAAAAGTTAATTATAGGTTGTTCATTGTACACGTAATGCGATGTTTGATGTTTAACAATTTCCATGAATTCTGCATGCAATTTTTCATCTCATAATTAACTTTTGCCGTTAGAAATGCAATTGTTCATGAAATATACGAAAAAGAGTATAGTTTTCTAGTTTTACCACAATCGAATTTCATTTGAACGCCGAGAAAACATTGCTAAGTTTTTTCTTCCTTCGTCATTACTCGCTCGTCAAGGTTTCTTTCTAATCACAAGTATTAATGAGAAACGAAGACGCGGTCAAGGTCAACCATCGTACTCCACAATTGTCATGATTTTCTTTCTTCTCGGAAAGCTTTTGCAATTGCAAATTTCAACATCATCAAGTTAAATTAGCTACATTTCTCCGAGCAACGATAAAGATATATGCTTATCGACGAGTAGCACATGGCTACCACGCTTCATGATAAATTTTATTTCCGAAGTTCCTATCTCACCAAGTGATTTTGGCGCTTTCGGAGATTCAAGATCAGACCACTTCATATACTGTGAATTCGCTTCATATACTTTGAAGTTAAATCGAGCGGAACTGTTTGGTGGTTCATTGTTGAGCAATTTTCAATCGATGGACTTTTTCTTTCAGAATATAATTACAATTGAAATGGAACTATTATGCGACAGAAAGTAGAGATAAAAATAGTACTTACTTCGATATTTTGTTGCCATTGTAAGCGTAGTGACTTATTTGAAATACGGATGCCTTCAAAAAGCTTCTATGACAATTTAATTTTGGGCGATCACTCAGTATTCAAGCAAGATCTGCACAACAAAATTACAATTTAAAACTTATAGTTGTAATACAATTTTAAGCTATTGTATTCTCATAATTACAGAAGAGAACAATCAGTAGTTTTTAAATCTCAACAGATTAATATCAAAATGATAAAACGAGCTCTTTATTTTTAAATTCTATCCGCCCTCGCAACACAAGAAAAAGCAGTCATAGAAAATCAAATCACCTTACCTCAGTTGTATTTGCTATTGTGCATCGAAATTCTCGTAATCAACGCACACCTTTATAAGCTTGTGCTATTCTTTACACTCTACACTAATCAATTATTCCGTAGACTACACTTAGATCAATATATATGGATTCGTGTCTCTTTTATGGTGGACCGATCATTCGACGATATCAACAAGCTGCGTGTAAGTTTGTTTCGTCCTTCGCGCACGCTTTCACATTTTATTTTCTTCTTCTCCAAATGTATCGCTGCTGCTATCTTGTGTCTAGCCAATGAATTATACAGAAGGGCGATCATGGCGTAATATATAGAACAGACGCTCAGTGCTGGGCTAAATCGAATAGCTTGCTTCGAGATCGCTTCTTGACTGCCTTCAGGGGCCTTATTGTGATGATGGTCATGCGCACTTCGACGTTGCGCAGTATATTATGAGTCGATCGTGTCCGTCACAAAACTAATTAACATTGATTAGTTACTCCATTGACAATATTGACATTCTCCTTGTGACAGGCAGATCTGCGCACAGTATACTGCGCAGTGTCCAGGTGTGCATGACCGAACACCACAATAAGGCCCGCATAGTTCGTCCACTCTGACTCTGAAGGTCTGTCTCCATAGGGCCTGCCTGAGTCCGTCCGAGCCGGCCGAGATTTTTTATGGGCACGCCATCTCTATAATTTCGTGTTCATGCGTTTCTCGTATTGGCTGCGTCCGATCGGGCTCGTTTATGTAAACGCAGCCATTCACTATGAAACTCGCCATTGGATACGAAATTATAGAGATGGCGTGCCCATAAAAAATCTCGGCCGGCTCGGACGGACTCAGGCAGGCCCTATGGAGACAGACCCTGACTCCCGCTTCGTATACGGTCCGTTCATTCCGTATTATAAATGAGTTAAATGAATAGATCTATATGCAATATAATTGAAATTTAAACGTTAGAACTATTTGGGTTTGGCAAATTGATATAATTTGAAATATCATCGTCCGAGTTATATTTCAAATATACCGTATGTAGTAAAAAACAATAACTATTTTATTCATATCAGGTGTCTAAAAATGTTATGGAAAACAAAATTAATGTTAAAATTAAAATACTATATAGGTCGCGTATGTGAGGGTATTCTGGTTTTAAACTATAATAAATGTAATTTAAAAAAGAAGAATAATTGAACTGAAATACTTTCAAAAGCCCTGATTACACGTATAATGTATATATATTTTATGTCGAATAATCAGACTTATTTTTTTCTTACATTTATATTAAACTTCTACGATTTTCATTTCATAATTAATTCAATTGCATTATTTTTTGATATTATCAATAATAAATAAAAATATTTGCTTATTATAAATTAATTTATACAAGATATATTCAACAGGATGTATAAATTCAACAGTGATTTAGATAATTTTTCATGTAGTCACTGTACAAGAAATATAAAATTAGTTTCATTTTAATAGATTTAATAGATTTTAATAAATTTAATAGATTATCGATCCATCGTAATGCTTTCTTATGAGAAATCTTTGATAAAGTATGAGATAATGATAGTTATTAATTGAAAAATTATGATATCTACTTAAAATTTTTTTCAGATTAATTATATACAGGGCGATAAAATTAATGATTTCTGGAATTACATGATCATAAAAATCATATAAATGACAGCTGCTTTTTTCAGTTTAAAATGTTTTATTAAAAATTTTTCTGTTTCTAAAAAGAAACAAAAATGGTATTTCACATTATATAAATTTGCCAAAACCAAATAATTTTCACGTCTGAATTTCAATTAGATTATATGTAGATCTATTCAATCAATCTATTTTACATGGAATGAACGCAACGAAGAGACTTTATACAAACCAGCAACAAGAGTGAACGACCTGAAGGTAGTCAGGAAACGAACTCGAAATGAGCTATTCGATTCGGCCTAGCACTGCAGACGCTCTTTTTACATTTGTGTTGAATATATATATATATATGTAAATAATAATCGAAGGATTTTTCTGGTTGCTTATTGACAAAGTAATCGTTTTTTAGTAAATTTTTTTCACATGAATTTTTGTGTACTTTTTTTAGACGTATTAATGTTCTATTTGTAATAAAAATTCGTTAGTTAATTTATAACCTAATAGTTTGTAATTTTAACATTTTTATATAATTATTAATTAAAATGATTATGTAGTTAAATTTTCATCTTAATTCTTTTTTCTTTTAATTTATTTATTTAATTGTATGTGATTTATTTATAGTAACCCGTTTAATAAAATGTTATATATTTTATTAAATGGGTTACTACAAATCGAATTTTTTGCAATTCTATAGCAATTTAATTAATTCTTTAATAGTTAGTGAGTATTTGTTATCAAACATTACAATAGATTTTCACTCTTATTGTCCTGGAATTCACAGATAATGAAGTTGATAAGTGCATTGTGCATTGCAAGACATGCACCTGGAAAAGGTAGAAATCGACAGCCTGAAAATAAAGTCCCTTTTCAGGAAATACTACCACTGAAATTAAAAGATAGAGTTTCAGGAAAATCAGACAAAAGCAAAAGTAAACAGATGAGATAAAACAGTTTAAAAGATTATAAATTTAACAGTTAATGGTAACTTTTATTTTCAGGTGGAGGATGTCTATATGAAATGACATTGCTTATGGGGTGCTTACAAAATCATGAATATGAAAACAAAATGTGTCAAAAGGAAGTAAATAATTTTCAGTCATGTTACAAAAAGTACATAGTAGACTCATTCAACTCTAAAAAAGCACAAGGAAAGGGTACTTTAATACCTGGCGATTCTAATCTTACGCATAAACAAATTAGAAAATTGTTTGCTCAACGTCCCATTGTTTAAAATGAATTTCTCAGATTAATAAATATTTCTACTGTTAAAAGAACTAAATGGTAGACATTGAATTAAATAACCTAGACTGATTTTTCATAACATTTTTATTAATAAAACAGTATATATCTCAGTATCTTGCAATTAAAAACATGAATGTTCAATAAATAGGTGTATTTGAAAATACCTTCTTCTTTGTCTCACGAGATAACTTATGAAAAAATCAATCATTGCTAAAGTTTTAATAGAAGATTAATCGTTTTTTTTTTTTTTTCAAAAATATAAAAATCTCCGCTATCTACAATTCATCTCACAATTTTGATGATGTAGGAACAGAACCATTTACTTTTTCATTACTTGAATCACGTCCTCATCGTGCATTACGTGCTGTAGGCCAACCCTTTGAGGAGAATATTTTGTACTTGTACCCTGAAAATATTTATGGTTACAATGGAGCTTCAGAATAGGATTAAAATATTCATAAAATTAAAAGTACTCTAAACTTACCCAGACCAATGCATATTTGAATTGTTCAACTAATGTACGATGGATTGAATGACAAACATGCTCAACGGTAACTCCCTTTCTAAGAATCAAACCATCGTCAAAGTCAGGTGGCTGACCAGGCTTTTTTGTGTATACTCTTATAAGAGCTAAAAATTCCCATAGAGTCTCTAACAGGTAGTCCAAATTCAATTTCATGTTACAACTAGAAATAGTAGTTTTTATAAGATGACTTATTTGTTTGTTTGTAGATTAAAATCAATGTATTATTTAATGATATTACCTAACTACAACACTATTTGGTTGTCTTGCAATTCTATCTACTTCTTCAATTGATATTTGATCAATTTTATTGTAAACATAAAGGCATGGCAAATATACACGATTTGCATTTATAACATCTATCAATTCATCTGCAGTACAGTCTTCTCTGAATAGAACTTCAGCATTGAATATTTTATACTCATGTAAAATCATTTGAACAAGTTTTTCATCCACTTTTGTTAAAATACAGGTTGAGTTGAAAGATATTCCACCCCCTTTTTTGATTTTAAAATATATGTTTGGTTTCCTCTTGTTTAACCGTATGCCTACAGATTCCAATTCTTTTTCGAGTAACTGTCTTTGAACATCTTGTTTTGTTGCATCCAACATCATTAAAACTAAGTCGGCTGTTCTAGCCACAGCTATCACTTGTCGACCTCTACCTTTGCCCTGCATACAAAAATTTTAAATACATATTTTCCAATATAATTATCTGCTTACTAAAAAATTGAATTTTACCTGAGCTGCACCTTCAATAATACCAGGCAAATCAAGAAGCTGTATATTTGCACCTTTATATTCAATAACACCAGGAATACAGGTTAGAGTTGTAAATTCATACGAAGCAGCTTCCGATTCTGTGTGGGTTAAAGTACTGAGCAGTGTGGACTTTCCTACCGATGGGAAACCTATCAATGCAACCCTAGCATCACCAGATTTCAACACATCAAATCCTTCACCTTTCTCAGATTTTTTTGATGGCTCCAGCAACTGAGAACGATATTTTGCTAGTTTGGCTTTGAGTAAACCCAGATGATATTCAGTTGCTAAGTAGAAAAAAAAGGGAAATCAAAACATTTAATAAGAATCAGATAAATTGCATTATTGATTTATATAATTTATAATTACAAAAATTTCAATATTTTAAATTATTATTAACACTACAATAATAAACATAATGCAGGCACAAGTATGATAAACATAACCTATAACAAACTTTACCTTTATTTTTCTGTGTCCTCGCGATTTCCTTCTCGATTTCCGATATTTTTTCCAAAATGCCCATTTTGCTGAATTAGTTTTCACGAAACAACGAAAATCATCTATGTGATATTTTATGAAAAATCATACGGTGCAGATACAGATATTAATTCACACACATTCATTCACACGGTAACTAAGTCAACGAATAAGCCGAATAGAGCACGAGCTCCGAGTATAGTGAACTCTATGCTGGCTAGCGTCTATGGTCTAAACTTAAAAAACGCGTTGATTGAGTGAAATGAAATCATCAGCAATAAATGTTCTTTTCCGCCAGAGGTCGTTTACTTGCTTTTTCAAAAATTTGGTTTTTCATCATCGCTAATTATTAAAAATCATCAATGAGGCTAAATGCATTCATAGCTTATCAATTTTATAATATTTATTGTTAGGCGAAAACGCATCTTTGCAAAAAAAACACAATAAACTCGAATAAAATAACGAATGAGAACATTCATTTGCAAATGTCACGGACTAAACGTAATTGATTGATTTCTTCATTTCCATCGCCTTAAGGTCTCGAATAATTTTGCATAAGTCTCGACATAAGCCGATTGCAGTAGTACGAGTCAATCAAGTGCTTAACAAGTGCGTCAAGTAGAGCGAGTCGAGTGCGACGAGACAACACTCGACAGATAGATAAATGACAAACACGTTTACGGTAACATATTGCATTGTTTCTCGTCATCGTCCGACGATTTCATCGCACGCGCAATTAATTCCAATGAAAAGTAATTGTTTAGATTTTGACCTACACTTTCAATTGCAGGAATAGTCACAACGGAAATTGCACTCGGGCGTTGATAAGCCAAGAGACGAGCAAAAACCAAACAAAAAAAATTAAAACATTTTTCTAGCCTACGTATGCACTCGAAACTCTCTTTTTCTCTCTCTCTCTCTCTCTCTCTCTCTTGCTGCGATGCTAATCCCAGACACACAGGTCCCGCTGTTGACACGCATAATGTGTGCTAAGCTCACGAGTATACATACAATGTGCTTTGACGCGAGAAAGGGATGCATCTATACCATGCGATAGCATTGGGGTCAAAGATCGCGCGAGAGAGGGGTTGAAACAAGAGTGAGCTTGCGACGCGCATGTTTATTTTTTCATCGAACGAGATTTGCCGTCGACCTTCCTCTTTTCGGCGTCTAACTTAATTCGTTTGTTGTCATTGCTTGGGGCATCTCTGTGCCGTGCGATGACATTTTGCCAGCTATTAAAACCGAAAAATGCCGTGGTTCATTGGCTTGCGCCCCGAATAAATTTTAACCACTTGCGCTTAAGCGCAGACTTATCGTCGGCAATCTCGTCGGTGGTTACGTCGAGGAAGCTTCTGCAAGCTTTTTCAGAGCACACATTTTACTGTTTATGCCTGCGCCGGATCCCACGAAAAAAAGGAAGCCGTGGATAACAGCTCGATTCATCGACAAATCTTGCGTTCACGATCACAAAAATTGCACAAGCTCTCTGGCTTGCGAACAACCATCGTCTCGCGAGAAAGGGATTGAGAAGAGGGACGTAAGAGGTCAGAGCTACTGGCAGTCCAATGCGAAAAGCTCTCTTTCTCTCTCTCTCTCTCTTTCTCTAAATCAAAGGCGAGAAAGACAAAGTCATCGGCTGGCAGGGCTAGGTAGGAAAGCTGTGAAAAACGGTGGCGCAGAGCGAGACTAGACGGTGGTGTGCGGTGCAAGCAGGATCGACCAGAGAGCGGAAAGCCAGTCGTGGCAACGTCGCAACGGACAGGGTGGTGGGAGCGGTGGCGGCGGCGGTGGCGACGGCTGTGTCGGCGGCGGGCCGCCGCGAGCAGCGAGCTTCGCTCACCAGTAGCGTACGGCAGGCTATCGCGCGAGTGTTGGGTTCGGGTGGCGTGCCGGCGATGCTCTGATGCGGTTGGATCGTCGCTGGTCGCTTTGTCGGCGCGTCGAGTGCAACGCTGAGCGGTCGCTGCCGTTGTTCGAGCGCGCTCGCGGCGACGACGAGGATGGCCGCGCGATGAAGCCTCGCCACGCCGTGACAAGACCGAACGATGCTCAAGTTCGGCAGCAAGAGCGACGTCAACTCGGCGCTGCGCGCCACTATTCGCCTGCTCGACGACGCCGAAATACTACAGTGTGACTTTCAGGTAGGTGCGCCGCTTGGGCTTTCGCGCGGTCCCGCGCGAGCTTGTCGGCACGGGCTAGCCCGTGGACAAACGATGGAGCTTGAGACGCGCGTGAATAAAAGATGTCCGAACTCGATGACAAGCCAGAGGCAGCCCCGGCGAGACGAGCAGGGGCGATTTCGCCGCGGGAGAGGCACGCGTAAGCGACACGGGGCTCCGCTGGGCGCAGTATCGGCGTCGTTCAATCGCCGCAGACGCAGGATCGATGAATCGTGGACTATCGATCGACGAACGAGCGCGCGACGACTGATAATAAATTTAAACGCGCTTTCGTTTCCCTTTTTTTTCTTCCTCTTCAAACGTGCGCGTCGTTTACATTTCAAATCAGATGTTTGCGAAATCCGTCTGCCGTACATATTTTTCAGGCCTTCGAGTGTTGCAGCTCTTTTTATGAATTATTCGGCAATTCGGGAATCGAGGACGACCGAACGATTCGGATTGCACTTCGCTCGCGTCTCACCGGGAAATTCCCTTGGGCTCGCTAGAAGCAAAAACAATGTAGCTGTCGGCAAGTGCCAATGGAAAGACTTAATCAAGAGCGTAGAAGGGCCTGTGGCGACCAACGCTGCAGAACTTGCGGGAGCGACCATCGCATGCAAAGGCATGCCGCGCGTGCGTTCGCGAGAATCCCAAGTACGCGGTTGACCCATTAACTGTCAAGTCGCAGCAATTTTACTTTTCCGGAAGTCGAAAGAAACAAAAGAATTCCGAAAAAATTGTTCCAGGGGTGTTGGGGTGTATGTGTGTTAGCGTGTCGCCGTGCGCGCGCGCGTGCGACTGTGTAAACATGCGCATATACATACATACATTCAGCGATCGATCGACGGCGGCAGCAGCAGCGGAAGGGGGGAAACGCGCGTTTCCCCAAATTCGTCTCTCTCTCTCTCTCTCTCTCTCTCTCTCTCTCTCTCTCTCTCTCTCTCTTTCTTTCTGGGGTTTGGCTGCACTTTTGGGGATTTGATTCGAGAAGGAGACGGCTGTATAGCTTATATCGAGGACCTTATTTCTAAGGGGCAGACTCTTCTCTCGCTCTAGGATTTCATATTGGATCTGATATGTTATTGCTGCTGCTTCAACTGATGCGACCTTTTGTTTTTATTTTGTTTTATTTTACTTTTTTTATTTGAAGTTTTCGTATTGAATTATTACGTTTGCGATCAATCTTATTTTTCTTTGGATGACGCGATTATCGAGGTTTATTTTTAGCAAACTTATATGATATTGGATAAATGTATTTTTGCAGGTTCCTTTCAATTAGAAATCTTTTGCAATGAAATATCCAATGCAATCTTTTTCGACACGAACATTCAAAGTTTCGCGCAGAATTCGGTTGATAACCGTATTTACGACGGAAACCATGCGTGAAAAGAAAAACAAACTGCTGCTTGCATTTAGAAAGTCCGCAATTATGAACGTGAATTGCCAATCAAAAAACACAATCGGCCAAAGATCAATAAAAAAAATAGCAAACTTTCTAACCAATGATTTTTTCCCTTATCTTTCGTCTCGGAACGATGATAGTTGACATCGGTCTAATTTCTCCGGTACTTACTTATTCCAACGTCGAGCCGAGATCTAGCGACGACTCTAGCTACTCATTACGTTTAATTACTCGAGACTCTTCTTTCACTTGATATCTCAAAATATTTTATGTTTGTCCGTTTGACACATATTCTCAGCTGATTATCCAACTCTCTCAGGACAGATGACGTTATCTCCAAACTTTCCTTCGCGATGTGCTTATGACGCTCGATTTCTCGCACTGATTTGGGGGACCTCCTACCTGTCCGAGTACTTCCGCTTACTCAGACTTTCCTCCTCGATCCAGCATTTTGTGTATTTCTCTCGGTCGATAGTCTTTCACCTGACCATACAAAAGTTTCGAATTTCTATTCTACATTGTAAAATTGGAGTCTCCGAGTTTATTTTCCTCTGCTTTATTAATGACAGACTTGATCACGCGCGCGGGCTTCGAAATAACTTTTCGCCGATGTTAATTGATCATCATGATGGATTGGTCCTCTTTATCGATGAGGCATCAATCAATGAAGTTTCATTTTAAGCGTAGACAGTAGCGCTCTATTTTTAAGAGTCGCCAATTGGCCGCAACTCCGCGACGAGGTAATTTTAAAGAAAAGAACGATCTTTTTGCGGATCGCGACGTTTTTCACGACAAACGTGACTCGTGCACACTTCCTTCGTGGAAAAGGTTCTTCGATTTCTCTAATTCGCGGGCAAGTTTCGTTTGCCCGACAATAATATATTGGTCCGTTTTACACGCAGCCTTAATTATTCACGAAAAACTCGTTTGCGCGTTTATTAACTTACAATTATTCAAAGAATTTCGCGATAAAAAATTCCCCGCTAGGCTCCATATATCACCTCGAATGAATAAAATATTCCGACCCAATTTAAGTCGCGCGAGCCGCCTCAAAACGAAAGCCATCATTTAATCAAGCGCCGCGCGCCCTCCACTTATCCGACATCAATCGAGTCGCCCGATTCTGCCAAATCAATTATTGCGAAGCCGTTATCAAATCTAGCAGTGTCGCGGTTCCTCGAGAAATCAATTAGATAATTACCGCGAACAAAACGACCAATTGTGGTAATATGTTAGAGTAGAGGCGAGCACGGAGACAAAAAAAGAAATGTTTCGTAACTGCCGCCAGAGGCGAGTGAAAACTGGATGTGGGACAGCACGCGCGACTCCGGGAAAAAACATTTTATGGACACGCGTGCGAATGATCTCCTTTCCTTGTTTCTTTTTTCTTCTCTTTTTTTTCGTGCGTAAGCGTGTGCACGACCGTGCTGTTCGTTCGCATGGAAAATTTTTCACGAATAACACAAAGTACGCGTCCTCGCTGCCTTTTTGTTTACCTGTTACCGTAGAGTTGTCGGTCATTTTTACGCGTCGCGCAGTTTTTCTTTCGCTTCTTCTTTTTTTTCGAAGGGGAAAACGCGCAGGCTTCTTTTGATCGAGTTACGTAGAATAATAATTAGTACACGTGTTTCGAGTGTTGTCATGAAAAACTTTAATAACGTTCGCTGCTGTATGATTATTGTTTGCGCGAATGCATAAAACGACTCTGATCACACTTCAGCAATTAGAGTAGCGTGCACTTTAATAACGCGAATTGCGTCAAGCCCTCCAAACCTCAAAAACTTCCGGAAATGAACTCGTAACCGTCACTCGAAAAAAAAAAAAAGACGACGACGAAAATAAAGTCATAATTCAGTCCGTACGAGAGTGTGTCTCGCGGAACTCATTGCCGCAGAGGAAAAATTTCAGTTTTTGACCCGGTTTTCCGTCCGCTGTATACGCGCGCGTATCACCCTCTTTTTTCCAGATAACAGTTGGGTGTGCGCTACTCGACTATTATCAAAGGAATCGTGCATGCAGCAGACGCACGAACGAAACCAACAGAGACGATGCCTGTATGCAAACAAGCTTCGTTTACGCACGTGAGCAAGTTTTTATTCTCGGAGTAGGCGTATGGTTTTCGTTTGGAACTGTTTGTTTGTACAAGTTGTTGGAAATAGAATCGATTAAATAAACGTGTTATCGAGCGTAAGATGCTCTCCTCCGTGGTTGAATTTCTTCTGCGACCAGATAAAAAAGCAAATGCGCGCCTCTCCTTTGTCAACGAAATATCTCCCGAGCCCTACTAAGCCATCTTCGCTATGACGACAATCATTCTCGCGAACGAATGCGTAAGTACACTTATGGGAATTTAAACGCGAACAAACGGATTTATCGTCGTCGCAGCGACACATCGTACACAGTGTGCGTTTCATCGTTGTCATTGCAATCATTCATCAGTGCTCCGTTTTTCACGTGTAACGAAAACAACCGAGAACTCGAAAAAGAAAAAAAAACAAATCTCTCGCCTTAACGCATCACGCCCAAGGAAGAGCAATTACAATTCTCTTTTAAGCGATTAGTGAATGTACTCGCGAAAGAAAGGCGTGAAGCCGTGGCGAGATCAGCAATGCACGCGATCTCTCGATCGATCTTGCGTGAAGATTGATGCCTTTCTCTCTCTCTCTCTCTCTCTCTCTTTCTTTCGTAAGTCGCAAGCTCCAGGATTAATATTGTCATATAAAGCAACGTCATTTCCGAATCCCTCTGCATGCGACTACACTATGTCGGAGCGCACGTTAAAGCCGCGAAAGTGCGTACTTACTTTCTTCCTCGTCGTCGTAATGTGGGTTTTTAGAGATATCCCGCTCGCGATTTGTTCTGAAGCTGCCGCTTTATTTTTACTTTCATTTCGCTGCTTTTTGCTTACGCGTCTCCAGCGAAACCGATGGCCGTTTCTTTTCATTTTCGACGAGTCTGACGGGCAAACTTTATGCGAGCTTTGAATGGATTAATTTGCACGCGAGAACTAATCAATAAAACATCATATCATTCGCCCAAAATAAAGAGGAAAGAAAAGGTCTGACGCTTCGTCAGGCGTACGGCGTCAACCTGCCGAACGATCATAGAGCGACGTTAAATCGCGATCGCGCGCGCACGCGCGGAACGTAGCCAATGACGATCGGCATTGCCAATCTAATTATAACGGACCGAGCGCCGAAAGGATAGGAAGCTACGGCGCGAGCTCTATAATGATGCGCTGACTCTGCGTTTTTCTCGCGTTACGTGTAAGTTGTTTTCTCGAACGAACGGCGTTTCGCAGTCACGCGCTCGCCTTTCTTACCGTGACATTCCGCTTCGATCGAGCGATTCATCTTAAGAAAAGCAAAATACTATAATGTCGCGCAATGACAGTATATATTCCTTTTTGAACAAGACTCGTACGTTCAATTACCGTTTCATGGCCGAAGCGATTAGGCGTACAGAAACAACAACGAAAAACTTAGTCCCATAGGTATTGTGCGTGAAAAAAAAAGAAAAAATACGAACGGCTATGGAAAAACGGGACGTCGCTGTTTATCATCGTAGGCGCTTTTGAAGCATCATGCATGTTTGATTATTAGCCAAATGTATTATCAAGCAAACCCAGTTTTTTCCGCCTGCACAATTAATTAGTCAGCCCGTCTGTCTCGTCGCGGAGAAATTTGTGGAGGAAGCTGATTATTCAAGCCGAAGCGAATCGGCAACAATCCTCGCCGGCTGTTATTCCAAGGGCTTAATTAAGATCATCGAAGAGCAAGTTGATAAGTTAGACGTGAGTTCCAGATGTGCTGCTGCTTTGTCGCAATGCAGGCATGATATTTGCAATTGAAAGGCGGAATCTAGTTAACGAAAATTCATCAGCCTGATCTGAAATTCCATCGACACAGCTGTTTAATTGTCGAAATCGAACACGTGTCGGGGCGAATTTCAACGACGACCCATCGAGCAATTAAATTGTGCAACGATTACGTATTAGAAGCGTTAAAAATCTAGAAACAAGGTGTAATTAGCTTTTGTCTCTCTTGCGGCAGCAACCTCGATTAAAGCCTCGTCCGAGTGCGCGCGTAATGCGATTTAATCCCTTGGAGTTTTTAAAGATTTTGAAAGGGATGAGACGTGAGCTGACGTAGAATCGATTCAAGTTTAACGAGGGCACGAGTTTTCATTTTCTTGTTTTTTCTTTTTTTTTTTATAAAGTGTGAGTTATGTAAGCTGCTCGATTCGTAATAGATTCTTTTTTTGATGTTTGTTGGTGTATAGGATGGTAAAATAATGAGATACTTTGGTGAGGTATTTGGATTTTACACCAATTAGCTACTCGAGATTTTTTTGAATTTATAATGATGTTAATTGAACGTGATACAAGTCTTTGGTAACAAGTGGAAAGCAATCAGAGCTATGGATTTTCCACCATTTGAATTTCAGTCGAGTTCGGAATAAAAAATCGAAATTCATCGAAAACCACCTGCCATCGTTACCAGCAGCTCGACGTCGCGTCACAAACGACCAACATTTCGGTACTCGGCAAGTGTCATCGAAGGCGCGGATTAGCCATCGAAGCCTCCAATTTCATAGAGCTAATATCGTAAAACAGAGCCAAGGGGTCCCAGGTGACGGTGTTAGCGAGAATATGCCCATCGACCGATTCGCATCGGAAGAATAGCCACGAACCAGCTGCGCGCCGGTGGCCGATGGGAATCGATTTAATCGACTCGACGACAGCAGCCCTCGTAATTTTCATCATTGGCAGAAAAAAAAAAGAAAAAGCGACGCCGACGATTGCACTAACAGAGTCGGCGCGGGCACGACGCAGCTCGCCGCTATCGCGAATCGGAAGGCTGTAAATCAATCGTTTTCCCGGGGCTTCGTAATGCGCCACGCGGCGATCTGTCTGGCCGCGTGTCGTCGTTAAATATCGCGACAGCATCGAGGTCGAGTCGCGTACCGACGCTGTCCATCAGCGGCGCAATCATCGTCTTCCGCGAGCAGACGCAACGTGCGCTTTAGGCCTTCGGTCGCCGTTGCGGGGTCCGATGCGGAAAGACAACAGCGCGCGAGGTGCCACGGTTGCGATTTCTTTCTCCAGCAGCGCGCGAAAAGCGCGGCTTCTCGCGAGAGGTAGGGGCTTGAAAATCGAAGAGCCTCTCGAAAGACGAGGCTCCATAGAGCCACTCGAACGTATTAGCTGTCGAAGCTCTCTGCACTGGCGTATGCGGGCCTGTCTTCTCGATAACAGATTGGCTGTGTAAATGTTTTGCGCAAAGGTGGATTTTATGTGTGCGCGATCTATTCCGAGTCAGTGGGCCGTGATGGGAGGCGCGCGAGACAGACTTTTCTGGACGAGCGAGCCTTTTGGGCCTTTGCGCTTGAGTTTGATTTATATTTGCTAAATAAACTGGATGCGCCGTCGTTTTGAAAAGTAAACGAGAGACTAATCCAATCCTAGTATCGAGAATGAACCTGGCGCTAGTCAGTCCGCGGCAAGTATAAATCATCGGCGGCTATTTTCAAATTGCTAAATCGACCACTCCCGTGACGCTATAAATGTTATCTGTCCCGATATAGAGCGGCACTTCCGGCTTTGGGCGCGGCCACGGTCAAGGTATATTTTTGTTTAACAAAACAGAACATGCATCGTGCTATTGCATCCGACAAAATGCGTCGCGCTGTCGACGGTAAGCCCAACTAAATGGCACGTGCCGCGAATGTTTACGTAGTTTACGTTTCCCTATGGACCGGTTGATCAGCCGGTAACATCATCGCCGTGTCATCGCTGAGTTGCCATGAGAATATTTTCGTAGTACTAGCTTTATGCTTCGTGTTTGAAACGATGAAACAAATCAAATGACATCCAATCCACTGACTCTTACATCATAGCGAATGAGTTCTCAAAGGGGTGTAACGCGTTTCCATCTCTTTGTGTGACTGCTCGTATGAATGTAACGCGAGCTTTCCTTTAGGCGAGTGAGAGAGAGAGAGAGAGAGAGAGAGAGAGAGAGAGAGAGAGAGGGAAAGAGAGCCTCACGGTTAGCAACGGAACAATTTCGTAATGATTTTTTCTGTCTCAATAATTTCGAAGACGATTGCGTTGGTGCGAGCTTGTTCGCGTTGCGAAAACCCTGCTATTCGTGAATATACCAAGCACAGCACGCGAACGCGGTTTAAGTAGAAAATGACGGGGTTTGGTCGGCCAACCCCTACTCAACGGATACAACGGCGAGCGTACCCGTGTTGACTTGATGAAAACAAGTCGAATACGCGAGATGGGAGGAGACTTTTTTCGAATCTAGCAAAGTCGTAAAGTCATCCCTCGTGTTCGCGCGCCGAGAATACTCACTGGAGCTGAGTCAATAGCAGATTGAACGTCTTTTTTGAAAAACATTTTTCCATCTGATAGAGATTTCTTTTGTACTTTGTCGTTCACGTTATTGAGATGTGTGTGTGTGTATGTGTGTGGTGCAGTGAACTTGCGACCGATCGATTACTTTTTATTTCTAGATGTGTGCATTGAACCGAGACCTGCGGCTTACGAATGTTGGAACTGCGCGACGAGAGTCGTCGAATCAAGAAGTAAAGCAACATCTCGCTTCTCATCAATCTAAACGAACAATAATCCCTCGTGGACGTTGAAATGTATAATGATCGCGTCTCGAAATAACGCGTGCGCGAAAACTAATGGGGATCGTAATTCAAAACGATCATAAACGTCGTCCAATGACAAAGCATTCTTCATACGAGTCGGTTCGAAAGCTCCCCGTAACCTCGAGCCGCGTGCACTATATTGGATCGATTAAGCTATGTATAAAACGCCTACACCTACAACGTCGATGCATCAAACTTTCAGTTCGCGCGCGTGTGTCTGCGTGCGTCCGGCTTTCTTCTATTCAACGCGCGACCAATGGATCGACCTCTAAAAATATTTGTTTTCTTTGCAGCCTAATCACAAAGGAAAGTACATACTGGATTACGTGTGCAAGGAGCTTAATATCTTAGAGACGGATTACTTTGGTCTTAGATACGTCGACGGCAGTAGGCAGAGGGTGAGTTCAGATTTTTGATTTGCGAGCATACCATTCTCCATTTGCAACTGGGGCGTTTATTTAAAAAAATTAATTTCGAATATACTTTTACTAATCTGAATAAGTGGTGAGGCTAAGTGGATAATGAAAGGTGAATGGAGAAGTTAATGAAAAATTTTGCGACGCTCGGCGAGCTTTCAACAATTAAGAAAAAAAAAAAAACAGGAAAAAGGTCAGCAGCACTCGAGACACTTATTGCATTTCGCCCGCATATCTCTCTTTCTCCCTTCGTTGAATGGAAAACCCGACTCTACTGTGTAATCGCGTTCCCGCTTCGCGACTTCGACGTTCTCTCTCCCTTTCCGCGGGAGACTTTTGCCTGGCGGACTTTTTTTTTTATTTCTTTGGCGTGACTCTTGATGACGCTTTTGAGCCGAGTGCTTGTTTAAGAACGCGCTTTCTTTTGCGAAAATATGCGCTGCTATTGAGTTCGGAATATCGTGCGAAGTGTTGTTTTTGAATCGATACTATTTCATGGATTTTTAAAGCGAAATCCTTCGGAATTTCATAAAATGAAAAAGTTCGGTTTATTGAGGGTTTTCAGCTCGAGCCAAGCGTCGCAATTGTGAGTTTCACACACGACTTCAAATAGACCCTGCTACAGCGAAATGGAATGCAATGATTTCAAATTTGCGGGTGCTGAAGTTCGAACTTAGATTGTGACGTAACGGGCGCTATTGGATCGTTTTATAGGTTGTTATATCCTGAAAAGCGAAAAGGATAGCCTTATACAATCGTGAAATCTATTCAATAAAATAAATCAATCTTTCGCGAATAGTAGATAAATTAGTCCACTCCTAAAATCGATTTCTCAGTCGCTCGTTAGCGAGTGCTCAACTTAATTTCTCTCTTCCTCGAACGGCTATCAATTAATTTTTCGCACTTGACCTGGTTTTGCCCTTTTTTCCTTTTACTGCTTCGACCGACACGCGCGGAAGAACTCTAATCAATCGGTTATGGAAGTTGGAGTTATTGCACATAAGAGATTTTCGGACGCGCCCAGAAACTTTCAATCTCATTAAGAGTTAAAAGTTTTCGCGGGAGAGAAGGAGAAGCGGACTTTGAATCAACTTCCGCGCGCACAGTTGATAGTTGTTCGCAAGTTCGATTTGATAGACCGTTGGATGAACTCGAGGAAATTTTGAAAAAATGGAGGTTTGTCGGAGTGTCGCGATACGTTTAGGAGTAGTTCGTTGCGATCGCGAATAATAATTGTCGCCAGACGGTCGTTACGCCTTGTACTCTGGTTGAGATGCCGTCTATACCAAAACAGTGAGTGAGCAGACCGAAAGCGCGAAAGATTGAAAGTTTAAGCATCCAAGGCACGAAAAATTTACTTTGGAAGGCACTCCGAGGCGCGGTCGATTCAATGAAGCGGCTTCCAATTGAGCGGCGAAGATCCCCATTTGGATTATCTCTGGCGATTATCAACGGCAAGCGTAAAAATTGGCCGGTGATGTTTTATCAGGTCGTAAGCTGCGACGTCCATCGCGGCGCGGTAGACACGCCGCTGTCCGATAAAAATTGACGAGGACGGCTTTTTACGAGCGTTTAGAGGCAGCGAGTCGTTTCGTCTCCTCCCGCGAGCCATTTGAATTGCTAAAGCGTGAAACTCTTAAGTTGCCGCGAGTCTCGGTGCGCTCTGCTGCCGCGAACGACCGGCAGCTGTTCCGTGAGATTTCTGCTAATGGCGGCTCAATTTTTTGATCGCAGGGCAGCCGGCTTTGTAACGAAGCCCGCTTAATTTTCGATGTAGAGAGGTTCTGCAAATAGCCGACGTTCCAAATACTAGCGGAGTTTGCACGCCAACGAAGCGACTAACGAGAAATCATTCTGTTTCAGCATTGGCTCGACCTAGCTAAAACAGCGATCAAGCAAGTCAAAGGTGAGTTGTCATCCGTTGTAAGCAAATCAAGTAGTACGAGTTGGCGATCGATCAGCCGCAGGCACGTGATATCGCCGAGGCAGAGCTCGCGACGGGCGCGTTCGTCTTACTACTTGACCGTGCCAGTTGCGAGAAAGGGATAGGAAAAGCGATCGATGCTGCGCTTCGCAGCTCCAACGACGTCTTGCCGTTAAAAAGTTGCACGACGGCCGCGAGCGAGTCTCAAATTGAACAGCCTCGTTTCCGGTGACCAGTCGAGGCCTCGCGGCGAAAAAGTCACCCCTCTCTCGCGAGTTCATCGACCTTTCCTCTCTTTCGCCGCTCGCGAGATTAGCGCATGAAATTTTCAACGTCGGCCGCCCTGCGCTCCACCTACATTTTCGATTTTCAGTCGCGCGCGAGCGCCTTCTCCCAGTCTCGCAGCCCTGTGAAATTCGACGAGACAGACCTTGAATTATTCGCTCGGATGTTGTATTGAACGCGCGTGCTTTTTGTTTCCTTTCGTCGTTGGCGACTTCGGCAATTCGCTAGACCATGAATGTTTTAGAAGTCCGTGGAGATTAAACATTTAGACAGCTTGATATTCCGGTAATTGCTGGATGAGCATACTCTCGAAATTGCTTTGCACGCTTTGCGATAACTCCAGACTCTCGGTTGTTGCGACTGACACGCTTTCGTTGAAGAACAATGTAAAACCATTTTCGTTTAATCGTCCCAAGTCCACATTTTCTTAGACCTTTGATATCAAGTTGAAACTTTTAACCGGTACCAACTTTAATGAATTTTTCGAAGAGATAACGTCACGATTGAAACGGTAAACTTTAGAAAAATACCATTCAACGTAGTTGGGATGAACTCGACTCTGCTAGCATCTTGAGTTATTCATTAAAAATAATAATTAAACCAGATGTAGCTAATTATTTGTACAAAGTAACTGGAAGTAACGCAACGAATAATAGTATGGTGTCATATCCATAAACTTTCTCCACCATGGCATGTAACTTCACGACGCACGACTTGAAAGCTCGTGCATTAACAAATCTTCCCTTGACCATTGCGTTGAAGAAACAAAGCGAGCATGAAAAGAAAAGAAAAAAGAACACTCGCACTTGGATTGAACAGGGTGTGTGTAGCGCCGATTTGCCTGCTCGTGCGAGGCTATTTATACGCGCTTGACCTTTTGTGTAGCGTCGACCGTACGTATTTATGAACTTTGCATGCCTGAACCGCCTCGACGGCGCGTGTCCGCGAAAGATAGATGTGACGCGAGAGACTGCGGAGAAGAGAGAGAATTAAGGCGTTTCAAGCGGGCAATGTTTAGGTTGGATCTGGATGGCACCAGTTTTCCCTTATCGGATACATATCTAGGTCAAAGTTTGCGCTTCGCGCGCGAAACTACTTTGTCATTGGTTATAATGAGTAGCGATGGGCAACCTACTTCCTAGGAATTGAAACGCATCGTGGCACTTTTCGACATTCAAAGCCTTCTTTGTCGGGGAAAAATGTGGAAGCTCTTTGCCCTTCGAAACCTCCACCCAATAGAACGTCATTGTTGCAGATATGGATCCAATCCTGTTCAGTTTCCGCGTGAAATTCTATCCGCCGGATCCAATGCGACTCAAGGAAGAGATCACGCGCTACCAAGTCTATCAGCAGCTGAAGAGGGATCTGCTCCACGGTCGGCTCTACTGCAGTCCTGGCGAAGCTGCCCTGCTCGCCGCTTGCATCATACAAAGTGAGTGCACCGGTGAGAAGTGCGCGTACAGCGCGTCGCGTCGTCGCGGCACAGTCAGCGGGGAGAGCGCGCAGCCAAGATCGTTGCTGGGCGGCGAACGGAGCCGTGGTAGTGCGCGACCGGCTCGACGTAATCCGGACGCGCATCGATCCCGAGGCTTGCCCGAGTGCCTACGTCTCGGCTCGCGGGACTTTGCCTCCCGCGCCGCGGCGACGTCGAGCGAGACAAGCACTCGCATCGCGGCACAGATTCGCTGCGGAGCTGGCACTTGCGCGAGAACCCACACTCGTCCTTCGCGCGACGACGGGCTATAACGTCACGTCGGCCTCGACGTCTCGGCCTCCGTTACTTCCCCTCTGTGCGTCCGCCGCCGCCGCCGCCGCCGCCGCCGCCGCCGCCGCCGCCCGTCTCTCAAGAGAAGGAGACACGACGACGAATTGTCCTAACCCACATCGCTGCGCCTGGCTCAAATCTCCTCTGCTCTCTTTCGCTCGCAAGATTTATCTTGGAAATGCAAGACCCGCGGAAATGACAACGTGCGAGCTCGTAAAACTTTGTCTGGCCGACGACCTCTTTCGGAAAAGTTGCGCCGAGCTCTCCGCCGCCGTGGAGCACACGGCGAACCCCCATCGGATTTTCGGAGAAGAACTCGTTTGCGATCGAAATTCTGTGGCGCGGCTTGCAGGCGAGTTGGGCGATTACAATCCGGATCTGCATCAAGGCAACTACATGTCCGAGCACAAGCTGCTGCTGAAGCAAACCGAGGCGATAGAGGAGAAGGCGCTGGATCTCCATCAAAATCAGCTCAAGGGTTTTAGCGTCGAGCAGGCGGAGACGCACTTTCTCAAGCACGCGTCGCAGCTCGACACCTACGCCGTCGATCCGCATCCCGTCAAGGTGAGCTTTTGAGCTTTCCCCTTCGTCTTAAGCATCGTTCGCGCGCGCCCTCGCTTTTACGACAGACCACTGTAATATCGCGCTCATTTTTTCGTGATGGCGTACTCGCGCCGTGAAATTGAATGGCCGCGCTAAAACGGGCCGCTAATGCACCGGCTCGCTAATTGAAATTTTCGTTCGGATGTAACGGGAATTATTTTCCACTCTCTATTATGCGCTCCAACCAACTTTGAAAACTTTGATAGCACGACATTTCATTACACTTCTTTCAGGCCGATATTCACAAGAGCCAAGGTACGAAACGTAACGTCAGTTAAAGCTTAATGTTTCGCTTTCCCTGCGGGGCGCAGGAAGCCCAGTGAGGGGGGGGGGTGCAGTTCCTTTCACTCGTGCGAGCTATACATCTCTCGTAGCGAGCAACGTGCAGCCCTTTAGAGAATAATAATACTTCCCGCGCGGAGAGAGACGAGAGAATCCGCGCTCGCGCTCGGCTACGAAAAAGTTAGGCGCGGCCGAGAAATTTCACATCGATTTTCCAGCTCGCGCCCGCGCCAACTACTTCAATGAAAGCGAGCCTGCGAGAATTCTGCAAATTTATGAAAGACCTCCCCCCTCCTCCTAACCCTTTACCGAAATGCCCGAGGCATGAAGTTTTCGCCCGAGCAGCTCGCGAAACACACGAGCCGATTGCGCGAGCACAAAGACGGTAACTCGACGCGGCATTATTTACCGCGCCGGCTGCGCCACTTTCCTTATCGTCGCGCGCGGCTGCGCTCGTTATTCTCGCCATCTCGCTCGGACGCGGAAGGAAGCGCGCGATAATTGACGCGCGAGAGGCGGCTAGCCGAGAATTTCACGAGGCGTCACTCTCGCGATTGAGATACGTAGCTCGAGCCGGGCTTGATCAGACGACGACTCTATAACGCAGTGAGATCTCCAGCGATAATGCCCGTACTGTTCCGAGACCTCCAAGTACTTTCCGCTCCTTTGCCCAGCCGAGCGACGTTTTACTACTCGAGAATGAGAGCTATTTCTCGTAAATCGCGCGGGAAGCCCAGTGCGCTTTGCATATCTTACCGCTCGCCAACTTCGATGCTCGATAGTTCAATTACGTTGACGACGCCTCGAGGGAACTCGCGTGTGCTTTCTTTCTCTCTGCTTTCGACGCTAATTTTTTCGTTTTTGGACTTGACGGGGTGCGGCTCGTCGAACATTTTACAGAGAGCGGAAGATGCGTCTTGCGGTTGATGATTTACAGGCAAAAGTCTTGATTGCGTAACAGCGAAAGATCAATGTAATTCATTCGAGTGCCAAAATATTTGCATAACAGCTCGCTAATACTGTTTTAATAAATGCTCGATCCCCCTCCTCCTTCCGCGCTTCCTTTCTCTGTGGAACATCATCTAACGGTCTCATTTGAATAACAGGACGATGACGACGACGGAAAGAACGAAATCCAAGTTCGAGAAATTCTAGGCACGCGCGGCGTTCCGCAAAGCTACAATTCACGGATAATACGTTATCATTCTTAAAAAAAAAGTCTCGCAGTGGAATAACAAAGATTTCCAAGGCAGATTTATATATCGACCCACTTTCCACGCGACTTTTTATCGACGGAAAGTTCACGTGCTCGTACGTGCATCCTTCGTGATTAATCATCTGAAGTTTTCAAATTATAACACTGGCAGTTTACCGACGACTTTTCGCGCAGAAAACACGCGTGCGTTCTTTTATTTAACAACTGTCATCGGCTTGGGTCCTTTTCTCTTCTCGTTGCGTCAAAGTTTTTCCTCTTAGGTAAGCTCCTTCGGCGCTGACCCAGAATGGAACGCGTTGCAGGATTCTCTCTCTTTCTCTCTCTCTCTCTCTTTTATATTTGCTTCGCCGCTAGCTTCTTCCTTTTGTTGTGGGAGTTTTGTAGAAATTCGAGTCGGCCCAATCGCCGGTATTAACTTATTCAAGACTGAAAGAGCTTATTATGCCATCGTTTCGTTGAATTGGCTTGTTCGTTGAACTATCAACGTCCCGGCGACGAAAGCAAGTTGTAAAGCAGACGAAAGCTATTTGGACCATCTCGTTCCATGGCAATGCTTTCAACTGCCCGAGACTACATTTTTTGCGGTAGTTATGGGTTCGCCTTTGATCTCCGCGCGTGGTGATGTAGCAGCGTCGACATTACCACTCTCTCGCCAAAATTGATATTTTGCTCCTGACGTGCGTTCTCTTTCTCTCTCACTTTTCTTATGTATATCGAGTGATTTTTTGTTTGCTATCGTTGGACATACTTTCATTGTATTTTCTTCAGTACGTTTCTTTTCTTTTTCACTCAAATCGAAATCCATCAAAACGCTTCGGAGCACCCTGCCTCGAAGTTTACGCGACGGCATTGCAATTCAAACGAACCAAACAGATAATTACGCCAACGAATTCGTACACGGAAATTCCGGCTACCCGTGTACCGAACTCCAGTGTCAGTTCACCAAACTAATATTATTCATCTGCAGTTTGCAATGTCACCTGCGACCTCGTGCAACAGTAACGCGTACTTTAATTGGCTGTGGCTGTGCGTCGATGATGTTCGATATATATAACCTCCGTGGAATGGAAAATGAACCCGGGTAGAAAAAGATTCTCCCGGGTGTCACCATTAATTTCGTTACGTAACCCGTGTGGTTCCGGTAAAGACTCTTTTTTCTTCCGGACTAGCATCCGCGTACATAATAGACCCTGCAGACGAGAGCTCGCTGCATATAGAGATGAATTATTACGCGTCTTCCTTGTCGCGTTCGAAAAAAGGATAATAGCTCGATGAATAAGGGAATATACCAGAGACAATCGATTTTCGTAGGTTTTTTTTTGAGCACGGAGACGCGGGAATATCGGAGTTTAATTAGATGCCCGCGGAGAATTCATTGATAAATCGAACTGATTGAATTGTCATCGGAGATAATAAAAAGTTCGACGATGTGTCGCGCAATCAATCGATGGGATTCCAATGGGATTGCGTTGCGATTGCTTAATCGAGACTTCTCGATAGAGTATTCTGATCGGATTAGAATCTGACGCCGAGTCAAGAAAAGGGAAACTTGACTGCTAATTATGTGTAAACAAAACCCACCGTCGATCATCGTTCGAATAGAGCATCGGATCAATTGCCATGGCTTTTGTCAAAAATAACTAATTGCGAGGTTCATTCGACTCCCTCTTGCAGTCCGATTTGATTGCCGTCAGATCTTTTGGTACTCAAGGACTTTTCGTCCAAATTAGCAGCCTTGTCTACGATTTCGCAATTGCTGACGAAGATTGGCCGATTCCTTATTGTTTTGAGAGAGACAGAGAGAGAGAGAGAGGCGTCGAGATTAAAATTGCGTGCATTCAACCAGCACAAAATTTGGCCAACAATTTGTATTCCGATACTTTTCTGTACGGCTTGGTTGCAGATGAAAGTTAGCTTTCGTAGCTTATAGTTTCATCGGTCGCTAAACTAAATTCGAAAAATTCCACAGGATCACAAAGGCACCCCATTGTACCTGGGCATCAATCATCACGGGATCCTAACGTTCCAGGGATCTCGTAAAACCAACCACTTCCGCTGGCCGGAAGTGCAGAAAATCAATTTCGAGGGCAAGATGTTCATTGTTCATCTGACGATAACCGAGGTAACACCGACGATCCGGTACCTTTTATTCACTTGGAAATTTATATTTAGAGTTACATAGAACGAGTGAACGTGGCTTATAGTTGTAAATCGAGGGACGATTTTATTATTTTCCGAAGGGTTGTTGACGCGTCTACTCATTGCATTACAAATTTAGTATTAATACTTTCGCGCAGCTCAAATCTAAAAACTGATTTTCGTGTTTACATAAAAAAAGCATTTACGTCAGCATTACCGACCGAGCACCGATCGATAAAATTCGAATTCATCATTACGACGCGTTAAAACGCGTTTCGCACACGCACACGCGTATAGAGAGTTGCGGTATAGAGAACTGGGTGTGTATTCCACGCGAGGATTCCTGTATTTTTATCTAATTTATTAAATGTCTACTTTCATATTCCATAAGTAAGTTTCGTGACATTCACGCTTCATCCTTTTTATTTATTACTCTCGTGTGCATTATAGATTAGCCTCTGCGGGATCGAATGCTTCTTTATTTTATACGACGGTACTATCCCGAAGCTTACAGTTAAAAGATTTTTAATGTGATGAACGAAGCTTAATTAATTACGAAAAGCGAGCGGAGTGGTTAAAAGTCGGTAAGTAGAAGCGATACGAGTATAGTCAGACGATAGTCATGTGACAACAATCGTGATAATAAAACTAGAATCTCGTCGCGCCTATATTTCGCACGGCCTCGTTCACTCGTAAGTACTGGCGCACTTAGGCGTGTAGACTAATATATATATACACCGATATATATATAGATCTAGTCATCGAGGCTATATAGTTTTACAAGTAAAAGTAATCCCATTATTTTACCTCACCCGCTGCGCGCGCTCGCTGTCTCCCTCTCTCTGTCTGTCTGTCTATCTCTCTCTCTCTCTCACTGTTGTCTCGCTCTCGCACGGCTGTCTGTCTCGCTTCAGGACATGAGGACAAAGGTGAGTTCAACTTGACTTTTTTTTCCAGTTAGTCGCTCTCTCGCTGACGCTACGCGTTGCGCGCGTGTGATTTTTGCGCGTCTTCTACCTTTCTCTCGTGCTGGATATTGACGAGAGGAAAACCGCTGGAGTAACTGTTTTTCATTTTTCTTTGATAATGTCGCCTGGCGCTTTGCTCGTGCACGGGGGCGCGAGCGGCAAAGAAGCAGCATTCGCAGTGGATCCGTCAAGATGTCGAGCGCGAAAGGCGCACGTTAGCCGCGGCTATTGAGCACTAATCACGCCAAAACAGAAAGAAACAGCAGTAGCACCTCGATGAATATTTTATGGGCGCACGGTGCGGTTCTGTGAAATTCTCAGCACGAGTAACAGTGACTCCGCGCGTGCTGCTCCGTGACCTTGTCTTATAACGCATTCAGTGCTATTAATTCAATTTGAATAACCGTAATCCGATTCTTAATTCATTGATACTTGGCTGCCGCCGGTCGATTCGATTTCGAAACACCTCGAGCTTGTCACGGTAGACGCGATTCGACGACGCGAATGAATTGAAATTGCTAGACTGGCAATTATGCTAATTACACGCGCGCGTTCGCGCGCGGATCTGGCGCACGGGCATTGCCAACCGTTCGCTCCAACAATCGCTTTCGCGTCGCTCCTCAAGTTCATCAGTGCGTTTTATCGATCTCTCTCGCAAACTCGCAGCTTGGACTTTCTTCTTGACCGTAATAAGCTTGGCGGTTCAAGGATACGCGAGCAACGTTAAATAATGCACGGACTTCTAGCTGCTGTTTACGCCGTCGCTCACCTCGTGAAAACACTACTCTCGTTTCTTCTTTTCGAGCGCGGCCCTTTTAAGTTTTCCTGCGAGTCAAGCACTCGACGCACGCGTATAAATTATGCCGATCCATTCAGGATAACGAAGGCCATTTCCAAGCCTCTTACTCGCGGATCGAGCGGAGCGTGATTTTTAGCCCTCGCTCTCGCACGCATTGACAATTTTAACGAGCTAAAGCGCCAGCGTGATTACTTTCTCTCTTTCTCTCTCTCTCTCTCTCTCTCTCTCTCTCTCTCTCTCTCTCTCTCTTTCTCTTTTCGCAGTAATTTATGCACGCTACGTGGTTTTCAAATGACGTCGTACTTTAATTTGAAAGCGCCCTCTGTAATTCGCATCTCTTTACGTCTAGAAACGAACAATTGAGCTCGTTTGTTTCTACATAGGGAAAGCTAGGCTACGCGATTGCAGTCGAGATCGATTCTTCATATTCGCGAAGTTGCAAGACGATTTCGACTGCAAGCGCGGAGAAAGCTCCTCCTTGCCGAGAGAGAGACAAACTACTTTGAGACGTAGAAAAAGAATTGGTTTTGGATGTGTGGGTAATTTTGCAGAAAAAGCACACCGTCGGGTTTAAGTGTCCCACGGGTTCGAACTGCCGCCACGTCTGGAGATGCGCCATCGAGCAAATGCTCTTCTTCACGTGAGTACATTCACATCATTTCCTTTTTTTTTTGCGTTAGTCAGTCTTTTGAACTAAAAGCTTATACTTACGTTACAAAGTGTACTTTAGTCGATATTTAGTTGTTAGCTTTGTACTTATCCAGTAGAAGCAAAAGTCAGTTAATAAAATAGATCGACGTAGAAAACAGATTAGAGCAGTTGATATTGATAGAGTTCGTGGTTTGAAAATATCGACTTGCGATTGTTCACGGACTGTAATGTGATTTCTCAATGGAAATCTATTCGCAACGTTCGACAGCGAAGAGTAAATGGCAATTTTAATTTTGTTATACGGATTTACCTCGATAATTTCTTTCGCGTCACTTTGAAAAACTACCCAACAGGGTTTCGAATAGCTCAACACAGCCGCAGCAGCAGTAGTAGTCCGAGTGCAATTAAATAAACGTCGGGAAAAGTTTGCCCTCTGAAAGACAAACCAAAGCCTCGCGAGTCCAGCGGCAGGGGAGTAGGGCTTTGCGTTTCTCGGCGTGTGCGCGCATAATTGCGCGCTGCTCATTAGTCGCTCGCGCCACTGTTCTTATTAATTAGACGACGGAACGATTGCTTTTTAATTGCATTTCCTTTGAATTATTATGAACATTGAGAGATTCCAAGTATCATCCTACGCGCTCACGGCTTTTATAATAATAATGTCGCGTTTGATATACTCTTCGATAATGAAAAAAAAAACCAGAAAATCACATATTTTCTCTTTGTCAAGGAGACTCGAAATTAATTTTGCGCCCAACCGATCGGAATTATTCTCTCTTTTTTCGACGGCAATATAGGCGCATTGGAGATTCGCAAAAGAACGCCTCTGCGCGTTTTCGTCTCTTTTTGTTCGCCATTCACTGAATTTTTGCGATATTGGCTTTTGCCGGCCTACTTTTTTTCCTTGAGTTTTTTCAATGCAGTGTACGCTTTTATCGTCCTAAACCTCTCTAACATTATTGCGCGTGCTGAGAGAAAATCATACCGCGTGCTTTCGTGCCTGCAGCAGGCTTTCGATAAAGGCAACGACGTGCGCTGATGTATTAAAGTGGCACAACGAGCTCGCAGCTTTAATAAAAATTTGATTGAATTTCAACGAGAGGCTCTTCAGTGGCGCAAGTCTACTCATTCGCGTTGCGCGCATTGCACGCGAAGTACGGCGCGATAATGTCGTAGCTGCGGCATGAAAAAAGCTGGAAGCACGTCAATTAGGTATCGATCGGGATATCGAGTCAAGATTTTCCGTGCAACGTCTCACGGTCGCTGGCAGGTTAGTCACCGACAATGCCAAAGCCAACACGCTAATTGACCGCGCGCCAACGCCAGCGCCTGCAGCGGGACAAAAGGAGGGCAGGGACGCGCGGAGCCGGAAAATCTCGTTTGCCGCGAGTCCGCGGCCGCACGGAACTCGAAACAAAGCTCGCGGCACGCGTAACGAGCTCGACGAGACGTACGACGCCCGCCGGGAAAAATGACCTGTTGTATTAGGACACGGCGACGCTTGTCTATTCGCTTGGCCAGCGTCCAAGGGCTTCAACGTGCAATCGTCGGCTACTCCGCGCTCGACCCCCTTTTTCCCTCGCTGCGCGTATTTACTTGTTGAGTCTTGGGAGAGGGTGCCGAGGATCGATGGCGATGCTCGTAACGAGGGTTCGACGAAAGAGTACGGAGAGGATAATTGTGCTGCGAACGCCTAATGACAAATCCCCGAGGCTACTCTACGCGTCGTACACATTTGAACGTCTCGGTTTTCTTCGAGTTACGACGTGGAATTCGTTAGCGACGACTGTCACTTCACGTTATTGTTACTGCCACTTACTCTTCGGCCGCGTGAACGTTTTCAATACTAGATAAAGTGCGCCTGTCGTACATATACGATAGGCCAATGAGCGTTACTCCTTCGTTATCTTCCGGTACGAGAAAACAAGAGAAAAAAAGTACAAGCCCCCCCGCCGAGCAACTATCGACTTTGATATGGAAACGCCAGTTGTCGCTTGTATCTTTTCACGAAGCCCCGATCGTCTTCGAAATTAACCAAATGACTCGACGATAAATAATCTCACAGGCTGCCACGTGCCAAGGACGCGCCGGTGATGTCTGGCGGTTCGATATTCTCGTGGGGCACAAAGTTCAAGTATACCGGGCGCACGGAGCGCGAGGTGCTTGAGCAGACGGGTCCACTGAGGAAGGAGGATCCACCGCCGATTCAGCGCTGCCATTCCACTGGTCTCCGAAGGAAAGCCAGCAGCGTTCCTGCTACCCCCAGCACACCCAGTCAGGATCTTGTTGAGATTCGTTAGTACACAGCTCCAAAGGCTGATCATATGCTTCTCATTGCTCGATTTCATCATTCATCTCTTTACACAAGGACTTTTCCATTATATGCAACTTTTCCTCTATTTTTCTTTCGTATCTTTCGTATCTTTCGTATCTTTCGTGTTATAGCCTCGAAGATTTAATTATTACTGTATACGTTTAGATGGCACGTACCTTAGATTTCTGTCACACGCAACAAGAATCAAACGGTGTTTATGAAATAGCTTGACACTTTTACCAACAACTACAAACAACTACAAACAGTGTAGCATGGCTGTTGTTCTGTAGAATTTTTTCAGTCTCTTCGATCATTCGTCAAATCACTTCTTTTCAAAGTCACTACACTCTGTCGAGCTGTTTTGTTTTAATCAAAGTTGCGAGACACACGGGAAATTCACTTTGCCACTTCGCCTGGGAGCTCGCCCGTGTCGATCGATGCACTTTGCGGGAAAAAAAAACATCCTCGGAAAATGCTTCGCACAGCGAAGGCGACCACCTGCCAATCAAACCGACATCAATCCCGCCCAACCCAAGCCACCAAGCATCAAGTCATTTGCAAGCGATCATCGAGCGAAGGCAACGATTCTCGCGCGTGTAGCCGCGCAATCGTAAAAACGATCGTTGACCAACTGCGCGGCCAAAGCACACTCGTATATACATACTGAAAATACTGCGAGCTTGTCGATGTACACCCACACGAATCGATTCCCCCTGTCAGCGAGAAACAGACTAAAAAGGTCGTTTAAAATGGACTCATGTTGCCGATGCAGGGTATTCGAGTTTGCCACGGAGTTGTCACAGCGCGGGCCTCGACGGCGCTGGCATGTCCGACATCGGCGGTGGCATGCCACTCAGCTCGCCTTACTGCCCCGACAACACTCTACCCTTACTCGAGACCGTCTCCGAGGACCAGGAGATACACGCCAGGAGGAACAATGGTTAGTTATGTGTTTCCGGTTTGGCGTTCATTTAATTTTCCTTTTCGGACGGGCAAGGACATGGCTTTCCGATCGTTCGCGTTTTTGGATCCTTCGTTTACCTCGAAAATTCCTGCTGATGGATTTGTTTTACACGAAAAAACAATGGCACTGCGCGTAAAATCGACGATTTCCAAGTCCTCTACGAGTTCGAATCATGTGATTCGAGGATTCACCCTGATTTTCATTATTAATTTTCATGTTCTTTTTTTCCAGTTTACAAACTTCCGAATTAATAATTTAATTTCTTCTTTTTATTTATAATTTTTTTCGATATCTGCCCGTGTTTGTTCAATAATGTTCTCGCGCGAGGCACTTGAAAGAAGCAACAAAAAAGAACAATGATTTTTGTGCGTGACAATATACAAAGCGATCCTGTTATCTTTTTCGCGTCGTACTGTAGAAATGCGATTCGCTTGAAAGGCTTTCGAACGCTCTTGAATTGGAAACGTTAATTGAAATGGAAAAACAAGTGTTTCCGCAAGAAGGGTAAGTCTGAATCTGTTTTACGCGACACGACGAAGCTTTCCGCACGTAAAAGTATCACGCAAAAGAGTTACAGGATCTGTACAAACGCGTATACCGACATTATATACAGAACCTATAATAATGTTGCACAAAGGTACATTACTAGAGATCTGGAGATATCTTCATGACTAGAGTCGCGAGTAAATTCGAAAACACACTCGGCGATGACAACAATAATTGTGCATGCTGAGTGGCCGGCGGCACAGGGAGTATTGTCATCGGCGAGAATAGTCAGCAACTATATCTGCATGTGTTTATTCTGTTCTTGTGGTGCACGGAAGCAAAGTCAGCTCGGCTTCGCTTTATCTCTCGCACTGTCTATATCCGTGCTCTCGACTGGCTTTTATACTCTACATCAGCGCTCGAGTAATCGTATGGCATATACTTAGCTTCCGAACGTCTGAAGTGTGCGAGCGATTCGGCGAGTCGCGCCCATGCCTCGATTCAACGATGCGGAGGTGCATCGGTCAGCTATTGTGCTGCTGCGCGTGGTGGTCGGAGCGCAAGGGCGAAAGGAGCCTCGGCGAATCGCTTCGTCCGTGTGCGCTTTCTCGCATTGATACTTTACTTTTTTGCCCTCGATCCCCTCTCTCCCTGCCCGTTTCTCTCTTTATTTATCTTTTTATAGCTTTAGACGATACGAATGCGCATGCGAGTGCCACCACCACAAGTACAACCTGTAACACGACCACCACGAACGCCACCACAACCACCACGACCTCGTCCTCGACCTCGAGTCTCGTCACCACGACAATAAAAATGCCAATAAAATTCCCAATGTGCACGCGTCCGCTACAAGCTCTCTATAGTCAGAGAATCGTGATAGGCTCGGAGGAATTGAACGACGGCCGGGATATCGGTAGCGTGGTGCGCCAGAAAATGTGCGACGTGCTCGACTCGAAAAACCCCAAAATCGTCAGGACCACGGCCATCATCTTGAGGCGCTCGTTCGCACCTGCCAAAGCCCGCGTCCGAGCGCCTCCTGCCGCCGCCGACGCCAGCGCCGCCGCCGACGCCGACGCCGCCGCCGCCGCCGAGCGAGCGCCGTTGCCCAACGGCGACGTCAGGACGAGGCTGACCCGCAGGCTGAGCAGGCCCGCGACGGACACTGACCATGTCGACGGTACAGGTGAGAGCGAAGACCGTCACCAACAACATCCCTCCACCAACCACCCTCTCTCTTTTTCTTCGCATCTCTCTCGCGCGTCCGCGGGTCTTCTGAACGATCATCCTCGAGGCTCGCGGGCGATCGTTCACGACACCCACCGGACGCAACCCCGACAGCATCATGTTACGGACGTGACGCCCACATCGGAAGATCAGACAGTCGGATGGTGCTCTCGGACGCGCCCGCAAGACCCGACCGTACATCCATCCTCCAAAGTCGCATTCGCCAAACTCTCTCGCACGCACACTCCTTCAGTGTACCATACAGCTCATCTCAGCTTCTCGTAGCCTAGATTATATTCCCCTTCGCTGTGCCGCACACACATCTCGACGTCTCGCAAATGCCATGCAGCGACGCTGCCTCTCGACGTGCACTCGAACGAAGCGCGACGCCTTTAGTGCGACGACCCGCGCAACTTGTTACTAACCGCTGTGTGCATCAGTTGTGTACCTCCATGCATCCATCCCACCCTGCATCTCCTTTTTGTCAATCGTAGATCCAAGTAGCTCGGCTTGTTCTAGTTTGCGTGCTGTTAGAATGACTTTTTATGAATATACTTCAATTAGCTACGCTTTTATTATATCGAGTCAAATGTACATTGCTATATATATATACTTGGTCGAGGCTCCGTTAAATATTCTGCATGACATGCTGTTTCTGCTCTGTCTTACTTACGTCAGCGATTTCTTTCGACATAGAAGATATCTCAGCCAAACATCTTGCGATCAGGTTTACCTGTGATGCATGTGATTTCAGTCGACTGACGACTGCTCGGTAGAACGAGATCGCCGAGCTCGTTGCGTACAATTGATCAGCACGAAATGTGAATATCGAAAGCAGGTTAGATTAAGCGACGGCAGTCACACTGCCTTGGTTTGTCGCCTGCGAATGTAACGAAAGTTGACCATCATCCGCATCACACGTCACGCGAACCAAACGAATTGTTCGTTTTCTTTCGGAAATGTTTCGTAGGCTACATTTGCCGAACGAGGATGATTCAAGAGTCTGGCAAAGCCACAATGAACGGCAATTCTACGGGAAAAGAGTCAGTCTGCGATGGTCGATGAGCCAGGCGACACGGACTAACCACACCTTTCAATCTGTCCACAGTAATGCCGCACGATTTCGACAACGACTACTACTTCCGCGACTCGTTCGATCACTCGTCCTCGGAGTCGCAGCTGCTCGACACAGGCAGCTTGGGCACCAAAATCGGCCCCCACGGCAGCAGTCATTCTATCACCCCCGTGCCCAAAATGCAGCGCTTGCAGAACTCGAAAATCGGCACCGTCATCCAGGCGACTCCGTCGTCGTTGGCGAACGCGACGGCAGCGCTGCCGTCGACGTCGCGCCACCGCACCGCCATACCTGCGACGACCAGTGTGGCCGGCAACACGCGCCTGCGAATGCGCACTGTACGCTTCGTCAAACTGTTCATACCGGCGCTCATGCTGACTATCACTGTGCTGTTCATCGTCACGGTTCTGGTGTTTGAAACGGACTCCAAGTTGTTCGAGGGTTTAAGAAAGACCCCGGAAATGGTGGCGCTGAGGTCGCAGTACTACGCGCCCATTAAGAACTTTCTCAGGACCAAGCTAGGCCTCTTTTGATTACAATGGCTCGAGGAGGGCCATGCTACTGCGTCGTCGTTGCTCGTCACGTAGACCATTATTGCCTGCCTTGCCTTTGAATTCTCGCTTTCGTTACCATCTCGATTTATTCGACGTCTATTTCGGCTCAGGCTACTCCATCTTGCTTTCTAAATTTTTCGAATCGTCATTTCATTTATCATCCGAACATATGACAAATTAGCTTACTAGTAGTTGTTAGTAGATTTATTCGATTCTATTTGTAGCGTCTGTAAAAAGCCACGAGCATCGTGTCTTTCACAGCTGGTTGCCCTTCATTGGGCAGATTATTATTTAAACAAAAATTGATTTCTCGATATTTAGCTCAACGCTGACACAACGCAGACAAAGAATCGTTGGTTGGAAACTCGAACGAATCACAAATTGTTGATTAGTAAAGGTCTTGAATGGTGTCTTCGACCTAGAATCGATTGATATATTTCAAATGTTGAAACTTGCAAATAGGTAGGCGTATAGGTCTACTGTTTCGATTGAAAGTGTTTAGAAACGTAAAGGAACCTATAATGCGTAAGTAAAATATGCAATGCATTCAATGCAAATTTCTCGGCATTATTTTTTTCATGAGTATCTTTGATTCATCGATATTATTTTAATGCTTGTAATTACCGTTCAAACTTGTCAATTTTTTGAATGATAGCGGCTGAACATTTGAGAACTTTTACATTAGAAGTTTGTATTCGAAACGCGCGTTTCGAGCATTTACATAACTTTCAAAAAAGTTTACTCGATTTTTTCTCGCAATAAACAATCGAAGAGCCGCTTGTACTATATTAGCAAACATATTTTTCAGCTTTAATTTTTCAACACCTTCGAGGAGAAAATTTTTTAAACACTTATTGCAAACTTAATTGATCCAAGTGCCAATGTGAGGTGAGCAATGACGAGTAAAATTACACGAAAGATTTTATTTTTCCCTATTTAAAAAAATTTCATTACTTAAACTATATTCATAATAAAAACAGCCTGAGAAATCAAATATTAAATATCTTTTCTTTAGTACGATTTCAAATAGTCTTCCGGAGTAATTGTCAGAATGAAGAATCTATTGCAAATTTTTTCTGTCTTTATATTTTACACTAACTAAACTAAAGGTAAATATCAAAAAGAAAAAAAAAAAGTAAATCATATTAACTGGATGATAAAATATTTCTATTGCTGCACCAAACTTTGGGCATGTGTAATGTACATACAATAATAATAAACATAATATTGATATATAAATATTAGATCGGTAGAAAAAATGTTTCCATTAGTTTCGTTTCTAGAAAATGATGCAAAATAAGTAGGTAAACAAATCTATATAATCGCAATGATCAACGAAGAAGCAATGCTGGCATGTGAATAGTATACAAATTTTCTTATTTCTTGCTCGATAATATTTATTGTATACTTCCGTTTTACTCGTCAAAGAGAGTATTTTTTTCGTTGTAATAAAAAGAAGTTTAACGAACAAAACTTTGTTGCTCGCTACGGTTTTGCGAATACCGTTATTGTACAAATGGGTAAACTTATGTTTCCGAACGTCAAGTCGATTGCGAATGAATTGAAGGACAAAACAATCAAACCAAATAGTTACATGATTTGTTCTACATTACGTACTTATGCATAAATCAAGTTGAATTATCCATTTTTCCTAAAAGTGCCTATAATGCTGTCCTCATAGACTCTTTGCAACGCAAGCAAATTATGTATGATAAAGAAAAATATTTGAAACGAAACAAAGAGTTAGCACTGGCTAATTAGCGTGACGATCAACAAAAACTTCGGTGAGGTTTATCTCGATCTGTGTCCGTATACTTTGAACCGAAATAAAAGAATGCTAAACTACGGATCCCACGTGGTGCCGAAGATTGATGATTGACAACCACTCTGCCCGATAAATAATGCAATATTTTGAACACTCAAATCAGCGCCGATCTATGCGTATACAAATTGTACAAGAAAGCATGTTTTTTTTTGTTCTTTGCAATGCCGCTATTTCTACTAATGATATAAAAAAAATAGAATATTATTGTTATCACGTGCATTGTGTATATTAACGGAATAATTTGTATACTAATTTTTCGACTGAGAAAGACGTCTCGCGATTTCGTCACGCGACTGTATAAATAAACGGATGTCAATTGCAATATATAGCATAATATTATTAACATGGATTATGTAGAGAGTTATACAATTTTAGGAACACAAAGTTAACAAAAGTTCAAAGTCTTAGGATCAAAACGAACCATTTGATTTTTGAAATTAATTTTCTTACTGTAACGAAAAATGAAACGATCTAATCACTGATTCGTAATCAAAAATACATGCGACATAAAATGAGAAGTCTATTGAATAATAACATTAGTTTCACTTTTATAAAAGAAGACTGAATAATTGAGTTAAGAAATTTTCAATTGTATTGCTTATTATTCAGCGTCAACTATTGAGATATACGTAGAAAAGATAAATGATCAAATAAGTTATATAAGAGACGAGAAAAGCATACAAAAACGTGGATGAGGAAAATCAAATATTAGATAAATTTACTGCATGTAAAACATAAAGTGAAACAAGCGTATTGAAACAAGCATATAATAGAAAATAAAATGCAATAGAAATCACAACGGATAATCACAAACTACAATAGTTTAGTTAAGCTTTGATAAGAAAAAGTATTCGTGTGATCGTTACATTCTATTTGTCTTTTAATTTTTATTTAGATTTTATAATTTGTATTGACCTTGATGAGTTGATCTTTACTTAAAGACTACGTTATGTTTGCTGCAGCAATTAGTTTAAATGTTTATTTTTTTTCTTGTACATAATATTTGAATAACATAGTATATTCTCATATAGCAATTTTCTGCTACTGTAATTTTCATTCTATACCACATTATTTCATATGGAATAGAACAATTATCTGTAAATGATTAGTTAGAGAAAAGTATTTTATTTTCTTTAGCATGTTTCTTTCGATTAGGTGACAATTTCTACGAGGCAATGTTTGTTACTGTAAATTTTCAAAAGCTAGTACAAAATGTATAATTTTTAGTGTGAAAATCGTATTTAATGTAGTTGCTATTTAACATAAATTTAATAGGTCGTAAATAAAAAAACAAAGGTTCTTTGATGGATTTTAATTTTGAAATTGTATGATGTTCTAACAAACGGAATAATTCAAAAACTAGTCTCTACGCACTTTAAAGTCTACTCAAGTTATAAACCGTCTCACTTTATGCAGGTCGACGTGTATGCTTTGATTGACACTTTGGATTATGCTAATAAACGATAAAATATGGGAAAAAATGTGAATTTCAACACTGAATAGATGTACATTTACGCCACTTGATAACTTTTTCAAAAAATAAAAACATAAATAAACCAGTGATAATTATTGCAACAAAAAAAACTATAATACGAAGTCCATAAACACTTTATATACCAAAAAGAAACAATCATCACTTTTTTAATGGATAATTGTGGGAGTTTTTTGATGTATTGCGATTTAGCACGTAAATGAGGCTTGTAGTGACAACAAATGTTCAATATTGCGCAAGACGTGCATCCATGTACATTAATTAAATGAAAACCATTTTTTGTATCATTGAAAAGAAAAGTTTAGTCGGCAAAAGAGTGAGTGGATGATATGAGAACAAACAAAAACCTGAAACAGTCTAATTTCCGCTAATCAAAATTTATTTGTCAACCTTTGAACACTTTTGTAAGCTTGTCCAAATGAAATCCTAGTCATGTGTACTTAAAAGAATATACGCGGCAAAGGTCAAAACAAAGGAAAAACAACGCGTAAGGTCCATGAAATATTTAATACCGTCATTTGCAAAAGAGAAAAAAAAATGGAATGTAAATATATAATGTTTTGTAATGCAAAATTTATTACGAAACTTGGCTTTAACGAATTGTATAACTGGCTTATATATTATATTATTATTAAAAATACAGTTAAAACAAAAGACAGTTTATTATTTTTTCTGCAATAATTTAGAAATCATTATTATACAATGTACGAATATTTTATTTATCTGATTACAGGCTGAAAGAATACGTGCATATATCACAAAACCACATACAAAAACTTACTTATCAAAAGTAACAGACATGTTCAATTCATTGTATGAGTCTATTTGTATGTGATATAATTGTGATCTGTCTTAATTTATCATATGCTAATACGTTATTAGAAGTATCATGTATAAGAATTTCAAAATCATGACATCTATAATCATTACTTTATATTTCGTTGGATCGCTTTAGCCGTTTGAGCTATTCCAATTATCAAAGTTCCAATCATAAAAAAAACCATATCAACTTGGCGAATTGTTATAATAAAACTTATTCTTTTTGAACCTTCACTCCATGCATCAGTCCAATATTATATGACCTCAATACATTAGAAATAATCTCCACTCCAATGTGTGATTCGCTGTCATTATGTCGCGAACCACGCTTATCTCATAATCGAAAATGCGTAATGCGTGTAAGGAACGCACACTTTATAAAGCGTCGTTTTATTCTCTACTCAAGTGCCTGCCAACGCGAAGACCGATTGCGATTGACGAATTTTCTGTTCATCTTCACGGACGAGCAACAAGCGCACGATTTTTACTGCCGCCAGTACAGAATCCTGACATTTCTTCGACATTGCGCGTCGCGCCCAAAAGAAGCTCGCGCGGATCTCACGGGCGACGCGCCAATTGCGCAATTGGCGCGCGCAGAGGGAAATATCAACGCGAGCGTGCTCGCGTATCACGGATGCGTCATTCGCGGCGAAGGACCGCGCGCCTTTGGATCACTTGAGAAAGCACTCGGAAGGCGCTTGTACGGCCAAGTGTTGTTTTCATTCTTCCGGGCGATGCTGTGGCTTTTTATCTTAAGCGAAATCGGGATGAACGTACGGATCGCCGGTTGTCGGCGCCAATTGACGACGTCTCGAGGACGAGAAAAAGTTAAAGCGGATGCGTGACGCGGGTCTCGCAATTTAGCTTAGCTTTAGTCGATTGAGTAACGGCTTTACGCAGCCCACTTTTCTGTTGCTACGAACGGCGACTAACCTTCGGAATCAGAGGACTGCTGTCGCCAAGCCCCGATGTCAGTGCGACGATGACCGGCCGATCGCGCGGCCGCTTTAATCGTCGCACTGACATCGCTTGCCGAGCGATGGCGAACAAAGCGCCGGGCAAATCATTCGGACTGCGCGGAGAGCGGCTGCAGATCAAAGGGAGGGCAAGTGTAGACGGCAGTCTCGCGACGCGGCGATCTTTGCGGGAAAGCCGCGGTGCTGGTCGTCGGCTGCGCGTAAAACGGCGAGGCAAAAAAACCGACCGCCGGCACGCTCGTCGACCGCGCGTCGCAAGTGGTGCGCCTGAGTCACGCGCGCGCGCCAGATGCTGGATTTCGGCGATTATTTCTGTCGACGGTTTTTTCTTTGCCAAAATCAAATTTTCCTCGCCCGCGGTGCGAGCGTCGAAGAAACGATTTCGTATTGCGAGCGAAGGTGTTTTCAGGGCATTCAAGTTCAATGAGATCCAGCTGCGGCTGCTTTCGTATTATAGAATCGTGCGATTTCTACAAAGAATCCGATGGTGAAATGATATTTGCATACTTGCGGTCGAGTTGCGTATTTATCACATAAATAATTTATTTTACGATATATTAATACGCTGCAATAATAAGAAGCGTAAGTTTTGGAGTTGGTTTACTTCGTTTTAAACGCGTTCTTAAGCTTCGGTTGTTCGTACCAAAATAACCGCTGTATATATTGTGTTTTAAGTACCGAATATGAATAATACCCAACTACAATCTCCAACGATAATAAAAACAACAAAACACGCAATCCATTTTACACACGTTTCATGAGATTTATTAAACGGATTAATGAGTAGTTCGCGAAAAAAGACAAGCAGGCTCACGGTTTATTCGACGAAAAAGGGAAAAGAGAGAATCGAAAAAGAATCGTCGAAAAGTTGCACGCTCCCCTCTACAACGTATGCACATGACGCGAAGGCAGGCAGCGCGTCATCAATATAGCAAAGTGTGCGTAAGCCGCCTCTCTCCGTCCTTGTCTGCGGCAGTCGCGCGGCGCCAGCTGTACTGCCGCGAGCGCGTGTCAGTGTCCGTTGGGCTGTCGGTCGCGCCGCAACAGACCTCGACGTTTTGCGCGCGAGTGCGCGACAGTGGTGAATTCGTCGGAGATATCGGCGCCGAGATCGTTTGCTGTTTTCACCCGACGATGACATCTCGAGCTTGTTGCTCGTGCGCGCGCTGAATTACGATTGAAGCATCGATCCGTTGTGCGCGCGCGTGCTACGCTCGGCCGTGGAAATGAAGCTGGAGTGACGAATCACGACGCTCAGCAGAAGAGAAGAAAAACAGCAACATGGTGAGCGCGACACGGTGTAGTCTGCTCCGTTTAGTTACGCGTTGCCAAGGCAGGTGCGCGCGCGCGCGCGCGTGTGTGCCTGTGTATACACTGTGCGCGTACAGCCGCGAGAAAGACACGGAGCACTTTAAAACACTGCCAAGGGCAAATGTTTTCTTTCTTATATTCTCCTGTAAAAACACGTAGTTTTCTTTCGCTATTCTTAGCTCATCGATCGACTTTCCTTTTTGACCATATAGATCTGTTATCGGTATCACGGAAACGCAGTTTATTGTCGAATTTTTACAATGAATGATGCAAGTTTCATCTTATCTCCGGTGTTGCTTGTTAATCGTGAAAATAACAGCCGATTACTCACGCGTTGCTTGAAATTAAGCGGTAGATAACTATTGTTTTATGATCAGAGTTTATCAATATTCGTCAGTGCGACATCGATTTAGTTAGCAATGCCGTTGCTTTGATTTTTAATCGGTATTCAATGAATGTTGCTTTGAACGGATCTTGTTTTGTTTATTCTTTCTACGGGATGGTGGCTGTTTTATAAACTTGGAAAAGTCAACAGATTCTTCAAGTTCATTCAATTTTATTGTTGTTTTTCCTGCACTTTAAATGTCATTGCTTAGACGTCTATGTATATTTATATATCTATTTATTTATTGATCGGTGGTTCCCAACCAAAGTAGCGATTCCACGATTGATAAGATTTTTTTTTTACCCGCAAAGCTTCAGTTCGTGCTTCGCCGTTTTTGCAAGCTTGGCCCTTCGAGAAATGTTTCTCGGAAGGTTACGTACACACGATAGCCTCGTAAATATGCTTCCACTCTCAACATGCAGTTTCCTAGAAAAGTAAAAACAATCTGCGGAGCTGGAGCAGAAACGAGCCTGTAGCGCGCTGCGAAAGCAAAGAGCTACGGCACTTGGACTGCCGCAGAATATTTATCCGACAGAAAATCGTCTTTTCCGCGCCTCTGCGCTTTAAAATGTATGCCAAGCTACTTAGGTGCCGGCACGCGCGCGCAGTTTTCCAGCTGGCGATCAAACGATTGGGGAGCGCGCAACCTTATGTACTTCAGACGGTGCTTAGATACTAGGCTGTTTTGTTTTGTCGGCTTCACGGCTTTCGACGAGAGCTTTCTTCGTTGTACATAATTTGCTGAGAAATAGCGTGCAAGCCATTGCAGAGCTTTTTCGATTGTTAATAACGTCTTGCTGGCGATTTGAATCGAGTAAAATTTCCAGGTGGGATCGTATGCTCTTGAAACTTGTATTGCGAATTTCTGCAGCGTGAAACACAGCCGTCGCCTCTTCCCGGTGCCGAGCGCGCACAAACGGGCACGCGCTGAAAATCCTTGCTCCTCGTTTACGCGGTCTGCAACCGGTGCACGTAGGCGCGTATCGCTTCGTTTACGCGCGCGCCCGCGGAGGTAAAAACCGTTCCGTTTTTTCACCTCGCGTCGAGCTAACGGTCAGCGGCAAAAGGAAAGGGAACGAAATGAGCCAGCTGCATGCGATCGATCGAAGCGTGAATTTCCTCTCGCCGACGCGGCGAAATCGGCCGATCTAGCAATTGACATTGCCAGCTGTGCGCGGGGAGACACGCCGCTGTCGATCGTTGCGCGCGGCGAGTCGGATCGCCCATCGCGGAATCCAGAGCGATCGGACGAAAGAGAAAGGAAAATAAAAACGTCCGGTTTCCCTTCCGATCGCGAAAAATCGACGCTTTCTCACGCGCCGCGAGCATTGCTCAGCGAGCGCGTGCGTCGCCGCGCTGCGCGAAATTGGCAGTAAAAACTCTCGCGAGAGAGGGATACGCGCCGTGGCGATCGGCTAATGGAATCCCTGTCTCGCGAGACGGGAAAAAGCTCGCGGTTCGGCGAAACACCTCGCGAGTCCTTTTGTTTTAATTCGACGAAAGCGGAGCGCTTCGTCGTCGCCGACTTTCTCACCCGCGATCGCAATTTTCTCTTCGTCCTTCTCGTTGTCGTCCAGCAGGTACTCGCCTACAACTGGCAATCACCACGACGGAGGAAGAGTAATCACGGTAATGAACATTGGCGCGTGGTTATATACGTGCGCGTGCCGTGGGAGCAATTCGAAAAGGCGAGTGCCGAGCGAGAGATGGTAATTGTTAGCGAACGCTCGCGCTGCTGCATTCATTCCGGTTGCCTTCTTTCTTTGCGCTCCTCGTCGTCGACGCTGGTGCATCTGTCGCCTTCAAAGTCTATTCCAGTCGCGCTTCCCGACTTGCCTCCACGGCCGTTTTGGTCGCCGCTAGAGCAGCGAAAGGCGCGACGATCCGCTCCTCGTTCCTCGCGAAGCCAATTTGTAAGCGTCGAGCGCCGGCGGCGTTTGATCCGCGCCTCTATTTTTACCGAGCCCTACTTTCGCGTTAATGAACCGCGCCGCTGCGCGCAAACAAATCCCCTTGAACCGCGCGCTTCGATGCAGGCATTCACGGCCGCATTAGCACATTCTATCAATTAGCCGAGCCACACGCGTCCCCTTTGCTCTCCGGTCCGCGACAGCCGATGCGATTGGCCGGTCTTCCTTCGGTGACTGCGCGCTCGCATTCTCGTGATCTCGGGCGCGCAGCACGTGCATCGATTCAATAAAGCCGAGTGCCGACCTTGCGCGTCGATCGCGCCGCTCCGCGGGGTTTCACTCTCGCGCGGAAAACTAGTTCGATGAACCCGCGCCTGACTCACGCGCATTTGCATCCTATCCACGCCGGAAATTGGCCACTCTTTTATCCTCCGAGCAGTTCTTTTGTTGTAAATGAAAACCGTCCATAATTATTTTTTTTTCATTGCAGCCACGCGGCGACGCATCATCGACAAAATCCACGTTAGATTCAGACGCAAATACCGCGCATGAGATATGTGTGTCGAGTCGACGCGCGCGCGCACGCACCTTGTCGTTTTTCTCATTTTTCTCATTTTTCTCACGACGAATGGAAAACAAAGCGATAAAAGGTGGAACGTCGCGCACGATCCCATTGTCGGCGTACGCACGTGCTCGTCAACCCGTATCCTACTTCCCGCGGGTGGCAAGGACCCAGGCCACGAGCGTTCCTCCGCCGCAGCGCAATCGTTCGACGCTCGCGCGACTCGTGCAATTACCTCGTTAGCTTTTGTGACGCGGCATTGGCAGCCGGCGCATTTGAATGGGAGCGTGACGGATGGAGTTGCGCTTAGCGGTCGCGTCCAAGAATTACGAAGGAGCGAGGAACGCTTGCTCGCGAAACGTCGATCTAGCGCATTTCGTTGTGGGCTCGCGCGCCTCGGCTTCTGTTCTCCTCGTCGCGGCTCGTTCTTTCTCTTTTTTTTTTCGAGCATCGGCAATGCAGTTTTTGCGCGCTTCACTGCGCCCACGCTGTTCACCTTGCCAGTGGCTCTCGATGTTTGTGTGCTTTCGCTTTCACTCGATTCTTCGTCGCTGAGCTTCTATTCTTCCATTCGCGCGCTGGAAGAGTTTCGCAATGAGTTTTTTCTCGCGTTTCATTTAACTCAACTGCGTTCGGTAATGTACCGTCTTCAACACTCCGTGCGTGGGTACTCGACTTTACGAGTGCTCGAGCATGCCTAAAGTTTCGTCCTACGCAGTTTGTATCGAAAAATGAAGTTAGACATACGCGCAAGAAAGTGACTTCACCCTCGCTTCGCTCGAGCGCAAACGTCCACGAGAGGCTGAAATTACTTTCTCGCACTAATATCGCAATGTACTATTTCTTTGATCGCATGAATGTAATAAATATAAAGGTGAATATAACAAACTCCAGTCGGTATTGATAGAGGAAAAGCGCCTCGTCGTAACTAATCATTAGGTGCATGACATGTAGTAATCGCGCAACGAACCACAATGACTCATATCTCGCTCGCGCGTGCTGCGATCTCGACGCGGAGTCTCGTGCTGCTTGCCGGCAACCAGGAAGCCAAATGGTGCTCGTGCGTCTATAACAAGAACATCCGGAAATAGAGTGGATGCACGTGGGCATTAGGCGAGCAGGCGCGAGAGGTCGAGGGACCTTCTGTTGTGCGCTTTGTTTGGCGCTCGCCATGTTTGCTGGTTTCCTCGAGATAGAGATGATTGAAAGAGATGCTGTAAATAAGCGTTCTGTCGCGTCAGTAGGCTGTTGTTATTTTTACGACAAGCTACTATTTACGGGCGTGTGTTAGAAAAGATATAGACTAGCTTTTAAGCAAAACTGATGAGCTCTACGTAGGAAGTTTTTTTTTTTATCAAAGTTCTTCAGATATCAATATTGGTACAGGTTTCCTCGATATTTTTTCAATCGAAAATTATTGCCGATAACTCGATACGGAGAAAACGATGACGGCGTTCGACTGTAACGATTCGACACAAGAAACTCTCACTTTGTTAAAGAAAAAAAAAATAGAAAAACGGAAACAATGCCACTGCACGCACCGACGCATATCAAACCATCAGGTCGATTGCCTACAGTCTTTAATAATCTAGGTTTTCGCACGAGCGACACTCCTATCTGGCGTGCATGACTCACATGGGTTATCAATAGAGTCGCGTAATAACGATGGTTTTGCACAGATGGCCGTGCGTACGATTGCGCACGCTGTCGCGCCACGTCAAGATGCGCCGATTGTTCGTTGGTGCCAAGTTTGTTTGGGTCACCGCGTCGCGCGAAACCGAGTTGGCAAATAACGTCGAATATCATCGAAAGCGAGCTGCTTTCCGTATGCGCGGTCGAAACAACGCGACCGATTGGTCAACCGTGCCAAACTCGACAATCGATACGCGAACGCGAAACAAAAAAAGAAGGCACTCTTCCTGCTATCGACAATAGCCGAAGCGGCAGGCGGCGATTGCGAGAGTTAAAGTGCTGCAAAGGCAGGCGTACAGCGGAACTGCGCTGGAGAGCGCTTCTCCTCTGCCGCGCACCAACCGTAGAAACGTCGTGGCCGGAAGCGTGAAATCACGCTTTAAGGCCTCTCCCTCCTTTCTCCTTTTCATCATCTTTGCGTGCTCGTGGCGTCTCTCGCCGCGATTATCTTGCGTGCGACGCGTCGCGGCATTGCTCGAACGTTGTCATTTGCAAAGGCTGCAGTCGAGAAGAAAACTGGCTTCTCGTTATCGGACCGACCGCCAAGAGTAGTTCTGCGCCTCGTATGGTTGCGATTTGTATAAGCCAAGGAAATGGTTTTCTTTTCTTTCCTCGCGAGTTAGACGTACGTTTTGGTTTACTGTTAGATCCGACTGGTTTTTCGAAGGCGAAGGCTAGCTTCGGCGACTACGGTTGTGAGTTCGAGCTATCGTTGTATATTCCGAGCGACTGAAACAACGAGTGCAGTGTCGGGATTGTTAGAATGCGCATCTTAACTGATTGTAGCCTCGGGCGATACGCGTGGATTACTTTATTCGGAGTAAGTGGAGCTGCGCTATCTCCGAGCTAATCTCAAACATTAATCTGAAAATCGGACTGTTATCGATGTCTGTACTTTGCGAACGAAAATTTAATTGTTTTATAAAATAAAATATTGCGATATGTGTGACTTGAGTCATAAATATTCTACGACATTTTTAGCATTGCCGAGCTTAAATCAGCTCTTACCGTTCGTTCTTCAACCTCGCGGTCCGAAACTGAGACATTTTGAGTCGCGGATAGGCCACTGCTGCTGTTGAAGTTAAGCCGCGATGTGCTGTAAAAGAAAAAAAAAACATCGCATAATTCCAGCCGAGTGCTTTTCCAGGGGCGAAACGAGACGGAATCTCGCAGTCTGCACCAGGCAGGTCTCCCTTTCAGCAAGTCGCTTTTGCTATATTTAAAGGCGGCGTTGCATTAGCGTCGTCACGCGGCTGATTACCGTGCCACTAGTCCGCTGCCGTCTCGCCGCGGATAAGTGGCTCACTTCTCTGTCTCTCTCTCACTGTGTCTCTTTCCTTTCCGCCCGCGGAAGAGCTCGTTAGGTATATGTGTGCAAGGGGGGAGGGGGAGGACGACGCCGCATTGTATTTCTGTCGCGCGACGCCGGCGTAGCTGTAGGCTTGCGCCTCTCCAAATTTCATTTCCAGCTCTTTACGTGGAAAATAAATCGTTCGCTCCTTCGATCGTCATTTCTGAAGCTTCGAGGCAAAATGTCGTACGTTAAAACACGCCAAGTTGCAAAAGACGCCGTGCAAAGGGGAATCGATCGTTTAAAATATACAAATCGCCATAGTTTGAATACAAAAGAGTGTTGTATGAAATCGAGTGATGGAAATTATCGTAAAATCGCGCACGGAAAGGAAAAGAGATTTCTCAATGGGCGCACAGTCACATATACGCGAACTGAAATAGCAGTCGTCAGAACAAGGCTAATGTTAATGAACGAACACCCGTAACGGTACGACGATTCACGCGCGTTGTACTCATTTCTCTCTCCCTTTATAGCACCATGTCATTGAGCTCAGTAATAACGTATTATGTCAAGATTTGCAATTCAACTCGCGCGTCTATTCACTTAAATTCTTCGAGCGCCTCAAGTGGAACTGAATAATTTCGATTCGGCATCTTTAAATTGACTCGCCCACCCAAATAGCGATCTTCCGGTTGAACTTTCCGACTCGAGCAAAATTTTCGCGCGCGATTCGCTTGGCAGAGGCAAACAAAATTATTGTCAATGCATAAGGAAGTCGTTAGCAAACACGAATCTCCACTTTGCTCGGAACAATTTCGAGAGCGAAAGTAAACAAGCAGTCCTCGGGGCAATTTACCTGTCGGCACATTCATATGCTTCTTTTTGATTTTACGGGCCTGTGGGTAAAGAAAATAACTTTCGCAAAAATTGAAGTTGATCCGTAGAGAGCGCGGGAATTTCGTAGATTGACACGCGGAAGTGACGAAACGAGCGGCGCGGGTGGAAAATCGCTTTCGCCGGACGATCTGTCTTCTCGCCTTTTTCTTTTTGGAGATTTTCTTCTGGTGATGCAATGCCATTTACTAGGCGTCGTCGAGTGACGGTGGAGATTAATAAGGTTCGCGATTTTTCTAATGCGTTTATTCGACACGAGAGGTGGGTGTAAATGTATAGGCAGGGAACACGAGGATTGATGGTTTGGTAGGTTACTATAGTAAAGATTACTGATTGAGATGATGAACGTTTACTCATCAAACATAGCGTTAATTAGAGAGGAGGATTTATACGTAGGAGGGAAAATCGTTACGTGTAAAATTAATTGACATTGATTAAACATCGTAAATATAGGTTACATGAACAAATAGGCCTCAAATTGCTTTGTAAATACCGATTACAAGCCTATCATTATTCCAACTATCAATCGTTTATTCAAAAAAAACAAAAACATTTAATTGTTTGTTGGCAGTTCGACTTGGATGCATTCGTAACTTTAATAATCATATTACCGGTCAGAGCTGATAGCGAAGGGAAATCATGTCAATAGTTCGTGGCGAGCGTTATTCGTTTACGTTGATTTATGGTCAAGAAACAATCTCGTATGATTTATAAAAAGACCTTTGTTACGAGATGTTCACGTTAAAACAATTTTTGTCTTCAGGTGTATCACTGGCAAAGTCAGAATGTCAAAGTCTCCGGGGTGGACGACATGGTGCTGCTATCGGTGGTCACCGAGGACGCTATCATGGAGAACCTCAAGAAACGATACATGGATGATTACATATTCGTATCCTTTTTTATTATAAGTTTGAGCAGAAATGTTTTCGCGTTCAATTTCTTTAATCAAACTTACAATAATGGTTTGAAATTTTCAATTAAAAAACAAGACAAATAATGGAATTTTATGTACAGACGTGCAAATAAAAATAAAAATGGAATCGAACTCTTGTCCATTAAACTGACACCATTAGTTTCGTAAGCAATTGGGTTAACAGCGTCAATATCGATTTTATCTGATAACTGTCCAGAAGCAACTACCGTTGAAAAGATGTTTTCCTTAATGGCAAGTAGACATGCATCGGCCCCGTACTGGTGTCAATTAACCCCTTCAAACAGATGCCGTATTTCGGCGAGAAAGAAATTGAAATCTACGAGGGTGCGGTAAGTCCATTTGCCTACTTTTTCAGCCTAAGTTAATTAATGGTTGCGTGAAGGGTAATTGAAGGGAGTGGGTGGTTTTTTTTAATATTTAATGGATTGTGCACGAGAGTGTTGAAAGTATTGCTGCGGTTTCAAGAATCGGCTCATGCATAAATATTTTACATAAATATTTTACATAAATAAATGTCGTTTACGTTAGTTTGACAAGTACTTGTAGCAGCGCATGTAATGACATGAAAGGTAATTTCAATCAACGCACAGCACTTTTAGCAACGAATACCAAGCCTTTCAAAGAAAATGAAAAATACAAACGTAATATCACTGAAAAAATCGGCTGCGAGTTCAGTCGAACCCAAGCCCCTGCGACGCTGCAGCACAGCACTCGCGAGAGTACACGCAGTGCCACGTTCTGCAGGGGCATCAAAGACTTTATAACGATCTATGAATGCAATTACGAAATTAGCTAGTCAAAGTGAACCGATCAATCAATCAATTGCAGGCACCTTACGAAAATCCACCTCATGTGTACGGCCTCGCCGACGAGATGTACCGCAACATGCTGATCGACGACGAGAGCCAGTGCGTGATAATAAGGTAACATCATAGCCGTACTGGCGGTCGGCAATGAGGCGAATTGGATGGCTGCGAACTCTTTGTTACAGCGGCGAATCCGGAGCGGGTAAAACGATAGCGGCCAAGTACATAATGTCTTACGTGGCGCGCATAAGCGGCGGCGGCGAGAACGTTAGAAGGGTGAAGGACGTGATACTCGAGTCCAATCCGCTCCTCGAGGCCTTTGGCAATGCGAAAACCGTCAGGAATAACAATAGCAGTCGATTCGTAAGTGCCCTCAGTGACTTCGGCTGTAAGGGCATCTGTAAAGGAATGTTGATTTTCATGTGCTCAAGGGACTGACTAAAGATTGCGTGAACTCGCTTTTTGCTTTGAACGTCGATTGTTATTTGAAACATTTTTTTACGATACTTATAATCGGATTTATTTAATTGTTGATTTGGATATTCCTATGTTCAAGGTTTTAATTAACCGCAATTGAATTAAAGAATCGAGTTTGTGTGTAATTATTGACGATTGCATCAAATAACTGCAATTTGATTTATTAATCAATGTGTGCCATATTTACAGGGTAAATACGTTGAAATGCAATTTGGTTCTGGAGGACAGCCAAGTGGTGGGAAAATATCGAATTTTCTGTTGGAAAAGTCGAGGGTCACGCGCCACAGTCCGGGAGAGAGAAATTTTCACATATTTTATCAGTTAGTTACTGGAGCTAATTCCCAACTAAAATGTAAGGCACACATTTACAATGAGCAATTTAAAACAAATCAAAGTTGGAATATGGAAGATGATATTGTGCGTTTTTCTACAGCCGATTTTGGACTTGAGGAATTAGATTATTATGATTATTTGAAGTGTGGCGGAAACCACAAAGTCGACGGAACAAATGATGCTCGAGATTTTCAAGATACGCTGAAAGGTATATGACAAGTATTTTTGAACAAGTATTGCATAGAACAGAATGAAAAATGTTGAATGTTGTATTGTAGCGTTGAAAACGATGGGAATAGCCGATTCTGAATCAACGGATATCCTGAGGTTAGTCGCTGGAATTTTACACATAGGGAATATACAATTCTCCGAGAAAGGAAATTATTCTCAAGTCGCCGATAAAGACTGTAAGTATTCTGCGATACTAACGAGCTTCGGGACAGTTTAAAAATCACATTTCGGCTAAATAATAACTGGAAAAATAATTCAACAAATTAGTTCCGGCAAGCGTTTCCTGTGAACATTGTCATTTTCTCTCTGCTACTTAAGTTTACGCGAAAGGTCAACGAGGCGCGAAAGAACGCTCGATGAAAAATTCAGCTCTCGCTTCTCCATAGATCTTGACTTCCCGGCATTTCTGCTTGGCATCTCGCCAGAACAGTTGTCGCACAAATTGACCTCCCGCGAGTTCGAGTCCAAATGGGGAAGTCAATCGGAAAGCGTCGACCTCACCCTCAACGTCGAACAGGCGCTTTACGCCCGAGATGCACTAGCCAAGGACATTTACGCAAGGCTCTTCGATTATTTGGTCAAGGTTCATTACATTCGAGCAACTGCATTTGAAATCATTTACTGATATCATTAAGTGATATTATTTTGTATTTTAGAAAATCAATGCTGCTATGGAAACTACTCAGCAAGGACTAGAAATCGGTATTCTGGATATCTACGGATTCGAGATATTCCAGAAAAATGGCTTCGAGCAGTTTTGCATTAATTTCGTCAACGAGAAACTACAACAGATTTTCATCGAGTTAACGCTCAAAGCTGAACAGGTAAGTTATAATACTTACGAGGTTTGTCAGCGGGAATAGAAGAAATAACACTGCGGTGTATAATTAACTTACATCATTTATTTGTCGTGCAACAATCGGATCATGTACACACCATCCTCTTACATCTACATTATTTTGTAGTCACGCAGAAAAAAGTAACCGTTAGCATTTATTTATTTTTTTTATCAACATGTGTAAAAAATACATCTATGTGGGGATCACAGCTATGGTATTAGGTTGGTCCTGACAACTGACACAATTTTTTCTCCATGTGCGTCAGCATAGATTACCTTCTTCACGTTTTATACCTTATTCTTTCTTTTATTAGCCAATGCCGAATCTTCATTTTATACCTACCTTATTATCAAGAATATAAATATCGTATAATTTCAAAAAATACACTTTTTCGCTTTTCGCATAGGGCATAGTAGTAATACTTTTCATAACAAAACAATAATTTATAAATATACTTTCAACAGATTTTTATATTATGTATACTTCACCGTCGAACACATGCAAATAATGAAACGGACGTTAAGGCTTCTTAGTAAATAAACTTTTTTGTTCTTCATTGTCAAGGGCGCAACAAATAAGGAACTAAATTCCAAAGAAGCCTAAACATTTTCACCTTCTTGTATTATTATAAGTCAAAGATTGACAATTTGAAATTGATGACTTACAGTGTAGCACCAAAGAAATCGTTCCGTCACATTTGCTTTTTTAAGCACCTCTTCATCTAATCGCTATAACTTAAATAAGAAAAAAATACTTGTTCGTATTTGAATCCGACATATCGAAAGAATTTCGTCGCTCCGCAAGGATAATTTTATATACAGGTACGCGATAAACTATTCATAAATAAATATATATATTATAAAAAATCAATAAACCGTCGCAAATTAAGAAAAGAAGGTAACATTATACAATTTTTCAAGCTTCGGCAAAGGCATAACCAGGCAATATATCGGTCCTCCTAAACCTCTGCACAGGTGTTGTTTGTACGATCGGCGATCTCGAAGGTATTCTACTAGGCGGTGCTGGTATCTGCTTAGGTAACTCGCTCGACGTCACCATTGTATTTTCCGTGGTCGTTGTCGACGTGCTGGCTCTGGCCGAGTCGTAAATTTTATTGCCGTCGCCGTGAATCAATCTGTCGTATTTCTTTGGTGGGAATTTTGGCGCTTTCGTCTTTTTCTCCTGAACGGTAAAACAATTCATCAGATTTGCGAAACGAACGACCTCACTTTTACAATAATGACCACTTACCATCTGATAAGGTTGCGTAGCTCGAAGGAAAGAAGCAGGTTCGAACCTCATGGTAACTTTGGAATCTCCGACGTCCTGACGGAAGTTGCCAGTTCTGCCTCTGAAATTCACGTAGACTTTCGGTCTACTGCTTTTCAGATAGTACATCTTCTCGTCGCCGATGTTCTTCGTAGGTTGCGACGGGCCCAGTAAAAAATGTTGTCTATGAGATTCGAACAGTCGCTGATTGAGTCCAAGACCAACGTCTCTAACGCCCAGGATCGAGTGCGGAACTACTTCCGGGTGTGGATGAGTTAAGTTACTCTCCGAGCTGTCGTCCACGTCGATATCCAGTCGACGTGGATGCGGCTGGTTTGCCAACACCGCTTGCATCAAATCGTGAAGGTCAAGCGTCTCGATGTTCTCCGCATCGTTCAGGTCGATTTCCAATAATCTGTAATGATTGTTTTTTGTTGCAATTATAGAAACGATAAGATACCTTGGTAGATAATTAAGCAGAAAGGCGCCGCGTACGGCAAACAACTTTTTCATTCCAAGGAGAATAATAACTCTACGTGCCAGACCAACCTGCAAATCTATTTTTCAACCTGATAATGGTTAATGCAAGCGACTAGTTCTCCGGAGAGAGAAAGAGAGAGAGAGAGAGAGAGAGAGAGAGAGAGAGAGAGAGAGAGAGAGAGAAAACAACTTTTCACTCGTTCAAAAAGAAAAAGGCGTCAGCTTGCAAAAATTACTCAACAGTCCCACTCCACAATTTGCTCCCGTAGATTTATTACGGCAATTTCGATTGAAAATTGCCGATGTAAAAAATGCCGCTCTCTCGGAAATCGCTCAGTTGCACGATACGTAAACGCACACGTGGAATATATGCCGCGGCGCGTGCATCCAAGTAAGCTACAGTCTACGCCGCATGCATATCAATCGCACTCGGAGGTTTTCGCGAATAAGTCAGCAAAAACGAAGCGGCGAGCGTTCCCATACACACAGCTCCCCACCGCGCCAAATCTCTGAATCTGTCGGCGGGCAAAATTTATCCGCTCGCGGCGTCGTCGGCGGCGGTTGCGCAATCGTGTTTCCCACACCCACGTGTCTCTGCCGTGGCGCCTTACCTGTAGTCCTGGGTGTCCGGTTTCTCCACGTTGGTGTTCTGCTGGTAGAGCGCTTTTCCGTGGTAACTCTTGTCCAGCGCGTCGGCAATCGCCTCGTCGAGAGGTATGAAGTTAGACGACGACGATGACGGCGATGACGACGCCGGCGGTCGCGGCAGCACCACTGCCGCCAGCAACAGCTCGCACGACGCCAGCAGCAGCACGGTCGCGTAAGCGCGCGTTGCTGGAAGAATAAAAAACCCACGCGGAATGGGATTAAACTCGTTTCCGCGAGCAGCGAGTTTGCGCTAGCAAGCGAGGCTAGTCGGTTCTTCAAAGCCTGGGCGATAGTGAAAGTGCGCGCGCGACGACGACCCGCGAGTTTTTAATTGCAATCGTCGGCGATAGCGAGTAATCGCAGTCCGATGCGCCTGTGCGTACACTCGAGATTGGCATCTCGGCTGAATGGCTCATTGTGTCGTTAATATCGGGCTGACGCCGCCGCTGCCGCTCGTGAAAGTCGCGCGCGCGACTCTTTCAAGGGAAAATCTTTTTTAATTACCTCTGGCGCGTGATTTATCAGCGGCATTGAATGCAACAATGACACTGTGGCTTCTGCCTTTTCGCTGCTTTTTTCCGTTTTCGTTTCTTTGGGAATGAGCTCGTGCCGCCGATTCACGTGCGTGTCGCGCATTAGGCTACGGCAAATTGCTGGGAAATGAAATTGGTTTTTTCTCTTAGTTTTTACGTTGTAATTACGAACTTGGTTGGTTGCCGGTTACTTTCGTCGATCGCATAGAGCGTGGATGAAAAGAAAAAATAAAGAAATAAAAAAACAACGGTCGGTTAAGTTTTTTCTTTTTTGACCTGGGTTTGTCGGATGATATCATTACAATGACGCAGGATAATTTGCTAAAAAAACGCTCGTAGTTATGAATTATTTCCAATGAGTTTCAAATCACCATATTTCACAACTCCCACAAGTGTGCCACGTGAGTCTTTTCAATTACCCATTGCAACGATATCGCGAAAGTTTCAATATTAAATAGAAGATTAAAAGTAGGCGCTCACCAATCAAGTCAGACGTGTACACGTAATTGCCGGCTTTGTTTCGTGTCCCGGATTGTACTTAATATACACACGCTGTCTCTTCCGGAGTTTCGCCGCTCCGAGCGGCGCGCATTTCGATGAGCGCGCAGGAGCCCCGAATATTTCAATCCGTATGAGATTTCACTATGGGGGTTTCGCTCGACAAATCAAGACAATTATTTTCGACATTAGACGATCGCATTGGAAGCAGCGGCTTTCCATGCCACCAATCCGAGCAACGCCGTTGAGCAACGCTTCGCACCGGTCGACTCGCGTCCCGAGATGTTCCCGGAAAAAGCCACTCGTTCGCCTCCGCACAGGCCAGTCCTTTAATTGGATCTCCGGCGCGGGCAATCAATCGCATGCAAAGCACACATCCTTTGTCTGCTAAGCAGCCGCGCCGTACATCAATCATCCACTTCATCGCGCGCGCGCAGTTTTCTCGCGGGCGTCGCGCAGAATCGTGCTGGGCGTGGCGCGAATGGGAAACTGGTTCTATCTATCGCCGATGAAAAAAAAAAAGGAGGACAAAAAGCGCAAGTGCAGCGGCAAACGTGCAGCGATTTAATTATCCTTCCGAGGGGGTATTCGCAACTCGTAAATCATCTTCGTCGTAACCGAGAACAATGGCCTTTTGAACTTCTGTTGTTGCTTGTCGCTCTCGTCCTTTTTCTTTTCTTTTTCGAAAAGCCCTCTATCGTTTTCGACACAATACGTGAGATTCCTACGAACCCGCTTCCCACTCTCGAGTCGCTCGGTTGACCGACTGCCGCGTTGCGACGTACGCTTTTTATTATTTTTTCCGCATTGCCTGATGATTCCAAGCTCGCTTCGATGAATAAAAAACCATGTCAAACGCGCGATGAATATTCCGCGGGCGTGTCTAACGACGTGATACAGCGGTGGCCCGCGTACGTCGACCGGGAAGATAACAGTAGTTCTTCTTCCTTTTATACGTTTTATATCATAAACGAGTCTGTACTACGCGCACACGCCCGTAACTCACTTTCACCGTTTAAAACGCGCGTCGGACACACAAAGAGCAATCTGTAAGTGGGCTGCAGACCCACATGTACGTTTTTCTCCTTGCTGCTCTTTCGTTGCCGCTGAATCCATCGACGCGATGGACGACATTGGGGCACGAGTGTCTTGCGAGTGTGCGAGACGAACAGAGCGAGGAAGCGCGCAAGCGCGTGTTTTTTTTTTCTTTCTTTTCTTCTTCTTGCAAGAAAAGTGGAAAATTAGTCGACGAAACCGCGCGACTCGATTTCATCTTCGCGCACTGTAAATCTTTCCTTTCTCGCGCGAAAACTAATCTCTCGCCGCGCAAAACCAGACAGCAAGTCAATTTGCCCGCGTCGCCGCTCGCATATGTGAGCAATGCAAAGAAGCCGGCTTTCTAGCGGTCGGCTAAAGGAGGAAAGAAGAAAAAGAAGGAGCGATAATTAGCGAGGCTGGAAAGCGAGCGTTCGTTTTTCTTTTTCTCTTTTTCGCCATTGTCGGTTTGGGAAACGTCTCGCTGGAAAATCTACGCCCGATTGTTCGCAGGGCAATGCCTTGTCATGCTAAACCGGATTCTCGCGCGCGCTGTTCGCGTTTTCACTTTCGAATTATCAGCTCGAAGAGCCGCGCACCCCTTTCGCGTGGGATAAGGGGAAAAGATTGCCGCATTAAATCGACAGCCGACGCGCAAAGTGAGCCCGCGGTACACCACACCGCCGAGACGCGGCGACGTTCCGATTCATCGGCCGCTCGGCTGTCGAACTGAGCGACGAACAGCCGACTGCGACGTCTACGTTGCTGACGCGCAGCTGAGGAAATTATCGTAACGCGAATCGGCGTTCAAAATTACTTCCCTCGCGTCGCGATTTTTCATCGCCTTAATGGAGAACTTGCGAAACGTAACGCGTATGATCGAGGGAAAAACTTGCAAATCGAACGTTCAGCAATTCAAGCGTCAATGCACACGCGGGCAAGCGAATTTTTGCCGTGCACACGGCGTACAGCTCGCGGCAATAAGCGAAAGGACGCGTCATCGTCATAGCGGTGTCGGACGGCACGCACGCGAGTGCGGGAGGCTTTGATTTCATCAGCGCGCCCAATTTCCGCGTGAAAGTCCCGCCGGCTTTCGGGATGCGCGCGTACACGTGCGGCTCGTTATGACATTTTATACATTATACATGGAAACGATGCCGAAAGAGAGAGAGAGAGAAAAAGCCATAGGTGGGAAACAAAAGGCGTTGTTCGGTTGGGTCGGGTTACGTGATCTTTCCTTTTCGTGGGTTGACCTCTCGCATATGAACTTTCTCGCGTGCGATCCAGTTGGGGAGGCAACGCTGGAGCCCCGACGGGTCGTCGAAAGAGAAATCGCGAACACCACGCCCGTGCATGTAACGCGCCGGGCCTGATCGCTTTCGCGAGTGGCGCGCACACGCGCGCGCGGACTATCGATCAAATCTTTCGTGCCGCCGCGAAAACCCGTCGCGAGTTTTCCCTTTCGCCACCGACCCACTTTTCGGCTGCAGCCACCGCCGCCACGCGTACTCATTATCTCTCTTTCTCTCGGTTCCTTTCTCGGTCCGTCCCGTGGTCTTTGATCGTCTCGGAGCCTCGGCATTTTCGCCGATCATGTGCGCGTCGTTGCAAAACGTAGCATCCTCGATTACGGCATCTGTATTGTATTTTTCTTTCTTTGCAATTTCCTCGGCGATATTTTACAATTGCACCGCCGACGTAAGCAGCAAGGGGGCTACAGCGAACTTTTTGCATGCGAAGTTGATTAATCTTTTCGCAGCGCGGTTTGACGTGCAGTTACGTAAATAATTACGCGGGGCTCTCCCGCTCCAATGCAGAATCATCGGTCTGCTTTATTTGCCTTGCGCGCTCGACGCCCGAAGTCGACTGCGGAACGACGAAAAGCTCGCGGCGAACGTGTGCCCGCGAAAGTCGGATCGCGAAAACAGGAACGGGCCGCACGCCGATAGCGCGGCCGCTGTCGAGCTGGCGCCTGGCAGCGGCGCAGGCGAAACCTAGCCCCGAGGCCTCGAGCGTTGCATCGCGAGACGGTTTTCCAGACACGCGGCGGCGCAACTAGACGGACGGAGGCATAGCCTGCCAAAAATATAAACGCCGTGCAATTAGCCTTCTCTGACGCTATTGCGTAACGGACACGTGCTGCTCGTACACACTCGCAGCACTTTTCTCTCTGGCGCCTTTTTAAGGAAAATTATCACGAACGCGCGCGCGCGATCGTAAAGTTTGTGCGGGGCCAGGCCTGCTGTTTCGCGTTTACAGGGAGAGGGGGGGGGGGGGGGGGAGGACAATGGCCCGTTATCGCCTCGGATTTTTCGCTCCGTTTCCGTAGATTATACCCGAGGCGTGTTTACGAGTTCTCGGGGGGATGAGTCTCGAGGCTCTCTCTCCTGCGGTCGCGCGGATGCCGCGCGCCGTGGTTTTCCAGCGACGGCGATATTCCGTTTGCGGCGCGAAGATTATACTCGCGACTACGCCTGCCGCGAAGGAACTCTCGACAACCGCGACGATTGATTCGGATCGCGTTTTCGGTCCGCGTGACTCGGAGTATACGGGACGATAACCCAACAATCCATCCGACGTGGACGTGCGGCGTGCACCCGTCGAAATCTTCGAACGCCCGGCCTCGCAATGTCGTGCGCACAGCCGGCCGGCGGATCGTGGTGATGCAAGCGTCGTTCTCACGCGGCGCCAATCGATCAACGCCGCGAGCTGCATAGAACGGAGCAAGAAAAAAAAAACGAAAAAAAAAACGAAAAAAAAACACGGAATCCATTCCGCGTGGATCGATCGCGTGGCTGATGTTTGTCATTACCCGCGACGTAATGACAAGTCACCCGGCGCGGCATTATGCATAGCGGAACTGCGCGCGCGAGACGCGAAGGGCATTTAGATCACAATGGGTTCGCGTCTTTCCGATTCGCCGCCCCCTCGCCGGAGATTTATGGAACGCCGTCGCGGTGCGCGCGGAGATCGAGCACAACGAAATTCGCAACGTGCCAACTTCCTTCCGAGGAGCGTCGAGCGTGGAGCGAAGGAGAGAAAAAAAATACACGGCCACGCTTTCACGAAAGCGCGCGCTCGCTTTGTCCTCGCCTTTGTTTTCGGGACCTCCTTGGGATTCGGTCGTGTGTTCTTTGTTTTTTCCGCGGGCTCGTACAGGTGGTTTCACCAGTTTTTGGTGGTCTACATCAGAAGGACGCTGGCATACGACGACGAGAGTGGCAAGTGCATCTTCGAGGTTCGGTGACCTCGGCAGCACAAGAATACGGCGACGTACCGCGTCCAGCACCCGTGCGTTAGCCTATCGAGAAAGTCGAGCCGTAAATTCAAAACTGCGGTTGATTAGTCTTTCCAATTAATAACCATATCCCAGTTTACGTTGACAGTTTACGTTGAGCGCACTCGCCTTTCTGTATCGCTGGGCGCCGATCACCGATAAACTCCGGCAATTTACGGAGCCATTATCAAGACAGACGTATACGACTACTCACGACTCTCGCATACGTAATATGCCCTCCGCGCGACGAAGCGTTTCTTTTTCCGAGTCGCGCGCCGCTTCAATTTTTATCCCGCGCGCGTTCCGTCTCTTGCTACTTCGGACGGCGCATAATAATGGTCCGAGGGGAAAACTGGCGGCGCGCTTATCACTCGAGTTTCCTTTCACTCGCGCGCGCGCACGCCGAAAGAATCGTTGCCACACGAGCGCATTTGCACGACAACGCGACTGGCTGGCTTAAGGTCAACGGAAGATTGCTCTCGCGAGTGTCGTCACCGCTTGTCCGCTGTTTCGCGAGGGCCGAGGGCAGCGTCGACGCTTTCGGCTTGGCCCGCACTCGCCGATCGCGCCGGCAAATAGTCGGTCCACTCACCGGAATGCATGATCCTCGGTGTGTCCTTTCGCGGCGGATAGAATTGCACTTTGCTCCAGGTCGCTCGTCCACTCGTCTAGGTGCGCGCGAGGACGTCGTTTTCTCACATGGTGCGCTCGCGGCGCCAAGCGCGGCTCGAGTGAAGGTATCGGCGTCCGCGCGAGCAGGTAGGTAGGTAGGTAGGCGCGCGCCAGTCTGACCCCACTACCGTCTCGCTTTCCCAACGAGACACCGAGCGTCTAGCAGAGAGAGAGAGAGAGAGAGAGAGAGAGAGAGAGAGAGGAGGGGGGATGGATATATCGCTGGATTGATTGTATATAGACTTTATGTTTGCGCTAAGAATGTCGTTGCGACGCCGACGACGATCTCTGCTGCAAAGTCGTTAAAATCGGACGTGACCTCCGGCTCTTGGCCGGTGGACAATAAGCGCGAGCTGGGGTCTCGCAATGCACCACCAAGCGTAATCAGCAGCCGTTCATCGCTTGCTTTGCGACGCAGTCTTGCTCCAGGGACGCTAGCCAGGCCTGACAAAGACCAAGTCCCTTCGCCCCGAAACGAGACATGACGGCCCGCGATGAAGAGCGTAGACGCCGGCCACTCGGTCGATCTTTCGAGGCGCAAGCCAGCCAATAATTAGGTTGTGCGCGCCGATGGTCATTGTCGAGAGAGATCGTCGCGTCGCGACGCGGGCAGCGCCAGAAGAGGAAAGGGTTGTTGCGTCGGCGCGACTCGCGAGGCGGCCTAGTTTTCTCGGCGCGCGCGCGCGCGCCTCGAGCTGTCGATTGTTTTTCCAGCTATCGCGGGAGAGAACGCGTTGCCGAGCTCCGCGTTTCCTTCGGTCGGCGGCTTTTCGGCGCCCGTTCTCTCGCGCGCGAGTCGAGCAGACGCAATTACTGTACGAGCCGCTGCAAGTAACACGTTGCGAAAGAATTACCCTCATTTGCACGTAGACGTTGTGGCGAATTTTCATTTTCTACTCGAATCGCGAAGGCATTGCGGCTTTGCTTTCGGGAAAGCGATTCGAAAACAAATCGGCGTCACGTACACCGAGTCGCAGAAGTCTTGCGCTCGCGAGTAAAAGGTCGAAAAGTCCCAGTACGCCGCAATATTTGAGTTTTTGACAATAAGCGTGATCCACGATTGTCCGAGTCCGACAGCGCGGTCGCAACACGCCGCGTAACAACTTGAATTTCCGCGCACGCCACGCGCGGCAGGAAGCGCTTGGCAAAGATGAAGGAAGGCGTCCTGAAAACTTGACGCGCGCAAAATCTCGGACCGCGCGGTTCTCTTCGGTATAAAGAATCGTAAATTCCACGTTGCGCAACAGCCGCGTTCTCGAACAATTAGGTAGGATTGTCACGTCGTTTTGTAAGAAAAGTGGCGTGCTTTCTTCGCGACGGCGGCTGTCCGCGCGCAAGCGAGATATGTTTTTCCCAGGATGATTAAGCGGCTGCGCGGTGATACGTGATGACCTTTTTTTTCGAGACTGATCTTGAAATCAGATTGGGCGCGACGAGAGCTGCGGTTGTTTTTTTCTTCCCTTTCGCCTGCTTTCGCTGAAAAGCGTCGCGTGCAGTTGCGAAATCAGCGGCACTCTGTTCTTTCGTTTGATCGGCAGCTACAGCTGCAACAATCCATCTAATCGAATAGTCGGCGAAAAGTTATCGATCATCTTCAATGTTGCGAACTTGACAGGGATTCATTTCCGTTCCGCAGGAAACGTTCATCAGCCAGTATCGACGGAAAGCACCGCTGCCTCTACCTCTCTCCGACGTAATTTGCACTCGGCCGCCCGATACGCATTGTTCAAATTAAACACGCACGTTAATGGCATGACTTGTCAGTCGTTGCAAAAACCACGAGGCACGTAGCCTCCAAACATGCTATTGAGTCGATCATCGCTTCCCGAACGAAAGTAGAAGACCCAGTTTTAAAATAGCAGTTTGCTCGGCCTTTTTCTTAACTATGTATAGTCTAGCGCGCGAGAGAGGGAAAAACCGATGATAAAAGGAGTAAGAAAAAAAAAAAAAAAAAAAGAAGAAGAAAAAGAAAAAGAACGAGCTCTCTAACCGCTGTAAAATCATTAAAAACTATCGCTTCGCTCCGACAGCTGCCGTCTCGTTCTTCGATAGAATTTTTATACTCCGACTCTCTTCCCCGCGATGGCTCGTGGCTATCAATTTCACTCGGCTTGTAAAGTATCTCGTCGAGCACATTTCTCCGTCTCGTTCGAGGTAAATGCTCCGTCGATCGAGATACGCGCAATTTTTCTTTTTACGCTCGACGCTTTGCAACTTGAATTCGCGTGAAAAGAGCTTTTCCAAACGGCATGCCGATAATTAACCACTTGCCCCCGGTCTGGCGCTGCGAAACGCGCGATTAATTGCAAGCGTGGGCAAGCGGCCGGCGCTTGCCCGCGGAGAAAGTGTCCGCGAGTGTGGCGACGGCGTCGACCTTAGAGGAATTCGCACTCGCAGTCGCGTGGATTCGTTAGGGCATTCCTCGAGCCGGTCTGCGTCCGTAAGCGCAGGGGAGCTTTTTGGCGTGAGCTCGGACTCGCTGCCGAAGAATTAAGTAATTGGACGATTTAGCAGCGACGGTTCGTCTCTCGGTTGGAAAGTCCGAGGCGCTCGACGAGAGCGTTGCGCAAGAAGCGTCGGCGTCGGGACATGGCACGTCGCGCGTGCAAGGGCCGCACGGACGAGCGACAATTAAGTCGAATTAGAGGCGCCACGGCGATAAATCGAGAAAGTCCGCGTCGCGAATCGATCGCGCCGCTTTCCAGTCGGAGCCCGCGGCGCAACGCTCGCCTGCGCGTCGGCCTCGCAGTTATCCACAATGGATCCTCATTACGGTTGAATAATGCGCTTTAAACGTCCAGACTCGGCCGCCGAGGCGCATTAACCTTGCCACGTGCCGGCGCGGGCGCTCAATGCCGGCTAAACGAGAGCACGCAAATTGCGCGTTTTCTCGGCGAAGCTGATGCCCGCGAGGCTCCTCGCGGGCGCAGGCGCGCATCCGTTGCGCAACGAGCCGCGCGGTAGCCCCCTCGCGAGTCGCCCGCGAGCCGCCCTCCCGGCCAAGTTGTTACGCGGCTTTGCATAAGACGCGCCGGCGCTTTCCGCAATCCGTGCGAGTCGCGATGCGCGTCGAGCGCCGCGTTGGCCAATGCGCGGCCACGCGAGTGGCGTTACAATTGCGCTCTCGATCGCGCGCCGCCTCCGCGCGAAAGTGCGAGTAGTCCGCGAGCGCGCCGCCATTCGCTAATTGCCGATCTCCTTGGCGAAGCGTGTTTTGCCCCCCCCCCCCCTCCATGCAGGCGAACTCCTCGCTTGGGCTTCGCAGTTGATTAATGCTCGCCCATGAGTTCATCACTTTTTTCTCAACTCGGCTTTACTCGTGTTTTACTAATTGCTAAGAATGCACTGAATGTTCGGTTCGCTTCACTGCTCAACACTCCTAATTGGCTTCAAATGTTTCGATTTGCGGCATTGTCAAATGTCAATTGTGCAATATCGAAACACGCGTCTTATTTGGAAAGAACATTTTCGAGTTTTGGTATTTCTGTATCATAGTTTTCATTGCAATAATGAAACGAACAATGCCTTTTCTTTTAATTGTAATCAACTGATAATTCTAAAATCAACCGAGAATTCAAGGTCCAAACCACATTTTTCAACAAATAATATTCGAGCCTAAATATAATATGCAATGATATGCATCCACTCTGAAGTATGTTAGATGAAAAGAATGTTCGTGATAAACTAACTTTATTGAAAAAAGCAGTTTCAAGAAAAAATTTGTTACATCAATGAAATCTTACAGAAGTGTAGTATTTTTAAAACAGAATTCTATTACCGATACGTTCATTTCGATGCAAGTGCAACTCTGGGTGCAGAATTCCGACCTATTACGACTGTTTAGATTTTAGCGTTTTGCCAACGCTTATTCAAACATAGAATTCTTAGTTACCTCGGAAAAGTACAAGAATGCGCTGCTTTACTTACTTCTAAGTGACTTACTTTTAAAATTAATAATTATTTCAATAATTATACCGTGACCCGAACTATATTCTGCAATGCCAAGAAAATTATGTTTCAGTTTAAGCGATAAACATTAAATTAAAAAAAAAGACTCGCAAGAAAGAGAGTTCATTTTTAATAAAATCAGCACAAAAAAATAGTTGTTGTTAGTGCGATTATTTTATTGAGTCAATTACGATATTGATTCGAAATGTTGTCCGTTGAACTCGAATGTAAAGAAGCAAATTCTTGGCAGCGCAGCAACGTCGTCGCTACTAATTTGAGAAACCCATCGCGACTCGCAGTCGGTCTATTTAAGGTATACGGCAGTATCAATCGATCAACGAGTGCCGTCCCATAAAATATCCTTTAGCAGAGACGTGGACGCGTGCGCGCGTTGCGCAAAGGCGGCCAAACCAGCGACGACTTTTGTCTGTCATCCTTGGCGACGCCGGCAATGTCACGATTCATTTGCGCCAACTATCAACGAGATGAAGGAGCCGCGGCAGAGCGGAGAGAAAACGCCATGGGACGAGCGCTTCGTGGCAAATGGAGCGCGAGCACGAAATCTCTTTTGTTGGCGATGGGAATTTTTGCCAATCGCGCGGCGGAGGATATATACTTTGCAGCAGGCTATGTTTATGGCAGTATTGTTCTTTTTTTTTTTGCGCGCGCGGCTTTTCTTTGTTTCAAGGATCTCGAAGAAAAATCGCTACTCTTAGCGCGATGGCGTTTGTACACCTGCCAGATCTGATACTCAGCGTGGCTACCGATCGATTCGATCGCATATTCCGCAAAACAGCGATCTTCTAATTGGCCGATTATTCAATCGTTGCCCACGATTCGACAAAAGCGAGGCTTGAATTTCGCCATCGTTGCGACCGGATGAAATCAAGCGGATGTCCACTTAGGCCGTCGATTGTTTCAAACTTAAATGAAACCGCGTGATTTTTGTTAACTGCAGCCGTGTCTCTTTTTGTTCACCGAGGATTTTCTCTGCCGTTCGAAGCTCAGTCAATCGTGCAATCGAGGCCCTGCCCTTTTATTTATTTTTTTTGAACTCGATCGGAGCGATGCGCTGGTCGACTGGCTTGTCCGCACCAAAGG